CTTTCGTCTAACATATCAGAAATTTACAAACCTTCTTTGATTAAAACCCGTATTACTGACATTTTTACCATTCAGATGTTTCGATTAAAAAGAAAAAAAACAGTAGTGTGAACTTAAGTTTTCACTTTTCATAGTAGTTAACTCTTTAAGTCTAAGAAGTGATTAAAATGTAACTTCTCCCTCTATTATTTATACATTATCCAGCAAACAGGAAGTGAGAATACTCAAATTTATCTCCTAGATGTTGTTATCTTAATATGATATCAAATTCTTGTAACTAATTGGAAGGACATGTTTGGCAGCCAAAGGGGAGTTGAAGGGAATTTGAAGGGAGGGAATTGACGATCTGATCTTGGAATTTAAGGGTTGAGACGAAGAAAATTCTCGGAATCTGCCTGGGAAGTCGACTGAAATATTTCCTTAATTCACTCGTCATCTCTATATTACGCACAATCTTCAAACCTAGTGCCTCTAGGAACAAGCTTTAGATATACTCACTATCATAATTAATATGCATTACTTAAAACACTGAGTTTCGCTTCAAACTTGTAACTAATTAAAATTTAAGCGCACGAACCACGCTTTCTCTACATTGTTAACGCGGAATTTCAGTAAAGAAGATGAAAGATTAGAAATGGTACTCCGCGCAGCCCCGTACTATTGTAAAACAAATCTGTTTTCCCAATGGAAATGTATTGTTTTTGTCATTGTTTTCTCTGTTCAAGAACTGAATGCATAACGTAGGATGGGGCTGTGCGGAAATTTTTCCCTCCGCGCGACAACAGTTTCAAAGAAGAATTTCAAGGAAGCCAATTTTGCAAAAAAAAATTACGCAATAAAATTTCTACTGCTAAGTTATTGACAGCTTCTGGGCGGAAATACGAGCGACTGGAAAGAATTAAAGGATTAAATAAAACGAAGCTTCGATCTGGAGCCCTTCTTGAATTTGTACATGGCTCATCTTCTCTTAGAATTAGTTTACACAGTTTTACATGCTTCTATAAGCGTCGATAAACACTTACCTGCTTCCTTCCGTTGCCAGAAATGATACGTAATGTTGACTTTGACAAAACGAGAAACGAAAGAGGGCTTCCAAGGGAGAAAACACTGTGTAGGAGCTAAAATTTTGACAAGAATTGATCACTGAAATAGAATTTCTCTATGCTTGTGATAATTTCAAAAGTGCGCCTTTTAAAACTTATGCGTGCACGCGGGTTGTTGAGCTCTTCCCTGAATGGCTCGTCCAACTGCACGGGTTTTTAGCGCGCACGATTTTTCTAATTAGCACTATTCATTAGAGGCACATTCTGTTGTGGTAAACGCAAACGGCAAATTAACATCTGTGTTCCCTCATTTTTCTTCCAAGACAAAATACAGAAGGGCCTCGCAAGTGATACTGCGGCATTCCCACTTGGTGATTTCTTTCCATTTACGTTCCTAATTACATTTTTGTGTTTTTGCACGCACATTTTTCGTATTGTTTTCGCATTCTTTTCACTCACGTCGATTTGTATTCTGTTAGATTTTTTCGCATAATTCTGCTTTGTTTAATTTCATTCGTAAAAGTTTCTCAGGAAAAAGTGAACATTGAAGTATCAGAGTGCATTAGGTTAACATCGATTCCTTCGCTGCGATCATCTTTTAGCTTTTCCGTTCCTCGTGCTCGCAAGCCACACAATTTTTGTAAGTGTCTTTCCTTGTCCGATTTTATTTCTTCGTAATAATTTGAAATGTAGATAAATCTTAAAGCGTTCGCTTGTTGAGACCTGACTTTGTCGGCAGTCACACGAAGAGTACAAAAGTTTTGAACAAAATGCAGAAACTGAAAGGGAAGTAACAAAACTTCAATTTTTGTCGTTCGTCGTGGGTTATTGAGCTCTTCCCTGAATGGCTCGTCTAACTGCACGGGTTTTTAGCGCGCACGATTTTTCTAATTAGCACCATTCATTGGAGGCACATTTTATTATGGTAACGCAAACGGCAAATTAACATCTGAGTTCTCTCATTTTGGTAAAGTTTCCGCACAGCCCCATATTACATTATGCATTCAGTTCTTGGATAGAGAAAGCAATGACAAAAACAACACATTGCCATTAGGAAAACAGATCTGTTTTACAATAGTATGGGGCTGTGCGGAAATTTTACCCTCATTTTTCTTCCGAGACAAAATACAGAAGGGTCTCACAATGAGTAAAAAAGTTTTACACAAAATGCAGAAACCGAAAGGGAAGTAACAAAACTTCAATATTTGTCGTAGTCGTTCGCGTTAAAATGATCCCTTCATCAAAATAGCAAAATATGATGTGAAATAAGCCATAGTTATTTCTTTTTCACGGGCTTTAAATATATATATATATATATATATATATATATATATATATATATATATATATATTTTCTGTCTAGTCACGGCTGAAATTATTATAAAATAATCCGCCAGGCCTCGGTTGTTCAAAGGCTGGATGGTGCTATTTACCAGATAAATCGCCATCCGGTGGTTAAGTGTTTACCAAATATACACGCTATTTTAAGCGCTTTATTAGCACGAAACTTTTGGACTTTCTGATAGCGCGAGGTTCACATCTTTGAGTGTTTTCATAGCCCTTTAGGTTAATTGTAAATTAGCTGTAAGCGCTTTAGATCGATTATTACACGCTTAAAACACAACCAAATAAGAATATAAGTGCCAAGGTTTTTTGGCAATAATAGTGGAAGTTGGAATTGTTGGTGAAGTTAGTAGAAGTTGTAACAACAGGCAGTGGTACATTAAACAAGAAGCTATTGAGATCCAAGGAACTCTTCTATCAGCTAGTTCAGTCGTTCAAGCTATCTGCCCCCCAAAGAGTTCTGAAATGAGGAGGTCAAGTTTTCCTTTTTCGCTATATTGTAATAAAAGGGAATACCCTTCATACAGAAACTATAACTACGAATAATTTTTGTATCACTTAATTTTTGTATGTTTTCCTTTTTCCAGATTAGCAATGTCCCAAAGCTTGATTAAAACTGGGCATAAAAGCTTTCTTTTCGGAATTTTCATATTTTTAAGAACAAACCATAGCAAGAAGAGTTTTGTTTGTTAAAATTATACTTTAAAAAGGAGTTGAAGTAAGTTCCTCTAACTCCAGTCAAAAGTTTGATCGTTGCTCTCAGTGATTTTTTTTTACACAACGAGGGCAGATTTGTCCAATTTGAAGATTGCTGGATATCTTGAAGTAGACCTTTAATCAGATGTGTCTGGAGTTTAGACGTCAGTACCGTGTCATCAGATGATGAAGAGTTGAAATCAGATACATTTTACATTTCTTCTCTCCGTTTGCCAGTTCATAGACATGAACTCAAAATAGACAGGGAGATTTTTACTCTCTATTTGGTGTTATTTGCTACTTTGCTTAATTTATCTTTTGGATCGTGTATTGTGATCGTGGCAGTGGTCTGACAGCACTTGCAAAAGCGATGCGCTTATTTGCGGGTCATTCGCTATGTTGTGTAATTAGAGCGGAACGTATACTGTGAAAGAAAAAAAAGAAAGAGAGAAGAATTGTTCCAAACGATTACAGATTTCCGTTTCGCAAATGACACATTTCTGTTTCGCAAATTACAGATTTCGAGTTTGTTCGCAAACCACAGATTTCGGCAACAGATCACTGAAGGGCGAGAACTCGGAAATGGCGTTCTCCCTGCGTTGAACGCAATAATTTGCCGTTAGTGTTTCCGTTCTCAGAATTTTCAAACCCTAGGGATTTTACATTTCTTTATTGCAGATGACAGCCACAGAGTTTTGACATTCACGTACACAGCCATTAAACTTCTTGTTAAAGCTAAAGATCGGTAAATACACTCTGAAATTCGAGACGGCACATCAGAGCACATCGCCCTCGAACCGTACACTTATCCGTGTACTTCGAGTGCCTTAGGCCTAGTTCAAACGTCGATCTTTACATGTACCGAACCTAATTGCAATTTGGGTCGACTCGAATAATTAAGAGCGGCATTTGATTCAAACGTCGATCCGAATTTAGTCGATCCTAATTGCAAAACTGAACATAACTCCATTGTAGTCAGCGGTTAATGCCTACCAAAATGGCGGAAAAAAATGCGGGAAGCACAACTTGTGGAAATGAAGAGCTTGTTTTTCTTGCAAATGCGATTAAGGAGGGTAGAAAAAGGCGACTCAAGATGCAGTTAGCATTAAACAACCTTGCTGCCAGGAGAAGACGAGTTTTGAATTTGGCTTGCCTTCTATTATTGCTTATTTCCCAAAGGAACATCACAGTTCCTCGTCCAGTTCGTTCGTGTCGTCGACTGAAAAGAAATTCTGGCTATTGGGAAAATGTTTGCAACAACTATTCAGACGCAAGAGGAGCACGAGCCTTCCTCCTTTCCCGCCATATTGTTTGAATGGTTCGAAGGCTTTCGCGCATGGCACGTAAGCGAACTTTCTTGAATTGTGGGTAAAACATAATTATTTTAACATATGTATAATGTATGCATTAAGTTCGGTACATGTAAAGTACGACGTATGAATCAATGCCGATCTTTTACCGTTCTATCCGACTAGCCGAGTCGGATAGAACGGCACTGTCGATCCGAATACAAATCTGCCGATCCTAATTGATTCAAACGTCGATCTTTACATGTACTTAATAGGAACGTTAGGTTCGGTACATGTAAAGATCGACGTTTGAACTAGGCCTTACATATGCAAACCCTATGCACGCAATCTTACCTTCTACTGTTTTTAATCAATTAGTCAATTAAATTTGCTGATTTCGGATCTGAGCTTTCAGTTAAATACACGCTTTGTTTTGGCAGACTGTTAAATTTTTGAACAGCTACTGGTTGAGGAAAGTGACATCATTCAGTAGTTGACAAAATGAATCAATTACAGAAGAAATCATCTAATGGAGGACTGGGGCTGGCATGCATAGCGAATATACGTGTATTCGAGAGCTCCGCTCTGGTTATTGAGTAGTTTTTCTGGCAGCCTGCATTTCTTATATATGGAAACCACTCCTCCTTCTTTCAAACGTACAATATCAGAGAGAAGCAATTCAGATTCGTCTGAGTCAAGTTCTCCGTGGGAAAAGCGTCCAAAGAGTCTAGTTGAGGAAGACGAGGTTCTCCAAGCTTTAAACATGGCCGGTAACGTTAGCGAAAAACTCGATAAAATTCTTGGAGAAATTAAGAAATTGGAGAAACTTGATGCAATTGAGACAACGTTGAAGGATTTAACAAGCAGACTGGGGAACGTCGAATCAACTATCGACAAAATGAGAGAAGACGCACGTGCTGTGGATAGTTCGATCAAAGGTATGGATGAGAGTCTTACACATCTCAACAAAGAAGTTGAAGAGCTTCGTGGAACGGTAGAAGACAAGGATAAGCAAATTGAATATTTACACACGCAACACCTTTATCTCGAATCGTACAGCAGGAGAGAAAATCTGAAATTTTTGGCATACCGCAAAGCGAAGCCAGCGCTTCGGAGGGGAAAGATGCGGTTGGCACAATTGATGTTTTGCGTGATTTTCTTCATGATGTCCATGGCTTTGGGGATCCAAAGAGGAATATGGAGTTTCAACGAGAGCATCGGTTTGGTAAATCCGTACGTGGAAAGCCCAGGCCAACATTAGCCCGTTTCTTACGCTATCAAGATCACGAGACAGTGCTTCGTGCTAGGTTTGAATTGAAAGACACTGAGTACATGATTTTGCAAGACTTCCCTCAGGAAATCATGAAGAGAAGGCGTAAACAAATGCCCAAATTAAAGGAAGCTAAGAAAAGGGGCCAAAAAGTATCCTTTAGTAAATCAGAACCTGATAAACTCTTTATTGATGGCAAGTTCATTTCTGCGTAAGGGTTTTATTAACTGTGACCTTTCTTCGTTATAGCAAGGCTGTAAGATGTTATCGATTGGTTATTGTATATTATAACCAAGCAGCAAAAGCTCTCTGGGAGAAATGAAGAATTATTTAGTTAGTTCCATCCCCAAGGGCAGCGCTAAGGATATTTATCTTGCTGCTCTTTTAAGTTTTGCGTTTTTCAGTATTTCGTTGAAATGTAATTGTTTTGTCTGCTTTTGTAGATGTTCTGCTTTGTGTTTACTATGTTTTTCCAAGCTATTCTGGCGCGTTAATGAGGATATATTCTTTAAGTTTGAAAGTGCCAAACTGACGCTTAACTTTTCCCACCTAATGAAGTTGTTTTTCCTTTCGGCGAAGTAGGGCGTAGTAACGTTGATTTTAGTCTTTTGCCGCTAAATGCTCGGGGGATTCGTACTTTTGAAAAGCGGAAAGCAATTTTTAGCTGGCTTTTAAATTCTGGAGCCGATATTTGTTTTCTGCAAGAAACCTACAGTACTCAAGAAGAGAAAAACAACAAATATTTTTTGAATTTAGAAAACTCAAATAAAGCGAAAAGCAGTGTCCGCAAAATCTTAGCAACTGATGGAGCATTAACTAGCGACCCAAAAAAGATTATGAATGAATTGGAATTATTTTATTCCAATCTCTATGATGGTAAAAATTCCGCAGACACGCAGACTATTTCTTAGTTTATAAATGAAGAGGAGCCGAGGAGAAGAGGAACGTTTGGGAGGGAGAAGAGGAACGTTTGCGAGGGTATCCTTAGATATGACGAATGCTATAATGTATTACACCAGGACGGGATGAGGGAGGTTCTACAAAGAAAACATTGTTCAATATTACAATTAATGGAGAGGTACATTTATCAAATATGACTCAAAGCTCCAGTTTAGAAATAACTGCTATGAGACCACTACAAGCTCACACATTAACTTATTGATTTTAAAGCAGAAGTAGGATTTTCATTTTCCTGAGCACCAAAGTTGGTAGTAAACTTACTTTTAAAAGTAGTAAATACTTATGAACTTCTCTCTAGCTTACACTCCAGCCAGGATCACTTGTTTCTGGCCAATAGCTTTAAAGAAAATATGTCTAAAATACCGGAAGGATAACCTAAGCTCCAGAGTTGGTAAAAAAACTTACTTGTAAGCATGTACACTTCCATGCATACTCCAAGGTCCTCCTCTCCCAGGGTCATGGGTCCTCTTCTAGGGTCATGGTGAGAAACATAGAGACATCTGCTAAATTCTTCCTTGCGAAATTTGGAGAGTGTTATTGTAGAATTAAATTACAGCTTTAGATACAACAGATTATTTCTTTATTTCAAGCCTAGAAAAGACGCAAATTAAAGAAACAGCCAAATGAAATCTCAGGCTAATGACAAAGATAACGGCCCATCATGTAAACAAGATTTGAATTTACATCAAACAACGAAAACAAAAAAGGGCTCTTCGTCCGAAATATCCGAAAAGCGAAAGTTGCTTTTAAAAAGGGGCTTTTTGTCAAAATAACAAAAAAATTGCAAACCTTTGATTAAAAAGGGTATTACTGATAGAGAATACATGGGCGCGCGTAGATATGGAATTCCTCTTCGAGTGTTCAACTCGATAACTCACGAGTGAGCGCAGCGAGCGAGTGAGATGTCGCGTTGAACACGAGAAGAGAAATTCCATATCTACAAGTAATCGTGTATTATTTTGTTTATCATATAAACCCAATAGCCCTTTACTGACAAGAAAAGCCGACTTAATTAATTAATGAGAATAAATGAATCGACAATCCCCAAATAACAATCGTAGAGTGCGTTGGCGCTAACTGTTAAGATAGAAAAACGCGTTGAATCATGATTACAAAAACAACAATGGTCGTAATTTTCAATTTACAAAATTCTCATCTATTTACTTTGTCCTTATCGACAGAAGAAGTCTTTCAGGTAAACGGCCAAAATCGGCCAGTGGCAAATCTTCCAGATGACGATTTTCATTCTCAGCCGCGAGAAATGCCAACACCAAAGCTACTGAATACTAAACTTTCGGTTTTTCTTTTGGTATATTGTTTTTTTCCCCTTCTAGGAAAGTTCGAACTTCACTGTCTTTCAGCGATACGGATTTGTTAGTGTTTTAACCGTCACAATCCGAGAAAGTTCCAACAAACTACCTTGTATTGAAAGTCGTGAAAATTTGCCGTTCATTCATCAACCTGACCGAGTGGCGCCAAAGGCGGGTGACGTATCAGCAGCTGATTGGCCATATCAACACACGTGAAAAAATACGATAATTTTTTTCAACTGTGTTGTTACGGGTTTTCTCTGGGCCGGAAATCCCTGTATATCACCGCAGTTTATGTGATAAAAAGTTTTATCACTCAGAGTGCTCACTCACTGAGCACGAACCACGCCATATTGCTGATGGGCAAGTTCAGCAGAGATGAAAGATTAGAGATGGTTCCCCGCACGATAACACTTTCAAAGTACGATTTCAAGGGAGAGCATTTTTCCAATTTTATTTTACGACATGGCATGTCTACTGCTAAGTAGTTGACAACTTCTGGATAGAAATACGATCGACCGAAAAGAAATAAAGGATTTATGAAACGAAGCTTCGATCTAGAACCACTCTTGAGTATGTAAATGGCTTAGCTTCTTTTGAGAATTATTTCATAAAGTTTTACTTGTTTTCATAAGCGTCGATAAACACTTACCAGCCAGAAATGATACTAATCGCGTCCCTTGGGTGTGACAAAACTGACGAGAAACGAAAGGCTTCTAAAGGAGGAGACACTGTCTTAAGGCTAATGTGACAAGAGTTGATCGCTGATGTTGAATTTCTCGAAGCTTGTGATAATTTCAAAAAATGCAAATGTTCAATTGTAGAGGAGAGAAAGTCCTAGAGTTTCTTAAGTGTACGAAGCACATTGAAGAAATGGTTTAATTTGGTTCAATTTTGCTGTGCTTGAATTTTAGCATTATCTCATCAGTCTCCATGTAAGAATCTTCATTTTGTAAGATACTGAGAGGAGCTCTTTTTGTTTCTTTTATGAAGATGGGTTGCAGCCAGCAAAAACAAGCAAACTAAATTCATTTCCATGTGTCCCAGCGTGCAAGGCTTAATGTTTTTCAGATAAAGGGAATTGCAACTATTGACAAAAATAAATGAACATTACATGAATACGATACATTCAAATATAAATGCAGTGTCATTATTTATTCAGGCAAACAAAGCAAAACAAAAATCATACTTCTACAACCTAATATGACAGGGACTTCCACAAATCCTTGAATCAATGCCTGCGTAAGTTTAGAGGAAAAATCAGGGAAGGAATACATTTGTAACTTAATTTTAACTACATTTTATCGGGCCTGGACACTAACTTTCCGTCTGACTTTCTGCTGAGGAAAGTGACAACAATTTGACAATTTACTTTCCATGCTAATTTGCTGTTTCTCCAGTAAAGTTTCAAATTTGTCTATTTCTTGCCATAACCGAAGGTATTCATTTCGGCAACACACAACCATTGACAAGCTGTATCCAATAGAAGAGTACTTCAGACCACTATTCTTAAGTTAATTTGTAAACTGTTACTGGGGCAACTTAGGTCTACTTAGCCAATAACACCTCTTTTTAGGCTTTGGTATGAGTCAGCAAGATAATTATTTGCACTTCTCTTTGTTCAGTTCACTCAGGGTACATGGTTGCTACTTTCAACAATCCACTATCCAAGATCCTAACTAAATTCACGCTTCATTTCACAAGTTTCTTTGTCCGTATTGATACAAAAATGAAATAAAAAAACCCATCAGCCAAGTTATTGACTAAACATTACTAATAGCAGGGTGATTAAGATGCATGAATTATCAGATACAGTCATCTTCTGTTGTAATATTAACCCAAAACATAAATGTTACATTATTTGCCTAGTTGTTATTCACACTTCCTCTTATCTGATTTGTAACTCTCCTTTTCAGCTATCAAACATTTTTAGTAAATCAACTATGGGCTGTGGTGTTATGACAGGATAACTTCATTTAGCTGGCGAGTGTCTTTCTCCTCATAACCTCTTTAAAGGACAATGTATTGATGTAGTAGGGAGAAATACTTGTTACATTACTTTGTTTTATTGGGCTATTTATTTAAAAACAATGCTATCTTCCCCATTTCTCTTGCCTTACTTGCCATAGTGGCTAATCCACACATTGAAATCTTCTGTTGCCTAGTTGTGATAGTGTGTGTCAATGTCCAGCATTGCCCCCCAGTTGTGAACTTTCCAAAGAGGAGCTTGACCTTTCAAACAATAGTCTCCAGATGTGCTTAAATATACTTACAGATACTGCATTTTTGTACCTTACGTAACAATCTGGCTGCTCATCTGCAAAATAACACCCACTTTCTCCATCTATCTGTCTAGAAGTGATATATAAAGGTATCACTTACTCAAACAATATTTTTTTTTATTTCAGTTTTTGTGATAACCAGAGCAGCAGCAGTCATGTAATGCAATTCTTACCACTTGGGTGTCTGGAGGCCAAGTTGATTTCTAAAGGACAGCATCTATATTTAAATTTCCAGCCCAAATGAGGACAATTTTTTAATGGTTGGGAAAGTCTTAACAATCTCAAAGCGCTGTAAGAAGTAAATTATTTAAATTCATATGGCTTTTCTACAGTCAGGCCATGAAAATACAGTTTCTGGAGCATACTAGCTTCTTCTTTAATCAAGAAACTATGCAGTACAACTGTGTAATTATATTTCTTTCAGAATGATTAACTAGTCTAAAAGTTTACATAAAGCCCTTTGTCCAAACTAGCTTGCTTTCTTGTGATTCCATATCTGCTGCTACAAGGACTTCTAGGAAGGAAACACTGCGCAAGAGCAAACCTGTCAGCTGCTGAGTAAAGACTCAACAGCTCTTTCTGAATTCCAGGAATGTGTTGACAGGGCTACTAAACTTTGCATCTATTTACAAAGAAAATAAAAGTAGACATTACAAAAAAAAAGAACAGAAAACATTCTCTGACTCTTTTAAAATTGACTACAACAGAAATATCAAAAATAAATGAAAACATTTTTCTAAGAGAACTTAGAATTGAATGGTTTGAGGTCCAAGGTAATATGCCTATGATAAATATAAACCAAACTTTGCTTAAGAGGACTAATAAGAGAGCAGGAGAAGAAAATTTCTTCATTGTATCAATTTTTTTGAAAAGATAACACCAAGTATTAAATAAGTCTATATTATTACAGTTGTGGTAAAATACTGACCTTGGTAAACCCCATTGAAGTCAATCGCAATATTTTCTGTTCAAAATCAACATTGTGCGAAGAGGGAGCTGGATGACCAAAAGTCAAAAGAAGAAACATTAGGCAGAGTGAGAGCAATAAAATGCTTTTAAAAAAGGACTGGCCATAATGTCATGAATTTCCAATACACATTGATACTCATTGTAGTCTTTTATTACTTCATTTGTAACACACAATAACTAGCGTCCTACTCTACACATCACTTGCCATGTGAAAACTTAGTAGTTATAATTATTTTTAGTCAGTAAGGCTAAGTTAAATTAAAACATGAATCCTTACAGGTGTTAAATGTTTAAATGTAGTAATTTCAAATCAACAAAATTAATGTTGTCTCCTGGCACTGTACTCATCTGTACTCAAATTTTGACTTTGATTTGAAACCTACCTCCAGCATATTCTTCAGCCCAGTGTTTTGCTGTCCTCCAATACACTTCAGGGTGTTCTTTATACTTGTAAAACAACACAACGAATCATTAAAGAAGTTTGATAAAAATGACTAAGAAAACACAATTAAATCTACTGTTGATAATTACTTCCTGAGCTAACCAATCAAGCACATTAACATCAGTCAAAATTAACTCGTGTCAAGGTTCAAAAAGATAACCAAATTTTTGAAACCAAAGAGAGTTGATGTCACAAAGACTATAGCCAATAACAAAAATCTGAAAAATTGATACAAAAAAGGAACAAATCTGCTTTATTCATGCAATTAGCAGTGATGACTTGATTTTATTGCTACAGAGCCAAATAAAACCTTAACTTGCATGAGCACCAAACCTGGCCTTGACACAATGTTATTAAGCAGATTATGTCAATTACTAAGAATATGTTGAATTTGTGTAAAATGGTTAAATAGTATAGTTATCAGAGCATTCAACAAAATGATAGACTCTTAACATGTTTTTGTTGTTTTTTTTTTTTTTTAGTCTCCTGACTATCTACCATCATTTATACTAAGTGTACCCTTAATTTCCAAGAACAGCTAAGAGAAAGCTTAAATTTACTTAAATAGGAGGACCAAACAATTGACATGTTGCAGTGAAGGACAAATGTAGTCATAAACATTTTGGCATTGTTATTGGAAGCAAGACAGACTGAAACACAGAGAAATTTGGCATCTCCTTTGCAACAACAGACACTGGGCTCTCTAATAGTGTGTTTGGAATATTTTATGCTTAATATTACCTCAGTGACCTAACTACTGCACAATGAGACCATTTTACTATCTGTTTGTTACCTGTTTAGCTACAACTGCATCTTGAGGGTCGTCAGGCTCAGCTGCAGAGAGTAAAGCCTAAAGAAGACCATTGGCAAACCTCACTAAATTACATGTACCTTTGGTATAATGGTAGGTATTACTATTTTTCTGTCAAGTGAATGAAATTAGTTTTTGTCTTTTGAATGGAGTCCATTTATGCCAAAGTTTTGCTGTATAGCTTCTTATAAGTAGCCCAAGAGAACTAAGACAACAAAATGTAAATCTGAAAACACTTCTGTAAAGAAGCATTAATCAACACTAAAAGGAGTAAAAGGGCAGCAAGAGTAGATTGTATTCGCCACAAATTGTCTCAACAGGTTCCTCTGTGATTGCAGTTAAGTTACTTTTATAAATGATTCAAAACATCTCTCCAGTATCAGGTATTTCCTTTTCATTTTTCTTATTTACTACAGATTGGGAAAGAAAGGAAAAGATCAGAACACTTATGAGTGGTAAGTGATGAAACTTCCTCATATTCTTGGACTCTTTACTTTACTTTCACACATAGCAAAGTGTTTTACACTTAATCATGAACTTGTCAGAATATACACAAATTCTCTCATTAAAATTATGCAAAATAAAAATTTTGGGATTTATGCCAAAGTTGAAAACAGTAGCTACCTCACCTGTATTGATAGGAGCACAGTACGCAGTGTCATAGCCGCAGCCCTGAAAAATATGTGAAGTCTAGCCTTAATAATTACACTGTTGCCCAAACTGTCAGCTTTGTCCCCAAAGTCAATTATTCGGAACTTACACTAGTCTAAACTTTATTGATTGAGGACAGTAGCCACCTCAAGGGGTGGTAAAGGTTACTTAGTAAATGACTCATGTTGTTTCTGGATGAGAGTTTATGCCAATATTGGAGCAATTTACTTGTCTTCTATTCTTGGGAATGGCAGAAATACATTTCTGAGGTTGAAACTGCTCTTATCTGAGATCATGATGAATAGTTCTTACTCTAAAATATCTACTTGAGCAAAAAAGGGTTCAAAAGTGCACCCAAAACTTTCCAATACTTTGTTTTTTCTTCTGAGTTTGCTGGTTAGGAGCTTAAAACATAAGTTATAATTCATACCACTGATCTTTTAAGATGTCCAGGCATATCACTCCTGTAACTGAACTGATATTTGGATGCCAAATTTTTGTCACAAATTGTACCTAACAAAAATGTGAATCTCACATAAGTCCAAAACATAAAGGTGGTTCTTGAAATAAAAGAGAGAACTTGGAATTATCAACTGACTTGATAACAAAAATTGGCTACTGTAAAGAGTTTCAAAGCTGACATTTTGAGCACTAGTCCTTCTGACCTTTGAAACATCAGCTTAAATTAACATACAGTGACCTACTTATGTTATCAACTCATTTGATAATACCAAATTATCTTGTTATACTGTCCCAACAATGCAGCATCACAGTTTCTAAAGAAACTTATCCCTTTATTCATTGAATAAAATAGCCTCACAAACTGTAAAAGCTCACATTGGTAAGCTCACCTTCGGTGGGTTAAAGGGATATGTTTCAGGGATGTTAATATCCAGTGTATAGGTTCCATCTGGGAAATAAAAAAATAAAATTAATGACAAAATACTTTTCTTGGTACACTAGAGATGATAAAAATGGAACAGTTTTGTGTGGACAAAAGGTAGATGAGTAAAAGTGCAAAATGTGTTGACCAATAACCTGGTGTGTGAACTTACAAAAACAGGTATAGGCTCAGTAAATTATGAAACATGGAGCCCAAACAGTTAAAACCTTTGCCAATTCCTTATAGAGAGCTTGGTTCTATATTCCAGTCCTTTTCCTTTACACCAAATGAACAAGGCCTCTTTCAGTCATAAAAACACAAATTAACCCTTGAGTTCTTTAAGAACTCAAATTTGCTTTAAAAACATTCAACTGAAATAATTTAAGTCCTCTCTAAGGGTAACTTTCCCAAAAGACAGGCCACAAATGGATAACCCTAGCTTCTTCACAAAGTTTCTTACTTTTCTGGCTCCATGTACATAAAAACAAGTTTGTTTAATTAAAGGTGTCAACCAGCAGTAAAGTGAAAGCTGTAAGCCATTACACAACTACACTACATTGGATCTGAAAGTTAACCAACAATGAAAATCGAACCAGACAAACCACTGATATTTCAGATTAGTAACATAGCTAGTTGCTGTAGGTTTCTTCAAAACAAACCTTTCCCGGAAGACACACTAATCTACTTTACTAATCACAACTTTACGAAATTTGCGAGGTTACCAATGCAACTGCAGTAAACACATTTTAGTAAGCCAATCGAGATTCAAAAATAAAAACTTCACTCGTATTCTGAAGAGAAATTTTGAAAATCCAAAGTGTTTGTTATTTGTAAATGCACACGGGCATGTCCGCACTGTAACAATCATACCTTCAAAAGGAGTGCCTGGAGGTCCAGCTATTTCGCCTCGCAGCCTCGTGTATGAGTTGTCTACCAGTTCAACTTTGCACTTCAACTGTTACTCAGAGATATACGTCAAGATTTTATTTAGTTAAAAGCAATCACGTGTAAAGAGAGTCGAAAGATTTACACAGAAATTTCGAAGTTACAGAGGAGCAGTGCAAAACCATTACGAAAGAAACAAACTAAGCACAAACCTCTTCGCTTTTGATGACCTCTTTGAATTCCCTCTGAACTCTCTTTATAGCAATATTAGCCATTCTTAATTTTTTTTACAATATTTGAACAAAAAAGGGTCGAAAAACAGTTTAGTTCACGCTCGGGTCCACATTCTTGTCTCCGACTTCTTCTTTACAAATCAAGGCTTTTACAGGAAGTCACAGGGAAGGTATACGCGCGCGCGGTGACATGGGTAGGAAGACCAGTCCCGCGCGGTTGTTCTCTCGGTTGTTCTCCCTGTTTTTCTTGAGTACCAGTCGCTGTTAACGTTTGTGGGAGGTCGGAGGATTTACTTTTGGAGGGAAGGGTCATATGGTTTTCAGAGGGAAATGAAGGGGGTTCAGTAGTCGCCAAAAGACAGCGACTATGGAAAATTGATTGGTGATTAACTGTCAATGACGAGGGGATCACAATCACTATCGCGATTATGCATAGCAACTACTCTGCCACTTCTGGCGTCTGTGGCAACTTTTTGCGGTTCCAACAACTTCGAGCAATTTTTGAGCGAAACATAGGTTTAGAGCACGTATCAAGCGTAAAAAATTCAATGATTTTCAATGAAAAACTGACACATAACCTGTCAGTTGACAACGTTTTGCGGGCCTTCTGCGATCTTTATATAATATCATACCGGATAATTGCTGAACCATGCGTTCTGTTTCAGACTTAAGTATCCTTGAATTTCGTCAATCTTTCCGAGAAACTCTTTAAAGCTAAGTTTCAAACTATTTTTCTTGACCGATGTCAGCAATTCAGTTAGTATTGTCACGAGCGTGGGACAAAGAGAAAATTCTGGCTGCCCATGAGGAATCGAACCTACCACTGAGCCTCTATGGTGACCAAGGCTTATTATGAAGTTGATATATGATACGTATCCTGCATACTGCTAGGATCAGCAATGTCGTTAGTGTCATGTTTTTGTTAATAGAAAGATGGTAAGTTTTCAACTCGACAAAGAAATGAAGAAAGATGTTTTTTTTGTCTTGTCACGAGCGTGTTAGAAGGAAAAAAATTTTGAGTCCCCATGAGGAATCGAACCTCAGACCGTAATTCGGATTCCGCATTCCGCTTACCAATTTCTGATCCTTTTTACAATAATAACAAAGTAGGTAATGTAGTTGGTTAAGACAGCTGATAATTTTCAAACTCCCTGGTAGTGCTTGTTGCAAAGCAAATGTTTAGCTTTCTAAAAATTTTGTATATAAGCATTTTCCGCTCAGAACGCGTGTAGCATCTTAATGCTTTGGAGAAATAACATTTCTTGCGTGAATTAAAATTTGACTAGATATTGAACGCTACTTAAAGAGTAAAATAGCTAACAGTTTATGTGATTTTCAGTTCATCGGGATTTAAATAAATGGAAATACATTATACATGTTTTTACTCAAACATCATTTCCTTTGTGTGTGAACCGATACAAATGAGACTCTTCTAAAGAAGTTCATAAACAATATTTATTTGCATTCAGCCTATGGCCAAGAGTGTCACTTCTGACTTAAATCATGCTACTCAGGAGAAGTCCACAAGTGTTTTTTTTTCAGAGAAGGCATAACCTAAGAGACTGTGCACGCCTGCCCTTCCTCTCCCTTGGCTATACCAGGCAGTCAGTCTACGAGGAGGGGTGACAAGGGCACTACCACTCGTCCCCACCGATTAAAACGCTGACTACCTTCGCTGCGCATGTGCCAAGTGGTCCTAAGCACTATTATTAGCGTTTATGGTATCATAGCCTCGTGTAATCCTTGTATGCAGCCAACACAGAATTCTGGGATAAGATTTGAAGAAGGCAGTGTGAGTTAATATGACATTAAGTGTTTGCTATAACATTGCTAAAACGTTCCTCAACTTGTCATTGATTTTGCATCCTTCGAGTTTCCAGCGCAAGGCGCAGAAGTCAGTCTCCTCTAAAACCATACGTCTCTCAGTTTGATCATGCTGCATGGCTAAGCTATAGCAGTAGTACAAATACCGCTCAGAGAACGCTGCCACAGCCGTGAACACATCCAGGTCAAATGCACGTATGGATTTCTCGATATCCAAGAGTTCGAGAATAGCATTTACTTGTGCGACGTTGATGGACTGGGCGTAAAGATCTCGGAGGGCGCTTTGGAGTTCTCTCTTGTTAATAACGCCGTCCCTATCTCGGTCAATTTTAATGAAATAATGTCGATAAAGAGTCTTGCGGCGACTGTTAACACGGCAAAACTGAGATACGTATTGCAAAGGAGACAGCTGCTCAAGAACAAGCATGTCCATTGGAAGCTCAAAGCGACAACTTTGCCGTGATATAGAGTGGGGGCCTTGTAACCAAGTTTTACTACTGTCCGACTTGACCCGTTTACTTTCTTCTTCCTCAAGACCTCCCATGATCTTAAGCGCTTCCACCGACGGAGTGCAGGATCCTGTCCCACTCTGTGAAGAAGAAGATAGGGTTAGAGAAGATTTGATCACCCATAGTTGCAACCTTCGGGAATAAAATCAAACTAAACTGGAAACGCTTGCTTAATTTTGTGATCTGGTAGATTCCTCTGACAATGTTTCCCTTGTTAGAAGCCACGGGCAAAAAAATATAAAGTAAACCGACGTGTACACTCTGAAAGATGAAATTCAGGCTACTTCGCCGATGAACTTATAGCTTTGTCGTCAAACACGCAACTCTCAATATCCTGTCATAGAACAACAAAAATATTCCGGTTACAGAGAGTAAAGTTTCTTGCCCTCTTTGACTTGGAATAAATGTTGTTTGCTCTAGGAAAACATTTCTTCTTGTGTTGTATAAGGAGCACTTGTAAATAACAAGTTGATCTTGTAAAGTTTCCTGTTGCTAATTGTGGATAATGGTGGTTACGCTCTCACATTTGACTTGCACATTTTATTTCTGACAGTGTACACATCTGCTGTATTGTATTTACATTTCTCAATATTTAAAAGCCTTCTGGTTTGCGTTTTTCTGTAACTAATACTGCATGTACTTTGCTATTGTGCTCAAATATATATCTCCAGACCAGTTTTACAGAATCGGTCATAACAAAGCTTGGATAAAGGTCAAAAACTAAGTTAAAGGAGGAAATGAGCGGAGACGAAAACAATTATTAAGATTTACGGACATGAACTAAAGCTTCAATGAATCTGAATTGCAAATTAACGACCAAGTTTTTCAGATTTCAGTATTTATTTTTATGTTCCGCTGCCAATCAATTTAAAACTGAACAACGTATAAGTTGTCTAGGAAACATAACTATTTTCTAAACGACGATTAAAATGACAAAGGGAAAACTGTTAACGATAGTTTTCTTTCTCGCTTTTCTCTAGATACAATACGGTCTTATAGCGTCTGTTCATTATGTTAACAATGATTTTTACTGCCTAGACGATAGGATCATCTCTGGCCCCAACCACACAAATGTATTTTATTTGAAAACGCATTTCTTCTGATTCATTGTCGCTTATTGTTCACATGAAATTGTCAATGAGAACGGAGCGTTGTAAAAAGGTCTTAAAACTGGCATAATGATATTTCATAGTTTAAGTTGGCACTAAAACAGATACTTTTTTGCCCGCTGTACTTATGTGAGCAAGGCCCTACAGGGGTCCTCACAGCATATTATCTAACACTGTCTGCCAGTCCGAAAAAAGAAATAAAAGTTACATACTACAATATTTTATTCACAGCTTTCGAGCTTAATTTATTTTTAATTTTTGTTCTCTTTCTAACAGTTAATCTATAAATAAACTGACAATACGATTTAAATCATCTACTTGATTGACTGAAATATAGCTCCTGTGAAATTAAGTTCTATTTTTTCAAAACGCTTTAGGAAGCCAACGCGGTAGAGCTAAGCGGCTAACTGTGTGAAAAGGAATTGTGATTGTGTGTGTGTGAAAATATATGGCGTTTTCCAAACCCTGAATGATCCTGATCGAGAGCTGCTTAATTGATGAAGGTCTGGAACTGAGATTAGACTTAATCCTGCTGGTGTATCGCACCAGTTGTAAAAATTGCGGTGATAGGCTCATTTAAGCGTATGTAATCTTTTTGGAACTTCAGGAAGTGGAAATCCAGACTATCTGAGGTCTTAATATTACAAAGTTTTCTGTCCGATTTTTGACAAGCGAAAAAAAGTTAATTTAGTCCCTATTATTTTTTAATTAAATGATTTCTTAACTCGAACTTTGAGTTACAGAGAAGGAAAATATAGAGAATAACAACACCTTTCTCCTCCGATGAGTTCATTCACTCATTTCAAGCTCTGCTGCGATACTACTTAATTTAGCATGCTCTTTTTAACAAATAAAACAAAACAGTTGAACTGTTCTCACTGCTTTTTGCTTATGGTGAAAAACAAACAAACAAACAAAAAAATTGAGATAAACTCGGGGTCGTTAGACTAAGATTTTAAATTGCAAATGCTTAATGTACGGTTCTCAAGAAGACTTGCTATTTTACCAGAAAAATCGATTTTTCTTCCTTATCTCAGGTTAGTGATTTTTCAAACCCTCAAAGAGTTTCGGTCTAAAGTCTTTCATTCTCTGCAAGCCGACAGCTGACGGAAATCTTCGTTTTCTCGGTTTTCGGTCCAGCAATACAAAGCGAGTGCTCCGCCGGTTACTTCTACCATTTTGATTTCCTCTGACTTTCTTGGTGGTGCCGCCATGTTTCAACGCGATGAAAAAGTCGCCATTCTTGAAAGTAAAAAACTCCTTCTCTAACTGTACTCTGAAAATGGATCTGATCTGGTCTGGATGAATCTAGGAAAAATATTGGACACCCAGTAAGCGTTTCACTCATAGCAACTTAGATGTAAGTAGTTGCATAAAGAAAAATTGTTTAGTGGGTAGTACTTTGGTAACTATATCTGATTGCATAGTAGGAAAACCATCACCAGATTAGTTAGTAGACAGTAGTTTCGAATTGAATCACTCCCGAATCTGGAAAGAAAATTATATTTCTCATCAGAAATTCTCACCTGGCTGACGAGGGTTCCATTTATCCCCATAGCGAGATATCTTTCAGTGGCCACGCCTTTTATCCGCACACTGCAGTTGTCGACAACTTCCATCGCCAGTTTTGCTGTAAAATGAAACAAACCAAACGGATCAGCATATTGATCAGTTTGAGGATCAGTTTGAAGCTTAAAAGATACAATCATGACTTAAAAGGCTACTGAAAATAAAGTTGCAATGTATTTTAAGAATAATGTTGGAAATTGCTAAATTGACCAACACTGCTGTAGAAATTGCACACGTTTAGCGAATTGCATTCATGATGTCCAAGCTGTGAGGTACAGCGGATTAAACCAATGATAAACCAAAGCAATATCGAATCAAGATAACTAAACTTGGACTTCAGCATAAAATCCAATATATTTACTAAATATATCTTGAGATCTCAGAAATTGACGCAATAGAGAAATGTGATCCACTTCTCGACTTTTGTCTGGTGACAATAAGTTACTTATATGGTTTAGAATGTTGAATTACTTCTCCAAACTTTCGTCTACTCTCAAACGCGAGAAATTTTAGACGAGAGGGTTAATTTTCGAGAAAAAGACTTCAATTCCACGCGAGTGTTAAGAGTAAAGCAAAAAATAGTGCATATTCGTCAGCGTCTGAAAATTTCTAATTCGTACGTTCATTCTCCAGAAATTAATTTAAAAAGTTATCTCACTTGGAAAAAAAATTTCCGGTGCCCAAGTTAGAGCCGCAAAACTGCAGACGATAATTGACAGGTGGTAGCTTTGCGTTAAGTTCATTCTTGATCTGTCACTTGTAAGGCGGCCGCTACTCCTCTTTAATTCAAACAGGATATTCGTAGCGGCGGTCAGTTTTAGAAATTAATGACGAAATGCGTTCCGTAAAAGCGTTCTTTTCATAGGTGCACTCATAAAAATGATGACAAAGAAACTTATCCATGGCTCAGTACTGGGCGGGAGAACATACGAAGGCTAAGGAAAAACTACCTGCTTCCGAATTACATCGTAATAATAATAAAATAACCCTTATGTAATTGACTTCGCAACTGTTATGTTAAATCTGAGTCCGTCGGTGTCCAAATTTGCTGCGTACGTTGGATTTGCGTCACTGAGCAGAATAACATCATAACACATTCAAATTGTTTACTTGTAACAAGACATTAACAAACGGGAAAACAAAGCCGACAGAGAGTTTGATATTGTAGATTAAACATTTGACGGAAAGCCGACAAATATCTGTTTGTTTTCACGGTTTGCGGTTTTCTGATTACTAACTAGATGCGTACCAAAATTACACTCAGCTAGGAAACGCGTGAGAAAATGATTCGTAAATGCATGATTTTTAATTGAACCTAACAGTATACACTCGAGCTGCGAAGTACAGCCACGGAAAATGGATATGAGGTAAATGAACTTCCCTTGGGGTAGTGTTTCTTGAAGTCACTCTGGGTGAGATGACTACATGCTGAGCTTCATGCTGGGATATCTGCGTAAGAGCTCACCTCCCCAGCCAAGTTCTAAAGGAATACACCCTGTGACTTTGGTAAACACACCAGAACACTAAAACACTCTCTTGCCGAGTGCAAGCCAAGGAGAACTAAAACTTACAAAACATTTGTAATAACCGTACTTAAGTGATTATGATTAATCTAAATGCAAAGGTATGTAAGCTTGAAATCTGCAGTAAAACGTTTACTAAACACGAAGATTTCATTGTTGGACTTTCCGTATGTCGGAAGTCGTAGCTCGTGCATACTTTCTTTGCTTTGCGTGCAATTGCTATTTGATTTAGCCGACAGCTTGCTGATCCCGAGTTAAAGTAAATGAACCAAGGTCATGTCAGATGGATCAAATCGAAAATTTGAATAAGATAAGAAGCTTACTGTGTTCATGAACACTCAGAGTTCCGTTAATGGTGCCGTCCGGTAAAATCTGCAGAAACATCATGGCGCGGACAGACCACAAGGAGCGTGGCAGGGCCCAGCCGGGGGGAAGAATCGGAAAAATCGGTTGTTTACACAGTGCATGGTCGACTTGAGGAGTCTTCGGTATGGATTTTTTCGGTTGAGATCTTGTGGTTGTGACTTCATTGACATTTTTTCTTGCAATGTGTTGATTTGCGGATTGCAGTGAAGCATTTGACAGAATTAAAATGACCAGGATGACGGTGCGTCGCACCACATTCGATAGAGACATGTTTCCAGAGAGAAAGTACTGCTGCAAATAAAATGCCTTTATGAAATCAACCCCATTTTTATGCAGGATTCAAAGGCGTCCCAATATCAGTGGAATGCAGCATTCTCACTAACAGCTGGATCAGTGAATTGAAGAATCAATGATATTAGCCTCGAAGAATTCAGTGGGAAATTTGAGAAAAATTGATGAACAAAATCAAAGCAAGAGAACTAAAACTGGTCAGGAAATAATCATACCTGAAGTAAACAAAGTGAGAGACTTCAAAAGCGTAGCGACAATTTTTCAGCAGCAACTGTTCACTGCTTAGGCTGGACAGAGTACGTGTCAAACTTCCTTAGCAGGAACATGTAAATCGCATTTACAGTCACTTATAAGTGCAGAGTTTTCAAAAGTCACTTGACAGTTCGACGTGCGAATTGATCTTCCTATCACGTTGTTTTGACAGTAATTTCTAAGTAGGATCTGCGGTTCTTTTAAGAGGTCCCCTACAGAACTTTGGTTCGAGCAAGACCTTCCGAGTCTGATACAACTGAACTTCTAGAGCCTCTTAAATTCTTCTTACAGAGAAAGCCAAAAAAATTGGAATGAAAACCACAGCGGGCGCTGTTTCCGTTTAGAAAACAATGGTTCCGTTCTTTTGTTGTGTGTCAATGAGATTGGCTTGTTCTTTGTTGCGTGTTGTGGAGAGGTTCGTATTAATTATGGCACTCTTTTCACACTGTTTCACGCCATGAACATGCAATTGACACCTACGAAAACGCTTTCAGCTTTTTAATGACTCGTTGCTGGACAAGTCGCAATCAAAAATCAGTGAAAAGGCGGGAACCGTCTTGATAACGACTTCAAAACAGGAAATTCTAACAACAATCACGAGAAAGAAATTTCGAGGGAAAAGAAAGATAACGAGTTAGTGTGACAAAAGAACTATCAGGGGGGCGGAGAAGTGAAATGTAGGGGCGCACGTTTCTTAGTTTTGTTAGAACAGGACTAGTCGCCATTCACGCGCGATGAATGATTTTACGCGCTAGAAGGCTTAGAAATCAGTGGCAATTGTTATCAACGGACCCTCAAACGCTCTGATTGGAAGGCGATAACGCTGAAGTCTTACAAGCGTCTCCTAAAGCAAAGTACATCAGCAAAACGCCAATAATTTTGTCCAAAAGTTATTTAAACTATGTTAACGCGTGATGTGTTAAAACGCTAACAAAGGAACGATTATGAATGGCTTCGTTTTCAACTTGAAGACTTTGCCTAAAGAGATTTATTTAATAAAAGGGCGGAGAGCACTCGGTAGCTAATTGAACTGATTCATTCACACTTTCCACAAAAACTGTAATGAACGAGCCATTGTTTACAGTAGCCCATGCATAACAAGAAATTACTCTAGTAAATTTCCTGTCACAAACTATACATATTTTGATGTATGCATCTCAACTACACTTCCTATTCCTAAAGTAAATTAGCCTTCTTGAGGAGGCCTCTTGCAACGCTTCCTGCCTTTGAAAAGTGATCTGATATCACAGAAAGGATTATGGATGACATTCACGCACAAAATTAGGCAATTCAATAACAAGATATCATTCGACCGCTCTAGACTAGGGAGGAGATGATCGCAGTTCAACAACTCTTTGCACAAACAGGTCCGATCTGTTCTTACCGCTCTTCCCGTTCAATATGAAAGTATCTTTTGGCAGACCCACACAAGCCCTTTTCGTCTGCGTCCTTTTTTTGGTATAATTTAAAGAAAAATGACTATAAAAAGACACATTTTACAGGCTGTTCGGCTTTCATTAAAGGCACGGGAAGTTCAAGGTTTTTCGAAAGGCAAGGCTGGACTGTTAAAATAAAACTCACTTGTTATGACTTTAAAAAAATATAGTGTCTGTAGACTCTTGACACTTACGGTGCGTTTGTTTAATGAACTTCCAGGCAGTTTCATGAGTTGCAGCTTTTAACTATCATTGTAGACGTCAAAATGAACGAACATTCGTCACCGTCAATTTAAAGTAGCGCACAATATGAAAAACACGTCTGGATAACTTTGGTCTAAGACCTATTCCTTGAAATACACTATATCAGTAAACGAATGGAAAACAACAGGTCATTGCTACATAAGATTTACACCAACTAAGCCAAATATTATCCTTATGAATTAAAAATGAAATATGTAGACATTATCCCTCCCTCATAAGCTGTTAGAACATCAAAGGTTGTGTTCAAGCTAACACTTACGTTGTCTACCTGAGCTAGTATTTTGATTATCCACCGGGTTAAAACCGAATCCCGACGGGGAATGTTGTCACGACTATTCTGCCTCCATTGTCTTTTAATTATAAACCGGAATGAATCCCCAGATATTTCCAACACATTTTTTCCTTTTTTCAGTTTTGGTATTGAATCGATGAAATTTTAAAGATACCCCGTTTAAGTCTCTATTTCAGAATGAATTGATAGTAAAGTAACATAAACATTTTTTACAATCGCAAACCTACTACAGGTTGTACCCGGATAGTTATCGCAATGACGTCATATCATAGACTACAACTGTGTAATCATTAAAGACGAAGAATAACAACCACCGAAAAAATGGTAAACAAAGGAAAGGGTAGCGAATTTTGGATAATGAAAAACTCTGAGTTTCCTGAAACATGGCAATCCGGAAAGCCATTAAATTCTACCACGCCTACGCGTTTTCAGCCCACACGAGTTTATGACGGTTTCGTAGCTTTCGATTGAACGGAAATAAAAAGTAATGTCGAGTTAAACAGAAACTTCTTTACCAAGCAAATTCATAAAGATTAGCCGGTAGCAAAGGGAAAATTTTCTCTTTAAACGACCAAGCACATCTGTTTTTTATACTCAAGTCATTATCGCATTTCACAAAGTTTCATGTTCTTAGTGCAAATTTCAAGTTAGAATGAACACTCTGCACAGATATTGATAAGACATCGTGGCGCATAAACTGCAAAGAACACCGAGGGATCGTAAGAGGTCACTTCACAAAAAATTTTGACATAAATTTTGTCGATTCATCCACCTTTTGAGACACATACTTCAAAGAACACGTGACAATGAACTTTCTAGTTACCCGCGAGGCAACATGAAACACAAGCCACGTAACACAGAAGGCGGCTTTCCCTTGCACGAGTTACCTCTCGCTTAGCACAAATCAGAACGCTTACTTTTTATTCATAAGAGAGACTCATGAAAATATAATTTATTACACACGAACACTACATTATTTTGCCTTTTTTTATATATTGCACATAGACCAAGTATCTGTGTGATTGTTGAAATTACAGATATTTAAAATTGACAAATTCCATCTTCATTTTCTATCTTCTATCTTTCATTCCTAAGAAAAGAATTCTCGAGCGAATAAAAGAGGATAACCTGAACTTAGTCCCTTGCCTGCAAGGTTCTTACATGAAGCTTTTAAGTATAGTTACGTCCAGTCGTGTCAGCTCGGTAAAAAACTTGGCAGCTACAGGAAAACTTTAACAAGACCAGGGTGTGGTTCGGTAAACCTTTAAAGGTAGAAAGAAACATCAGTTAAGGTTAAATCAAGCTCTATGTAGCATTAAAGCAGTCCCCCCACATCCTGTTTTGAACCTTATTGGGAAAAAAAGGAAACATTCTTACAACAACTTAGTTCCCACCCCATCCCTTGCATGTCTTGTTCAGAAGAAAATTGAAGACCAAGCTACCAAGGCACAACTACGGTTTATAAACCAAGTCTTCCTACCTGTAGTTGTGTTTTTTGAGATACTCAATGATGGCAGGTTTTATTCGGGCTTTACCACCGCGACTGTGATTTCCTCTTCCTGTTACAACATTGAGGAACTTGCAACCTTTCCTGGCCAGACTACTACAAGAGTCTAAAGAAAAAGGCAAAAATGTCTTTGTCTCTCGGTAGACAGCTTGAGTCACTATACAACTACAAAAACGAACATTATCATCAGCTGATCTATTTTAACGCTTTTTTGTGCGTCAGAAGATTTCGATAGCAAACCGCACTTCCACCTGGCTTTCTTGAAATACGATCATATTATCGAATATTATAAGAATATATTCTTTTAGGCGGATATATAACCAGAGTCAAGGCAACCACTATAACAGTGCCTAAACAAAATGACCAGGTCATTAAATGTAAGAGGCATAGTAAGTTTTCTTGGCTGAATCAACTTCACATTTCCTTTGAAAACGTACCAATCCGTTCGCTCAACATGTTTTCAAGAGCTTCAATGGCCTCTGTAACGTGCAAACCATGTAAATCAATGGTGTTATCGTCCGTCAACTCATTCCTGAAGTAAAAAAGAAAGGCAAAATGTACTACATTATGTGATATGCCGACCAAATATGCCTTCTGAGAATCTTGCCAAAATATTTGTTCTTCATCCAAACCTAGCTCCCCAAAAAAGAGTCAAAAGAAGTCATTTTTTTTAAAGAACAATAAAAAAAAAACAAGGATGGGCTTCCTGTCAGATATGATTATACTAACTAGGACACGTCTAAGATTGCGCACAATTGCTCTCTTTTTTTTCTCTGATCCACTGCGCTGACATCCTTCCAATGTCTATGATGCCAATATGACAGTGGAGGAGCAAACAACACCAAATTTCTCAGTAGCATGTGAATATAAGAAATATGCCGGTGTGTTTAACATGTTTATCTTACTTTTGATCCAGAATTAATGCCGCTGCACGTGCATTGGCTTCTTTTATTTTCTCGGTGTGCAAGTGACCCTGTAATGATAGAGAGAAGGAAAAAAAGCAAAAAAAATTATATTAGCCGTGTTTATGGGCGATCGTGTTTTCCTCTCAAAGACCCAGAAATTGATTATAAGTAATATTTACTTAGCCGTGGAACTAACAGATTTTTTTCACAATGTGGCAGTTTGTTGAGTTTTGATTGCTACCAAACTTTGAGTTCGATGTTTTTTATGATATCCTAAGTGTAACTGTGGTAGAAGGGGAAGAGCACGTGCGTCTTTTAAGGTGTTTTTTGGAGGCTGTTTCGCCAGTCAAAGGAAAACGTATGGCTGCTAAGGACCCCGCCAAAAGAGTAACACGAAATTCATTTAAGTTCTAAATAGGCATCAACTGAACATATCAATTTATGATGGAGATATAATCTTATTTGTTATTTTTAGTTGGTGGTGACACTATAGCTTTCTTTGTGTTTTGGTTTTTTTGGCGGCATCCGCACATACCTGCTGGGCATAAAACTGTGCCAGCTGCCCTTGTTTCTTGGAGAAGGCCAGTGCAGCTTTCTTAAAACACTCATCCCTTAAATTGTAATGTTGAAATGCTTCAGCGCGGTAATCCAGGTAGCTTGGATCCTCAAGAGTCTGGAAGGAGGATACGTCCGAGTTTGGCCGAGAAGGCACTGAAAACACAAATATCCGCACAAACGTGAAAAAGGCGAAATTCTGACGCAACTAAAATTTGATACGTTCAAAAGTCTTGCACATTGGTTCACAGAATTTTATACTAGTAGGGTGCTTGTTTGTATAGTAAATTCAAAGCAACATCTATAACATATCAGAGCGACCAAATGAGCTCCAAAATCGATTGAAATCCCTCACCGTCCAAGTCTAACCAGCTCCAGTCTTCAGCCCTTTCCTGGCAAAAAGAAAATCGAGATAGAAGTCGCGACAATTCGTAATCGGGATACTACATGTAACAAATGATAAGTTGTACCTCTTTTGTTGCTTTTTTATCAACAAACTGGCCGCTAAACCCTGATGCAATAACGGTGGTAGGAGCGTCTTGACCAGACAAATTACAAGACGCTTTTACAGCTTCTACTGATGGAGCCAATTCAAACCTGTGAAAATAAAAGAGATTTCTTCATTCAACCTGACATAGCTGACTATTTCTGAAAGTTGGTTGAAAAGCGCACAAAAATCATACCCATTTGCTTGAAAGACTTCCTCCAATGCTACAGGATCTATGCCAGGGAACATTTCAAAAAGCTTCTGCTTCTTTAGTTTCGTTGCCATATCTTGCTCAGTCACATTAGGCAGCTTAGTCACAAGAAAAATCAACTAATTACAAGGCTGGCGGGAACCAGAAACGACTGAATTTAACTTTGAATTGGTCATAAAACGCACACCTACATTTCTGCTGAGTTCCACAGCCAGTTGTTCATCCATTATCTCTCTCAAGGTTCCTGTTGCTTGAGGTTCTGTGGGGAAACGAGGAGTTGACCGCTGAATGTCGGGGATCTGATCTCTATCCAACTGGTTGTTAACGGTTGGTTTCCCTTTCGCCCTCTGTTTACATCCTAAAGAGTCCATAAAATAATTTACTTTTGAATACAATAAAAAAGTGATTGAAAGAAAATCGATCATCATTAGAAGTGAACTTCCGAACGCTTAAGTATCATATTTCATTGTGTCACGTTCAGCAGGACTCGTTCTTTATCGTAGAAAAAACACGCTGAAACTAACAATTGTTCTTCTTACCTAAGCCAGCAACAGGTATCCCCTTTCTTGTCTAAAATGACAAAAACTTTGATACTTAAAAAACATAAAGCACATTTGCACAGTTTACAAATGGCTATCAAATGACTAGTACCGGTGATGAGAGTGAATGTGATGTAGTGAAAAATGAACAGTTTTTACTCAGTATTTGAGTAATTGCTTCTGAACGTGTAACTTACATAGTGCTCACATGTTAGGCGTTAACAGTAGCAAATTTCTGGATGATATTCAGCTCGAAGGCTTTAAACATTAAAGAAAGGCAAAAACGATTTGGCAGCATTTCAGTACATACCTGAATAGTATGCTCCCACTTTTTGTACAGCTGTCTTGCTAACGAGCAGTCTACAGCTATGACTAAATCTTCTCTACTAATATTGTCTGCCAAATGGAAATAAAAAATCAGAAGCAAATTAGTTGTAATCAGAGTTACTTTTACATTTACAATAGCTGAATTAAGCTCTTTTCTTTGGGGTGAAAGTATTCGTAACCGATACTGCAGATTCCATATCGGTAACGAAGACATAGGAACAGAATCAAAACTAAGCAAAATACTGAAGCAAACTATTCAACAGCTCAAGGTAGCTTTGAGTCTCTTTTCAACTCATTTACAAAAATGTCAAGTGTTTTAAGTCTCCTTTCCAACTACTCACTTTAGACTTCTTTCAAAGTCTTCCAATGTACTGTTTCCTCGATACAACACGATGCTACTCTACTAAACACAACGAAGAGATATCTCCCTAAAGGATAGAAATTAAAAAATAATAATAATAAGATTGAAAAGTAGTCTTGCCACAGACCTTGAAAGTCAACTCCAGCAAACGGACCAAACAGCTCAATCAGGTGCAAGGCAACTGCAGGCTCAAGGGTCAGCTGAAAAGTTGTGTTTGAACGCGGAGACTGGGCTTGAGATGATACCTTTGGTGCTGAATACATTTGTGAGGACAGTTCACCAGGGAGTTTGTTGTTTTCACCGCCAACATTGATTTGTGTTTGAGGTGCACTAGCGGCATTTACTGTTTCTTCGGTTGGACTCGAAGATTTCTGAACCACACGGCTCGGAGAGTCAAAGATTTCTTGCTGCGAGGCAAAGTAAAGTGAATCTGCTGGAAATGTCGATAACTCAGCCGAGGGAGCTTTAGAACGTATGAGTAATTCGTCAACCACTTTCGTTAGATCACCACCCTTCGCGGTCAAAATTGCATTCATTAAATCACAGTCCACATCCGGGAAACATGTTTTCAAAAACTCCAGCCCAGCATGCCGCTGATTCTGTGAGTTCTCAGATGAGCTCGGCTGTAGTGGATTTGGCAAGTAAGGTAGGTTAGACTGGCTCTGTTTACTAGTTGAAACATCTTCATCGAATGTTCTGTCTTTTGGATCCCGATTTCCATCACAAACCTCATGTTCCAACGCCTTTTCTGTAAGATTTGGTTCAGAATACAGATGATTACCATTTTCCTGCAGCGAGTTCGCGTTATCTGTAACAAGCTGCAGTGGCTCGCTTGTAGATTTTGAACGACTTTTCGACCTCGTTCTCGAGGCCGAGGCCAGAATTTCCGACAGGGGTGGTGGTGTAGGGAAATATTTGCTCTCCGAGGGTTCTCCAATATGCGCGTCATTTTCACCTCTGAGAATCGCATCACCGTCAAGGATATTTTTGAGAGGCAGAGACTTACCACTTTCAAGATATTCGTCACAATTGACCTTTGATGTAATATGCACTTCCTTACTAGCTTCTCCTGTGCACGTCTCGCAAGCGCGTTCATCGTTTTCTTGTTCTTCGTCAACACACTGAAAATGATGCCCATTTTCTTCAGGAGAAGTTTGACTAATAAACGAACTGTCTAAGAAAGGGGAGGGTGATGACCGTGACTCTTCCACCGTTTCTACGCCAGGCCGGCTTTTTTCAAGAGTTCCATCTAAATGGTCAGGTGGAGGAGACGTTCGAGTGTAAGCCAAGGATGCGAGTGCTGATAACTTTTCAACACATGATACCGCACTGAGTTTTTTGGGTGAAATCCCCTCTCTAGACTTTTCAATCTCGCGGATTATCTCGTGATTTTCATGTGACGTAAAGGTCCCACGGAGTTTATCGCTTTTGTCACCTTTATAATCAAGTGACGACAACTTTGCGGTGACAGACTGTTGAGTATTTGGCGACCTCTTAATTCTCATCCTTGGGGCTCGTTGTGGCTTAGGACTAAAACTTGAAATTAAAGCATGTGCTCCTTCTCCAAATTCACTGTTATCAATCCCACGAATTTTAGAATTACATTCACTTTTTTTACTCCCTCCAGTTTTTGATTTGCAATCAGTTTCCTCAGGCCGATCGAACCCTCTCGTGCTTAACCCCGTATGCCCATGAATCCCATCACCTACTGAGGATGTGTTTGCGCATTCTGTGACCTTGGGAGAGCTTATATTTCCGCTCTCTTCCTGTTTTGAAGCAGTTCTTTTACCTGAGGAGACTCTACAGCCCTTCGTTGGACTCGTAATCAAGTCAGCAGAACCTGTTTGTATAGAGGAAGTTTGTGCCCTGGGGCCACCGCTGTAGCTTTTTATATCAATTACCTTTTTAGTCTCAAGTTCGTCCTCAGTCTTCCTTGCGTCAGTATGTCTCTCAGATTTCTTTAAGGTTTCCACAGAGAGGTTATGTTCATAACGTTCTTTCATTCTTGTAATCGCCGCATAAGTCACTCCATGTTGGTTCCGTCTTAAGGGAAAAAATTAGAGTATAATCATTTTTTTTTTACAGGAGCAGACCTTATCAAACAGCTGCCGGATATTGTAGAAGTGAACTTTGTAAAAGTAATTCAGTCTTTTTACACTGACTGGACACCATTTCTACTCAGCCAATATTTCGTAAGGTTGGTCCAATTTCTGGCCCTTGAAGGAAAGAGCCTGGAGAGAGTTACTGTGAGATAGCAGTATGCAGTCCTCAACTAAACTAAAAGTACAATGTTAACAAACCAGAAAAGCGATGATATTTCCACCCACCTGACCAGTTCTTTCACATCCCATTTCCATGGAGTGTTAGGTTCAACAATTTTGATGTGGTAGCCATACTTAACTGCCTACGAGAGAGTCAAGAGAGAATAAATCAAATTTTAAACCTGGAAATCAAAGTATTGAACTTTTAAATACTTATTACAACATCTTTAGGCATAGATGCCATGACAGGGTCTACAAACAGAACAAGACAATACCTACCATAGAAATATAAGGTTTCATCTCCCACGACTGTGTATTGGTGTTGTCAATGATCAGTGGGGATTGTTGTGACTCCATAGCAGTTTTAGCTGCAGGAAGAAAGTTATTATTATTAATAAAGGGGGTAAGTTTCTAAAGAAACTGTGGTGCTGCGTCAGTGGGAGAGTATAGCAGGTAATTTAGTGGTAACAGCTGAGTTGAAAACGTATATAGACCACCGTAAAGAGTTTAAAAGCCGACGGTTCTAGCCTAAGCCCTTCGTTAGAGTAATTTGATTGCTCTGACGAAGGGCTAACGCTCGAAATTACCTATTGTTATTAATGTTGAGATCTTCACACTTAAAGTTCACAAGGCAACCAAGTGGACAATCAGACATGGTTTGATGCTACTCTGCTGGGTTAAGAAATCTAATCAATGTAACTGAGAAGTTACAATTCATAGACCCAACGTTTCGACACTCCTGTCAAGTGCTTTCATCAGGGGTGATCTAATTGGTGCAACAAGAGGTCCTTTTATATTCTCACTAGTTTGCTGCATTTTTTTTCTGAAGGGATGTAAATCAGATAGTAAGCCACCATGATCACTATTTAGAGGAATGTGGGTGCTGGTGGTAATGTTGATTAGAGTAGCATCAAACCATGTCTGATCTTCACATTTACTGCTCGAAAAACTATTTCACAAGTTCAATGGTCCAATTAACAGCTTCATCTTTGATTTTCCATGCATATCCAAATGTAGAAGTTCATAAAGTTGTCTTTGCCTTGAGGTAACAACTGTGTGGTGAAATTTTGATAGCCCCAACAGAAGTACTATGCTTCCATACACAGCAAGAAAAAGAAGTTTGAATTACTTTGAGTCATGAGGGGTTTGCATGACACACAATATATTGATACTGCAAAAGTGGGAGCAGGGTTTACTAAACAGATGCAGTACAATCATTTTCTATTTCATCAAAAAATATTTTTGTGGGAAATACCTCTGGATTGATTCCACTCATGTGCCTCTCCAAGGGAGCTAGCATCAAATTTATATCTAAAAAGGGACAAGTGTAAGGGTTAGAAATAAAAACCCTCCCACTTGAACTATGAGACCATAATAAAGTGGAAATAAATCAATCAAAGTTCTAAGTACCACTTGTATTAATCAAAAATATCATGAAACATGCTCATTTTTTCTGTTAAAAGAACAGTGGCACCTAACAACAATAATATAGAGTGATTGTTGTAATGTTATCATGTGGCTCATTATTTTCTTTCCATGAAAGCCATTATCATCTCTCACACCTTAGTAAGCCAGTTACCATATCTGTCTTTTTTTAAACTCAGTATCAACTGGGGTGAGGAAAAGTATTATGAAATAATAAAAGCAGTCTACAATGTTCCAAACATGTGTCAAATTTTTTTGCCATTCATGTTCATTTATATGTATGTTTGCTTCCCACTAACGTGAACCATGACAACTAAAAAACTCATCTCATGAAACAAACCAAGTCATCTTTTGGACTCTTAGCTTTATTTCTGGAGAAAGAGAGGCAGTGCAAGATTAAAGTGAGTTACACTGTCTAAAGATTATTTTTCAATTGTTTTCCTAATGTTTCAGTAGCTTGTCAAGTTAACTACCGCTGATTTCTATAAAAGTAGTCATCTGTTGAGAGCACAACACCATCACGGCCTTTGAGCTTTCTGCAAGAAAAACAAACTTCATAAGATTTTGTAATCATGGCAAATGTATCCTTTATCATCTCTTTATGCTTACATGTATAAATATTCCTGATACAAGTAAATATACTTGTTTAATTCTAAGAATATATTTTAAAATCACAAAATAAGTTTTACAAGGATGGCCTCAAGGAACTCTTTGGGGTTTTTATTTTCAATACTAACTGTGCAAGGAAGGTCTTTCCGCTTCCTGGTAATCCTCTCATAAGGATGAGCACTTTCTGCTTAGTTGGTGGTGACATTGAGCCCCTTACACCACACCCATGTCTGACTGGTCTTGTTACAGCAGCCATGCAGGGTGCTGAAAAAAATGAACAGGTTGATTTAAGTACCTCAGTGTTTAGAAGAATTTCCAAAACTTGAAAATGAATTTGCTTCTTTCTGTGATCTCACATTATACACCAGAGGTGAAGATCAAAATCATTTCAGAAAAAAGTACGATCACTCCAAACATATTGAACATGATATAGCCACCAACACTAACCAAAAGAAATGTCAACTTGTAATTCACCCTTCAACAAATCAGCCATTTGGACATAAAACAAAACATCCAACCAATTTTTTATGTATGTTCAAACAACACTTCTGCTAGAGAAGAAAGCTCACATCATGTGGCATGACCCCACATATCACAACTGTTTGACTGTCCCTTGATTTGCAAGTTTCAGATTGAAGGCTTTGAATGATTTCCATATTTTAGCCTTAAAATGGAATTCAATAATGTACAAGGACCATACATAATATAAAATAATAATTATGTCATAGGAACTAATTTTCTTCATAAAACTGACAACTACCATGTAAGAGCTTGTTTCTATCAGATATAACAAACCTCCAAATGAAAAGCAAGGATTTGTTGAGAGTGGCCCTTGAAGGTATTGGGTTGGAACATGTCCTGGAAATCTTTGAGTCAGTAGGCCTGGATGCCATACAGCTGGTACTACTGGCATAATGGGAAATCTTTGTTGAGAGACATTTGATGTTTGACTGAACCCTTGAGGTCGTAGATATGGGTAAATTTGTCTTTGAATGGCTGGTGGTTGAGACATTGTTTCTTTTGACTTACTGTTTTCATTGTGATGAAGTTGTAGTTGTTGGACAGTATTTGTTCTGTGTTGCAACTGAGGTGTATCATCATTATGCTTCAGAGATGTCTTTGAGGTGTTTTGATAGAAATTTAAATAGTTATAGTTACAGTTGGGATCATTTGAAGTCCTCTGACCTTCATTGCATGACACTCGAGGATTGGTGTTGTCACTTCTATCTGTTGCAGATGAGCTTTCAACCTGTTGTTCTTTTTTGCTGAATTCAAAATCTAATGGTTTCTTTTCACTGCAACCCAGAGGTATTTTTTTTGTTTGCTCTGTGCTACTGCTTCCAGATATTACTTGTTTGCTATATGACTCTAAGTTTCCTTTAAGTTCCTGATCATGGATAGGTAGGTTAATAGTTTTTGGTTTACTATGTTCATAATGGTCAGGACCAGCCGGTGGTTCTAAATCTTCACTTTGCATATCTCTTTGGTGAATTGTAGGTTTTTGAGAAGACAACAGCTCAGCATAGGGAGTATTTGCCTGGTTTGTTAAAGTGTTAAATTGCAGGGCAACATAATCAGGAAAATCTGGTAAGCCTGATGATGTAACAGAGCTTGTATTGTCAGTCCCTACATGAAGCAACACTCCTTCAGGTGACACTGTTCTATCTGCACCATATGACACACCTGATGTTGGCTTATAATGTGGCAAAGACCTTGAAACTTCTCCTTGATGATGACCATCACTTGTGCTATATTGTGATAAAAGTGCTATTTTTCCTTTTGATGTCTGTGTAAAACTGCTTTTAATAACTGACGAACTGGAATTGTCAGAAGAAGCTCCAGCCTGAATTCCATTAAACTGGGAGTCAACTTTATGGGCTACCCGACCAGCATTTGATATACCATGTTGATAATTAGGTTTCTGATTTTCCAATGATGATTTAGAAGGGCGACTGTCTGGAATTGCTTGGCTTTCTGTCTGTCCTTGCTCTATTCCACTTAGGACAAAAAGCTTCTCCACAGCATCATTTACTACAAAAACAGTATTTAATTTTAACTCAAACTAGATGTGCTTACCTACATGATTGTTGCGATTTTATACTAAAGAGCTTTTAAAAGATCCTGTCCTATCATCAAGGCAATTCGATTTCCCTTCAAGATAAGCGACTCTCCTCGCTTTCCTGCAGGGCAAAGCCCCTGAAAAGCTGTACCTGAGCGTCACGTTTCCTTGTATCAAGAACCCCTCACACCCTTCTCGACAAAATTCTGCAGTGAAAATCTCTCTTTCCATTCATCCTGTAATTTTGCATTCAGAAAATTTCCCAAAAGATGAAATAGAACTGGAATTGTCGATTGAAACGGACTGGATCGAATAATAGACAAGTATTATTGCCAACTACGATATCCGAGCCTTGCTCGCTGAACGAAACGTTAGAAAGCGAAATCACTCTGTAAGTTTACGTGGTTGTAAAATATTAACGGCACAAACAAATACCAACCATTATAATCACTCTCTGAAAGTACCAGCTGAACAACTCCAGGATCTATTGAACCGGAAAACATATTCTGCAGTTCGAAAAGCGTGTTCTCTCGCCATCTCAGCTGAACGTCGTTATCTTTCGGTACTTTCTCTGTCGAATCTTTCCCTGAGGATGGGGCATCTGGACTTTGATTTCTTCTCCTAGGCATTTTGAAATGTTATGTTAAGGTAAATGACCCTGGTATGTTCTTCATTATTTCCTAACTCAACCAAAATCAATATGGAAGCTGATGACGACGGTGCACAGTGGCCATATTTGAAATAAACAACACTGTTTGGAATTTGCACCCTTTTTTACTTCCGGTCACGTGGATTTCTTTGAAAAGGTGCTCTTTGCGGACGAAAATTTACTTTGTTCGAAAAACTCTCAATTAGTTGTGTAATTTCAGTTTTTTCGGTGGTTCTGGTGGGGATGTCTCCTTTAGAAGCGTAAGGAACAGAGCGGAATATGCCTGCACCGGCTACCCATGGCTTCCGTTGCTTTTCCCTTCGCAGTCTAGAGACATTTCAAACACCACAGCCACATTGGGGTAGAGTTCTGGAGTGGGAAATGATTCAATGGGATTAGGAAAAGTGAAGCTCTTACTGTAATGAGAACCATTTGAGGAAAGATGGAGACACATTTGCGATAGAAAATTACGCAGTATTCGCCTTTTATTCATCTTTTAGGACTACATCACCAGCACGACCACGTTAAGTTATGGAATATGGGTCTTGGTAGCGTCTACATGCCTAACTCCATGAGCCGGTTACTTTGACGGAGTGAAAATGTGACTGACAAATTAAACAAAGTATTATTTTCATTCCTCCCCCCCTGCGCCTAGCAGTTTATTTCCCGTACCACCCCTCTTTACTTCTGATATCTTGTTTAGCAGAGGTATTACTATTGACAGCTGTCTTTCCATATGTAAGAGTCTTTGGTCGATGACCTTCAAGTTGTCTTGAACATCTTTCATTTCATTTGAACTTGAAGACGGTCGAACCATTAGATTACTCATGTCTTCCTTCGGATTTGGAGATTCTACATCTGTCTTAAGATATGTTTCTGCACTGGGTTCCAGTCTCCTTGAAGATCCGTCTCCGAAGTCTTCGAACAGTTCAACGTCTTCCTCCTCCTAGGAAACACAATAAGGAGCAATTACTCAGGGGCTGAATAGAAAATTCTCTCCCGACCTCTGTTTTCTTCCTCAATAAGTTGTGATTCATAACTTGTGAATTGTCAATTTGTTTTCGTCCGATTACAGTGATGTTTCCTAGTTTTGAATCGCATGACTATAGATATTATCACAGAGACAAGTGTCACCCTCAAGCTTTTCCCCTCAGTGTAAAATTGTTCACACGGGTGCGTTGAACAATTCAGGGTATAATTTCTTCAAAATTTATATCTATGTGTCCTTAAGGCTCCTTAAAGCACACTAATGAGCACTAATTGTATCCTGTCGGTATTCTTTACAAGCGAACTTTGAATTTAAATTTTTTCAGTTTTAATTGCGCACTGAGTTGTATTCTTGCGGAAGACTCTTCACTCTGACAGAGCCTCTGTCCGCATAGGAATAAGAATAAGTATAATTTACCCCGCCCTCTCCCGGTTAAGTGCGAAAATTATACTAAACAGACGTCCCTTGAAGGAAAGCGTGTACTATGCACGGAAAGTTTTAGTTAATGGAGCCATTAAATGCCCCATCACATCTAAATTAAACACACTTTCTTGTGATGTCCAATTTGATATGCGAAGACCATCCTTGCCAAGAAGTCTTCTCTAAATACAGGATACATTTTGAAAATGGCTGTTAGATCGCTCCATTCGATGTAATGAATGTCAGAGGGGGTCTGTACGATCACATTGGCAACAGCCCGTGCTTTGATTTCTGAGGACTTGTCTTCGCTGTAGATTGTATCACCCCTCCCTAGGTATAAAAAGACTTTTGTCAATAAATTACGCACGCGGCTTGGGGTATATGCTGACACAACTAGATTTAAAAAGAGGATATAACAATGTGCCGCGTAGATTTTGTTCAAGTTGTATAATTTCTGAAAGCCCATATAACTGATTTCGAAACAGTTTGCAAGGAAGATATTTGAACTGACAATATGGTCCACTCACGCCAAGTACACAGCTCTTAAATTTCCTTACCAAGGGCAAGAATTATCTTCTCATCCAGCGTCACGTGAACAATTCCTTTTACGACAAAAAAAACCTTGTTCATCTCATCTCCTTGTTTGATCACGTACTGACGTGGTAAAAAATGCTGAATCTTCAACTTTGAGGCGAGCGAACGCTTACAACTAAGAACGGCAGCGCGGAAGGCAGAATTCTCCTTGAACAGTTTACCATGGATATGAAGACAGATGTCATTTTGGAGACTGTCTGGGAACAAGCTCAGTACCTTCGGCAAAGATGAACAAACTGTATATCAGCAAGACATTATTATCTCATGATATCAGGATATAATTATCTACGTGCAAAATAAGCCCTTAAAGCTCTACTCTGCAGAAAATTGTAAAACATCCTTTATCCATACTCGTTTAGGATGCGAAATTTTTCAAACTTATTTTAAAAGCAAGAAGGCAATGATAATGTGGAATCGCCTACTAAAATGAAGGAACCCCTTTGGAGGGAAGGTAGGAGAAATGTGAGCCAAATAAAAGTAATTGAAAAACTTACGTCATTGATATCCGACATTGTCATTGCACAAGCGTCATTTATCACGTGCCTCTCAAGATCTTCCCGCAGAGCTTGCGGTATCTCGTAGAAGCGCGCAAAGTCCCGGACGAGTCGAAGGCCTTCGTGCTGCTTAAAATTCTGAAGGTACAACCTCTGGATAATCACCGTCAAATTACCAAATATGGAGGCGTACATCAGGGCTTAATGTAATGAAATAAAGTAATCTTCTATCAAAAATTCCATCAACTGTGTCTAAACCCTGTTTTAAAGGGACTCTCATCATCAGCGAGTCATCGTCTTGAAAGTGAATAGATTTAATGATGCTAGTGGTGGACACATGGAAAAAAAAACCGTAACCGCATAGTATAGTCAAAATCGCTCACCTCCCATAAGCATCACGATAATGGAAAAAATCCTCTCATAATTCGTAGTAGGAGCAACGTTTCCAAACCCCACACTGGTTAAACTGCTCAGAGTAAAATATAGAGAAGTGAGGTACCTAGACTTAAGGCTTGGTCCACTTGTTGGAATAGACTGATTTATTGGTTTGTTGGTGTTTTTGGCGAGTAAAGCTAGCCAGCCAATCTCACTTTGTGCCTCAGACGCTCCAATAGCATGCCATATACAAGCTAGCCAATGAGCAACAAGCATGAACAGACATGTGAGCAGCAGAATGACAGCTAAACCATACTCTGAATAACGGTCCAATTTTCGCGTCACCCGCACCAGGCGCAAGAGCCGCGCGGTCTTTAACAAACCCATGAGTGTGGTGGCCTGGAACAAATATTACAATAACTAATTTCGCTTTCCATAGATATGAACATTTTGATATTTTTTAATAAGAAGTGAAATAAACACTGGGAAATTATCAAATATCAAAGTAAAACTACAAATTGCCAATTACTCGGTGTTACTTGCTGCAAGTTGTTTCAGGTATAGACGCTGTGATCAGAATCTAACTCCATGGTGTCATTACCTGACGAACTATGGACTATGTGTTGATCAAAGATTTACTCACCCCCTCCTGCTGAGGATCAACTAAGAACTCGAACGGAATAGCTGACACAAAATCCACAATAAACCATGACTTGAGGTAAAGAACTGCGATCTCTTTGGGGTCACTAATAATCGCTTCGGAATGCCTTTTGATAGATGCACTTCGGAAATTGATCGGAATATCGATTATAAAGAGAAAATCTGCGAAAACGTTCGTGGCTACAATCGGGGAGAGAGCCAGTAAGGCGCCAAAACGAGAGGTACTAGCACCAGTCTGACTCGGTCTCAGGAACGCTACATCGAAAGGGATCTCAATTGTGGTGTAAATGACAAAAAAAAGGATGACCCAGTCCCACACGGCCTTGAAGAGGGAATCATGACGTATCAGGCACGTTTTGTTTTTGTAAGGTGAGTTATTAGCCTCGTATGACTTGCTGTATATTCTCTGTGGTGACAAAAAAACATAAGTACGTTTAGATACTGGAGGCAGCCAAGAAGCATTAAGATTAAGTCTGAATGGTTCTTTAACTTAGTACTTTTTACTAAACATATATACGGCTTCCTATGATGAGAATTGCGCACTTTTGTATTGCCAGCTGGGGTTCATTTTCTTTCCGACTTCACAACAAAAGCTAAGGCTATTTTTGTTTTCTTCAGCTTAGAATGTCTGTGCAGGTAGAGCTCAGCCAAAGGAACTAGTTAAGACAGGACACGTGTATATACCTACCCCAGATCTCATGATCGTTGTTTTAGCATAGATCCCCTTTGCTGCATTGAGTTAGAAATGAGAACGGGTGTTAAATCTACAATACTGACGTCATACGGTATTGGCTTGTTAAATTTTGGGAACATACTTTCATGAAAACTATACTTGTCTTCGTCACGTCCGACAATGTTTACTGAAACACCGAAGACTTTCGATGCGACTCGATAAATGCATAGCCAAAGAAAATGTTATAAAAGTAACAGACTATCGCCATTCACCAATTCAAATGAGAGGAAAGCTTTTTGAGGATAGCATATGTCTTTGCTCTTCACGCAAGTTTTCGTTCTACCGATCGAAACAAGTTCAAATGGGAAAACAACAATACAGGAACAATAAAGTCAGATGTCTCTCTTACCGGAACTCTGGGATCTTTTTTTCCTGGAAAAGCTTTCGAAACAGATGTCTTCGGTATTTTTTCGAAAGAAAAATAACGAACTCGTAAGATGCAAGTTTACACTAACGTGATCAGAACGCGCGATAGGGAGATAACGAAGACAAGCGCGCGCGCGTGAAAATGCTACAGACAAAATAAACGTTCTGACGAGAGATCATATTCATCAACAAATCTTTTAATTTAAGACTTTTAAGAAACATTTTTTAATTACAAATCCTGTTTACCATTTATCAGTTTCTAGATTATGTATTTATTTATCTATCATACCTGACAAAAAACTTGTGAAAAAGTATTCAAATAGATTTGTTCTCAAAATCAGTATAAATAAACCCACGGAAATGAATATATTGGGCATTTTTTTAACCAAAAGAGTTTCATTTGAAAAGCTTATGTTCTCCACTGAGCTGAAGTAGTGCCACTCACAATAATAGCATCATTACTAGTTAGATCAGGTGAAAACTTTGAAATGCGCTAAAAGTGTGTTAAGTAACGTGAACAACTTCATGAAAGCCGTAATGGTCTGTCGTCAAACATATTTTTCAATGGTTAACTTTCGGTTGTTAGAGGCTTCAATGTAATTGATTAAAGCTGAACGAGTTTTTTTATGCAATAAAAATAATTTTACAATCAGGAATACTGGTTAACAGCTCCAACATACGAAGTAAAAAACCGATGAAGGCATTGCAGCATAGTAAATTCAAGAACAGAATGGTATAGCTTAATTTACATTAACTCTGTACAAAATGAGCAAGCTACAAGAACAATAAAGATAGCAACTTTAAACTCGGTCATAAACAGTCACAGGGTCCTCAACAAGGAATCTGTCCATTGGAGTTTGGATTCTGAGCCCTGATTCTCTGTCAATGAGCCACAGAGACCTCTATAATGGGCCTGACTATTATTATCTTCATATACAACACGCATGCACCATACTGCCACCTTTAGCGATGTCCAAACCGTTGTGTGAGTGAAAAGAAGTTGTAAATAGAGTAAGAAGGAATAAATTTCTCCTTAAACAATTTATTCTATGGATACACGTCCTGCTACAAAATGAATTTATTTTTTGTCATCCTTGGATTGACACGTTGTTTGACTCAATTTTAAGGGCTGTACTCGTGGCATGCGGAATTGTTTATACAATGTACACATGCCTCGATAAATGTCTCACGCCCCGATAAATGTCTCTCGTTGGCTTTTAAAGCTTTATACAACTAGATATGATCACCATTTTCACTTTATTTACAACAGCGCCAATAACCGTAATAAGCAAGGCACCTCGTTGATCTTGAACATTGTGTAAATGGATCACGTGACCAAATCATCACTCATTAGCCCGTCAAACGTTTGTGTCTCTAAGATCAGGTGCGGAGCCACCACTGCCGTTGCTTCGTAAGTGAGATAAAATTGTCTCAAAATTTGCGGTCAGTCGGTCCTCCATAGCTATCAACCGTGCTTCCATTTTATCAATCCGCTGTTCGAGAACTTTAAGTTCTGTTCCGTGCGTACAGTGATCTCGAGTTGAAGTTAAATGCGAGTGTAATGATGGAAGAGTGGAATGGATTGATGGCATAAGAGTGTGAATTTTGGGCTCACTTCCTCCCGCAGGATGGCGAGAATGTAAATTGACAACAGGTGAATTTTGGTGTTGAGATATTCGGCCATTTATCATAAAAGTTGGTGAGCCTGTTCGTTCAAGTTTATCAACTCCTGAGCGCGACGAAAATGTTGATCTGGCGTTTGATAGTCTGCGAGACCCTAGGTTTATCTCTTCATTATAAAGGATAATTTCATCTTCCTGCGAAGAAAATGTAAAACAACTTTACGCAACTTTTTCTGTTAAATAAAAAGATAAAATGACTGAATTTTTTTAAAGACAAAGCAGCAATAAACTTTGTGATTGTCAGTCAACTTCAACAAAGCTTTCTTAAAAAGCGATCTGAGAATGTGATATGATTACCAACTCAAAGCTGCCTGCCAGTCCCTTACATATTCCTTAAGGGTATGTGCCTATGCAGAAATTAATTTTTCAGTAATAAATCTCAAGCAGTTACATCGTTAAAGATCTCCATATATGTGCCAAAACACATTTGTATATCAAAATACTATTTAGAAAGATGCATGTCTGCAGTGTGCATTTTATTTCGCTCATTCCTACCTCTTCTTCGTGACCAAGATTGTAAGCCAACTCGAGGTGTGTGATGAACTCTTCTCGAAACGACGAGTAAGCCTTTAAAACTGCAACTAACTCGCACCAGGCAACAGAATGGATTTCACAGTGTGTTTGAACTCGAAGACTGGCGTTAGCCTTTGGGATGTACATACTCTGTACCGTGCTGTAATCACAACTTATGACATCACCCTTGCCTGTCAATAAAATTGCATGAGTTGGTTAAGATACAAATTATTTGAACACCTACCAGACTTTTTTTTTTACCAAAGTGAACAACGTGATAACAGACCTAATCTGAATTAAAATCGTCAATGTAAGTGCAAAACGAACAACTACTTCTAGGCGGCGTGCATCTGGAAAACATTTCTAGTGAACAAGACTGCAAGGGAATGGTGCTGTGACGCTAGACACAGTTGTAATGAGAATTATTATTATTTTTATCGATCTGTCTTCTAAATTGTTATCATTATTGCCATTGTCTCTGTTGTTGTTGTATTTAAGATTGCATGGGTTTTATCTATTTTTTTAAGGACTGGTTGAAAGAAGGTGAAAAGAAAAAGGAAAGTGGGGGTAGCCTCTTTGCCAGAAAGTAAGCAGAATCTTATCTATTTCTTTTTCCTTTAAAAATTCCTTGTTCAGATCATTTTGTTAAGAAGTACGTGTATTTGACTTCATGGGCATATAAAAGAAGGTAAAGTGAATATGTAATGACCCAACCTAATGTTAACATGGTCTCGTCAGATTTCACAACTTCAATGTTCCCTTTGGCTATGAAGTAAAGTCGCTTCACTTCGTCCCCTTGTTTAATGATGAAATGACCCGGCAGGTAATGTCGAATCTTGAACCGCAGCGCAAGAGCCCGCAAACAGCCTTCGCTAGCGGTTTTGAAGGCCCCGCATTCTGTGAATAAATTTCTGTGTAAATGGAGACAAACGTCAGCTTGAAGGGATTCTGGGAAGCGGTTGAGTACCTGGATAGAGGAGATTAAAGATTTATTATTAATTATGTTTCAAAAGTATGGCCCTCAACTTTATTTAACCCTTTAACTCTCAAGATCTCATTAGTAATTCTCCTTACTATCTCCCATACAGTTCTTGTGATGTTAGTGTGGAGAATTTGGTATTGGATTATCTTATAATCCCCTAACTGATATTTTTCTTTATTCTCATCACTTGTCTGCTTTATATTGTATTGATATTGTAGGAGGAAATTCTGTCTCGGTCACCCATGGGAGTAAAGGGTTAAATCATTTCACGAACTACCGGGATATGAGAGTACAGAAGAACTGAGCATTGACATTAATATTATAAATAATCGCCATTATCCCTTTAGGCCCCGTTAGAATTGTGTTCCAGACTGAATAATCTCTCATTTTGTTCCGCTCTCTCCAAAATGCATCGATCTCTAGCGTCTTGCCTTGTTAACACATCCTATTTGATAAACACGCATTAAAAGATGCTTGTTCATGCCTGTTTACCTTCCAAGCAGACGAGCAAGAAAAAAACTAACTTACTGTTTCCATGTCAACACCTTTAGTATAAGCCCATTCGTGCCTAAAATACTCATCCAACTCCTCTTTGGTGGCCTTTGGTATTTTGTAAAAGCGGACAAAGTCCTCGATGACTCTCAAATCTCGGTGAAAACGGGACGCACGCGAGTAAAGTCTTTGGATGATAGCAGTGAGATTACCAAATATGGAGGCGTACATGAGAGCTGTGGAAAGGACAATCCGCTGTGAAGATGGCAAATTCAGACTACTGAAATAATCTTTCGAAATTTTCACTCTAAGCGGTAAATGTAGAAAAAATCAGAAAACAAGGGTTAGGGAAGCCTACTGAATGGCAAACTTCCCTTTTTTTATGGTCTTCAACACTTACAATTCTAGGATCAGTTTATATGTAAGGATTGAAAAAACTGGTAAAGATAGGAATCACTCAATTCAGAAAAAGATGAATCACTGTTTCTGAACCTATACAACAAAACTAGTTGAAAATAAATGAATGTTGGGTCCTTGCAGTCTTACCACCAATTATCATTACACAAACTGAAAATATTTTCTCAGCGTCAGTGTTTGGGGAAACATTTCCAAATCCAACACTTGTCAGGCTGCTAAGAGTAAAGTACAAAGCGGTAATGTAGCGAGTCTGGAGATCTGGACCTGTTGTATTACTATTCAGGTTTAAGTTTTTCGTTAGCTCTTGTATCCATCCCATGTCATTCCTTTTCTCTGAGTAGCCAATACCATGCCAGATACACGCCAACCAATGGGCGATTAGGGTGAAGAGACACGTGAGCAATATGACTACCGCTAAGCCATACTCTGAGTAGCGGTCCAGTTTTCGCGCCACTCTCACCAGGCGCAATAGACGTGCGGTCTTAAGAAGTCCAAATAATGTTGTTGCCTGAATGAATTGAAATGAAGTATTACCTCTATTGAAAACTCGTTGAAAATTCCAACTTTATAAAACACAGTTATTTCTTAGTTACTCTTTCCCCAATTTTCGTCTGTCGTAGAAAAGACTTCTCAGAATATAATCGTTCGAAACCCAGAAAACTGGGATAAAATGTAAATTTGTTGTTTTTAATATGTCACGTGTAATCATTGCCATGAAAATGAAAAATGACACTTAGTCGCTTAAAAGATTTAGCGACTTAAGAGAATTAAAACAGCAATGGCAGCGGTTATTAAATAAGGCACAAGATTGTTGTTACTTACCGAATCAACCTTGGTTGTGATCATGAATTCAAAAGGTATAGCTGCGACAAAATCCACCACAAACCAGGTTTTCAAATAATGGAGAGCAATTTGCTTTGGATTACTTATGACTTCATCCGTGTTTAATTTGATAAAAGTTGTCCTAAAATTAATGAAAATGTCGATAATAAACATGAGGTCCACACAGAGGTTAAAGACGAGCAGCGGGGTAACTTTGAGAAAGCTCCAGTCTCCTTTTGTTTTTTCTTCTAGTTCCTCTTCTCTATCTTTTTGTAGAGGCATTAGAAAAGCCACAGAGAAAGGAATCTCTATCGCTGTGAATATGACAAGCGCAAGTATAATCCAGTCCCACACGGCCTTGAATAGTGAGTCATGTCGGATTGTGCAGGCATGGAGTTGGGCTTGGGGCCGAGAATTTGAGCTGGGACTGAGAGACATCACCTGCAAGAGGAGACAAAATAAGACCTCCCGTGACTTATAATAATTAATGCGTCTGCAACGTACAACCTGCCTCTTTGATTTTAAAATTCAAAGAGAGTATCACAGTAAAAGTTTTCGCTCAAAGTCTTTCGACTAATTTGTCAATCTTTCTTCGCTTTTGCGAAACATGTATATGGCACAGGCTTCTGTAATGGTTGTAGTGAACTGATCGAGATCGCGTCATATCCTGAGAGAATAACTTATAACAGCAGTGGTCAGCAGCTTCGGATATCCTCACACTTAAAAATTTCAAACCAAAATACCAAAGTCGACAATGTGATAAACACCGTATGCTACTCGAGAGTTAATGTTTACAGTAAAAGGACGACACAGTAGACACTATTTGAAATTTCTTCCTCTAGCTGGCAACACATCGTAGTTTCATTCAAGAATTTAATCATCAAGTGCTCAAAAACTTAGGTAACATCTATTTAAAATTAAAAGTTCGAAACATAATTTCGTGAAGTTTGTTTTACATTCCGGCCTGTGGGTGATATTTCAAAAGTGCGGACGGTTGAAGCTTTTACTGAATTTTTTAATTCTCGTTTGTTTTGGCCTTAAATTGCCTTAATTACTTTAGCAGGGTCCGGTGCTTTGTGTTCCAGATATCTTATAAGCCTTTTGACTTCCTGCGATTAAATTATTAACTACTAATTTGGAAGCACTTTTTGGAATAGTTTGGACACAATCTAATTGTGATGAAAACTCATACATCATAAAATCATTGACATCTTCGCACATCTGGATGGTTCGAAGATTCCCATTTAAAAGTTTAGCCCCATTCTTGTATTAAAACCCTTGAGAAGTTTAACTCTTTTTGCTTCGAAATCTTTTAGTTGCAATAAACATCAAATCGATGGAAGGCAAGGTTAAAAGTTGTATTCGAGCGAGAACAAAATTTTCTTCTTTCCACAAAATAAGAGGTGGCCTAAAAAAGGATCCCTCATCATCCTTGAAGCGAGACAAAACTGATACATAGGAAAAATTGTAAGGCGGGACCTAATTTGAAATAAAAGGATTTTATAAAAGAGATCTATGAAAACGTTCATCCTTTATTGAGAGCCCATTTTGAAAATTATTCGGAAAATGCAAATTTTCACCAAGATAATTGCAGCTGGTCTACTAAAAATATCAAGTGAATTCACCTGTTCCTTGAAATTGACTTCTTCGTGGCCAGCCTCTGAATAAACTTTTCCCAGAGTTACTTAATGACGAGCACTGTGACCAGTTCGATGAAATAAAGCGTAAAAATCAACGCTGGGAAACAGCGCATAGTGTTTCAACGAAACTCTAAACTGCATGACAGTGTCAATGGCGGGATATATTACAACGCAACAGCAAAAGAAACAGGAAGGTCGCAGATTGAAGCGAACCATAAATGGAATTTACATTTCCTATGACAGACGTATATGCACCCTGCTGGTTTGCGAAGAAAAAGTGCGCTCGATAAAATCGTGATAAAAGAAGTTTCTTGTCATTTCAGACCACACAATATCGGAGAAAAATTCTATACCTTACATTTTTAATAGGAATAACTCTTGTTATCTCAGATGCGATTACATATTTACTTTAAAGCATAAAACGACAGCAAAATTTTTTTGAAATCTTGCATTGAAAGAGGCAATTTATATTCGAATTTGGGGTTAATATTTCATGTATATCTTCAAAGGACAAAGAAAATAGTTTATATTTTGGCAATAATGTGAAGTTGTGGATTATAAACTTTCCGCCCATGTCGCTTCAGCGATAGCTGAATCTATTATATGCTGTTGCTTTATTCATAGCTTTCTTGTCATCTCAGAAATATAATAATATAAAACCCAGTAAGGAAATACCTCTCGTTCTCAAGCGTATAAAAACTATCTTTCGATATATTTCCTCAGAATCCACGTTTAGAGACATTTAGAGAAAACTAGATTAAACCTTTCATATTGAAATAACGAATAGTTCAAGGTAGTAAAGCAAAGTAAGAACGTTGCGTGGTTCCACAGGAATGTAAAGAAATGGCAAAAATCCTCGAAAGTAAATATATTTCGTTCAAAGATAATGAAATGGTCAAGATATGATTTATCTTGCGATCGCTGTTATGAAACTTGCTCGATAACATTCTTAAGTAAGTACTTACCAAATTATGACCTGCAACTACTAAATTTAAAAACCTGCTGTTGCAATCAAGATCCTCCGGCAATAAAAAAAAGATCTAGTCATCCTAAACATTTCAGCAACTTTCATTTCTCTATTAGACGTACACTTAAATGTTGTCGGGAAAGTCAAGTTCATCTGATGTACAGTAACGTGTAAATGTCATTTTGGTCAGCCTGTAGACGTATCACACAATCGTAAAATGTTAATTCACTTACCAAACCTTCAATTCCCAACTGCGGTGCAAACGAAGCATTACGAACACCTAGCAAGCGACGACTGGCCGACATGTTTCGCGCTTGCTCTATATAATTTACGAATTATTATGAGCGCGTATCGACGGCCTACTACGAAACCATGTTGCTTTTGTTGTAACATGCTATTATCTTTCAGGCGAGCAGGATGTTGTCTTGTCGCCTCTGTTAGTGACGTCACAAGCGGGAGTTTTATTTCGCGCGCACATTTGCGGATTCAGAGAGATGACAGTGCACGCACATATGAAGACGGTGCCAGAATAATGCCTTTCATTGCAAGTTTACAAAGACACTATGTACTGTATTTTGAAAGCTTAAGTGTCTAAAACTCCAAAAAAACGAAATATGAACTCAAAGTTCACGGAGCTATATCCAACTATTTATAACCTGTGCTTAAACACCAGTCGGGTAGAATCAAAGAGCTCTTTAATCATTTTATTCCCCAATTATCTCAAAATGCAAATAACTTTCGGCAAAAACAGGTAAATTGAAATTTCTACTCGCTCAATTTGTCGTAATTCAACCAATTTTCCTCTTCCAGTTACTCGGTCTCACGTTGCTATTTTTTCCTCCCATTTAGGGGATCTCTCTTCTTTCAGGCTGTCTCAATCTAGTTATGCGGTCTGATCTCACTCTTAGCGGGTTGCAACGTTTAAATGAATGAAAATCTACATATGTTTATTCAGTCTCTTTGTCAGCTCCGTTGCGGGTGGCAGGATGAATTTTTGATTGCTTACAATGTTCAAATTTCAATAGTTTTTCTAGCCAGCAAATGTCCATTGTCAACATAGCGGAGAGGACCACATTTCAACAGTCTGGCTACATAGGGTGATACAGTTTCCACCATGAACGGCGGACCGGCCTTCATGACCGGCCCTACTTTTAGCGTTTGGCAAACTGTCAATAGTTTTCTTTTTAGCTCATACTATTAAGAAAAAAGCACAAAAAATGAGACAAATAAACATACCCAACCAGAAAATTCGTAGTTAAACCGCCCAATCAGATTGTGGTTTCTTTATCTGTGTGCCAGGCGATGTTCTTTTTCTTGTAATTTTCAAACTTTGCCTTCTGTTAATTTTACTTCGGAGTCGTGTTAGATTGAAACATTCTTGAATAATTTTAAGAATTATCTATTTTAAATTAGGTTGACCTAACATGACTTTAAAAATCATGAACTTACAAATAAATGGAACTTGAAAATTTTCAATTCAAGAATGGGATTCGCTGACTCAGTCCTAACCTATAACTGGTAAGAAAAGAAACATAGTTGAATGTTGTTGAAAGTTTAAATTTGCGTCATTTACGATTCATATATTAAGTGCATGTCAAACGTTAAGTGTCTTCACGCCTTTGCTGACTTTAATAAATTCACCGCCATTTAGGTGGGTATAGGCGCATATCCTCAGAAGCAACAGAACTTTCTAATCTCTCGTCGACAGAAATGATTGGTCGTTAGAAACAGGCGTTGGTCGCAGGCAGAGATAAAAGAGATCTCGTTGAAACAAAGACTTGAATGCTTCCCCTTCTGATTACAGAGAAGAACTTATCACCCACGGTACCATTTTGTTATCAATGAGTTAATTTTTCCTTTGAAACAAAGACATGAATGCTTCTCTTTCTGAATACAGAGAAGAACTTACCACCCATGGTACCATTTTGTTATCGATGAGTTGATTTGGCAAGTGTCAAAAGAGTGCGATTCATTTGAATGATTGGTAAGATCACAATTTGCCGGCATTGGCGGTACAAGGGTCAATATTTAATGAGTACGAAAATACGGATTCAAGGCAAGCTCGTCTCAAATTTCCCACAACAGAAAATTTTATTGAGCCATTTTCAAATGGCGGCCTAGACCTAGGTGGTTTCCGTCTGAGTATATTGCAATTGTATAATAAAGGACTGTGTTTGGTAATAAACAAAATATGTCGCTAAATACCGGCTAAGAATGATTTATATCCAGTCTGCGTTGTCTGATATTGTTTTGCAGGCCCTAAAATTAACGGCTTCGAAATAACAAGAAGGAAACGAAAACAAACAGTTAAATTAAGCACATAAATTATTTCTGTTTCGAGTCTTCACAATTGCCAAAAGTATTCCATTTTTGTCCATACATCATCACGTATAAATTCAATTGGAATAGTGTGGACAGAATATAAAATGTTAAGCCACAGCAGTTTTGCTGGAAAAGACAACATGGGCCCATTCTTAGAGAAAGAAAGAATTCAACATAAACAATAATTTTCCTATTCCCGGTGTGCAATGCACCGCTGGCAACTGATGAAAATATTAAACACAGAGGTTTCCCAAATATAGCGTGAGATGCGACAAGCCTAAGCTGTAAGTATACCAAACAATATTTGCATCTCCTGAAAGCAATTGAAAGTCAATGTAATATATTTGAATATTAGAATCATAAATATCTCATTGAGCGACATTTTTTACCATAGCAAACTGTGACATGGTTGCCTTTGAAGTGAGACAGAAAAATAAGGCTGGAATGATTCGATTAGGGATTAACTGAACTAACAAAAATAGTCTTTTAGCCTAAAAATGAATAAGTTCTTAAGGTGCTGTTTAACCGTTTCTTCGCCTGCACAAGAGTAATTACGATCGAAACACTGCGTTCAAATGTGCGATCAGCACCAAACATGATTGTGAAATTTGTAAGGTATACCTGAGAAAAGGATGGTTTCTAAATAGTTATGAACGCGACTGAACGCACGAGAAAACACATTGCGCGGCGGTTATATGCATATGTCAGTCAAAGACACAATAGCAAGTGTTAAGTTAAGGAGTGAAGAGATAAAAACAACATGCTAACCTCAAACCGTACGAGCCTCCACCGCGGCATTTCAGTTTCCGGCTGACAATTTACTTTACAAACATAATGTGTCCTTTTGCCAATGAGCAGAAGCCAGTTGTCTTTAAAAGAAATATTTTTTCTTGGTTTTGAAAAGTTACAGATATAAGGTGGTTCTGGTTGCTTGAAATTGGAAGATCAAAATTCGTTGTTATTCGACCAGGGGCAAACGCCATCTGTTGTGTTTTCTCTACTGCTCTTCTTATCCAATCAGAAACCGAGGAAAACTTCGACAGATGTTTACCCAAATTAGCGTCGCTGGTGAGTCTTAGTAATGAAAACGGCTTCACACATTTTTATTAGATTTAATTTTTTACTTTGTGAGAAATTCCAACAATTAAAGAGCTTGGCGAGCCTTTGATGTTCAAATTAACTCAGTTCAACATAAAAATTTTCACCTGCTTTTATTATTTTGATCTCAGTTTTTAGAAAATTAACAAAGCCCGCTTTTCGAAATGACTGCAACGAAGTTAACAGTTATGGTTGGGAAATGGGCTTCAAAAAGGTAAATAGATAACACAGCGGGTAAAACTCTCTTAGTAGACAAATAAGGCAAGAGCAAGGGAAGTAGAAATAAACTATTTTCTCTTAAAACGTTCTGTTTTTGCCGCTGATTTGTTAAAATGTGTCTGACCAATTGAGAGTAAATGGAAAGTTTTCCTCGAGGTACGGAGAGTGAAATTAAATTTGATGTCGTAAAATATTGATTTTCAAGAAAGAATTACAAAGAATTAATAAGGCAGGAAAAGTATTGGTACATGACGCCAAAACCGTCGTGAAAGAAACCGCTTAATTAAACCTTCTTAAATAGCCAGGATTAAAATTTATTTTGTGGCACGGATAAAAGCCTGGATTAAATGTTCTGCTGTTGTGTCGATCTTCATTTACGTTGATGTTTGGTTCGATATATGCTTTTGACCAACATGTCAGTTAAGTATTAAGGAAGCGTTGGTATTGTACAAGAAAACAATCGCTATCTAAAGTGAAATGGAAAGAAAAATGGCAAATTAATTCAGTGGCTGTTTTGGTTTCTGGTTTAAACATGTCTTTGGTGAATTCTGTCCTCTTACCCACTTTACATATTCATTGCTTTATGAAAACAGCTGTCTTCACAAGGTACACTTAACAAACAATACTAAGCTTACGGGCGAAAAGTCCACGGTTAAAAATAACAATAAAAAAAATATGATAAACATCGCGCGGCACACCAGAACTACATAGCCTAACCTTAGCTCTTTTTGAACCTCGTGTCAGTTTAGTGAGACGTATCAGAATCGACGGAGCACGTTTATCCTCCAAAATATCGTAAAAGAGTGGCAGTACTCGTTTTGACTTGAATGTATTTGTATCTTCTTTGATATATCTCGATAATCTTCTGTTTGGATTAGGTTTTACATTTTACATGGCGAAATTAGGAAGCAGAAGGGGGTCGTAGCCTCGTAAGGTGCGAATAACCCCCACCCTCTGGTATGAAAAATAATTTAAGATATAGACGGCATTGAGATAAAATATTCCGTAGTCCTCCTAAATTCCAATGAAGAGAAGGGTCACTCCCCTGGTAAAGAGATGTTACCTTCACCCCTCAGTTTCGGGTTCTGATCAATGTATTTACCGAAACATTTTACAAGTTTGCTGGAGCTATTTATCCTTGTATCACTACAAAGTATTTCAAAGAAAAATTTTTAGCATAATTTTTTTATACACAGTATTCAGTTGAATGTAAATACCACCTGCAACGAATCATTAATTCACTCGGTCAGAAATTTAGTGTCAGCCAAAAACAATCTCGTTGATGAGTTGGAATGTGGCCTAAACAATAATTATTACCTACCTTAACGCTCTTTGCCGAGTTCGTCAAGTTCACAAAGCAAAGCGGAAGAGCTGAATTTGAGGAGACTGTGAATTGATAAATCCAACTTAGTTAGAAGCTGGAAGATTTGAATCTTGGAAACAGCTCCACATGCAGGAAACACCGACATGTTTCCTGCTCGTCCTTCTTAGTAAGCTGTACATTACAAGTTTAGACTCGAGCGGTTTGAATAGTCACTAATTTATGTCCTCAAAGTAAATCTTATCTTTTGATGGAAAGTTTAATCAAAATCAAGATTGGCCGAGAACATCCAATGAGAAGGTTGAGATCCACTGGTGACAATGTAATAAATAATTCAACTTTGAGAATTCAGTTTTTTCTTGCTGAAAGCTATTGAACAATTTTTTTGGTCCATTATCAGGCCTTGTGATTCCACGTATTAATAGAGAAGTTTGGTCATTACTTCAAACCTTAAAGTCCTTTGTAGGAAAATGCTAACTTAAGACTTTCTATCCAAGGGGCAGACAGCTATGGCCGACTTAATTTTAAACAGTAACCTCTGCTTGTCATTTAAGTAAATTAACATAACATGATTTAAATGTATCCAGAATTAGTTTGGTGTTTACGTGATTAGTTTTGTTTTTTAAAAATCGAATTTTAACTAGTTCCAGATATGACTATGTTAAACTGACTGTTAACTCAAAGCGCTGTTAGCTCAACTTAGAATAACCTCTCTCTTAACATAAGGTTCAGTGGTTTTCAGAGAAAATGATAACTTATTGAAATAAATAATAAGTATTAACGTTGTAATGGTTGTCAAGGACTCTGCTTGAGAGCAAGAGTGTACTGGAATAAAAAAATTGAGTGTAGTTTTCTCGTGGACTCTTTTTTTTTGAGAGACAGCTCAACTTGGCCATTTTCCACAAAGAAAATGAGATATTTCACATTTTAGGTGCAGTTGTCTGCCTCTCAAACTTTGCTAGTAAACCCTAAAAAAAAGCTTTCTGGGGACTAAAGTTTACGTGTGGGATGGAAGACAACTTTATATGCAGTAAACTGACTTAAAACAAGAGTTCACACTTACTTGTCTCACACTGAATGGAACCGGAGGAGAGTGAAAGCTGACACAACCTCTTTGGACCTCCTTGTCTCTAACAAACTCACTCTCTAAACTCATTATTCTAATAACGAGCTTAAAAACAACTCAGTTTCTTAATTAAAGTTCTAAAAATAAACGTGCATTGTAAAATAAACCAATAAAAGACACCGCTTGGTGTCGGCAAAGAGTTTGACATCAACCGCAGTGATCATTAGTTTTGCGGTCGCACCCGTAATTTTATACAGATTTTATTTATCTTACTGAGGTCAATGCTTGTGACGAAGAGAAACTAAAGGCTCATCGTAAATGAGATATTAGGATTTCTTGGCTCTGATCAGGTCATTTTTAGCATTATAATTTGTCACGATATTACATAACTTCCCAACTGTGACAATTCCGAGCTGATGGAAACTATGAATACAAAATACGTCACACCGGTAGTAAATGATACGTGTTAAAAAAACAAACGTCGCTGAAACATTCTCAATCTTTATTCTGGGAAATCACTCGTTTTTTTAACAACTGCCCATCAAGAAAATAAAGAAATTATCATAAAAAGTTCTGTCAAGTTAAATCCAATTTACCGACAGTCAAATTTCGTTTGCACTAAGAAACATTTCCAAGTTCCACGTTTCTCATTATTGAACAAATGTCCCTTGACTGATTACAGTGTAAACCACTATTCACATATCTATTTTTAGCTGTGATCAGTTGAGACATTTTCAGTAATGTAATGAGGTGATTAAGCTCTGATTTGGGGAAAATAAATTAAACTTCTTTGCCCTGCTTAAGCTTCTCTCTGACTTTGCTCTTTAAAAGAAAATATTATGCAATAAGGCTCTCTTATCAATATCAACTGGTCTTATGAGTAATGGTGATAAACAAATCTGACTCCCTCTGCGCGCTAGTCCGATTTTAGTAATGGTAATAGTAATAATTTATTTATTGTCAATAAGGTGAGAAGTGGTCGCCCAATCTTCCGAGCAACAATTTTGTTATAACTCGTATGATTACAGACTGAATCGGACGACATGAAGTCATATTTACAATTAATCATAAAAATTACAACTCCCAAGAAAAGAAAAAAAAGTTATGAAAGAAAGGGAAAATCTGCATCAAGAGAAAGCCACAATTTAGCAGTCTGTGCACTGTTTCTGTGGTGATTGAAACCAAGGTTGTAATTGGCTAATTTAAACTACAACTTTGAATGTGATGGTTGATTTTAACTACAACTTCGAATGTGATTGGCTTATTAAAATGTCCAATTACAACTTGGCACGTGAATTAGTGGAAAATAGGATTTTTTTAAACCAATCACAATCAAGAAAATTGTAATTTTTATAATTAAGTCAGTAATCACCATTCTTGGTTCTTTGAGAACAAATTTGAATTGTTACTAAAAGTTTTTCAGGTTTCTAACTTTTACTGTAACTACTATGTTTAATACTATTTGTATTTCAATACCATGGACACTAAGTCTTCTCCATTTCTATCAAAAAATAAATCTGAACAATTGTCCATGCAACTTGAATCAGAACTATTTTTTAGTCAACATAACTTTGATCTGAGTTAAGCCTCACCTCAAAGAGGAAATATTTAGTAAAGTGAGGCTAGTAGAAAATAACCTGACGCAGATAAGGTATGAAAAGCCATTAATTTCTTCCATCATCATCTGAAACTGATTTCAACCTCTTGGCACTAGGTGGTGCATCTGTGGGATCTTGAGGATCTTCTACCAGCTTATTGTGAACATCCATTAGGCCTTTAAAATACTTCACAGTTCTGACTTTCAGCTCCAAGGTGGCATCATCATCAACTACAAAAATGGTCCTTGGGTGTTGCTGGAAGGCAGACACAGTGCACATGTGATTGACTCCTTCCTCTGTTGCACATCGCAGGGCATATGCTTTGTGTACACCAGTAATCAAAATAAGAACCTGATGGATATAAAAATGATTGTTAATTGGTCAAATTTCAAAACCTGCCCAGGATGTATTCCACGCTAAAATCTTGACAAGAAAAAGAAATGGCAAATGTGAAAAGAAACAACTAACGTGCGATACATAGTGAAAAAGTCTCAGCTTAACTCATCATACCTCAACCTAATATGGTTAGATTACACACCCAAGAAAGATGGATATGACACTTATAATTCTACATTGTATCCTGAATTCTGTGTGGACACCTTTAAATGTTGAACAATACTTGGGCTGTTTGTAATCCTGAGCAGACAGGCACAAAAGAATAATTATTAAAGTTGTGTTGTTGACTGTACCTCACTCGCATCCATCACAGTGCCCACACCCACAGTAAGAGCCATCGTTGGTACTTTGGTCATGTCATTATCAAAGAACCGTGCATTGGCTACAATGGTTTCTTTTGCCAAGGATTTGACTCGTGTTCTTGAAACTAATGATGAGCCAGGCTCATTAAATGCAATATGACCATCACTTCCTATTCCTGTAAAGGTTGTCAAAGCAAGGCATGGGTTAGTTAAGCATGGTCAGAGAATAATAAAACAGAGCTTTATGTTATGCTCAATCTACCTAGGGAGTGTTGGTGCCTGGGGTAATAAAAAACTTGAAGAGTAGTACTTTCCAAAAATGGGTAAACTGGGAGTTTCAAGGATCCTCAATTTGAGTCATAAATGGTAAAATCTTTCCATAAATTCTCAGTTATTTATTTTTTTCCCTTCTCTTGCCAAATCACTAGAACACTAGTAAGCATCAGGAAATACTATTTGCATCTGTAGCTAATTACTTGGCTGAGGATGGAGATGACAGACATAAAGGAATGAGCTTGATGATAATGATGATGATAATGATGCTGATAATGGTGATACAGAGATGAGTTCACATTAAGACAGTCATTATAATATTAAGACTGAGATTCTTATCATTATCATGGTGATACAATGAAGTTAAAAAGGACATTTAAGGCATGCTACACTATGCCTCTCATGATCAAGACCATTACAGAATATGTACATACCTCCAATGAACAGATGAACTCCACCAGCATCTTTGATCTTGGCCTCAAAATCTTCGCATTCTTTGACAAGATCTGAAGCATTGCCATCTAACACATGGGCATTACTTGGGTCGATGTCTATATGCTTGAAAAAATTCTCCCACATGAAAGAGTGATAGCTTTCTGGATGATCACGAGGAAGTCCAACATATTCATCCATGTTAAAGGTTTTAACATATTTAAAAGAAAGCTCCCCTTTCTTGTAGAATTCTACCAGCTTCTTATACATGCCCTTAGGAGTGCCACCTGAGAATAGATGTAAAATTCCCTTTTTCAGCAGTAAGCACTGTTGGTATCAGGTTTCTTGCCCTGCTATTTGAAATGTTTTTAAACTTTTAAAGCCAACAAAATTCTTACTATTGAAAGCTGGTCAACTTTTATGTGAACCAGCAACTCAGCAGTAAATAGGAAATGTAATGGCAAGTTTTCATTTCAGTACCTGTTGGTAGACCAAGTACAAAACACTTGCCAGGTCCTGGATTGTACTTCAGTATTTTGTTTCTCACATATTTTGCTGCCCACTCTGACACCTGCTCATATGTTTCCAAGATGACAAGCCTCATGATGTGTTTTCCTTTCAAGTGACAAAAGAAAAGAGAACAAGATAAAAACAAAAGCTTTAATATTTCCTTGATGAGCACAGGTTCTTTTTACCACTAATTCTTACCTATAATCATTTATACCATTCACTAACAATACCATATTTCTTCCACAAAGGAGTGGAAGCCATACCATACAACAATCAAAGAGGTTTAAAAGGACCTAAATTTAGGACCCAGTTTTTCTTTCTTAACGTTTGGTTCAGGTCACAGTTTTTGGATATTAATAGAATGCAATAACAAGACTAAGTTTGTTGGGAAACACAAAAAGCAAGAGCAGGGAACAAAAAGAGGATGGTATCAGTTTTACATAATCGCTGGGTGGCTGTAAGAAAAGGGGAAAGAGAAAAGATGTCATTACCGAGTGGGGTTCATATCATAAATACTCCAGCTGTACCTCATGAGGCACTATGGGTGGCATGGGCGTGGAAGTATACCCTACAACTTAATGATTAAGAATAACGTTTATGAGGGAGGGGTACGGGGAGTCTCGAATAGAGAAAATATGCAATATCAAAAGTATTGGTGGCTGATATTGTCTACCGAACCTATTCATATCTCTTAGTATCAGTAATGCCCAGAAGACCAATATCTTCACAACCCTCGTGATGATTACATATAATATAAGTTGAAGGCATGCTTAATTTTAGTTATCTAAACACTCACTTTAAAATTATGAACTAAGCCTATCAAACCAAGATATATACTTACAATCTGACGAACGTGCAAGACAATGAGTAGGAGACAATGCCTCGAAGAGTGGTCGCGTGCAGTCGGTGAGGGCAAATACAAAGCTCATACTCAGCGGTAGCACGTAAAAAGGGTGCGCCGTCTTCATGAAATATTTTGGCGGGTTTGCGCAGTGGTTAGGGACAGCCAACATGTTGACCAGGGGACTTATATTCCCGATTGTCTTTGGTGGAACTTTGATTTTATTTGGCTTCGGATTTTATCACAGGTATAAGCTGATCGTCAACCCCGCTGAAAAAGAAGAAAGAAGGAAGTACAACATACAGCAGGCGCTGGAATTTCGTCGTAAAGTTCAAGAGAAAATTGACGAAAAGGTTAATCCTTGATCGCCAGCCTAGTGTAGCCTGTGGGATCTAGAGGATTTAATTTAATTTAAGCGCAGGTCCAAACTTATATTTTAATCCACTTCTTTGTTTATTGAAAGTGAATTAACATGTTGAACGGTGGCAATTTGTAAAGGATATTATGGGAAAAACTGCATTTATAGATGACGGGTGAAGTGAAAGGAGCACAGTCTAAACGATGCTTGTCGCGTAAGAAGCAATCTAAATCTTGGAAATTTTCGAAAAATGATCACTGTCTTAATGAAACTGCCAGTGGAACTTACACAGCCCTCAGATCAAGACAATCAGCTCTCTCAAGTCCGAAAGAAAGTTCTAATCATTTAGCAAGTTTATCAGTGATAAATACTAAAGATATTGACTGTGTTGGTGATGATTACCTCAATGCTGAACTAATCGCAGGGGTGTCAGGAGAGCACACAACTGATGTGTTTAATTTTTGTGAGACTGAAGGCAAGGGTGATGATGGGAAGTCAACGGCTGTGGATGAGTTATATGGCAGTAAACGCAAGAGGATTGACACTGAAGAACTTGAATCTGCAAGCTCTGCTCACGTGTTTAAATTTAAAAGGACCCGCAATGCTGTAAATCTAAAGCAAGCTTCTTTGTGCCTCGAAAAATGCCAAACTTACAGATCCAAAACTGTGAATCCAAAGGATGCTAAATCCACTGATGAGACTGACTTCAGAGATAATATCAAAACTTTGTCCTCAGAAGATGGTTCATTGCACCAGGTGCATGACATTAATGTTGTTGTAGGTAACATTGTATTAAAAAATATGAATAAAGAGAATCTGGATAAAGAAAATGCAGATGAAATGGATACTGTATCCAATGAAGAAACTGCAAAATATACAAAGCATTCTAATGAGAAGCAGAACTCTTCAAATGACAGGGTTTGCCCAGTCTGCAGTTTCAGCTTCATATCAGCAGAAAATTTGGATACCATAAACAAACATATTAATAGTTGTCTTGACAACTGTTCCGATAGCAGGGTCAAGGAACAAGGTTCACAAGAAGTGACTTGTGAAGGGATCGGAGAGGACTTGTATTTCTGTCAGCTATGCCAAAAGGATCTGTCAAGGATGAACTCACAGAGACGTCAACAACACTTAAACCGTTGTTGTGATCAGGCCAATGAAAAGGAAATACTTCAGTCAAATTCAGTTCCATCTCAGGCTCAATGTCCTATCTGTGGGAAAAGATTCAAAACACCAAAGGTTTTTTTGTATTTTTGGTGTGCTTTTTTTGTTTGTTTGTTTCTTATTGACATTATCATTTACAATAATTGTTACTGGGGTCATTGCAACTCTATTTGCCTTTACTTTGATTCACCTCTTCTTAGACAATCTCAATTTCTAATGATTGATTTTGGTAGTCACCAGATAACTACATGTAGCTTACAATGTAATGGCAGCACAAACTGCAACATCTGCTGAATAACATCATCCATCCTTTGAATATGATTATTGATTCTCTAAAGATGTCACTTTAGATTGTGGTTCTCTATTTGCTGCTTATATGTTCATGTTTCAATGCCTGCAGGCTCGCCAAATACATCTCAAGAAATGTGCTCAGCAGTACAATGTAGAAACAAATCAGCTGTTGGAGATTGTGCGTCGGGAGAAACAGCAGGAAGACAAGACTTCTGTAACCACTGGGTCTGCAGAAAATGTGCTTCCTTCTAGGAATCCTACTGGAGTGAAAAGAAAAAGGAGAGGTACTGCAGTCAGGGGGTAAGAAATATGCATTATTCTCAACTTTCTCATATGCTATTAATTTTTAGAATATTCCTTTTTATTCTTACAAATATCTGAGATGACACTTGCTTTGGGTAAGTGTCAGCAGACAGAAAGCACTTGCCTAGCAGATTAACTGGTCAGCCCATGTTAATATGTCTACAAACTGACTAGAAAGTAGTTGACAAGATACAACATGTTAACTCAAATCCCATTATACAATTTTATTAAAATTGAGTAACAGAGACGGTATCTGTTGTCTTTCTGTATTTACACAACAGTTTTGTAGTGATTGTGGTGTTGTCTTTGCTACTTTCCAGTTATTTAGGTTTTCATTGAGAATTTTTAGTAGCACAAGAATAGTGTGAACAAACAGGAGAATAATCTCAATCCTCTCTGACAATTAAAATTCAACAAACAATTCTCCACTTTCCAATTCTAAGTGCATGAACACCTAGCTATTTGAAGCTTCACTACATAGTGTAGTAGACTCCTCAGAACCATCAGAGTGCATTATTGGATGGAAAAACTGCTGAAATAGTAGTTTTTTCCTTCCATTTACCCTTGCACTCTATAGAGCGATTAAAATGGACCTTGGTAGAGAGAGTGATTTGAACCAGTTTTTTTTCTTCCCTTAGTGACTTTGATGAAGAAACTCAGCTTGCTTTGGCTTTGTCAGCATCCATGGCCCCACCCCTACCCCCACAGGCACAGGCCAAAGGTGTGAAGGGAAAAGGAAAGAAGATGAAAGGGTAAGAACTGCTAATAAAGGAATATTCATCACAAATAAGTTGGATTAATTTCCCAGGAGAAAGTCAATTTACACAGTGACTTATTTTGTCTTAATGTTTTCCACTAATGTATGTTTCGTGTTTCCTTAGTGGTAGTGAACTGCCAGCGTTGTTGCTTAGAGATGATGAAAGTGCTCAAAGAGCCGTTATGATGAGAGCAGCTCAGGTTCTTTGCACAGGAGTATGTTTTATTTTATTCTATTTTTTTAAAATCAGAAATTGCTGTACAACCTAATGAGTTTTGCACCCTGGGGTGACATTAAGTTATTTTGAGAGATTGTTTAGGTGAGGGTAGTCTGTTGTCAGTGATTGGTGACTCTTTGAAAGTTTGAGTGGAAGCCATCATCACAGTCAAGTGTTGGGTCATACATATCAGTGATATGATATTTTATCAGAACTTAATCAATAAATACAATGAGAGATGAAGATGAATACTCACTCATTCACTCATTTGCATACTCATCCAATGTTTATAATAGTCAGTAATAGGAGTAAATCTCCTCCATGCTTTCATTTTGATATTTGGTCAAACATTAGAGAACATTGAAAAAGTTAACAATGGTCTGATTATAACATGAAATCCTAGTATTTTATATTTTCTTTTGTATACTCTAAAGGAAGAAGTTGATGAGGAGGATGAAATATCATGCACTCCTGCTCTTGCTCCAAGTCGATTAGCTCAGAATATTCCAAGCAATCAACTTCTCCCTGGCAAAGAAACACTACGAGAGCATCCTACTACTTTTGCAAGTACATCAGAGACCATCAACATGATTGGATTAGATTGCAGTACAGTAGAAGGCAAGCACATGTGTGCAAACAGTGGAAATAATGCTGCCATAATGAAGGAATATTTTGCCTCTGTTGATCCTTCACTAAGCAGATCATTTCTAAATGTTTTATATGCTGGTGAAAACAATGACAGTAACCCATGTCAACCAAAGGTAAGTTCTCAATTTTATTTATTAATTTTTTTTTTTTTGCTATTTTTACAAAAATTTGTTCAGTGTTTACAATGAGCATTTGCCAGTGATACACTCTTTGTTAAACAGGCACCAACTTCCAGTCCACTTTGGTCATTAGCATCCACAAAGGACCAGTTCTATCAGGAATTCTATGTACAAGGCCTCTTGCCTCCTGCTTCACCAGTTCAGAAGAATGTTTCCTGCAACACTTTTCATGATCAAGTTGCTGCAAATGCTGCCATTAAAGAGGAGACATCAGGCCCTGTGCCATGTGAATCAAACATGCAAGTGTCAGGAAATCCAAATGGAGTTGGTGAATGTGAAGAGATAACACCATCACAAGCTATGAATGTGCAAATGTTGATGGATCTTTGTGGTGATGATGACATGTCTAAAGTTTTAGCAAACTCCCAGCAGATGGTAACAGCCATGGGTTTCTGTTTTGATGAAAAAGAGAATCTAAATATTCATGAGGTAAAATATGATCATTTGTTCAACCCTGAACAACAGTTTCCTTGCCTGTGAGAAAATGCATTTATTAACCATTTAAGCCTTATATTTTCTTTTTGTAACATCTTTTGGAATCATTGACCAGGTCTTGAGATAAGTTATAAATGTTTACTATTCCTGCAATACTGTGAAGTGGCATGGAAATCTTTGTTATCTTTCTTCTCTTGATTAGGGAACTCATATGGTCCCCAGTGGAGTTTCAAAATTGCTTCAAGATTTATCATCCATGGTAAACAACTCATGGCTTAGTGATGTTGTTATTAATCTGAAAGATGGTCAAAAGTTGATGGCACACAGCTTTATTTTGTCCCTCAGATCCAATGTTCTTTCACAGGTACATGTCCCATTTCTATTTCATCAATAATGATTTAATGCAAGAGACCTCTAGTTGCTCTCTTCATTTGACTGCTACTAACTGATAGAGTTCTTATATGTACCTACATGTCTAAGAATACAAGATTTATACACTTAAGTATTATTGTTTTTAACAAGTGGAAGGTCATTTACACTTAACATAAACATACAAACAAATCCATATTTGCCTGAGAGGTTGCGTAAAAGTGTTCATTTGAATCTGCTGTTGATTCACAATACCTTCTACTTTGCTTTAGATGTTGGAGGAACAACGATCTGGATGTAAAGATGGAGGGCTTCTTAATCTACAGTTTGAGGAAGTTGAACAATTTATTTTCGAAGTTACGCTAAGGCACATTTATACTGGTGAGGTCATCATCCCTGAGCATTGTGCATTGGGTGCCTTAACAAATTTGGCTGAAAGGTAAAACATTACAAAACGTACTTTACAAAAAAATTTCAGCGGCAGGGATACGAAAATATTTATCTAAAATGTTTGAATTGTTTTACGCTGTTTGTTTGTAGGCTTGAACTGCCATGCCTTCTGAAAGCATGTAAGGACACTATGTTTCGGTTAAAGCAAGCGCAAGAAAATAAAGATGGTGATGAAATTAGTGATTGCTTCGTCATTGATATGAAAAAATTTGAGCAAGATATTGAGCAAGTTATTTGGAAAAGTGATCAACACAACGATTTCGGCTTGGATGAAGAACAGGAAGGTACAACTGACCAGTTAAACGATGAAGACATCGAAGAGATAATGATTTTCCAAACTCAATCACTTCAAAGGGAAGGGAGTGAAAATTTGAAGGAGAGCTCGAAAAATCCATTAAGCCTGAATGAACAACAGTCAAGCAAGACAGAAGCAGATTTGACAGGTAATTATCGAAGCAAGTCTGTTGAAGAAACATCTGTGGAAGATTCAAATCCTTCTGCGTCTAATGGAAAAGAAAGTAAGTTGCAAACACTCTCCAGAGATGATAATCCATCGTATATTACTATTGAAGGTAGTGATGCGTCACCTAATCTTCCTGAAGAAGATGATTGGTCACGTAGTCCTGTCAAACAGACAGGAAAAAAATTGCATGATGATGCTGAGAAAGGAGAGAAGCTCAAATTTAATGGCTCATATGCAAGAGAAAGTATCGTTGAGGAAGATATAAGTACCAAGAGGGAACATTTATCCCTTCCAAACGAACAAAGGGGAAATAAACTACTTCACGATCACTATACATTGACAGAGTCTTGCGAGAATGATACGTTTTCACCTGACACTTGTAACAAACTTGTTACAGGCGGAGAAATAATCAGCAACCCGGACGATGTCGAGGTACAGCGGCATGGGATAAGACAAATTTGTACACTTGAATTGGAACAGTCCGTTGATAGTAATGACAAATTACACCTTCCTGAGGAATTTTTGGAAATTGATGTTAATGTGGATAATTATCCCGAGAATGCCGATATCTATAACGTGTCTACAGATTTGTTAAATGATGCAAATCAAGTCAATCATGATGACGCAGGGGAACTAGATGTATCAGGTGAACCAGATGTATCAGGTGAAATTCAACCAAATTGGTGCCAAGATCTTAACATTTTGGAGGAAAGCTGCAACAAGCCTGGCTGTGCAAATGTGTTTGTACTGGAAGAGGAAGAGAAGCGGGAAAAGGAAGACTTGCAGGGGTCCCCTGGGAAGGTACCTTTGTCAGACAATGAGGAAAGTGAAGACGACACTGTGGAAATGGCTGCAAATGAATCGATCACGTTGATCAGCGACAATGAGGAAGAGGTTTGTTGTGGTGTGTTATTTCAATTCTAGAACTTAGAGTAGTGTCTTTAGGAACAGTCATCGCAAGAAAGTAACGAACAAGTGATGCATACTCATCTTCGAGAGCAATTCGTTTCCGTCAGAGTTGTATTAGAGTCGAAGAATACACATTTAATGCAGTGGAACGAACACGTAAGCACTTTGTTCCTCTTCTGACTTTATTTTCTAGTCAGTAAAATAGAAGCTTTCTTTGCAGTGGCTGAGTACCAGAAATGAGTAGTGGTTAGATTTTTATATCCTTCAAAAGATTTGTTCGACAGTAGATTGCCCCCTGATTTTGTGATATGTCATTTCTTGGCAGTATTGATGACAAATTTGTTCAGTTCGTATTTGTGCATAATGTAATTTCTAGGTCCTCGATGTGTCTCCTCGAAAAACTGATGTGACTATCGTCCCAGAGACACCTCATGGATGGGGAAGCACCTCAACTAAATTCCTATCAACAACCTCTGTCAGTGAAGAAAACGATGTCATTGTAACTGGTTCCTCTCCGTCCAAATCACGTAGACAATTGAGCGAGGAAGCAAACCAATTTCTGTCCAAACTAAGACAGCGTGCAGAACGTAGTATAGGAAATAAGCAAGTGAAAGAAAAGTCAAGACGCAATGGTGTGACTAATAAATCTTCGGTAAAAATGTCAGCCAATCGTTTAACGACCACAGAGAAGTCTCTTGGGAAACGAGACAACCTAAGTGAACCGACTTCATTATCAGGAAATGTAGAGACTTACAATGTCTCACCAACACGAGTGACCTTGTGGGGTACCATGTCCGCTAGTGTTTCCCCAGTGCGAACTCCCCCTAGGGGTTCAAAATCCCTCAAAGGCTCTGAGAACAGTAGTTGCTCGCCTGGAAACCTCAACGAAGAGTATGTTTCAGAAGGGGTCGAGGTTGGAAATTCTCCTTCTGTTTCCCCATTTGTAGACGATGACGTAGTGCAGACTTCTGAAACTTGCAAGAAAGCAAAAGATAAATTGACATGTCCTTCAGAGAGAAAGGAAATTTCAGGGGAAAAAGAATTCGAATCCAGAGGACCCATCAATGATGAAAACATAGAATTTAACGGAGATGAGTTAGATGATGGCATTTATCGAGACTTTCCTCTGTCAACTTCATCTTCTCCTGGCAACATTATGTCGCAGCCAGTCCCCTCGCCGAGCTATTATTTCTTTGATGCCGTTTCGTCTCCAGACTCCCCAGTACCTTGCACTTCCCCTCCATCACAACAGATCGCCTTATCACCTGATCTTGACTCGCCCAGTCTTCCAGTTGATTGGAAGTCATCAGCAGCCACAAGAGGAATGGGTTCTAGTCCACAATCACAATCTCCAGTGTCGCCTTCCGTTTGTTCATTTAGCTCGCATCGTGCGTTCAGTCGACAATTAGAGAATGAGAGGAACCACTCTGTGAAAAAACTGGAGTTCGAACAGAATTCAGATGACAAGGAAAAGCCACGAAAGACAGAAGTGGTGAAGATTGATCTTGACGTGCCATTGAGAGAGAGACTAAAGGCCGCACGCGTTGGTGGAACTAATATGTTCTTTATTAGCGATGCTGATGAAGGTGACAGCGATACAGACAGAGTTGATAGTTATACCAGAAATGAAGACAAAAGCGGTGATGAGCAAGAAAAGAACTCCTCGGCTAAAGAGGAGCAGCAAACAGAAAGCGTTTCACTTGGTGACGAGTTTGATTCCTATGACGATGGGGGCTTCAATGTTGACATTGATGAAGTAAACAAACTTGAGGTCTTAAATGTTGATAGCGATGTAAAAGCAACGGAAAAGCGCCATTGTGATAAAGATGTAAAGGAACACAATCTGTTGGCGCAAGTGAATGCTTCAATGACGAGTAAAGGCAAGAGGAAAGTTCCTTCAAGTCAAGGAAGAGTCCGAGACAGTGATAGCAACAATGAAGATGATGAAACTCCGTCAAAGCGTAGGAAAAAGTCTCACATTAAGTCAATCAGGCAGGTAGAACAGAAGGTGAAACAACCAGTAACACCCATGCCGAACTACATCGAGATGGCCACCCCAGTATTAAAGGTAACAACTTAAACAAATTCATTACTATTAAGAGATATAATAATTTAGATTGGCTCATATCCAACACAGGTTTAGGATCATGTTCAACATGTGCTTCACGAGTGCGCAGTGATGTTGTCACTGGCTCTAGTAAGCTTAGACTCTCAGATTATTTTAACAAAGAAAAGTAACTACTTATGTTTTTGCTTATATTTTTTTGTAGAGTGAGCTGTATAAGTTTGGTGTTCGTGCTCTCCCGAAGAAAAAAATGATCTTGAAGCTTAAAGAGATCTATGATTACACACATCCAAGTAAGGCAACAGTCTCTACAGTTAACAATAGTTGCTCAATTTTATCAATAACGTGACCCTTGTAAAAGGTATATCCGTTTTAGTACGTTCCCTTCTCTTTGAAAGATGAACCACATACACAGGGGAGTAAAACATCGCTTCCTAATGATGGAGTTGAAGAAAGTGGAAATGCAAGCAGTGATAACAGGTGAGAACGTTTGTGTATTTCTACCGTCAGTGAAGATAAATATTTCTTCTTACTCCCGTGTAGCGTACAGAGTTTAACGTCATCCAGAATACTTAACATTCCCACGTCATTCCCAATCAGTCCCGCTAGTAATGTGCTGTGTGGAACTCGACTGCCATAAATGGCTTAACGTGTGTTCACTTCCTTGCTCCCGGTAATTTTTTATTGTGGGACTTTAAACCATTTCAAGTGCTGCACAACCTCACTTTCAAAATCGGGCTAAACGCAAAGCCTTTTTGTGAAATCAGTTTTATTTGCATAAGGGTTAAATAATGTCTTTTTATCAACTTGAAAGCGCTGCACTTACCTGCGCGTTGAAGCAGATGCTTTGTTAATGTTCCTCTGGGATATGGCCTATTGTCTTAGGGAATTAGTTAATACTTTTTTTTTTGTCTTTTAATTTTTCTCCAGCTGCACTGTATAATCTTTCATTTTGTGTTTGTTTGTTCAGTGATCAGGAGGATACAGAATTTGGAGACTGCACTACTCTTATTGAAGATGACGTCATAACAGCATCTCAGCAGGTACAATTCTTCTCGAAAACTTGAGGTTGTGATGCTTGATAACCCAATTGGAATAAAACGCCCTTAATTAACAAGAATATCTTACAACTGATTATAACTAAAGATATCGCGGAATGGAAAGTTTATAAGTTTGAAGGAAATGAAGCTATATTTTGTTAAAACATAGAGATGATTATTTCAGTGTTTCCAACATTTCCAATTTTTCCCTTTCCTAAAAGATCAACGGAGGAGATCTGAGAGAGAAGCTGGCTTGTTACATCCGTGATAACAAAGAGCTCTACCAAAAAGTCTTACAGTTTCAGGTAAAGCACAGAGATCTCTAAAGGGAGAGGTGTTCAAATCTTAACAAGCCTTAAGTTAGATATGTTACGAGTGAATAATGTTATTCTCACTCTCAGTTGTTGAGATAAAATTTTCAGATTTGACTTTCTGTTGAGTAAGAAGTTGATATTTATATCATTTTCTGGTTCTCCTGTGCGTTATTTTTCGAGCGCGGAGGGAGAATTAGGGACGCGTCTTTCCTAAGTTTTGAAAAGAGCGGAAAAGAGAACTGGTCTCACCACGCGCATATTTCATGTGGCACTTGTCTGTTTCCTCACAGCCATTAGAGTTAGCTTCACTGCATCAACAAATTAAATCTGACGGCATCAGTTGTTCTTTGGGAAAACTTGTGGATTTCCTCGACCAGCAGGTGAGAATATTCGTAATAGTTTGCCTCTGATTTTCTTTGTAGAAGAGCTGAGGATTGTATGTATTTGAGATCTTTAAACTTTTGATTTGCAATATAAACCAGTGAGAAGCATACAAAACAAACTTGTTACCTTTGAATGTGATGGGGAAATTTTTGTCAAATTGTATGGCTCACTTTTCACGGAGTTAAGAAATATAGTTAGTGGGAGTGGGATTGATGTGTGATACTGATTTTGCATTTACAATAAGTCTAATGATGAGATTCTTTCTGTGGTTTTTTTTTTTCTACCCGGTTTCCTGTTTGTGACATTAGAAATGGTTGTATTTCAGTGCATCACGTTCACCACTGCTGGTTCAAGACAACCAAGGAGACGAGGAAGAAAAAAGAAGTGAAAATTAGGTTATGGATGAGAACAGGAAAAACCAATAGAATCATCAGTCAATGTTAATTAGCCGGAATTTAATAATTTGTTTTTATTTGATATCGTGCTGTTAATTGGTTTGATACCGATTGCTAATATGTGGGCGCCCTAAAAAAAACCTTGAGATCATGCTCATGTTATTAATCAAACCTTGTAGTACTCTGCAATGAAACAAGGAAAGTCTCTAAATTATTCTTGTCGTTTTCTTGATCTTGATTGGTTGAGATTATGGAAAAACACGTGTAGGTCGTCAGAAAGTCAATCGAAAGAAAGAGACCTTAGGATGGTTGTATAGCCGGATAATTAAGAACAACTCCCCAAGTCTTCTTGAATGGTAAATGATTAGGGTTCTTGTATTTCCTGTTGGGATAAGTGAGAGAAGTGTAGAAAGCATCTGTTTTGTCTAAATATACTCAACAAAAAAGACATTTCGAAAGTCGAAATTTGGCCAGGGGCAGTATAGTCCACCAAAGTTTGCACGTGTAAATATTCAAACTAGAAATACTGTTTCGAATTCGTTACTTTTCATAGTACATGTAAAATCCATTGTTTTGTGCGAAAAAGGTTATCAACTGATCAATATTAATAAAAAGCGTTGACACAGTCAAGTCACGTTTCGCTTGTATTTGCATTTCATTTGAAGCATTATTAGTTATGAAACTTCATCACTGAGAAGTTGTCTTCACTTCTCATTCTTCAGTTGAAAGAATTCGATTCTGCGAGTTGTAGATCTCATAATTTAAATATACACGCTATGCGCTTGTTAAGACTTCAGGTACAAAGAGCTGATATTGTAAGGTATGTGTTTTTTTTCATTTTCTAATGTAAATCTTCAAAAAGGAATGGCAGGTTTTGTTATTATATTGCGCAAATTTATGATTGCTCCTCTGGAAGAGAAGTTTGAATTATTTCAATTGATTCATTTAACATTTCAAAAAGTGCTTCAGATTTAAAACGTATTTCGCATGTAAACGTGGCATGTACAAATTTGAACGTGAGAATAGTTGCATGAAAACAAGAAAGTTCCTTCCTGTTTTGACAGTGGTGTTCAAACCGATAGATGACAAACCATGGAAAAGAAATTCTGAAATTAAAGTTACCCTTCTTTTGATGAAAATATGATCACCAGAAAGCGTCTGCTAAGTAAGGGTGGTCGAATGGGAACTTAACTGCTTTTAGTTTTTAACTGTGTTGGTTCAAAAGTAGGTTGACACGCGAAGTTAACGGCAATGACAGTTGGCAAATCTGAACAGTTTGGTTTGACACATTTTTCCTTTAATTCTTTATTTTTCGTTTTCGCTCTCACACGGTTGAAAGACAACGGCAGGGAGTTAAATTTTCTGCAGTTTGCCTTAAGCTTTTTTCATTTCCCCCAATATTTCACTCCGATTCAGCTCTTATCTTTCCATGCTCCGAGACAGAAATTTCTTCGCGCGAATCATCGAGAGCTCACTCTTTGATGCTGACCAGGTGTTATTGCAGGCCCTATCATAAAAGAACAGCAAATGCACTGAGCAACACAGACTCCATAGGAATGCGTGACGTGCCCGTGGGTCCTAGCAAACAAACGAAATAATTTCCCTGATGCATTTTGTTGCTTGGTTGATCTGATGGTATGCGGAGTAAATAAAAAGAATACGCACGCTCTGTAGTCTATACTGGATGCAGAATTCGCTTTACTGGCCAAGCATGTTGAGAAATTACTCGGTAGCAACAGGTCCGTAATGAAAACTAGTACACGCTTCACGGAAATGTGCAAAGGACTGCGGTGTGTGTTGTTCGATCCAAGATGACCAACTTAAAGTTAATCATTCACTAATAGGAGGCATCAGCGAGTTTGTTAGGGAAGATGGAGAGAGATCTAAGGACTCTAAGAAGATCGAAGGTTTGTAACGTTTAAATACTTTACCATCGTTAAACACTGATAAATAGAACATATGTATTCATTTGAATTACAAACTTCGTGTTCTTGGAATTCATTCCGTCTGGTAACATGGATGCTCTTCTATTCAACTGGAACTATTTTGATACGACATGGCTGTGATTTCACAAATTCATTCTCAGGAATCGATAACAATTTCACTAATTTCAATTTAACTCGTCTAGTGAACTGTTATCACCCTCGAGATGTTGCGTAGGCGGTGAAATTAACACTCGCCTAATTTTGAACCAGTTTATAAACTTGAGTGATGTTGATGTTTACAGAAGGTCAGACTCGCAATAAAAATTACCTGGTATATTCATGGGAGTCAATAGCTGTGTTGTCTGTGTTGACAACACAGGTGAACTCCACGGGATCTTAACCGACCGCAATTGCCCGCTGTTGACAATCTTATTTGATTGATTTGAGAATGAGTGACTCGTCAAACACCTAACTCAACTTTCTGATCGAATTGCGATAACGTTGTGTTTTAATCATAAGGATTAATCTCTTTTTGTAGCAAACCGAACGGGTTTATGAGCGTGCAAGGAAAGCAGAAAAAGATATGAATATAAAGTTTGCATTTGTTAAGTTGGAAACTTGTATTGTACTTTTTAGTCCTAATTATCTACAGTTAATGAGTCGGTGCGAGATGAGATCTGATTTCAGTTCCTTTTCAACTTTTTCATTTATATTGAAGTTTACTTATTGTGCTGAATTCAATGTGCATCTATACTATTCTTAATAGACAATTATTTTAGTTGAAGTAAACAATTTTCAGGCGGTGATTATAGGTAATTACTCAAGAAGAATTAGTTCTTCTTTGCTCTAAACCCTCCTACACACGTGTGTTGACTTTAAGAAGTGGTGATCTGTTTATGTCAGAAAAACCAGCTCTGTGAACTTTGACATTAAGCAATGTTTTGAGAGTAGGATGTAAAACACTTGTTTGTTACTTTGTGTATGTGTGATAGAAGTGTTCAAGTTATTGGAAAGGTACAAGTTGCATCCCTTTTTGTGGAGCTTTATATGTTCTTTTTAATCACCTTGACTGTTTGTTAAAATTTCAGCTTATGAACTATTCAGAGTTTCGTGTAATGACCACAGCTCTTGAAAAGTACTACAAAGATGTAAAAATTGCAATTCTGACAGGAAAGAGAGATGCTAAAGATTTGGATTTGAGGTATACCTTTAGATGTAATGTGCCACCTTTATAAAGCATATATTTTGCCTCATTTAGAATATTATTGTCCGCTATTACTTGGAGTTGGTAGAGGTCTAGTTAAAAAAACTAGAGGACACCAATAATTATATTCTTAGATATATTTTAGGGTGTGGAAAGTTTACACCATACAATCATTTATTAAATATGGCTGGTGAAAAAAGGCTAGAAGAAAGAAGAAAATTCCAGGCCCTAGTTTTGGTATATAAATGTATTCATAAAGAAACTCTAAGGTATATAGAATAATTTTTTTTAAGATTAAAATCTGTAATTATAATTTAAGAGGGTTGGGGACACTTTTAATGCTACCCAATTTCAATCTAGAACATAAGTCATTCCATTTTTGGCAGCAAAACTTTGGAATTCATTACCAATGTATGTTAGAAATGTCAAGGATATTTTTACTTTTAAATGTCTTTTAAAGAAGCAAGTTTTTAGTTTGATTTAAGAATGGTAACTTTAAACTATTTCTTTCTTTTTAACGTTTTTCATTCCATGCATGTTTTAATGAGTTTTTATCACTCCTAGATATAGAGTGGGTAAATAAAGTATTGTTACTGTTGTTATTGTTGTTGTATACATACCTATGAATGGACAATTTATCCAAGCCAGTTAGTTTGTGTAAACTTAACTGATAATTTGTTCCAGGCAAACTATTGTAATTCTTGAATGAAATGATTAATGAATACAAATTAAATTAAGTTTCAAATCACCTCGCCCTGAAGTCCATTTGAACTTACAACATCTGCATGATATTTTTGATGTTACCTAAATATTCCCTTGCAGGCCCTATTTATATGATGAAGGAGATCCATATGATAAACCCTTTTATGGAACGTTGTTGAAGATGCTCTCTGAGGTGGCAACGTAAGTTTGATGTGTTGGTACCCATGATATTTGATCTTAGAAGAGAGCTGTGTAGCTTGGTCGTAGAGCATAAATATGGATTTATTAAAATCAAATGTGGTAGTGTCTCCAACTAGAATCCCTTCTGCCCTCTTCTAACAACCTTTATTCTGTATAATTTACAGTGTTCATTTTTCTACATGAATTGAAACCTTGTCCTGATTCATTATGTTGCACTGCCAGAAAATGCATTAAACCCTTGTGCTTTCCTACCCTCCTCAAATTAATTTCTGGGTTACAGATTATCAACAGGAAACTCTGAGTGAGAGAGTATCCAGCTTTTTGATACACATAGAGCTGAAATTGTGTCTTACCATCACTTAGTGCTTGCTGTACAGGCTAGCTTTGGCTCAAGTACAGATGAAGTACATACATACCCCATAAACAGTGTTAAAACGGAAAAGTTTCTGGGTTCATTGCTGTTTTTAACTGTTAAAACTTGTAGGTCAAAGTATTTTGAGAAGCAACATGAGGATTTGTTGAAGATTTACAAGTGGTACAAGGCAAACAAGAAGTTGATTACATCACCACCTGTATGTTAAAATCTTATGCATTTCTTTGACTTTTTTGTGGAAAATGTTTTATATCATATGTTGATAGAGAATAAAAGCAGTTGCGCTCTATCCCCTCTACTCCTTCACTAGTATATATCAATGTTAATTATGCTCTTTGTCAGACAACAGCAGAGGAGAGATAAGTTTTTGGGATAAGGTTGGCTCAAGGAGAGGATAGAGGGACAAGTATTGACTCCCAATGTTGTGGTAGCTGTTTACAAGAAATGGAAGGTTCATGGAGTACAGGTCATATGTTCAGTTATAGCTGAATTTTTATTGAATTTTTTTGTCTTAATTAAAACCAGAAAGTTCCAATTCCAAACCCTGAGAAGAGTGACAGGAATTCTGATGGTCAGGACAGCTTGGATGAAGATGATGAGGAGGAAGAACTGAAGGCACTCACCAAGATTCCTAAACTACATCTGAGACCAAAAACAGCACCTTCAGTTGAGAGCCGAATGGGAGCTAGATATGTGACTTGGAATGAGGCCCAACAGCAGAAAGGTCCTAAAAGACCTTCATCAGGCTCAAAACTACTGAAACATCATAGGGACTTTGGGAGTAAGGTTAGGGAAAGATTACTTTTGTCTGTCACTTTACAGAGTATAGGTTATATTTCTGTGGGGCAGTAGCTAAGTTGTTGTCTTTAACCTTTTTCACATAGCCCTGAGATCTTGGTCTAAAGTGTTCAAGTTATTGGCACATTTAAAAAGTTAAATGATGTGTTAGAGCAGGATGTTGACAGCAGATAATTAAATTTTTAAGAATTTGCAGGATTCCCTTACAAGAAGCCTTCATATCATTCCTTACGGACCACACCCAAGTGATAGCTCTTATTTAGAACATGGTTATGTGCCTGGTGGATATTTGTTAAGGCCCGGTACTGCACCACCCATGCTCAGGAATAATAAGGTTTGTTAACTCTTTGGTCAGTCAATACCATAAATGAGATGATAGCTCCAGGTAAATTAATTTCATGTCTTGTTCATGGTAGTTATTACTGGAACATTTATAATTCATTATAAAAATTTTTTAATTCTACTGGTACTTTATGTTTTCTGACTGCACATTGCCTGTTTGACAGGGCACCAAATAGGTTAGGGTAAGAAAAGTTACAAAGTTATTGGAAGTTATTGTTTAGCTCTTCATCATAGTCTTTTTTCAAGTAAGAGTTACCCTTTGATTGAAAATAAGTGTAAAATGAACATCTATGGTCATTTTTTTATTTGCAGACAAAGGTAAATTCGGATATGCTCAAGTCATTCATCCTCAGACCAGCAAGCAGCAGTTCAGCCCCATACTCTTCACCGATGATTTCACCCCTGTCTTCACCAAGGGACTCTCCTGTTCCTTCAAGGTGTGAGCTGTCTTCAAATTATGAATTTCTATTTTCTAGAAATATATAGCTTATTATGACAAGGGGTCAAATGTACATTACCAAGTTGTTTCTTGTGCCAATTGCCAATTATTTTCCCACTCAAGGTCAATTTCTTTCCTTATTGAAATACCATCCCTAGACACTTCACCTATGTGTTTATCTTAGTAGAACCAAGTCTCCTTTGACAGCACATTACACTCCTGACATTGTTAAAGAACCGTCCGTAAAATTAGCTTCTGGTATCGTGAGAGACAGAAGTAATTATCCAGCTATAGAGGAGGCAGAAATGAACAGTGAAGACAAGACGAACAGTAATAACGAGAAGACTTCTCCTCCTGTTAATTGTTCAGAAAAGGATGTCATACCGAAAAATTCTACTCCCATGCAATTGGAAGAAATTCTAGAACATCAGAAAAAGGAGGAGAAATTATTAGAGGAGCAGCACGAGTTACTACAGAAAAAGCTCTTACATGACTATGATAATTACATCAAAGACTTGGGTGCAGCCCAAGAGAAACAAGTTGATTTAGAAATTGTCAATGGAGATTTGAGTGTGAAGAAACGATCTACACCACAAGAGGAAAGAAAAACTATGAAACCCACTCCTGTTGGAACTTATGACCTATCTGAACCTGAAGTAATACCTAGTTATTCCATTATGTACTCTGGATCAAGTACAGGTACGCTGGGAGGGGTAGGTGGGTTGGGGCTGTGATGACTCAGCATGTCTGTAGAGAGAGAAAACAGAAACATTTCGTGCCACACAAGGCTAGAGGGGCTTGAGTTTAGTGTCTGCCTCAGATTTTGGGTTCTTCAGGTTTCTAGGATTTTCACAGACGCGAATTAGTTTGACCTCCCCCAAGGTGACCATGTGACATGTATGGAATTGCTAAGTGGAGAAAGATTTATCTCAAAGTGGTTTCTTTTATTCCTTCTGATTACATAACATTCAACCATGAATAATCTTGTTTAGCAGTTTTAGGTTGAAATTAATTTTCTTTTGGTTCCATTAAAAAAGCACCCTGGGGATGTTTTAAGTGACGTCAAATATTTATTTTTTGACCGGACAAAACTTTATTGATAGGGACAACTGTTGTAAGCGCTTGCATGTAAGTTGAATTTCTTACGGTTTCTGTTCATCTTCACTTTCGTAGCCAGTAACCAAAGTGGACATACATCAGAAAATAGCCATCAGTGGAGCAGTAGAAGTGCAGTCAGACATCTCAGACATGCTGCAGTACCTCCACACAACAAGTATGCTCCTCAAATTAATTCTCTTTCTAAATCTCCAAAGAAAGAACTTTGAATCAGTTTTTTTTCTTCTAGAGCCACTCTGCTAATGCTACCCAACTTCTCAGCAAACATACCAAGTATTCTAACAAATTTTTTCTCTGTTACCTTTCAGCGCACAGGAAGTAATCAAAGTAGATGCAGTCCTTGGAATGGTCACACCTATAGGGATGCAGATGGAGTACGACCGGGAGAGGGTGAGTACATTTGCCTTTCGGTGTTTTTGTCTTATAAGTTGTGGAACTTAATTCTTTTATCCTTCAAATGCACACGTTCAATTGTAGGTGAATGGCCAAAAATTATCATCATGTCCTCTGCAGCCAGCCAAAATGGTTTCTGTGGAAGGTTCTACAAAATCTTCTGCCCATACCTCGGTTGATGGAGACTTTTTGGCCGCTCCGGTCCCCAACGGTAATAACCATTCTAAAGTGGAGGACGGGCATAATAACCCTTCGCAAACCGCATGTGAACAGGAGACATTATCTCCGGAGAATTCGTTCACCTCATTGGGGTGAGGTTTGTTCCTTTGTGTGTTAAAGTATTGGTGAAAATTTTATGAAAATTATGGATACACATTTTACTCTTTTTACCGAGAAGGCGCATGTTTTATGGTGGCGATTGCCTGTTCGAGCAGGTCAATTGGTAAAACGGAAGGAAATAGCGTAGTAACATAGTCGGGTAAAAGTACGCGACCCGACCCAAACCGCTCTCTTTTTTTTATTTACGGCATGTGTTAAACACGACAGAAGAGTAAAATGTCTCTTCATTGGTAAATAACAGTTTAGACCAGCCAATCACAAGGCGGGCTGCGACAATAGAACATGTTCTGCGGACACAATGTTAGTTTTACTTTGTTCGACGAAATTATCTCGAAAACGTAAAGGGGGTGCAATATTAGTGATGTCCTGACAATTGATTTGGAGCGAAAGTGATTTGAGATATCAGATCAATGATAACGTTTCCTTTACAGAATAATCTTAATTCGATAACTGTATAGAACAGCGAACCTCAGGAATTTAGCGAATGACACTTTGTTTACACAAGCATATGTATGAATTAATTTTTTCATTAGAAGACTTTTTCACGCTTTCCCAAGATTCTAATTATCAAACCTATCTTACTCCTAAGATGGAAAACATACCAGTATCACTGAATACTTTATCTGTTTATAAATTGCCGTGGGTTGAGCCGTGTACAGTTCATAATAAGCGACCTGTATCCTGTCCTTGTCAGAGATTCGATATTTGTGATACATCGACCAGGTAAACTACGTGCTAGCTCGTTACGGTGTTTTTCCCAATCGGATTGTTTGGCATGTGTGATATGTTTGCCGTGATTTTTACAGCGTTACTCTACCGTCGTGGTCTTGTTCAACTGAAGCAAGGAAAGGTTTATTTTTGCCGAGTATTGCAAGCTCACATTCCGAAAAACTCCATCGTGAACTTCAGAGGTAAAGTGTTTGATCGAAGGATAGGCGCAGTTCATTTTTTGTGTATTGTTTGTGAAGCGACATTCTATGGGTTTGAACGAAATAGCGTCTTACATCTGTATGTAAAAAAGCGAAAAAGTCGTTGGAGATTAGAAACCCTGTGTGGTGGCAACCAATTATCGCCAGTGTTTTCATGGACATAACTACGTAAGTGCCCTGAACTCGAGTGTTTAGTGCATGTTACAACTAACCAACATTAAGGTCACAAATATTTCACAGTCATATTTAGCCATTGTCTCTCATCAGAGTAACTCAACTTTTAACATTGTGTTCTGTCCAGTAACTCTGTGAATTTCATTTTCGTTGCAGTAGTAAGTAAAGGGTCGGCTCTTTCTTTGGTTTCGTCAGTTGCTGGCGCTCTACGCTATATTCCGAGGTTTTATACAATTAAACAGTTAACAGCTAGGTGATTTTTGTATCCATTTGGAGGAATGATTCACCGCCCACATGAATCACAATTTCATTTCTGCGGGGTACTTAACATGAACTTTCCATTATTGCCATTTCACCATGGTGCTTTTGCCTTTTAACAGACCGGCGTCGGACACATCAGATAACAGATCCATTGAACTCAAATATAAGGAACCGGAGCTGATTCCCGAGAGGACCCCAAGAGATTACACTGTACACTTCCCTCAGGAAAAGTCTCTAGAATCAATAACGATAAAGAGCTACAGGACTTCAGGACCAGTCGTACCGGATTCTATCAGATATCAGTAAGTCTTACTGACAGCCTTTATCACGGGATCAAAATCGAAATTCTCTGAGGTGCTCTCAGTACCCATATGTTTCGTCTTTAAAGAGAATGTGCAGTTGATTAGCTTGTATACATTTTCCCCTTATACTCGATGGCTGGTTGGATTAAAATACTTGAACCTTTCTAGTCAATTTTTGCGAGAGACACTTTTGTTGAACTGATCAGGAAATAGTTACCGGCTTGTGTGATCTACAGTTTGAACTATGCGTGAGTTTTTGCATATTCGAGGACATATATTGTATCGAAACATTTAACTTTCGGCGGTGTTAGTTCATGAAGTTCCAACAATTTTTCAGGATTTCGTATAAACATTTATTAACAGTCTTCTTAAGGTCCATTGTGCTCAAGTGCGGCACGAAAGTGAGATTTACGTTGGAAAATGGTACAGATCTTTTAGTTATTACCTGAGGCAGGATGTTCGGAACAAAACACAATAAACTTGTGATCTTCTGACGCTTTCTTCTTTGTAGATGGACCGATGATGGATTTGGTAACAGAACATACCTCAAGAAGCTTAAGTAAGCGCAAATATTCAACAACTACTAGTCACAACAGTATCATTTTTTCATTCCATGATATAGTTTGCTTAATAACCCCTCGATGACTCTGACTTGTTATTCGGTAGGGGACCGACATCTCCGCGCAGTTCGAGAAAGAAACTTCAACAGCCGACCAATCAGGTGACAATGCCCACCGGTAGCCGCTCATTGGACAAACGAACTCTGGCCTCCCTTGTGGTAGTCAGACATCTTGGTGACGCAGATAGAAGAAACATGTAAGAATGTTTTACCCTCGATGATTTTTTTGTCTCACGATGATCTGATATTTTAACACCTTTTTTTACATCCTTGCAGTGATTGCATATCAGGGCCACAGGGAGGAAAGCTTATTTTGGGTCCGGCGGGCACCGAATCCGATAACATGGATTACGCCTACAATCTGGAGTACCTCTCTTTCTGTCAGCCTGTGGGCCCCAGGCTCGGTAAGTTAAGGGCTAAACCAAGATCCTTTGAATGCATGAATTTATCCTTAGCACTTAAAAACTTTAACTGAGTTTTTAATGCTGGGTCCTTCTAACAGGCGAATGTGAAAACCCGTCAACAGTAAACTGGTATTTACAAGGAGGACATGGACTTTACCGCGAGACATTTAAGAGCCAAGCGGGAATTAGGTACGAGTAACAGCTCGTGTTTTAGCTGTGGAATGGTAATGCTAAACGCTTGTGTTCGTGATCTCACTTACGTACAATTCACTCACATACGCACGTAACTTACGCAAATAGTTGGTATCGCATCACCAGCGCGATCAGGAGTACACGCTTCTTGATTTTCTCATAATCACTAATGCACAACCCCAGGCATTTGATTTTGTCAGCCTTTCATTCAGTTTATATTCGAAATATTCAAAATTGACTCCAGTTGCGATCTAGGTGATTTGGCATGATGCTTCTTCAACATACTTCTCTGAGCCAAGGGGTTTCTCTGAATATATTTTTGTCTCGTTATTTTAGCGATGATCTGAAGTCTCGTCGTACTGATGTACGAATTCCTAAAGACAACTCCCTCATGGTTAAAGGCCGACATTTTGGTGCCGCAGATGAACCCAAACAACAAGAAAAACCGACCTGGGAACCACAGGAGTTGTCATCACCGTCCACTATCAGCTTGGACAGCGGTCACAGCAGCGTTACCACGAAAAGTAAAGGTTCTAAATTTACTTAAGACTTTGTTATCCATTCCTGATAACAAATTAGGGATATTTCGATTATTAAGCAAACAATTACTGAATACCCCAACCCCGTACCTTTTGTTCCCTCTAGACACATTACGTCCCTCGTCACCAGCTCTTTCATCTCCACAAGCCCGTTCGTCTTCACCGGCCTCGACTTCACGTAAGGTGATCCCTATCCCCACAGCCAGTCGCTCGTCCAGACCATCCTCTGCCCGTAGCACGTGCAGTGCACATGGTGCAATAAACACTTCCAACTTTTCGGTGCGGGACTTTAAACACTTTTGTTGGGATGAAGAGGTAAGTCTGCTATCTATGACAGTACCATTGCAGAGTAACACTGTTCTTGCTTTTTTTTTTATACCCTTAGAAAGCCAATTTTGTTACGGTCATGATGTTTCAGCCAATTCGAGAAAAATGTTTCAGTGATTGTGTGTCGTACATCCTAGAAAGTCGTCTAATCGAGAATTGTGATTGGTCCAAATTGAGTCCAATTCACTCTGTAATCAGACCAGTGATTAACAGAATGGAATGATCGTGAAGCGGGAGTTTCATTATGAACAGTGCTGGACAAGGCAAAATCCGGCCACTAATTAGTCCAAACCATAACAGAATTACTGAAACAAAGTTCCCTTCTGTTTGACAAATTCATGAAAATAACAAGATAATTTGGTTTTATCAAGTTAGTTCATAATATAAAAAGGTTTTAAATTTGACGTGTCGAACGTTAGCTCTTCGCCAGAGTGAAACGTAATAGTTAACTTTTATCCACGAGAAATGAACACAGAAGTTTACATTGGAACGCGCGCAAATGACGAATATTATCTAATTACAATTGTATGACGTATAAGCTGTCTTACTGCACTGTCCAGTGACCTGTCCAGTGACATTCATGACGCATGCGCTATCCGCTTACTGGTCAAGTTAGGCCGTTACTAGCCAATCACGTTCGATAATTTTTTTATAGTTTTGATTAACTGCGTTTTGTAAATTTTTCATTACAGTACTTGCTAATGGACGACTACATAAGGCAAAGAGAAGTCTGGGCCGCCGTTAATATTCAGCGGTCAGTGTTGCATTAAAAGAGATCTGAAACGTTAATCTTTACACCTAAACTCCTTTCATATGTTTTAATTCTTAAGAGGTGATCTATTTCTTTCTCCCAAGCAGCAAGTATATAACTTCAGCTATAAGAGTTTCTAGCAGTTTTTGTATTGTTTTTGTTTTGTTTGACTATTCAACTATTATGACTTAGTGAAGTTGTGGCCTCCCTTAAATTCTTCCCTCCGATCCTGCGCCTTTTTTCCTTCAGTTTAGCCATATAATTGAACTTCCTCATTATTATAAAACATTGCATGTGTCTTTTCTCTATGCCACAGGATATTCCGAGGTTTCATAGGAAGACAGTATGCAAAACAGCTGAGAGTAGCAGACATTGAGAGGCAGAGAAAGGCAGCTGTTATGCTACAAAGGTTGGTCAACAGATTTGTGTGACGATAACAGCAGCTACATATGAAGCAGTAACTCTTTAAAATTTCTTTTGGAAACTTATATTTACCAAAACTTTTCATATAAATTTACCGACGAGGATTAGCTCAGAGTAATTTCATGTTTGAAATATTTTCTGAGAAATGACAAACGAAGGATCTCTGTCATTCGTCAGCGAGTGTAAATTCATTCTTAGAAAGGAAAGGGGTGGTTGTAGTCACAAGTTAAAGATGAACATTCCCTCGTGTGATATATGACGGTGTATACCAGACAGGTTGGTGTTAACTTGTAAATGTTTTAAATTTGCAGTAACTTTCGCGGATTTCTTGCCCGGAAAAAGGTAATGGAGCAGAAAATACAAGAATATAAACCAAGTTCACGTGACCTGGAATGGGCTCGAAAGTACAAACAGGATCTGAAAAAGAGGGAAGAGGCCAGAAAACAGAAGAATCAACATGCCATGTTTATGTGAGTCACACTTACTTTTGTATCTTGTGTTTGGGTCAGGTTTAGGGTTAGAGTTAGCAGGTCGCCGCATTCCGGCCTAGTTGTCCCACAATACCTCTCTCTGCAGTAGGGAGCGTATGTTAGCGACCGCTCGTCTACTAATTAGGATAACGTTACCCGACTCTGTTCCAGAGAACAACTCAGCTCACTTGGTATATTGTGCATATTAATTATTTTGCAGGCAAAACAGAGAAGCTGACAAGCATGGGCAACAAATAAAACAAGTGCAGGCTCATCAACTTATTTTTGAGTGAGTAATGTTATTTCTTTCTTTTCTAATGATTATGTATAGAGCCACACCCTGCCTTTCAGTGAGCGTGATAATAAACCATGGAAGTTGATTTTAACTGACTTTATTAAGTTGTCTGTTGTTCTTTTTTCCAAGCGTGTTCCATCCAACACCTGAGGGTCCAACTAAAGCCCAAAAGAAAGCTGCTGCTGTCACTATTCAAAGGTTACGTATCTTTGTGTTTCCCATTTAGTTAGAAAGGTTAAGGAACTATGTGTGTTCTCCTTTTGCTCCACCTTCAAACTACGTTTTTTTTTCATTGCGATACTTTGCTTGCCGTCTTTAGGTATTTCAGAGGCTGGTTTGTTCGTCGAATGCTTGAAAAATCAAAAGCAAAGGTAATTATAAGTAAAAACGTTACCAAATGGTTTTTATTCGTGATTTCTTTTTCAGGGTGGAAACCTCTTATTAAGCTCCCACGGTCTATATGTCACGATGAACATCTTTTACCAAAAAATACATCCTGGAGAGTTCTGACGAGTATCTCAGTTCTTATATTTCATTACTTTCTCGGAGAGAAAAGCAAAAACAGCTTCCATTCCATAAATACCTTTACATTCTACTAATTGGGTTTTTCTGTTCTAAAGGCCTTGAAACGGACCTTGTCTTTCAACAAGTTTATTAAAGGTTACCAGGAACTTCTCTTCAGGATTCAAAAGCGATACGGTATAAAAGAACCAACAACTGCACTGGAGTTTAACGAACTGATGGAATATGTCGAGCGACTTAATAGTGAGTCTGTTATACTGGGATGTGCTCTTTTGGTAAAACATTTCGTTCTTTTTCAGCAGACAGTGTTTGTTGAGAGGTAAAACTGGGAAAAGCGCTTTTGAAAGATTGTGGAAAAATCTCCTAGTTTTGGTCTTATTATATTTGTTATCAGTAAAGCAGATTCTAAATATGCTTGGCCTAAATCGAGCGGCATTCTGGTCCTCGATAAGTTAAATTCGTTGGCCATATTATTAATTGTCAGTTAAACTAGTATTTATTAAAATTTTAGTTCTACATCGTTATCAGATGTTCCAATTTAGCGATTTTAAATTTTTAGACACGATCAAATGTTGTTTTTTTCGTTTTCTAAAGCAAGTAATCAATTTTTTTCGAGACATTCTTTATTATTATTATTTTTGCAGAGTACGAAGTAGCATTTGATAAATTTGCCACAAATGGTGTCTTGCAATATAACGACATCAAGGAGTTCTTCAAGTCTGTTGGCCATACTCCGTCCCAAAAGGAAATCGACGATGCTATTGAGCTTGTTACAAAAAGTAAGAGACCATTTCATGTAACGGGGGAGAGGGGGGGGGAAGGTTTACAGTAGATGATGTCAGATGTACCGGTAAACAGGTGTTATTGAAAATCCGGAATTACAACTGTTTGCCGTTGAGTCTTCTGATCATAAAGGAACTTATGTTACACTGCTAACAGTATAACACCTCTTTACGTCGCATGGGACTCTAACCTCAGCTTTTCTTGTTTCCCTCAGTGTCTGCTAAAGGTCGTGCTCTGACCAAAGCTGAAGCAGTAGAGGTATTATTTCAGATTTACGTTCCAAAAGGCACAAAAATGAAATTATCTGACGTTCGTAAATCTACTTGGCTAAATCCACTGGACGATGGAAGGGATATTATGCAAATGTTGTCTAAAAAAGACTTGGAACAAACCAACCTATTGAAATGTTTGGAAGTTGTGGCTGGTGCAGGAAAGGAGAGCGATGAGATTCAGGACTTGCTTCGACCAGGATCAGCTGCGGCGAAACAAAACGACAAAAAACAACAAGGAAAGAAAAAATCAACGGCAAAAGCACCCCGCAAAGCTATCTTGGCCCAGTATCCCATGCGGCCGTCAACACCAACTACAAAATCTCCTAGGCCTCCATCGGCAAAAAAGCCCAGTAAAAGATGAAATTGGTAATAACCCTGTTAACCCACGTGAGGGCAGATTGACCAACACTTCAGACGTAAAGAAATAACATGAATATTGCTAAGAATTTTTAACCCTCGGCAAGGCGTGGCGACGTTTCCCATACTGGCAGTTCAGACAACTGCTTGTTCTGCCTTTCTCCTCGCCGCAACATGCACTACGACGTCACAACCTGACTTTGGGACATCCAATTTTTCTCGATTTTTTTTTCTTTTTTGCATGACAATACTCTGTACCCTCTTTGTACTTTTGTGCTTAGCATAGGCGTAGCATGAATATTATGATTGATAAATTACTATAGAATGAGAAGAACTGAAATATAAAGAAACTTTTTTGTCATTACACTCTTGTTGTTAAACAGCAAATTAGACTGAAACGATGAAAAATAAAGATAAATTAAAATATTACACTGACTTGGAACGACATATTTTTCAACTCTTTACTAGTCTTTTGAAAGCACAGGCATGGATCAAGGACGAAGGAAGAAGCCGAGAGTGATCAAGAGTTTCTACCTCGACTTAACATATCCCATTTTGTTTTATCACATCTTTAGAGTGCCGTGACTATCGTAAAATGAAAACTTTTGAAACTTGGGTAACCTTTTAGAATCACATTACTGTCTTGCACTTGAAAGTTATTCATGTTACGTTGGTTTACTTCTTGTAATCTGCCTTGATTCTGTCACGATGGGCTTCTTTTCTGTCCAGTAGTCGGGTCATCTTTGAGAAAATTTTCGACCGCTGAGAAATTTTGGGAACAAATATAATTTCTGTTAATTTAGGACAAGATAGGATCAGTTCATTGTCTCCTGTTGAGGACAAGCGAAGAAAATTGTGTCAGAAGATATGAGGACGCCAAGAATTGATCCTCTTGTGCCTCCCCTCCCTCTCCACGTCCCATTCCCTACACTATGTCACTTTGTTGTCACACAATTCATGTAACCGCTCCTGGTACATTTGCCGCCAACACGTTCAGTTGCCCACTGAACGTGTTGTATCGTTACATTTTTCCAAACATGCCGAACATTAAGATATTTGGAGGGAATTCTCATCAACTACTGGCGAAATTGATTTCGGAACGGCTAGGGAATGAACTGGGGAAGTGTGTGTTGAAAAAATTCTCGAACAAGGAAACCAGGTGAGAGTGCGTTGTTACTGCCTTCCTTCGGTTTATGATGTCGTAAGAGCTCAACTAGTTTACAAATGCAGCGTCGTGTTTTGTACCTTTTTAACTTAAAAATCAAGAGTGATAATGGGGATAAAACGGAAACGAAGGTCAACTTTGGGAAACTGAAAATTTCTCAGTAATGATCGTAAAATACATGAGGATATGGGAAAATCTTCCTGGTGCTGCTATCATACGAGTCTCGTGGTGAATTTCTTCGGTAAAGTTTGCTCAAAATACACAGTCTGCTGATTTATTTACCAACATTGCTTTTGGATTTCATGTTTCACTGGCGACAGTTAGACCTGTGGTGACTTGTCAGGGTTTGTTTCACGAACAGACTTATTTCCTACGACCTAAATTATTAGCACGTGGTTACTCGTCTATCTGTCACAGTTCATCATAAATGTTACCTGAATAGTCGTCAGCGTTGCTTGTACCTCAGAAAAGTTGGTTCTGATGTCGTCATTTCTCTTTTTTAGGGAAGTGATACATAAGGGGAAAGTGTTATTTCAGTTTTCCTCTCCAGAGGGTAGAGTTTGTTTTTTGCTCGAAAATGAAGCGGCGGTAATGTTCATGCATTAAACACCATAAAGGAGTACCAGTGTTGTACCTGAACTAATCTCGGTTTTCATTAATCATAGAAGGTTATCAACATTGTTTGTTCAATAATGTAGTCAATTCTGATGTCATTTGCAGCATTTTGACTTCACGGCTGCTGACTGAGTTACTGTGTTTTATTGCACTTTCTCATTGTTCTGTAGTGTTGAAATTGGTGAATCAGTGCGAGGAGAGGATGTCTTTATAGTGCAAAGTGGTTGCGGTGATGTGAATGATAATTTAATGGAACTGTTGATCATGATCAATGCTTGTAAGATTGCTTCAGCCCAGCGAGTCACAGCTGTTATTCCATGCTTTCCATATGCAAGACAAGACAAGAAGGACAAGGTCAGTAAAAATCATGCTGTTGATACCTAAAGGAAGTTTCATGCAAAACTTTGTAACCCTAAGCAATTACTTGGTCACAGGTTTAGTTCAAATGAAGACACACACAGTAAACTTCCATTAACTGTATTTAGTGCAACAAGCCCCTTAGTGCAGCATTAACAATTGTCTCAAAGGCCTGGGCTCAAAACATGTGGGCTGAGACAAAACTTCATTACAATCTGGAAGGCGTTTTAACTCATAAACTTAAATGGTCTTCACTCTCTCATTGCTGATGCTTAGAAATCTTTTGTTTATCATTCAGTATTGTCTGGAAATGTTGCTTGATGGTTTTTTTAGGGTGCTAAAACCAGCAACTTTCTGTTGTAGAGTCGTGCACCAATTTCAGCTAAACTGGTGGCAAACATGCTCTCAGTAGCTGGTGCAGATCATATTATTACCATGGATCTTCATGCTTCACAGATACAGGTATAAACAAGAATTAATGAATGTTGAAAAACTTACCACAATTATTTGAAGCTTAATTACTCAAGGCATAATGAGTTCAGTTGAGATGATTATTGGACAATTTGTATTGAGCTCAAGGAGACTAGTTGGTATAGTATGTTGCCCAGGTGATTATCAGAGAAACTGCATTGTCTTTCATCTTACTTGTGTGCTTATAAAACATCAAGAACTTGTGTGACTGCCGTTTTGGAAATGTTTCCTTTTGTAGTATTATCGCTTGGTGCAAGTGAGTAAAGGGAGACATAATTTGGGTGTGCACATTCCTGTTATTATTTAAGCAATTGTATAAATACTTATTGCAGACTGAGATACCCTTATGTGTATTTCAGGTTCATTGAATTTCTGATTGGAGGTAGAAACTGAGTTTATAATATGAAGCGAGAAAATAATGGTTGTTAAGTGAAAAGTGTTAGTATTTTTAGTTTAAAAAAGGGAAGTATTTCAATTCTTACTTGCCACGAATTAATTACCAACAACGATATTAATGATTTAATTTAGTTAACCCTTTAACTCCCATGAGTGACTAAGAGAGAATTTCTACCTACTATATCTAGACAATACTATGCAGACAAGTGATGAGAATAAAGAAAGATATCAATTATGGGATTACTAATTGATCTGACACCAAATTCTCCAAGTCAACATAATGAGGATTGTTTGGCAGACGGTTAGGGAGTTAAAGGGTTAAACTGATCTAGCAGTGAAAGTGGAGCCAGTTTATTTTCCATGGATTAGTTTGGTAAATTATTTATGATACAGGTCTTCTCTTCATTCCAGGGTTTCTTTGATATACCAGTAGACAATTTGTATGCTGAGCCTGCAGTGTTAAGGTGGATCAGAGAACACATTACTGAGTGGGAACGAGCAGTTATTGTTTCGCCTGATGCTGGAGGAGCTAAAAGGTCTGAACTGCACAGACACGAGGCTACAAACTCAACTTGTATCATTGCAGGAGTTCCCTGGCTATAGACTCTTATATTCTTTCTTTTTGTCAATGCTTAATTTCAAACAATGCACAACACCTTGGTCAACCTTTGGACTGATGCAGTTAACATAGGTATCTTCTGTGTACATGGAGACCATTTGTAAGTTGGTATGGGTATGATGGTAGTAAATGCTCTTTATCAATGTAGAATTTAAAACGGTTGGTGTTTTTGCTCACTCAAATGCATTTCTTGTGGGAAAGCCAGTGAAGGTGCCCTTGATCAAGCAATCTAGCTTTCAATTAGAATGCAATGAAACCCAATTTAATTATTCAGCAATGGTATTTCTTGACTTCTTTTGTTGTTTCAGAGTTACATCCATAGCTGATCATTTGAATGTTGGCTTTGCCTTGATTCATAAAGAGGTAAGGTTTGTAGAAAACAGCATGATGCGATTTAGTTGGTTTTTAATGCAGTTGGAAGTGTAATATCATTTCATTACATTCCTCAGTATCAAAAGCTGCCCCCCCCCCCTTATGACTATAGTTCTCTTTGCAGTTTAAGAGTTTACCATGTGTTGTGCCACACCTATTTGCACATTAATTGTCCAATACAACAAGTAATTATTCTAATGTTATCAGCTCAGATGATAGATGAATGTGCTGTTATTTTGTTGGTTTTTCATTTTCCAAAAAGTAGTCACTCAGTTGCACTGGGAAGTAAAATTAAACAATCACAGCACAACTCATTTCAGACTGAAACATGAAATCCATCTCAGACTGGCCTCCTTGGGAAGATGTGATTTTCCTCCCACAGAAAAATAAACTCTTGTCTGTTTGAATGAAAATTGTTAATTTTGCATCTGTTTGTAGTGTAGAAGATCATCTCTAATTACTTTTTATTTGTTGCTAATCAGCGAAAAGTTGCCAATGAAGTGGCCAGTATGGTTCTTGTTGGAGATGTTAAAGATCGTACAGCAATACTAGTTGATGACATGGCAGATACCTGCGGAACACTAACACTTGCAGCTCAGAAGTAAGTTCTCCACCACAAATTGCAAATGGACCAATGTCCTAAGAACTTCATGATCACTTGTTGATGTATTCTTTTCATCAAACGTTTTTAATGTCACCTTTACCAAGTTAATAATGTTCAGTGGAGAGGAGTAAGAGAGAAGGGAGTTTGAAAGTAGTGGAGCTGCTATCCTTTGTATTCCCTCTCCTCTTTCTCACTCGTCCCAACAAAATGAGAACTTGGAACATATTTTTTTTTATTATTATGTTGGTGGATTTCTCAAGCGCTTACCCATTCCTTTTGTTATTCCACCAGACTGAGAGATGCTGGTGCTGCCAAAGTTTATGCTATACTGACACATGGAATCTTCTCTGGTCCTGCTCTGCGGAGAATTGAGGAAAGTGATCTGGAAGCTGTTGTAGTCACAAATACCATCCCACAAGAAAGCAAAATGGAAAATTGTGCAAAGATCAAGGTAAGAAATCCCTCAGCCCCTTGATCCCTAAGAGTTACTAGCATCCAATTTCTCCACATATTATCACCCCTGAATTACACGTTTAGGTTGGAGAATAAAGAAAATGATTACCAACTGAAGAAGCTCTTGATTGTTGAACAAATTATCCTTGTCAGAACCTGGAAAATGTGCAAACTGATGTTGGGGTGCAAAGGGTTCACTTACAGATTAGTGGAGAGGTGACTGAGTTCACATATGACTGGTGTTCATGAAAGTTCTGTCAATTGATCAGTTTTTCCAGTTGATAAGTGGATCAGGCTTAACACTGTACAACTTTTACTACTGATAGGATGATCAACACTACAAGAAAAATCAGTCAGAAGGGTAATCTGTATCAACAATGCATTTCATTTTGATTTTCCTTGTTTTTATTTTTTTAATTCCCTATCTTTCTGTTTTGTCCTAGTGCATTGATATTTCCATGATCCTTGCCGAGGCTATTCGCAGAACACACAATGGTGAATCAGTCTCTTACCTGTTCACTAATGTTCCCCTTTGAAAGACATAAATGTGTGTACAGGGAGTTTGGGTTCTTTGAGTATTTAATAAGAGTTAACAGATTATATTTGTTATGGTCAGAATAGCAATTCATACGCGTTGACCAGGTAACAGTCCTCTGAGCTTTGACTGATGTGGCCACCTAGGCAAGTAGGAAAAATGTAGTCAACTGCAAGTTATAATAAAATTATGTAACAAGCTCTAGCATTGTTATGTCATAGCAGTTATGGTCTGAAGTTTAAGTGAGATAACCATTTGCTCAATCTGTCACCTTGAGTGCCCAAGTGGTAAGCCTTGACATGTCAAGTAAACTTCCAAAACGTCCGTCTGAGGATTTGTCAACCTCGCCCAAATTTTGTCAAGTCGCGACAAACCATCCGCACTTTTAAAATGTTGGTGATGACAAAAAAATTTTCCAAATAAACAAGTGTTTCGCTTGTGCGGAGAGACCCTAACGGTGATAATTACTAGCTGATGTGAATTTAACATCTGTTTCACCTGCCTGAAGTGTAAAGACGTGGATAGCAGTTATTTTTCAACTTTACTATCATCATTTCCCAAACTATTCTATTACTCAAGTAAGTCCTTTTTTTTTCAAAACCAAACTTCTCTTCCATATTTTAAAGCTCAAGTTTGATCAGATCACAACAGAATTGTTCTCTAATTTATACAGAAAAAGTCCTTAATGTACTTTAAACTACATAATATAAAAAGTAATTTTCTTTATGCGCTATCTCAGATGCCACGATCGATGCATCTCGATTGTCAACTCTGGACATTGCAGAGCATAGGTAAAAAAATGACGAAGAATAGATCCAGTTGATAACTTGGTTATCTTTTCTTATGTATGGCGTTTACTGTCCATATTGACATCTACTAACAAAATTCTTTTGACAACTTTCATTTTACTATCAGCCATGGTTACTCTGTCATAAGAATATGTAATTTAAAGGCACGCCATAAGGTAACGCTTCCTACTACGAGCGTGCTCTTCCGTTTGTCCTTTTAAACTGTATATTTCCTTTCTTGCATCTTTTGGGCATTCTAATAATGAGAAAAATGAAAAAATTATCAGCAGAATTCTCAGCTGACCCAAGCCAAATTTTCAGGCGTTTAGCACCAGTCAAGAGGAGGTGATAATGTTACTTACTTTTATGGCAGTGAGGTCCAAAATATCCTGTACCATAGCAATCACAGCGGTAGGAAGACTGACCCATCAGTTGGACACAATACCCATTGTTCTTACATGGATCATCTTTACATGGATCCTCTGAATAATAAGAATTTAAAAATTTGTTGTTATCGTTACATTGCTTGGGAGCATTCGACGCAATCCTTCCTATGGAGCAATTAATCATTTGACGCATTCCTTCTCATGGAACACGTAATCATTTGACGCATTCCTTCCCATGGAACACTTTGTTGTGTCAGTCTTGGATGGCACTTACCCCTAACCTCGGTTCGTGTTTAGTTTTGGAAATATCTAAGGGGTTTTTCGCTGGTCTGTTACCGGAAGTAAAGTAACCAATCTTGTTACCAACCTAACTGAAGCGCATTATCTGCCAAACAGCTTTCCAGTGTTGAGTAATTAAAGGGATTGTTACAACACAACGCCTGATCACAGCGGCAGAGCCCGTCGACCACGTAACATCCCTGATGCATAACGGGGCACTTTAGAGATCGTATACAGGTCAGCTTTGGGGCTGCATGGAATTCTGGAACTGCAAGGTATAACTTAATTTTGAAAAATAATCCTTCTCAAAGGAAAAAAAAAGCGTGAACAGACTGGGTAAAGTCTTACTCCAGTGGGTCTACTTTTGCCCTCCTTCCCTCCCTCCCACATACCTGCGATATGAACAGATGGTTATGTTGTCTGAAACTTCAAATTTATTGGGTGTAGTGTTACATTCTAGAATCTCTTTGCCTAAAACATTACGAACAGGGTGAACACAGTGTAAACACAAAAGCATCGATCCCTCGCGAAGTTTTGAAAATGATCATTAAACTGTTGAACTAATCCATCGAAAGGGGAGTGATCCCTTATTAAAGTGATATTTTTTCTGCGGTCAGAATGAATTTTGGCATTTCTCTGCGGCGTTATCCAGGATGAATGTTTGTCATTTGGTAAGGAAATGTTCATTCTATCATAGATAAACACAAAGTTAAGGTGAAACAACACCTACCCTCTACATAAAGATAGTTTTTTGTAAGGTGATCCAGCCTCTGTTTAACGCCAACAGATTTGTATTACAAGCATTTTAGCTTTTCATCTAAATCCATCCTTCCTAATCGTAAGCTCAAGTACTAAACGTTAATTTTTTGTATACAGGACCGAGAAATCAAACTTACCTAAGCACAAAAGGACACAAACACTAACAAAAGTCTTCATACTTAGTAGGATCCCACAGAATGAAGGTTCGGCTCTGAAAGTGCTGGGGAAGGACTGCGAGACACAAATGAGGGGTAAATTGAAGATTTCGGATTTTTAACCTTCTGGCACAGAAGCAAAATAAACTGCAGTCAGACCACTGGTTTGTCATCAATTGGATGTAAGCCAATCAAACGTGACAATAACAGGATCCTGTCAATCATTATGTCAAGGTAAGATCAATTACAACTACTCAGCCCTCTTATTGAAAGCATTTATCCCGGTAAAGTGCAAAAACTGGCATTATTTCTGTCTTTCAATAACTACCGGTACATTAGCGGAACATCTGACTTAGGATGAGATCAGTCCTGCTGGAGATTTCTAAAACACAACAACAGTAATCATTAACATGCCGGAACCAAACCTGGTGTGTGTGTCCTGTACAGGTTCTACGTATCTGTACATTTTAGAAAAGAAGAATATTGACTAGTTCATCAGACAATTGATACCCAGAAGCTCTTAGAAGGAATTTGAGGTCAAAAGTTGGCTCTAAAGATGAGATTTTAACGTGATTAATGCCTTAAGTTTGGTCACTATACTATTGTTCATTGCTATATCAGTGTCCTGCTGACCGACCTGCTGACCTCACTAACAGAAATAGAAATTGGTAAACTTCCAAGGTATTGAAAAATTGAATGGTCGCTGTGTACGGAAACAAAAATACTTTAACTGAAGGAATGCGAGACGGGATGTCTTGCTGATAAGTGAAAAGACAAGTCCGAAAAAGTGTAAGTGGCTATCGCTGAGTTAACTGATACCTTTCATTGAGTCTTGAAACGCGCATGCAATCCTATTGAGTGCTTTGTTTTATCTCGTCGCACGTTTTCAGCTTCGTTTAATAACACGTGAAGTTATGTTCAGGTAAAGGAAATATCGAATTTACTCAAAAGATGAACCTGCGTGATGGCATGATACTTCGATGTTATTTCCGATTCCTTTTGACTCTCGTTTGTCTTTCTTGTCATTATTGTTTTTTTTTTCTCTGGTTATTCTGTTCCCTTTGTGTTACGGCTGACCTCCACAAACCTGTTCATTTTCTGTATTTGCCAAACCGTGCCAATTGTTTTTCACACTGCGAAGTGTTCTGAACTTTGAGTGAATTGGACAACCCCGTTACCAGTGAGACTTGAATTGAGTCTAAACTGAAACTGTTTTTAATCCTCTATTTTATCAGTTCAAAATAACAGATAGACAAAACCGCAGACAATAAATAAATACATAGAATCAAAATCTACTTAACCTTCATTAAAGTTAGCTATCATATCTTTTGGACGCCAAACAAGGCTACGAGCTATTGATAATAAATTAAATCTGAGAGTAATATTTGATTGGACTTGACCAAAAACATCTCTTTGTGTCAGGGGCGACAGTAACCTTCTGTCAAGGCAGAAAGATAATAACATTAAGACAATACACTACAGAAAACAACGAATGTCACAAGTAATAGAGAAAATTATTTTGAATACAAGTTTACCAACATTTTGTTTACGCACTAATTCTAGTGATCGATAATCATACCTCAGCCAAACCGAAATACCTTATGATAACCTAAAAATTTTGGGAGTAAACTAATATAGCTACAGACACCTTTCATGCTCCAAGGTCTTCCTTAACAGCGCCAATTCTAAATGAAAATATTAGAAAGACTAAACGTTTGCACTTTCTGTAACAAACTTTAGCACTAAGTCCTACCATTCCTTGTATGGCCAAGAACAAGAAAAAGTCATTTTCAAAAACAGGAATTTTTACACCGCGATTGAAATAAGCTTTTTCTATTGGATGAACGTGCCACGTGACACAGGATTGCCTTTTGGTAAGATAAATGCGGTTGTCGCGTGTGTAGAACAGATTTTTTTTTTCTAATTAAAAAGGAAAACAGCTAAGTCTGGGGCTATATCCTCAGAAATTCTTAAATTTTAGGTGCTAGACGATGATTACAAAAATGAAAACCCACAGGAACTATTCAAGGTTCTTTCGCATTAATCTTCAGCAATAAAACTCACTGTTACCCTTTGCCGCCAAAATAAAATGTCAACAATGCTTATAAGAGTTTTAATTAAACCTTTCGCGTTCTAATTTTCAGGTCGGTTTTCTTTCCACTAATTTATTACAATTGTAAAACCTGATATATATTTTGATTTGAAATTCGTTACATAGTAATAATTATTGGTAATAACCCTTGGAAAATAGTAAACATTAATGCTTAATTTAGTAACGTACCACCAAAAATACATTTCGTAACTCTGGAAATTATTGGAAACTTATTTACAAATACTTAAAAAAACCGAACCAGACCAACGAACTTAATCAGTTACAAAAGGTACTAAAACTGAATTACGTTTAACTTTCGTGTATATTTAATACAAGTGCCATGAAATTAGTAAACGCTTTCACTCTCACAAGTGACCAGGACAAAATATCTACTTACAATATCAAGCAGACAAGTGTCGAGGGAAAAAAAACAATTCAAAGATTATTTGTTGATCCAATATCAAATTCACCGAACTAACAGCTTGAGAATTGCATGGCAGACGCTGAGGAGAATTACTAATGAGAACTTGGGAGAGAAAGGGTTACGTGCCATTACACTGCTGTCGTGAAATGTGAGTGTTACTGTTTATCTACAAATAAAATGAGTTTTGAAAAAAACTATTTTAACCCCTTATTTGTTGCTTTGGAAAGGTGGGTCCTGTTATGTGAAGCAATTTTAATCCCATAGACTTACAAGGACACGGTCACTTTCCAATTATTTCGTAAAACGTAACCTGTAACGGCATGGCTGGCCCTCTGTAGCGCCATGAGATGGAAGACGTCTGCACAAAACTATACTGAGGCCCCCCTCGCGTTAGTTATCCAGTGATACAAATTGTAACACTACTGCACTTTTGACCTTATTTGCACCCCAAAACAGGACCTTACACTTTCCATATCTATAGTCATCATGTGACCGACACCTGCCAAACCATAATATGGCTCCTCTCATTGGTTGATTGACCACGAGTTGTGACAGATATCAAATCACCACCTTGCTCTTCCAAAGCAGTCTCTTCGTTGTCTCCCAAACGGAAATCGACGTACCCCTCTCCCCCTGATAACACTAAAAGCATGCACTCGGTCACAGTCTTCTCTGGGCTAGACTTAGCAGGTTGACCACTGGGACTTGTTGATCTGTTGGATGGCGCTGGTTGAGAGACTCTCTTCATAGAGCCTGGGACGGCTACAAAGAACTTCACTGAGTCGCGGTGACCGTGAAAGGACAACTGAGCGTTAACCTGAAACAAAAAATTCATTTTGAAACGGGGAAAGTGTGCCTCTCATGCTTTAGACATAAAAAATTGGAATAAGAGAGCTAAAGGACATCCTCTGTAGTTAAAAACGGTGATGGAATTGCAATGAAAAACAATCATCGATGCACGAATGTTACCATACTCACCATAGAACAGTAAGGCATAAAGCTTGAGCCTCTTGGTGTGTCTCCATCTTTTCCTTCGTTGCTGTACACTCTAACCGCTCCTCCTGGACCTCCGGTTCCTCCCGTCCCCGGGGAACTTGTTTGTGCTTCTCCGTCATCCCTTGCGGGACGTGCGGCCACCAATGGGACCGACAAAATAACACCATTTCCCGTTCCCACCCAGAGACGGTCATTGGTTAACATGAGCGACGTAATACGTACAAACGAGAAACCTAATTTTCCGGTTCCTGTAAAAGACAAAACAAAGTACTGTAACATTCAACAAGAAAGGTTAAATATTTAGTTGCACTAATTATTAAAACGCGGAAGCAATGAAAATGTATATGGAGTAGCTGAGATGGTTAGAAAGGCTGGTAGACGGGGAGATAAGCAAGTGAGCAAGTTGATGGAGAGGATAGGCGAGTAGTAAGTGATTAGTAAAAGGTGAGAGCGAGTAGGAAGGTAAATAAATCAGTGCGTGGATAGGTAGGTAGGTAGGTAAGATAGGTGAGAAGGTAGGCAGGTAAGTAAGATGGGTGGAAAGGTGGGTAGGCAGGACAGGTGAGAAGGTAGGCAGGAAAGTAAGATGGGTGGAAAAGTTGGTAGGTAAGATGGGTGAGAAGGTGAGAAGGTAGGATAGGTGAGGAGGTAGGTAGGTAAGTAAGATGGGTGGAAAGGTAGGTAGGTAGGATAGGTGAGAAGATTGGTAGGTAAGTAAGATGGGTTCAAAGGTAGGTAAGTAAGATGGGTGCAAAGATAGGTCGGTAAGATGGGTGAGAAGGTAGTTTGGTAGGTAAGTAGGATGGGTGGAAAGGTAGGTAGGTAGGATAGGTGAGAAGATTGGTAGGTAAGTAAGATGGGTTCAAAGGTAGGTAAGTAAGATGGGTGCAAAGATAGGTCGGTAAGATGGGTGAGAAGGTAGTTTGGTAGGTAAGTAAGATGGGTGGAAAGGTAGGTAGGTAGGATAGGTGAGAAGATTGGTAGGTAAGTAAGATGGGTTCAAAGGTAGGTAAGTAAGATGGGTGCAAAGATAGGTCGGTAAGATGGGTGAGAAGGTAGTTTGGTAGGTAAGTAGGATGGGTGGAAAGGTAGGTAGGAAAGATGGGTGCAAAGGTAGGCAGGTAAGTAAGATGGGTGGAAAGGATGGTAGGTAGGATAGGTGAGAAGGTAGGTAGGTGAGATGGGTGGAAAGGTAGGTAAGTAAGATGGGTGGAAAGGTAGGTCGGTAAGATGGGTGAGAAGGTAGGTAAGTTAGATGGGTGGAAAGGTAAGTAGGTGGGATAGTTGACGAGGTAGGTAGGTAAGAAAGATAGGTGGAAAGGTGAGTAAGTCGGATAGGCGAGAAGGTAGGTAGGTAAGTAAGATGGGTGGAAAGGTAGGTAAGGAAGATGGGTGGAAAGGTAGGTAGGTAGGTTGGATAGGTGAGAAGGTAGGTAGGTGAGTAAGATGGGTGCAAAGGTAGGTAGGTAAGATGGGTGGGGAGTTAAGTAGGTAGGATAGGTGAGAAGGTAGGTAGGTAAGTAAGATGGGTGGAAAGGTAGGTAGGGAAGATGGGTGCAAAGGTAGGTAGGTAAGGAAGATGGGTGGAAAGGTAGGTAGGTAGGATAGGTGAGGAGGTAGGTAGGTAAGTAAGATGGGTTCAAAGGTAGGTAGGTTGGATAGGTGAGGAGGTAGGTAGGTAAGTAAGATGGGTGGGGAGGTAGGTAGGTAGGATAGGTGAAAAGGTAGGTAGGTAGGATGGGTGAGAAGGTAGGTAGGTAGGTAAGAAAGATGGGTGGGGAGGTAGGTAGGTAGGATAGGTGAGGAGGTAGGTAGGTAAGTAAGATGGGTGGGGAGGTAGGTAGGATAGGATAGGCGAGAAGGTAGGTAGGTAGGATGGGTGAGAAGGTAGGTAGGTAAGAAAGATGGGTGGGGAGGTAGGTAGGTAGGATAGGTGAGAAGGTAGGTAGGTAAGTAAGATGGGTGGAAAGGTAGGTAGGTAGGATAGGTGAGAAGGTTGGTAGGTAAGTAAGATGGGTGGAAAGGTAGGTAGGTAGGATAGATGAGAAGGTAGGTAGGTAAGTAAGATGGGTGGAGGAGGTAGGTAGGTAGGATAGGTGAGAAGATTGGTAGGTAAGTAAGATGGGTGGAAAGGTAGGTAGGTAGGATAGATGAGAAGGTAGGTAGGTAGGTAAGATGGGTGGAGGAGGTAGGTAGGTAGGATAGGTGAGAAGGTAGGTAGGTAAGTAAGACGGGTGGAAAGTTAGGTAGGTAAGATGGGTGATAAGATGGGTAGGTGGGTAAAATGGATGGAAAGGTAGTTTGGTAAGATAGATGAGAAGTTAGGTAGGTAGGTAGGTGACATCAGTGAGAAGGTGAATAGGTTGGTAAGATGGATGGAAAGGTTGTTTGGTTAGATAGGTGAGAAGGTAGGCAGGTAGGTAAGATGGATGAGAAGATGGGTTGGTAGAAAAGATGGGTGAAAAGGTAGGCAGGAGATACTTACCTAACATCTTGCTGACATATGGCTCAATATCAATATCCTGTAGATGGTGATAAGTATGTGCATTGTACAATCTCAGTGTACTATCCAAACGAATGGACACCCACACACCATCTCCTATCCAGGCCAGCTGACGAACCTGACTTTCACGTCGGGGATGAGCATCAAATGTTTTCTTAAAAATTATTCAGAGTTGTTGGTTAGTTAGAAAACTTTTTCAAAAGCAAAACCACTTAGTTTGAAGGCAGTTGGAAATAAACAATAAAAGTAATTCCATCTTTAAGCTATATTAACATATTCGACTACTATGTTACAGCAATTGGTCAACCCGCATGAAACTTGTTGTGATAATTCCCATGGAAAAGACAAGCCTTCATCTTGAGTGTGGGGAAAGAGAAACAGAATGCATTAAATAACTTAGAAAAACGAACAAAGAGATCTGAGCACTGTAAAAGGGAGGAAGGAAAAGACCCAAAAGCACCTTGACTCACACATCCTGAATGAGAGCCTTTCGACAAGCTTAGTTCTCCTCATAACACACCAGAGTGCTGAGTTACTTTACTACACAACATACCTCTACTTTCATGCTGCGGGGATGAATAACTTGGATTTTATTGCGATAACCACACCAGACTTTGTCGTGAACTACAGTCATACACCGAATGGAGTGATGTGGTCGGCCAAGATCAAGCAAGTGATAATTGTTAAAGTTCCACTGACCATCTAAAATTAACAAGGTCATTTCTGATTACTAGAAACCAAAATGGCCAAACATTAAACCTGATCAGAATAGAAGGAGAGAAAGATGGCAAAAGCAAAGGTAGACATACCTGAAGCCCTATGAAAGATGGCCACTGTGCCATCAGCAAGAGCAACTAAGACACGGATTTTCACATATCTACAATATAAAGTTTGGCAGAAGATAACAATAGAAGCAAATTATTTAAATTCTGATGATCATGTTATGTTACAAAAGAGGGATAATATTCGTTGATGGCACATAACTTGCTGGTAGATCCCTGACAGACTTTTTCAAGACTATCATTTTATGCAGTTACTTTTGTTATTGCTTTTCATGTACTCACACTATACTGAGGACTGAGTCCTTGAGTCTAATGGAATGGATGCATTTCTTCCAGTCAGAAATGGCAGAATGTACATACACACTGCAAAGGAATCATTCAACAGTATATTGTACACATGACCCATTCTTTAGTAGAATATCTTGTAGACAGACAGACAGACAGAAAGAAATAAAGATCAAGACAGATTCACTCTCATTAAGAAACAGCTCGTATATCATAAACCATTCACACACTTTGTGACTTACCAGCCAGATTGTGCTCCGAGCCACATGGTTGGTAATACACTGCTCATTTTCTCAACTCCTTCAACTGGTGCGGCTCCAGGTGATGTACTTTCACCAGCTGTGATGTCTGTTACTGTTGGTCCATCTGATCCTTGGGCTGTTTGTACTCCTGAACATATCACAAACAACACAATGTACCATTAAAAATCACAGAAATGATGTCTTCAATTGTCTAAAAATTGCAAAGTATCAAAAGAGTCTGTTTTAACTGTACCCAGTGGATCACTGAATCCTGAACCCTCAGTGGAATCAGCTTTGTCAGGGTTTGTCTGTAGTGGGTCTGCAATGAAGGAAAAGTAACTCTAACACCAACTCTGCAAATCCAGTTATACTACATTTGTGGTATGTGTTTATTGATGCACTACAAAAAATAAACCCTTTAAGTAAGAATAATGCTTTGTTATCTGTGTTCAAAATCACTTCTAATAAACATCTATGAGGACTATTCAATTTGGATTAATAAGTGTGCAAAGAAACAGATATAATCTTTACCTTCAACTTTCCATTCCGAACTCTGATAATCCCCTTCTGATGCACCAGGCACAGGAGTGATGCACAATAGATGTGATGTACACACTATAAAGCAATCCAGAATGTTCTGAGGGTAATTAGCATCAACAACAGTAACCTTACTGCATGAGTGTGTGCTGCTGCCAATCCAAACCATAGACACTTTTGGCTCCAGCTTTGGGTCCATTCCTGTTTCATCTTGGTCACGCACACTGTCTGTGTAAAATACACTAGTTGCACCAATGACTGAACCACCATCTTGTGTCTTCCCACCAGACAAATCTACGCCAGCTGCACACCAGATCTGCATCAAGATTACAACTGTGTTTAGTACTTGTTCTTTCAATATGATAAATAGAAACTATAAAAGTGTACAACTAGTTCCTTTGTTTGAGGATGAAAAGAACATTCACTGATTTAATATTGATAATTGATTTTAAGAGGCAAACATACTTTCATCCCAGGGTCATTAAGATTAAGAGGCCTGCAATAAACTGGTACAGGGACAGACACCAGGCTTTTTCCTCCTTCTGCAACTTCTGTTGAGTATTTTGCCGGAAGACTCCAGCCATAAGCTTGCATGCGACCCTCAGCAACATCTGAAATCAAACAAAAACTCTGACATTGAGGATTGATAATGCATGGAAAACACCATCTGTTTGTGAATTATGTACATAAGATAGAAGCATAGAAAATGAGGAGGATTTATAATATCACCTGAGTTGAGAAATGCCCTCACTTGTCTGTAGCGTTCCCTTCTCTCCACAAGTCGCTGCCGATCAAAGCTAAAAGATGAGAACAGTGAGTGAGTATGACAGAAAATCATTTTGGAACCAGATTTCTGGGCTTTTAATTTCTTCCTTAGAGTGGGTTTCATTACATCATAGCCTTTCATGCAGTTTCAACACTGGTAAGTTTCCTGAAAGAAGGCCAGAACTCACAGTTTACTCTATAAACCTAACCTTAATTACTTTTCATTTTTTGGTAATCAAAGCTAACAAAATACATTTGTAATGTAAGTAGAAACTAGATGCTAATAAGAAAAGTTTCTCACTTCTCACTACCAAATCCTCCACCACTTGCGACTGCAATTGAGCCTGTAGATCCTGAGTTTACAGAGCTGCTACGTCGAGATGAAGGAGATGACTCTCCCTCCCCCTGAGGGGAGTTGTACCTGATGCTGACCATGGTTGGGGCAGGCTTCTTTGGCGAGGGTCCAAAAAGATTGCTGAAACTGATTCAACATATTATGTTTGTTACTTTAGATTTCAGATATGCACAAGTTTGAAAAATATCAGAATCCTGAATCTTAAAAACAAATGAGCAACATACAATTTCCAAATGGATGATTTCTTCTTTTGTTGCAGTTCAAGGTTTCTCTCCTTTGATGCCCTAGGAAGAAGAAAAGGAACACTTTCATTGAGACACTTCAAATTAAGTTTACCATTTCCTCTGAAAACAGATGGGTTGGTTTTCTTAGATTATTAAATTCTCAACTGTGTGATGTACTACATAATGGAACTCATCATCATTAAATAAATAGAAGAAGTACGAAATTAATAAATAAATATTGCTTGGTCAGTGTAAAAATAAAAAAAAAAGTCATTGGTACTGCAAAAATAAGGACTCAACAAACTAACAATCTATCAGATAAATACTAATTAACATAGACTAATTCAACTGTATCTGAAGTCATGCTGTTCTCTACACTTATTCACACCATTCATTGAGTTATTACAGACTAAGTGATCATTTCTTGCCTGAAATTACCTGATCATTTCTGTCCATCTTACAGCCTCTTGCAATTCCATCAATCTTTCTTTGTACTGGTTTCTTTCCATCAATACTCGGGCCATCTCAACTCGCGTAAACCTCTTTCGATGAGCTGCTGACACATTAGCCTACAAATGATTAAGTCAAATATTTTTATCAAATCAAAATGCATAAACAATTCATTGTTACTTCTCAACACTTGTTGTGACATCAGATAAATTTGTTTGCAATTCTTGCAAATGAATGAAAAAATGCCATAGAAAAACAAATTCATTTATATATCTCCTCAAATCATGAATAATGTTTTGTCTGTGGTTTACCTCTTTTAAAGCCACTGTAGCTTTTTCTGCATCCATTTTCACCCTGTAAACAAGCAGGAGATTTTGCTTTAAATTTTCTGATCAGCAAAAACAAATTCTACCTGTAAAATTTGTGACAGAACAAGTAGCAACAAAATAAAATCATAGTCAGAGTAACACAGAGGCAATATTAATAATAAAAATTGCTTTAAGGATCACTCAGTCTATTTTAATTGAAATTTTCCCAGGTTATGCCTACATGAGGATTACGACAGTAACTTGAAAAGTCTGCAGAATGAGTAGGATTTTAGAAGTTGGGATTGACAGTTCAAAATAACATTAGCTAATGCATCCAGCAAGTGTGAGGGTTGAATGTTAGCCAGGTTAATTTTTTTTTTGCATTTTTATGGTGCAAGATAAAACTGTCTATAAATTAGTTACATCTCAAAACAAGGAATTGGTTCTGACCTTTTCAGCTCCTGTTCAATCTCTGAGATGTGCTGTGATAAACGACTCTTGGTGTCTTGAAGTGCTATCACTTCCTCTCTTGCTAGTTCCTTTTCACTAAAAAAAGCAAAAAGAAAATGAATTAGGAAAATTCAGAACAGAACTACAAACCACAAATTTCGAGGTTAAGACAAAAAAGTTGGAAGTGCAATTAAAAAAATGTGGCTCATTAAAGATGAACAGACCTCCTTAACACAACAAGGCATAAACAAAACCATCACCTTAAAAAAATTCAAAATAATATCTACCTAAACAAATCAGAAAATAGTAAGTATTGATCAATAAAGACTTACTTGGACAACTCTTCAACTCTTTTCAGAAGATCATTCTTTTGAGTAACAAGTTTGGTCCTGCAATTAAATTGCAAAAACACCAGTAAGAAAAACTGATATTGTCCACGATACTCTCAATTTCACACGCTTACTTTGCAGTCAGCAATTCTTTATTCTCTTTTAACACTGTGTCCAGTTCTCCAACCATTGCAGTGATGTCTGCACCAGTGTCTACCTGCCCAATGATGTCAGGTTCTTGAATAGACAGCTCAGCAAACAAAGAATGTGCACTGACACCTTGAGGAAGTGTCTCCAGATCCAAAGATATGGGGCGCTCTCCACCCTGTCTGCTACCCTCTCTCCTAATCACATCAACAGGTGAAGACCCAGCGTTAGGTATCAATTCAGGTGTGGAGGCCATGATGGCTGCAGCATCATTACTCAGGTGAACAAAGCTTCCATCTGGAGGAGTTTGAGATTCTCCAGAAATCACTCTTTCAACATCAGTCACTGTCATGATTGGCATGTTGTCAACATCTGTAAGGTGACAGGTTCCTGTATTTAAACTCTGTAGTGAACTGGTTGTGTTTGATGGTGAGCCTTTCACAATGTCTCCAATGCTGTTACTATCCAGCTTATCACCACTTATGGCAACAAAACCACTACCAGGAGATCCATGAACATTTTGGGCAGCAGGAGAAACTTCTCCAACACCAGTTTTTTTCTCAGTCTCACTACCTGCAAGGTAGAAATGGAACAAGTGTTAATTGTTAAGAATTACACTCTTAAATAAGGTGTTACATGTATATTCACGAGTAAATACTCACCTCAGCTTAATCGGCAATTCATGAGCAATCACAGACAAAATCAAGGAAAAAAGAAACAAAGAAGGCTACAAACCTTTCCCTTTACCAGCAAGTTGTTCCTCTTCAAGTGACATCTCATTGCTGTCTCCTCTGTGAGGTGATGGAGGTACAACCATGTCACCATCAATGCTCTTGGGTCCTCCTGGAGAGGTGCCAGGTAGCAAATCTGTTAAAGAGTTGACAGGTGTTCCAATGGGAGAGCGTGGTGAGTCTGTTGAGACAGTTCTTGGTCTGTTGGAAGTGAAAGGAGTAAAGGATTAAATCTAGCAAGTACTCAATGCCAAACAACAGAAAACATATTAACTACATTGACTTAGGAAGATCCACAAAACTTTTCAATCAGGTGGGATCTCCAATTTCAGTCCTATGACCTCTCACTACATTTTTTGACTTCTGAAAACTTCCTAAAGTACTTAATATCCTCAATAGACTCCAGATACTCAATTACACTACTCACCAACGGTGAAGAGATTGACAACAACAAAGGAAAAATTCATACCTTGAAAACTAACTTCCCACAAAAACAAGCTCATACTGAAAGATTAGGGAATCATTTGTGAGTTCACTGTGAGTTATGATTGTTACCTAAAAGGAGTCCTGGATGGTGTATCTGCTGTGGAGCCTGAACCTTTTCTGTCCTCTCTCTGCAGCCGCTCCATGTGTTGATGGAGTAACTGACACAAATTTGCAGAAAAAAACAATTTTTAGTTTAAGCCTGACTAAATTTTTAATTTTAAACATAGCCCTGATCAAATGCTTCACGCATGCCACTCATATGTCAAACAATTATTACCTGTGAAGCTCATTGTCAGTAACTAGATCAGCCAAGTTCACAATCACAGCTGTAACAGACTACTGACAGGGTTCTCACCCTCTTTTAGACTGAGACAAATTTCAAGGACTTTTCCAGAACTCAGATTGATCTTTTAGGACACCACATTTCACCTTCAACCCTTCATTCCCAAGATTTCAAAATCAATTCTCCTTATAGTCTACATACATTTCCTTTAACATATATTCTAAAACCTTTATTGCTTGGGTTAAGCAGATTTTCAGGACCTTTCAAGACCTGTAGTCTTTTTCTAGGACTTTTGAGTCCTTCAAAATGTGAAAATAAAATCCCAGGACCTGTATGAACCATGTACTGATGGGTTAAAAAGTCATTTTCAAAGAGACACAAAATATTTGAAAAAACGTAAATTTAGTGACTTACAATGTTGCAACTATGAATTAGAAATGTAGTTAGGATTGGTTCATATGCACCCTATGCATAAATGGCAGACTTGATTAGTATTCTTTTGCCTTCACATAGATTAGCCCAATGGGCCTTGTCAGTTTGTCTAAAGAACAGTCACTCCTTAACTCAAAGATAAGGTTAGTTGGGTTAATTTACTTGACCACAAAATAATACCAGTCAGGCCTGCCATGTATACATACTGACTATTAAGCACAACATTCCACTAGGACCTGGTTAAAAACAGTTTTTCACGGACTTTGCTATTCTTGCCCCTTTGTGGTTATTTCCAAGCCATGACATTTTATATTAGGACAGTAGTCTGTTGTTTTCCAGGTCAAAACATCACCCAAACAAAAGGTGACTCACCTCTGAATGTCTTTCATGAAGAGTATGATATTCACGTTTCATCTCTGATATCCTTTCATCCTGCCGTTCAACTTAAAATAAGAAATTTTGTCAGCACAAAAGAGACTTTTTTAAGTCACTATTTAGACTACAGTGATATGCTAAAATATTTTATATCACTAACTGTGGTCTTGGTAACTTTTGATTCGAGATTCCAGACTTTTATTGTCATGCTCTAAGGTATCAATCTGCTTGTGAGATTCTCTCTTTTCAGCTTCAATCTGATCCTCTATCTCCAGATATCTCTGAAATAAAAGTAAATAAATATTTTCTTATGTTACCTCTCATTTCTTTACTGACACTAATTAAAAATTGTTTCACACTCCCCCATAAAAATATTATTCCATCAAGGGCCTTGTTAACTAAAACCCACAGACTTGCATGTAATTGTCTGTTTATTTTGGGTGGATTGTAAATTAAGGCAAAATATTGTACCAATTGAGGTTAAACCAGGTCAAGCATGACATGACATCGATAAATCTTAACATTATTAACAGTACAATTTTTTCAACCATTAATAACCAGCAAAATATAACCAAACAGTTGGCAGAGAAACCACCAGCTTCTATTTATAATGATGAAATAATCTCAAGGTATCGGTTACAGTTTGCTGTTAAGGCTAAAAGGTATACGCACAGTTTGACAACACAATAATTTAAGTAAATGTTTATACTACTTAATTATGTCCTAGCCATCATCCTCTAATAATTTTCAGCCAAACATGACAAAAACTCTCAATATCTTAAAATTTTTGGTGCTTAACAACTTTTTTTCTTACTAGCCCATGAAGCACTGATGACCAGGCATGTATCTGTTGCACAAAAAAATATTTAACATAATTCCAAATGGCCTAAAGAAATAGCCACATTAATTTATGCATAGCACTTTCAAATTGGAAACAAATTTTAGCATTAAATACAGTCAGCGACTGTGGTAAATATACCGTGAAATGAAATTTCATTTACATGGTTTTAATAATATGGGAACGAAAAAAAACACTGAAGTCTTTAGAATCAAAGCAAGATTATTATTTTCGAAAAGACAACGCCTTCCCTAAATGCACTGTCAAAAATGGAACAACAAAAATGGTACAAGAAAAAATGATTTAAATAGTTAACATCAAAAGAAAGATACATAAATTTCTCATGTACACATTTTTCCAATTCCAGTGGTAGAATGCTATTATTTGTGCTGGTGTGAAAAGAGAAACTATTACTAAATCTCAAATACGAGGGGCTGATATATATAACAATTTATGTACAAAAACATAAGACATAGCTTCCCCTAACCGAAAAATTCGCCGGTAAAATACTAAAGGATTAATTTTACTTTGGGGAATAATTAAAGAGGAGATAACATATACCACTTACGTTTTCCGCCAGCTTTCTGAGTTGCTTTTCCCTTTCATATTGAGTAATGAGCTGCTCGTTATCATCACTCAATATTTCCAACTCAACTAACTGCTCGTTGTTGTCTCCATAGGCACTATCCAGTTGTTCTAACACAGACACCATAAGTGGCATAAGTCCTGACACAACGTCTTGATCATATTTTTGAATCATTCGTTCGAACTCGCTGTAAATACTGTTAGCGAGATTGGACACTCTTTCCGACATAACTGTAGCGCCTCCTTCATCTCCACTGGAGTACACTACGTCGTTTTTCTCTTCTTCGCCCTCCATATCGCATTGATTTCTTTTGAGAAAAAAGAAGAACACCTAAGCTATATTCTCTGGATAACTGGTAACAGATAAACCTTGAAAACAGTCGTTGTTTGCCATTATTCCTCCGCTTCCCTTCACAGACATCTTCGCGAGATTTCCATAATGTGGGGGGGTCTGGTAATGAAATTTTGTTGATGCTCGCTCAGCCAATCAAAATTCATCATTGGAGATAAAAATAATTCAATTAAATTTTGTCGAGCATCTGATTTTCTTTAAGAGTTCTATAAACGTGGGCGAACCTGACAACAAATTTCAGCAAATTTTGTCATTTTGTTTAGAGTCTGAGTACATCAGCGTATTACAAGAAAGAAAACATTTGACGTCAAAAAGGATATAATCTATTAAAAAAGTTATCTTCTCAAGAAACCAAACAGGAAACATCCTGACTGTTTCAATAGGAAATCAGGGTGTGTAGGAAAGCCTAGAGTAGCCTGCGATAAGGGTGATTTTTCTCGACCTTTCCATAAAGACATGTTTGTGCTTTAAGCTACTATTTTTCAGTAACTTAATAACACAAAGACGATATGATTCTTCCTTCGATCAAAGCACGAACCCCATTGGCTCTTCATTATGAGCTATTTTAAGCATCATCATTTTCTACCAAAACTGACAAAATGACGCAGACCCAACAGACTAGCGGCAAACTCAAAGTCTGCACCGGTTGCAATACGACCATTATTATTCCGGATACTCAAATAAAATGAAAGCAGAACTAATCAGATTAGTAAAGTAGCTAAACTTACAAGGCAACAAATGATTGTTTCTTATGGATGATTCCTTATTTTCCAGTAAAAAGATAAAAGTTACTTTGTTTTGGCCTTGGAAGCCATTTTAATGCACCCTACAGGTCTAAGATTGCCTGCTATTCTTCAGAGAGCAATCAGCCAATTTGCTCATGGCTGCAACATGTAAACCGGCTGCTCATGCTCAGGCTACTTAGATTACGTTCCACTTATTACCACTATGAAATGGTGGAATTTCTTCCAAAACTGGCGAGAACAAAAACGGAAATTACCTCAGTGTGGCTACATGAAGGCATTTTTGACGGATCCTTGTCGTTGAAACACACTCGGATTGAATGGTAACAGTTGGACTTTACTCAGTTCTAGTGGCTAATTTCTGTATCAGGACTCTTAATGTTCGGTGTAGGGAAGTAAAAATTCTGGCTGCTGGAAATGAGTTGGCACGAACATTTGCACACCCATTTATAGTTTTCTTCACGCAGAAAAAATTCAAATTAACCCGGAATAATTCTAAGAAAGTAATAAATGCAAAACTCCGTCGAAGACACCTGCTGAATCCATCCAATCGCAAGTTACTAACTAGCAGCTAGCTTGTGGTGTTCCCGCCATTCCCGTAAACGAGCATGCACATGTAGTCTGAGGATTGTCTTAAGTTATGGGAAGCGTAGATTTCTTAATAAATTAGAGGTCATTACTGATTTGGTTTTTTTCTGCACGGAGGAAAACTTATTTACGACAGGGAATTAATATGTTGAAATGTTATTTTACTTTTCTCTTATCCCCATCCCTCCCCTCCCCCCTTGCCAACCTTCCCTGACATTTTGGTTGAACAGGTCTGAAAAAAAAAACCAATCATAGAGGGAAAATATCAAATGTACTCCTGTTTTGTGTATCTAAGTATCTATTATTTGTTTGTATATTTTCGTTCATTCAATAATCTTTCCATTTGTCTGCTTCGCAGCCATTGTTTGGTCTTGTAACGCAAAACCGTAAACTAATACATTAATTCTCTTATTCTTCTTAATATTTTGCCATTTATTATCTATCTATTTGTCGATTCCTTTCACGCATGAATAATAACCACTTAAACGTTGCGTTACTGATTGAAGACACGGAAAAACACATGGTACTACGTGCATTCTATCAGGTCATTATCGTCTGAAATATGCTCCTCAATCAAATTGAAATCAAGAAGTTTTTCTTTCAGTTCAAACGGGGAAAATCTCTTGCGTGGAAAGCGAAAACATCGCACTATAAACCTTGCATTGTCCTCTTTGTTTTGAAGAGTATGAATAATAATTGTATTCAAATTAAGCAAACTGATTGATTTGCATCGCAAAGGGTTACGTGGATAACACTCATTCCCTTATTGAATTTTTTCATGCCTGACCAAAAAATTGAGCTCTTGGAAACCGCGTGGAATGGACTAAACTGAACCCGTTGGGCACGGATATCCTCGACGAAAGAGAAAGAGAACGTAACAACGGAGTATTAACGCAGCTGAACCAGCAGCAAAGAACCTCTTAGGTGCACACAAGAATACAACTGATCATCACTGGACCGAGTACAGCGCTCACTCAAGTGATTAAAATTTATTACATACGCATATTCTTTTCCCTCGAATCGAAAATCTGCTTTGTGTTTCACTGCTGCCGGCGCAGAACTTCCAAGAAACCCAGTTGAAGCCGTATAATGTACACAACCTCGGAATACTCGATGAAAACAATGGGCTTGATTGCAAATTTGCTTTGCCTCTTCCTTGTTGTTGATGCGTCACATGAAAACCGAGGAGGAAAAATCGACGCTTTGGCCGACAAAGTCAACTTAAGCGACAATTATGTCGTTGAATGGCGCATTAATGAAAAGGCATCTAGCGTGGAGTTCAAAATCAACGTTATGGTCGACGATAAAGGTTGGGTTTTGCTAGGATTTATGGATGTGCCGAAAAATCAATCTGCGGCCAAAAGTAAGCCGGGAAGCATAAAAGATTCTCGCGGAGATTTTGTGATCACTTGGCCGACCTCTGCACCAAAGGAGAGGACCACAGTGGTATGATGCCTACTTGTTATAAACGACTTTCTAATATCACGCCCACTGGATCCAATTAGGAAGGTTAACTTATCTATACCTTGCTCTTTCAATTGGACGAAATCAAAAGCACAAGCTATTTGGGTTTCTGGAGGGATAAGGATAATTCAGCCTAAAAATAAGATTTTTGCATTTTAAATTTAACGGGTATATTCCATTGTGACTCAGGCAGACGCAAAACTGAACAGTTTCTGTACTTCTCTCGATTCGGCAAGAAGCGCAGATAAAATAATTCAGAGAAAACATTAATCCACTCGGAATTTTTTGTCCTTACGTACTATGCTTTGTTTCCAGTCAAAAGAGAGGATCTATGTAGAATGATTATCATTAAGGTAGTTATAAATCAAGGGATTATATTGCTGATCCCCTGACCGGACGCCTAAATACTGCAGAGAGTTGTAGCCCCCTACCAAACTCTTAGGGCCGGTTTAGGTTAGGGCCGGCCAGAGTTTGGCCGTTGTTCAACAAAACCTCGTTCTAAACTATCTTGAATTTTCTGAATCTTTTATCTAAACAATTCTTTTTGTGAACAGTGTAATAAGGGCCGAAAGCTAGCAGTAGAAAGACATTCATTTAATGAAAACAACCCTCTTAGAGAGTATGTGTATGGCTCACTGCTTGCGTAATACTGCGGTTTGTGTTACAACCGGCTCTTGAACTTCGCAGGAAAATACCCCTTTATTCTCATCGCCTTAAATTAGGCCATAGAGGTTAGAGCTAGTCACATCTTTTCCAGTGGTACCTGATTCAAACTCTTACCACATACTTGTATTTTTCAGGACGCGAATACAATGGAAAAACCTGGTGAATTAGAGAAGGATGAAAATTCTACTCTGGATTATCAAGTGACATTGGATCAAACAACTACAAACAAATCAAGAGGATTGGTTCTCAAAATTACAAGGAAACTGCAGACTGGCGACCCTCAAGATGTGCCCATCACTGTAAGTTAGTTTTCTTAAATTTTTTCAGAAACGTTATCACAAAAAAAGGCCCCAAGAAAGGGGCTCTCTTTAGTGTGTCTGCCATTTAGCCTCTAACCTGTGAACTTGTACTGTATTCTTCCCTGTTATCATCACTTCCTCTCTTTTCTTAGAGAACAGGTTCAACTATTAGGAGAGTAATCCGCACCATTGTAGCAGCTAGTTCATTTCACTTTGAGTCTGATATCAACGAATTTCCTCAGCACATGTTTAAATATTTTCTTGAACTCCTCAAGTTTGTTGACTAGATTGCTAACCAAACCGTGAGTGGAGTTGTGTGGACGGCCTTTGGGTCCAAGGGAACGATGTAATGTAAAATAACAAAGAGGTATATAATTTTCTGTCAGGAGCAGCCCTTGTGGATGTTTGGGGCATATGGAAATTCAGATGCTTATCTAACAGACCTTTCCAACGTCACTAACATTGACGACACTCTGAAAGTTAAGGAGGTTATCATCATGAAAAACAGCAGGAACAAAGATAATGGCAAATCATTTTGGAAAGGTACTGAATATGTTGCACTATTTAGAAATGTTGGGAATGAAGACAACTTGAGTGAGGATGATAAAAGTTCAGGAAGAGAGATAAATTAAGAAAAATTAAAGAAACTACATTTTACTAAATATTATAAGGATGGAAGCTGGCGTGAGGATCTCACACTGTTGACATCACTCTCAGAGATACATGATTCATTGCAATGATTAGCTAACCTAAGTCAGCACTTGAGCCAAATGCCCCACATTGGTGTAGGTTATACTGTCTCCTGTATCATGATGCAATAACGGTTATTGCTCTAAGGGTCCCCTCCCTAGAATTTGCTCAGGTTTCCCTAACAGTTCATTGGTATCAATTTTAACTCTTGGGTGGTGAGAGACAACAGGAAAGTAAAGAATTCTGCCAAAGAACACAACGCAATGACCCAGCCAGATCTCTAGCCTGGATCTTTTATCAAGGAGTCCAGTACATATGCCACAAGTATTGAAATAAAAATACTATTGAGAATAACATACAAAGGGAATCTGAGACTCAAATCTAAAAACTTTGCATAACTTTCTGAATTTAGATCAAGTGGAGAAGCACTGGATTTCTGTTGTGTTAGCAGTATCTGGAATTCTCACATTTGTTATTATTGGAGCAGTTTACTGCTGCTTTAGAAAGGGAAGTAGAGATTTCCGTGGAAAGAAAGTCAAAATGAATTTCTACAAAGAGTAAGTTTTGTTTCATTGTTGAGAACATATATTGATTCTTCCTTTAAAAATTAGAAAAAAATGTCTCAACTCCTACTACAGTAACTAAACTTCCATTAGTTTCAAGTTTTAAAAAGAGACTATGACTTCTTTTTCAGTGGCATGCTAGTTTTATCATAAGTACTTTTATCACTACTACTGTATGTTCCCTTCCTGATGGCATCTGGTTTTATAACCATCAAACTTCAATGGAAATATTCTACATAAAAATAAAAATTCAGCAGTCAAATAAAAGATTTAAAAAATGCATGTATTATCAACACAAAACTAGCAATAAGAAAGTCAATTTAAACAGCACTAACTCTCCCTCAATTTCATTTTAGAGATGAAGATGATGAGGCTCGTGTTGCTTTCCTCCAGTCACGCACCTAATGATTGATAAGAAGCAGAGTAAGAATACATTGACCAATGATTGCCTTGACAGTTCCCCTCCAGCTTACAGTAGACAACTTTGCCTTCTCATCAACAGTATTCAGATCAGAGAGAAGAGGCTGCAAGGCGTAGAAACAAAATTTAAAAGGCATTGTACCTTTTAACTTTATCTAGAGGAGCCATATTTGTACAAGAGTAGTGACCGTCATTTGCAACTTCTCTCCCTTTAAGATCTTGTCCTGTTCTTAAGGGAAAAAACAACTTTGCCTGGTGACAAATATTTGGTAGTTTTAGAGTATGTTAAGCATAAAATACCTTTGATAATAGAAGACTGCAGTTTTTTGCTGTATATTTTACTACTTGAGGAAATTAGGTCAAAGCAGAAGTGTTAAAAAGTTTGAAAACCTGCCTTCTTATTTTCTCAACCATCAAGTTTACTAGCATCTTTTGAAAGAACAAAAATAACTATCATGAGAGTAAAACCACTTGAAGAGCAGTCAATTGTGAATGCCTTTTCCAGTCCAGTCCAGTCACCTAATCTTTATCACTTCGATCAATCCCTCCATCCAAACAATTCCATAATATTGTAAGAAGTAAGAATATTTTCTATGACTGTATATGAAGCAGCCATCATTGTAATAGAAAGTAACATGGTTGGTAGTTTAATATCTTAAGATGATAAATAAATTTCTAGTACAACCAATAGTTTTCACAACCTTTCATAAAAACTTCAGGGTAAAGAGGGCTTTAATTAAGAAAAACCATAACAAAAAACAAAACACATTAAAGAAAAAATTTTAAAAGGTAGCCTCATTTTATTGAATACAATGCTTTTTGTAAGAGTTATGGAGTGGTGAGATTCATCTTTACAGTCCTGTAACATTCAATCCATGGTTATTGCTAAGACAAAGACTTCTTTTCTTTTAAACTTTTCAATTCTATTTATAACTTTTTTATTGCTTTTAGTCTGCTGCTTTTAAAAAACTTAGTAGAATAGCAAATAAATGTTTCAGCAAGGCATGCACTCTAATTACAGTTATTTAGTATGTGCTAAGTTATATAAAATGTCTTTGAAGTACTTGTGTGTACATTTATAAAACCAATCGTGGTTGGACAAAATCTTTGAAATCTGTTTAGTAAATAATAAACAACAATCTTTTTACCATGATTCATCTCCTTTCGAATTTTGTTTTCTGTTTAACCCTTTAAGTCCCCCTAGTGACCAAGACAGAATTTCTCCTTACATTATCAGTATGATATCAAGCAGACAAGAATGAGAATAAAAAAAATATCAATTGGGCGACTACTGGTTGATCCAATTCTAAATTCTCCAACTAGCATCACATAAGTTGTATGACAGACAGTAAGGAGAATTAGTCATGAAATCTTGGGAGTTAAAGGGTTAAGTACCGCAGGTCATAAGAGTCAACAAGTATTTAACATAAGAGTGATCTGATCTAACAATGTTTTATCAGACCACCCACCTCCACAGACACAATGATATTGCTAAAAAAATTTGACTCCCTAAAAACACAAATTAGCTTTTCCCTAATGAACAAAACAGTAAAATAGTTTTCACAACTCATCCATGATGTATGAGGTTCACAGGTTTGAGTTCTTGAAAACCACACTATACAGTCATTTAGCTGATGACCATCCATTTTCTTGAACCATACTTTAATTCTGCACTGTCTTCAAGATTTCACCACTGGATTGGAATTAGATGTTCTTAAAGAAATGATGCATAGACAAACCAGAGTGCCAAACATAATGAAGATTGTTGTTTAGAAAACCACATCCACAACAAAGAAACAAACATGATTCATGAACCACAGGGTTCCCTCAAGCCACCAGAACTATCCAGCAAAGGCTTTGTATGCATAAGGAGCTATAAAAGAACAACAAAGATTACTTTTATGATGGAATTTTAAGAGAGCCAAACCTCTCCTTCCCATGTGATAAATTTCTTTCATCCTCAATACAATACAATATAGTAGCCTTTTAACTACACAACAGTAATGAAACTGATGATGCTATGGCCCTCAATAACATCAATATAATTTCCGCACAGCCCTATACTATTCTAAAACAAAGCTGTAGTCCCAAAGAAAATCTATGGTTTTTCCCATTGTTTTATTCATCCCAGAAGTGTGAGCATAATAAAGCATGGAGCTATGCAGAAATCATACCTAAAAAATTAAGTTAGTAATGCTTCTAAATAAAATTAGACCCAAATGAGATGACAGACTAGCCATACCTTAAAAAGGAAAAAAAATAACCTTAGCCAAAAATTTTTTATACCAGAATAGTACTAGTCCTGCTCTAGAGATGTCAGTGGCAACATACATTTAAACCAGGATTAGATTCAACTTGGAATAACTAAAATGTCAAGAAAGAATTCGTTGATTGTTGGAAATTGGAAGCAATTACAAACTAGGTTCACCTAATCTCTTGCTCGTGAGAAAATGTTCCTTCCCAGATTAAATTTGAGATTTAGTGAAACTGGCAATCAATTTCAATGATCGTATGACTCTGATAGCAACCAAGTTGATTGTATGAAAGATCTTCTCTTTCGATGGGATTCAAATTTAGTGGAACTGTCAATCAATCTAATGATCAGATGACTGTGATAGCCCCTAGTTGTTTATTTAAAAGTTCTCCTCTTTAGATGGGATTTAGATTTAGTGAAACTGTCAATAAATTTTAGTAAACGCATAGCTGTAATGGAGGAGGAGATTTCTCCTCACTCAAGGCAGTGAAAGACTCTTCTGAGGAAGTATTACATGAATAGTTCTGCAAACGAACAAGACAGCAAGATGTCGTAATTATATCGCTTTATCCCTGATTATCACACATTTAAACTCAAGGGTACTATAGCTCACAGTAAAGTTCTCACCTAAGCGTAAAAACGCCACGTAGGCTACAAAGACCTTCATTGTGAACGAAACATTTTGTTTAGCTTTCCTCTTTTCTGCCTCCACAGCAGCCCTATCAGGTGATCCATCAACTCCAGGTAGACGGAACATAATTAATGAACACCAACCAGTGCTATCGATGAGAAAGAGGTGGAACGGAACGCGACAACTTTCGCAGATCTACGCAAACCTAGCAAACCTACCACGCGATTTCCGCGTAACTACGTCACTTATTGTGAACGAATAGTCATCTTCGCTCCAGTGTCCCCTTTTTCTCACTCGGCTCTCCCTGAGTGTGGACTGGAGACCATTTTTTTACAGACACTACAAGATATTCATCTCTCTCTGATTACACATTTTAAGCGGAAGAAATTGGGTTAAGTCGGTCTGATTATTTTTTGTTTTGATATTTCACCATAGAGTTTTTGAATAGAACAATTTACTTCAGCGCTCTGATATGAGAGTATGGTATCATATCGTTTAACTTACAGGCTATCCTTTACCAACTGAACACACACACACAGACTCGCACCCCCAAGAAAACACAGGCACAGGAAAATGAAGAAGAGCGGGTGATTTTTTTCCAAACTAGTTCACTGATCCTCTCCGACTAAGTGTCTCTGATAGGCTAGCTCCCAGTACCCCACACTCAAGTCCCTGAGTATTTATCCCTTAAGGGATATACTGACTGAATCCCGTATGGCTCGATGTTTGCTAGTCATTAAAAAAAAGAAAAAAAAAAGTTTTGGTATTAACGGTAAATTAGCACAAGTAGTAGAGATCGCTAGAGGCCCAGGTTAGTGCCATTTTTGCGGTGTGTGCCTGGAAGAAAAATTCTGCACTTTTAAGTTCTCAACAATGTTTTAAAAGTTTAAGCCAGACACGCTTTCCAAAATCAATTTCTAGGTCGAAGTAAATTCACAGCTATTGCTTTCACTTTAACCTAAATCTTCGTTATTCCAACGACGTGCAACTGGGGGCTTATTTTGTTGGACCTGTGTACACATCAACTCCATGGCAATAAACTGAACCGTCTGAGCTCGACAATACGACAGTAGACAAAACAAATCGTTTGTTTTCGAAATAAGGGCTTTAATTTTATTTACAAATTATAAGAAGCTAATAAGCACACAAACGTTGTGAAAAGTGCACACATTTATTGGTACACAAGTACGTTTGAACAAATATATATGCATTGTAAGAATGTGCGCTTTATACAGTGCCTCTTGACTGAAGACGTTCAAAAAACTCTAAAACTAAAATTCCTTGGAGTGCTCTATCTCTCTGACTTTGGTCAAGGGATCGAGCCCTTATAAGCTGATATTTATCAGCTTAACAGCTATACAAATTAATTATATAATAATGGTACGAATGGTAGAAAATTTCGTCATCTCGATTCTCACTGCGATAAAACTACGTATAAAGTTTGCTCCATAAAGTACATTTCATCTCTTCTCTTTCCTTACTTTAAAATTCTTTTCTCTTTTTTTTTCCCAACGGGTTTGCTGGTTTTCTTTCTTTTATTATAAATTTTCGACATACTTGGTCAACTGATCTTGTGGCGTGAGTGGTGAATCTTCCTGACCAATTGACAGGTCTGGATCCGTGGAAGTCTGAAGCGGGGGAAGTGGCATTCGAGTGCTGAACAGCGGTTTGTCTAAAAGTTGGTTATCCATCTGGGATGTGGCGGCCTGATGCGGCGAGGGCGCAGGCCGTGGAGACGTTAGAGTAGACTGCTGTGGATGTGGGGACATGGTGGGCTGTTGCCGTGGTGATGCCCCTGTCGGATGAGGTTGCGGAGACATGACTGGTCGCGGTGACTGAGAGGGATGAATACCTTGCTGCGGTGACATTGGGTTCGCTGACTGTGGAGACATTAAATGCGCCGCAAATGGCGTCTGTTTAGTCTGGAAGTGTTGCGGCAACGACGCCTGTGGTTGACCATTGTGCGGATGCATCATACCTGCCTGTGAATTAGTCAACTGATTTTGCACTTGGCCTCTCCTCAATGCGTTCATTTGCGAGAAAGGAGGCAGTTGAGGTTGTTGAAACATGTTCTGCTGCTGCTGCTGCTGCTGTTGTTGTTGCTGTTGAATATGTTGCTGTTGTTGCTGTTGAAACATTCTTAAAAACTGCTGTTGACTAACACTGGGCTGTGAAGCAACTGGCATTTGTTGCATGGGGTTCTGCATGGAATGCTGCATATTCTGTGGTACAGCATTTGGCATACCTTGATGTATTCCTTGTGGCATTGGATTTTGCATCCCTTGTTGCAAGTTTTGCTGCATACTGGCCATTCCTTGAGCCATATTTTGCTGAATTGTTTGTTGCTGAATGCCAGCTTGTAAGTTGTGCGGCATATTTTGTTGCATATTAGGTTGCATAGTTTGTTGCAAGCCTTGTGACATTCCTTGCTGCATTCCTTGTTGGATTCCTTGCTGCATCCCTTGCTGCATTCCTGGAGGTATACCTTGTTGCTGCTGCTGTTGTTGCTGCTGATGCTGTTGTTGTTGCTGTTGCCGTTGTTTTAAGAATGCCGCCATAAGTTGTGGATGTTGTTTAAGGATGCTTAGCACTTTAGCCTGCTGCTGGGGAGTAGTTGGACCCTTCAGCGTATACAACAGCTGCTGTAGAGAAGCAGGCACACCCATGTTGGGTCGGTTCTGTTGAGATCCAACTGAGGCCATCCCTTGCTGTCCTGGCATTTGAGGATACTGTTGTTGTCCACCTGGCATCATGGCGTTGGGGTGGTTCATCTGCTGCTGTTGTTGTTGCTGTTGTTGATGATGTTTGGCGTACCACTCTAACGTAGGAGTGTTTGGTTGGACAGGTGCTCCGGATGAAGGTTGCATTGACTGACCCATTGATTGTTGCATAGGTTGAGGTATGTTTATGGCCGGTTGAAGGCCCTGCCCTATACCTTGCTGCATCAGAGCAGGGTTCTGCGGTCTCATCATAGTTGGTGGTGCCATTGGTCCAGATGGAGATGTCATATTAGGAGGCTGCTGCTGTTGGAATACTTGCTGAGGATGAGGAACATTGCGACCCTGTATACCAATCTGCACACTGTTACTCACAGCTTGCATTGTAGCAACTTGCGCAATTTTTTGTGCTGCCTCAACTGCACGCGGAGGAGGGCCACTAATAACAGGTTTCTGAGGCATGACAGGTGGTTGGTAAGGAGGGGGCTGCTGCTGGGGAGGTTGCAAAGCTGGATGAGACTGTCCCATAGTTCCAGGGCTGGTAATGCCTTGTTGCATTGTCTGGCTTGGCATGGGAGGTGGATGCTGCATTCCCTGTCGCTGCATCGCAGCCACTCGCCTGCGAAGAGTTTGGGATTGTGCAAATCTTTGCTGTGTTTGTTGTTGTCTAAGCTTTAGTTTTATGTGTCGGCAGAATGGTACCACACATTCTCTCTCTATGCAGTGCTTTGCATGATAACAACACAAATGAATGAGCTCTTGACAAATGCGACATCCTCCACCAGTTTTGCGCTTGCACGTCTTCGTATGCTCCACAACACGCTTCATCTTAGCACAACTTGTCAGTTGGCAATTCAGCTCTCTGCAGTGAGTGGCATGTACCAGGCTCTGTATACAGCGCTGTATCTTCAATCGCCGTTCTTCCTGCGCACTGAGTTGCGGTCGTTCCTTGTCATCACCTTGCCCTTGTTGTTGATCTATATCCAGGTCGAATCCCAGCTTCTCCATTTTGTGTTCATGTCCTTTATCGGTGTAGCAAGGTAGGCACAGATCGTAATCCTAAAAAAAAATAATAAAGTAAATATTGTTAGGGCTTTGCTGACGAATGAAAAGTGTAGCGAGAAATCATGCTAGATAAAACATCCTTTCCAAACTAAGACCAGCTTCTCTCAAACTGGTGAAATGCAAAGTCATTTTCTAATGATCTGCATGAGGAAATACCATATCAGTAACCTGTACAGTATGATACTGAATTTGTAATGAGCACATGTGGACTGAATGACAACTTTTAGCCGTCTCTGATCAAAGAAGATAGGGGTAAGTTACTTCCGCTCTTAATAGCAAAACAATACTAAGGAAATTATCACTTTGTGTACCTCGCATTCATTGCAGTGATATCTGGTTTCCACAGGTCTCTTACAAATGTTGCAAGTATAAACAAATCGATCCCCTCCCTGATTGTGAAGTTCGACCAGCATGGCCATAGTGGAAAAAACTGCACGGCGCAATGACGAAAATTCGTAGTGCTTCTCACGGGCCAGCGTCAAAAAGGCATCTCGGCCATCCATGATGTCACAGTTCATCAGCTGGTCGGGGTCACTTGTTTCCGGAGTCTTACGACCATTCAGTCGGATGACAAAAAATACCTGTGAAGAGGATAACGTTTTAAATGAATTACAACTTGCTTTAAGTGTCCCGTTTTTGACAAAAGACGCTTGGAGACAGGATTACTGGAATAATTTCAAGAATAAGAGGGGGCCGTAGGAATCCGGATTAAAGTTTGACAGGAAGGTGGTAGGTGCTAAATATGAATTGAAATAATAATAAAATAAAAACACACGATGGTTTATGTTACCTCTCTGTGCTTCTCCATGGTGTTGTACAATCTCTGTGACAAGTCACACAGACCCATGACAGGACCATTAGTTTTCTTTGGGTTCTTACGATTACTTGCTTTACTCTTGGTTCCTTTCTTGTTGTTACTTCGCTTGTTGTTTCCTTTATTCTTGCTGCCCGGAGTTCCCTAAAAGTTTTTTTTTAATGCAAAAAGTGTGATTTGGTTAGTTTGGCTGTAAAAGGTAAATCTCCCCTCTCTCACTTACCTAAATCATAACGAGGAATGAAAATTACCTTTTGCCTCAACAAACAAATTATCGCGCAAGACTAGAGAATAATTGTCGTTGGGGTATTTAAATTGTAATGCATTACTCTACAACAAACAGTTAAAAGACTTCGGTCATTATAGAGCTGCCAGAGCCTGCCAAATTAAACTAGGAAGTACCTCATTGCCAGCAGTGTCAGCAGCAGCAGCTGCAGCCGCTGTCTTTCTCTCTTCCTCCTCCTGATCAAGCTCTTTGATGCTGTCTTCCAATGCGTTTGGCCAAAAGTCTCCATCAAAGTAGGGCAACTCTTTTGCTGCTGTCAAGTTATCATCAGTGGCTTGCTTTAATATGTCCTGTTACAGGGATAATATATTTCATGATTAATGTAGGTGTTTGGGAATCCAATGTGTAGTGAAGAAATTGTTCACCAGAGAATTGGAAAGATGTTTCTATTTTCTAATTCAACAGCTAGGTTAAAAGGAATTCCCAAACTGCCTGTTGTCCCCCTGTCTGTCTATCAAAAGGTTACTGCAAAGTAAGTCTTTTTATTACCTTGTACTCAATGACAACACGGTCTCTGATGGCTTTGTCAAGCATCTTTTTGTACCAATCAACCAGTCGCTTGTGTTTGGGAATCTTCTGTTCAACAGGGTGGCAGTGGAAAATGTAGTCATCCCCTTCACTGGGTGGACATGCCCATATATGTGCAATCTGATACCTAAAAAATTAAACTCACTGTCAAAACTTTTGTTTTTTTTTTACAGATTCAATTGAACTATGACAACTCCTTTGGTTAAAAAAAATCTGACTACTTACCAACTATTTACCTGCAAACAGTTTTCCTCAATACTATCTCAACAACCCTAAGTCTTAATAGAGTTTAGATGAAAATATTACAACTGGTGAAACTGAAGTTGCCTTACAGTTTGCAAACACAAATGGGTTATCCCTTAACTTCACTCAAAATCTACATAATTATTTATTTCTGCAAAATATGAACTACTATAATCGAAATACAATGCACTATACCCTAGGTGTCCCACATGTTCTAGGTAACCAATGAGGATCTCATGGTAGACAGATGTGCGCAGGTGCCGTGGCTGAAAGAAGTGAACACTGTCCAAGTATGAGATGTATACACGTCGTGTGTTTGGCAATGCACACTCAGAGCCATACTCTTGCACATGCATGCCAAAGAAGCAAACATCCACACCATCAATCTCTTCAAAGGCAAACATGGCTTTAGCACGGTATGGAAATGACCCAGGAAAACTACCTTCATCATATCTATCAAAACCAATAAAAAGATAATAGTTAGAGATCACAAAAAATCATGTCTTCTTGATGGCTGTTATGACATCTATGATTCCAAACTGTAAAGCTCACATATTAATAAGATTTCCCTGTGAAGACATCACAAATACTACAAACAAGAACATAATCATTAATCAATATTACAAACCTTGCTCTCATTCCTGGCTTTACTTCCACCTGTTTGTCAACTGATGACACAACTCGAATTGTCACATTTCCTGGACAGTTTTCTTTCAATAAGAAGTTGTTAACTCTCTTTTCAATCAAATCACCAAGTCTAGTTGTGGGGAGCTCTAAAGAAGAAAATAATTAGGAAGAAACAGACTTCAGTTTTGCTAAATGATAACTGACACTCCAACTAAAAGCTAAAACCTTAACCACATGTAACAAACAGGGGTACTTTACAACAAACTTACTTTTTGCAGTGAACCTGTTTTCCTTCCTCTTCATACCTCTCTTCAGCAAACATGCATCACATTGATAACTGGAAAATTAATAGTTAACATATAAGACATCAAACTTTGTCATACATGATGTTAAGTGAGGCATCACTAAAGCCAAGGACTACCAGTGGGTTGAAAGAATATTCTTGGGAAGGATGAAAATATGCTCTTACAGCTCTTAGTTAGGATATATATATGTGAGAGATAGTGATGACATCTCAAGCCAAATATTGTTTGGTCTTCATCCTAATTTATCTTAAAATTGGACTGATAATGTAGAAACAATTACAATCTGACAGGATTCAAACACATTTATGCTTACCCATTTGGCCAAATAAACTCATGGTGGCGAACACAGATCTGATGAACCTTTCTGCCACAGTCAATGCAATCAACAAATCTACATAACAAAGATTCACCTTAGTTCATAAACTTGCATCAAACGTCATGCCATTTGAGAAAAACCAGTTAGCTAGCATAGAATTTCCTGGGAAATAAAGTAAATACCACAGCTAACGATCAGGGTACTTACGGCTCCATGTCGAGGTGATCATTCTTGGTTTTTGAGAAATTGCCTTTGGGCACCGTGCTGTAACACAGAAAACAAGGGTCATTTAAAATTGTAGTAAGTATAACAGCTGATAATGTGTTTGCTGTTTTCAAACCGAACAGATAAAGAATCATGACCCTTTACAATACACCTCCTGCACTGTCACTTTGAGAAGGTTGGAAGAAGTTCAACAAAATTGTTTTAATTCCACCATATGTAACAAGATAAGACGACCAGCATCCAACCTTTGCATCAGTGTAGGGTCATCCCCAAGGTTGACAGCTTCACCTGGAATCTCATCAAAGCATCGTTCGCAGTAGTGGAAGCTGTAAAAAAAAAATCACAACAATGATATCTTGGCTCAACAATCCCCTTAACAAATCAGGGTTGATTACAGGATAAATTTCCAGGACTACCTTGTCGGCACTAGCACATTGCGAAAAAAAAGCGGTATCTTTTTACTTCTCAATATGGATTTAGAGACAAGTGTTCAACCCAACATGCAATTTTAGATATCTTAAGCAAAATTCAAACTAATATTGATGCAAAGTTATTCTCTTGTGGTATTTTTATTGACCTAAAAAGGCTTTTGATACGGTGGATCACTCAATCTTACTGCACAAATTATATCATTATGGAGTCAGAGGAATAATTAATAACTGGTTCTCTTCGTACTTGTTGAACAGGAACCAGTCGACTCAAATTGGTTCAACCGTGTCGAATATAGAAGAGATAGTTTGTGGTGTCCCTCAAGGGTCTGTACTTGGCCCCCTTCTCTTTTTGATTTATGTTAACGACATTTACCGTTGCTCCCAGATTTTTGAGTTTTACCTATTTGCTGGACGATACTAACTTGCTTTATTCAAACAAAGATCTTAAGGATCTTGAAAAAGTTGTTAATGATGAACTTCATAAAAAGTGGGTGACTGGTTGGACGCAAACAAACTTTCTCTTAACACTAGTAAATCTAACTTTGTTATTTTCCATCCTTACCAACGCAAATTGGACTACATAGTTCACTTGAAAATTTATAATAACGATCTTAAAAAAGTGTATCTCTAGAACAAAAAACTTTTGTGAAATATCTAGGAATTCTGATAGATAATAACCTCTCTTGGAAGTATCATATTGATTATATCTCATCTAAAGTTAGTAAAGGAATTGGTATAATTGCCAGGTTAAGACATCTTGTCCCATTTGCCACACTTCTTAACATCTACCGCTCCTTAATTGAACCCTATCTCTTATGGTCTTATTGCCTGGGGACAAGCTGCTAACACTCATTTAAATAAGGTTCTCATTTTACAAAAACGCGTGCTCTCGACTAATGTATTTTTTGCGGATAGCAAATCTCATAGTGCCCGCTATTTGTTAACTCAGAATCTTACCAATAACTATGCTCTATTCTCATTTGGTTTCCTCTTTGATGCATGACATTGATAATCACCGTGCCCGTCTAATATTTCTATGCTCTTTATCCACTCCGAGCAGGTTCATCACCATTTCACAAGATTCTCAGCAACGGCTAATCTGTGCGTTAAAGCGTCTAGAACTAACCAACTTTTATTTTCTTTTTTGCTAGAATAGGTGTAAGATTGTGGAATAGCATCCCAAAAGAACCCATTATTAAAAACAGAACCCGTTTAAGCGTGAACTTAAAAATCGCCTGTTAAAACTTTTGGAAATTGAGGAGATGAATGTTGATATCGCTGCTCTGAAATTTGTAAATATCTCTTGATAAAGTAACTCTTCGTTTAAGTCTTGTTTCAATTGTATTATATATCTTGATAACTTTGCAATTGATTATTTAATTATTCAACGGACTTAATTTTATTTTATTTTATTTAACAATTGTATTTTTATTAATGATTATCTTTGTTTAATTGTATCGGTATTTTTGAGTTGAAGGGGGCTCATACATGGGTCTCTGTAACAAATAAAATTGTTGGTTCAATTGAATTATTACAGTTAGAATGTAACATTTTTGAGTTGAAGGGGCTCACACATGGGCTCTGTACATGTGTGGTTCACAAGTTTTATGTGCTGACTCTACTGCCTGCTATGTCAGTGAAACCCATCAGCATTTATCCACACATCTGTAAGAGCTCTTGGTCAGTGATAAAAACTCACATTTTCAGACATTTACAAAATTCTCCACAGTGTTGTACTCTATGTTTTGATGAGTGTTTTAGCATCTTACTTCATGCTTCCACAACACTCCAACTCTAAATTAAAGAAGCTATTCACATTCAATGGAAGCAACCTACACTTCATCATCAACTTTAGCATGTTAATTGAAAACTTTCCTTGTAATTGCATACACTGTGTTGTTTCTATTGTTTGTTTCATCCAATGAGCATTTTGTTATACACTTTAAATTCAACGTTGTACTTGGTATAAATCAGAACTGACAATGAGAGAAGAACAGTCAAAACATGTTTTTAAAAAATGTTGTACATTTTCTTAAATTCATGACATATCTGCTGCTATGCAGACATTTTGGCTAAGGTATAAGTACATGAATTCTAAATTCAAGAGCAAATCCTAAGACCATAATGATGCGAGTAAATATGCTTTTAGTACCTTTTTGACCCAAAATCTGATCATAAGCTGTGCTCAGTGCCATAGGTTCCCCTAAATACCCGCTTTAAATTTAAATGTCTTATCAGAGAAGATGTACAGCCAGTATTCTTTTAAATTGAAAAAGGTACTTAATATAATGACAAGAGATGTTAGTGTGGAACAATATTCTCATTCTCACAATCAAAGTGAAGTTTGTCATTAAAGTAAGCTACCTTACCGATTTTGATATGTCCAGTAGGTAGCGTCCCGTGGAATTGTACACAAATGCTTTCCATAGCAACACAGAACTTGTGGGTGAAATATATACTGGAAAAGGGATAATAAAGGAAAAGATTAATGGAGAGAAGGACAAGTAAACAGAGAGAAGAACAACTAATCAAGGGAATCAAGTTAAAGAAAGTTGTCCTGCTGCACCTGTAATCCATTGTTCAATGTATTTACCTTTCTTCCACAGCAATATCCCAGCGTTTTCATAACAGGATCAATTTCTTGTTCAAAAACTTCTGACAACTAAGTAAACAATTCCAAGGTAAGCAAACAGCCAAACAACAAGATTAGAATATTTACTGATCCAAAAGTGTACCAAATCACTAGACAGACTCCTCAAACTGAAATAGTACATCACTGGCAAACAAAAGCTTGTACATTTACCTTTGTACAATATTTATACACTCTTGAAGTTTTTCTGTTATACAACCAAGCATTATCAAACATCAACCAGACATCATCACAGTACTGCAGAAGACAAAGTAAAGACACTGATCAGTGAAACAACATACTAGTGATTGCTCTTAGAAGATTAGATCTAATGCAGTGTTCCAAGATACATCATGAACATCTTGTTCCATGGAACCTGTTCTTTGGCGAAACCTTCATCATACAACACCTTCATTCAGGGGACAAAAACAGAGAGAAGACCTCTCTCTGCCAGGAGGAGAGACTTTTCCTGGGTTCCTACACTTGCTTTTAACTTTCAATCAGAGGTCACCTTAAGCACTCACAACATGAAATGCACTCATTGTACTCCACTTTGAGACTGCTAGTAGCAATTAAATCCATGTCCAGTACTTGTGTGAATTAAACACAAAATGTCACAAAGAAGTTAATTATGTTTTCTTCATATGTCGTCTGGCTGTTTGAAATAACAACCCCAGTCAATTCCCAACAAGAAAAATGAGAAGTTTTTTTTAAAATTATTAGTTGTTTAACATAGATGCCAACCCAACATCTACTCAGAGAACAGCTCTTATCAGGTGGGCACCTGTCCCTTGTCCATTCTGTGATAAAAACAAGTTGATCATTTAAACCCATACAAACCTCCCAGGGGTTATTGTACTGCCCAGCGTCCAGTTTTCGTTTAATTGTAGAGAGATCCATGGGATTTCTCACTATTTCAAAGTAATCCTGAAAATACAAACAAAAAATTTGATTAGAAGAAAGCTTTTTGACTATAACAACCATTTCTTTCAAACCCTTATTCAAAGATAACCCTAACCCTAAAAAGTAATCATCACTGAGAGTACAAATCAAGAAGCTTCAACTTTCCACTTTAACTGAACAACTGAAACTAGAACAAGAAATCAAACAAACTGTCATAAACTAACCAAACAACCCAACAGTTTTGGGTCCACAGGCTGTCTGAATGGAAGAGAGTCTGGCTCTTGTTTATACAACTTCTCTAAAGTGGGCATAAGTGCAATCCTTAACTCCTCTGGGAGGAAAACTGAAAGAGAAGCAATTCAAAAAAGAGAAATTAGCCAACAGACCTTTTCTGCAATCCAAAGCTCAAAGGACAACCTTTTCATTTACAGACACCTGAGATTAATATAAATTTCTAAATTAACCTACTTAACATCTTTGAGAGAATTCTTAAGTTTCCTTAACTATTATCCAACCTTGTCCCAGGTGAATCTGCTTCAGAGCCTTAAAATCATAAGTTCTCAGACACCAGGAAATCAAGAAGCTACATGTGCCATTGAAAAACGCTTTTTCAAGCTTTACTTAGGAACCAACCTTCACTTAACTTATTTCTGATGTAGATATATAGGCAATTGGAACAATATATTTTTTTTCTTTCGTGAATTGTTCGTAACAGAAATGAGACTCTGAGGAGGTCACTTAACTCCTGGTAAATTCTCTCTTTTGATCAAATACATAACGCTCTGTTTAGTTCATCATCAACCCCCCTAATATTCAAACCATTTTTATAGCTGAGAGACTGTTGTAGATTTTAAAAAATTGACTTTTTTAAATTATGAAATTTTGGGAGGAAGAGTTTGAAATAGGAGTTCAATTCTTCACTGGGATAAGCCATAGGAAGTTTTTTCTTCTTCAGTAAAGTTGTTATATAAATTGACAAACACTGTAACAAGATAGAATACTCAAGGAAAGTGACACAAGATTATAACCTTTCTTAAGGGGGTATCTTGTTGTTCCAGGGGCAGGTATTGATGAGGATGATGTGGATAATGAGGAGTTTCCAGGAGTTGGTATAGACTGAGTTGAACATGTCGACCCTCCTTGTTGGGGCTCTTGCTTTATTTGAGGTGTAGAAGAACCTTTTTGGGGAACTGAGGTTGAAGTTGCAGAGCTTGGGGTGATATCTTGATGCTGAAATTACAGTAAAACAATGTCATTTTTGTCCAAATTTATTTTAAGATCCTTGATAAGGCATGTTGATTGGATAGAATATGGACAGAAGCATTGGTGTGCAGGGAAACTTAAACATTTCTGATCATGCTATCCTTTGTCTCTATATGTTGTACTTTAATTTGTTTCATTGTCTTCTTCTATCCCACAAAATCAAAGATTACTCTTTAAAGACCAAATAAGAAAACTGAACTTGAACTTCATATGGGAAAACATCAAAACATATAATACCCTTATGGCATAACAGTCATGGTTAAAGGATTGCTTTACAGTCTCATGCTTTCCTGAAGGTTTTTTTTGGCAGGAATAAGAAAAATACTACCTTTCCCATCTGTGAATTTGCAGCCGGCGGAGATGCAGGCTCTGTCTTTACTTTAACCATCTGAGACTGAGCATTAGGAGCACATAATCCATTGTCTGTTGCAGAACTATATCCACTAGAACTTCCAGCACCAGCTTGAGATACAGGTGACTGAGCCTGAGTTGTAACTACCAAGTTTTTCCCACTTTCACGAGGTGGATTTTTTCCCTGCGACTGATTAGTAGTCATCATTTGCCCTGATGGAGACATCTGATTTTTAACTTGCTGTTTTGGAAGTGGGACTGTGGACTGCTGTGATGTTTGTGCTTGTTGTGTAGCAGAAACTTGACTTGCTATTTGAAGATGAGGTGACAAAGTGCCTTGTAGAGGTGGCGATGTCATGGGTGGAGCTTGGGGAGAAGAGTTTTGAGATTGTCCAAGTGCATCAAACTTTTGATGTACAGCTGCCACTGCCGCAGCCTGTGCCTGAGCAGCAGCTGCTGCAACTGAGGGAATTTGGGGAACTCCAAGGTCTCCATTTAGTTGAGGAAATGCAACTGAAAGGGCAAACAAAAATATTTAGTTTCTTAAGTTGAGAAATCATAATGTACAGTAAACCCTTAACAGCTCACTTACGTTGTGATGGAGTCATGCCTCCTCTCATTTGCTGATTTATTCTTCTTTGTCGTTTCTCTTCCAGCTCTTTTTGAATCTTGTATATTTTCTCTGCTAATAAGTGGTAATATTCCTCCTACAAGATACATCAAGTGTAACAAGAATGTTGATTAAGCATTTCTCTCCATCCTTTCTAACAGTTGCACAAAACAGTTTGTTAAAAGAAATTGTTGGGTGAAATAACATAATGAAAATGAGAAAAGAACAAATCTAAAGGAAAAAGCATCCAGCACAAAATCGAACAACTTCAGCTCACAACTTACTCTGCTATTTGCCGTGTCATACATATCACCCTCTACTTTCCTTGCATATGAAACAAGGTTCCCCATTCTCCGATCTCTAAGAGCAGCTGGATCATGCACTGGAGTTGGAAAGATGGCAGTGACACTGCAATACAAAATTTCAGCCCAGAACATTACTCAGATGCATCTTCCTTAACCATCAAATGTTAACTTCAACAGTTAGATTCTTTATGCTTAAACTCTCTCGAAAAACTTGATATAAATTGAATAATCAACAGAGCTTGAGAAGTTGATTGCTTAAACTCAATTAGGATAAATGACTTACAGTTTGTGTACAAGATGATTCCTGAGATCTGGTGTAACATGCTGATGCCACTCTTTAGGACCCCGATTACCACTTGCTGTTGTGCTAAAGAGAGAATTGACAGACATTGCTTTTTTCAATACAGATGATTAAAATTTTGTGGACGAAAGATTACTGAGCACAGATCAAATCAAACAAAACAAACTTACTGCTACATTCAACTCTGATAACTCTTACCTTGTCGCTGTGGCTGATGTTTCACCAAATGATCTGTTATCCGCTGTCAATTGCATGGAGGGATCTGATCTCAGGAGATTTGTATTTGCTATAAATAAATTATATTAAGGTTTTCCTGGTCACTCTCCTTTGATAAAAATATAAGCAATTTTGGTTGCAACATCAGATACATGTACATGTCATTCCTCGATTTTTTTGATGAGGGATGAAAAGTTCCTTCAATTTCTACAATACACACAATGAAATTCCCCCTTGTAAAAAGGACTTTATATAATCAAATAGCTACAATGTTAAAACAGCGCTTGCTTAAAACACAGAACCATCACAATCACCAGGATAGAAAGGAAAACAACTTTGAAGCCTTTCCTTACCAGTATATGGCTGTAACCGTGGTTCTCCATTTGTTGCTAAAGTAATACCAAGAGCTTCATATGCCCTTTCAATACCTTGGACACTTCCTTGAACTTTGAAGAAAGGGAAAAAAAAAGAAACTCCTGGTTACAGCAACACACCTTAAATTTTGAGAGATATTAACATAAGCTTGATAAAGGAAAAAAATAAAGAATTAACATGAAAGACTTTGCACGTAAATTAGAGATGACATCCATTAATGGAATAAATAGCAATGAAGTGAATAAAATTAATTAACTGTCTAATACCTCGATTTCTGTTATCTGATGCATGCTTCAAAGGGAGGCAGACTGGGCAGTCCCGTCTCATGCAGTTTTTCCAGTGTGAAATAATTTGTCTTGAAGAAGCACAATGGGCAACTGAAACATAAACATGAGATCAGGCACAACAACTTGATATATACAAGCCTACACAAAATTCCTGTCACAAGACAGGTCATTTGCTCACATGGTTAAAATAAATTTGGTACTCATATGGTGAAACAGACTAACTTGAAATCAGTCAGCTGAATTTTAATTTAATGCAGAATTATCCAGCCTTTCAGGCAACCACCCTAATTTTTCCCATAGTTTCCTTCTGTAACTATTACCTCTGTACCATGGGGAATACAAACAAAGTAGACTTTTTTCCTTTTTTTAGCCTGCTTGGTTAGCTCTTATAACCAAAGAGCGTGGATAGAACTTATATGTCTTAAATTCACATGGTTCTATAGTTCCATTTAACATAACACACTTTACAGCCTCCAAAGAGTCATAACCAGAATTATACAATTGATCAAAAGCTTAATCCTTTCACGATTTGACAAAACTTTTCCAAAATTAATAATATTTTCTGCCATCAGAAACCCACGGTCATAGTGCCCAACCAAGCAAAGCTGTTTCATAGTAAAACCTGAAATTCACCAGACATTTTTCCAAGGACCAACTGTTATTTGCAGGCTAGAACATGCTCACAAATTTCAGAACTTGAACTTACACTATTCAATGTTCAAAAAATGTTTCCTTAAGATATATTTATAGTCCTAAAATAAAAAAAAAATCATAATAGTTTTAAGTTTGTCACATCACTCAAAGGTTTTCCCAAACCTTGACAAGTTTTTCCAGCAGTACATGTTGTCATGTGGTTCAAGACATTCTTCATAGTTCGACAGTGAGGTAAGTTGCAGGGTTTCACAGCTCCATTTTGGGCCTGTTGCTCTCGACGTTGGCATTTGTGTGCATGAAGCAGAAGTACTAGTTGTTGTTGTATTAGTCTTCGTTTCTCAGGGTCTGCTGTTGGAGGCTGAGCTAATCCTGATGCCTGCTGGAAAGAAAAGAAAAGTGTATAGCAATTGATTAAAAACAGATCAATTAAAGTAAACATTGTCATCACAAAGCTAAGTGGTTTACAATGTTATGACCAATGTCTAAGACATTATTCTAATGAAAATAATGAGAAAAAGTTATTATGATTAGGTTGGCAAATGTTAGAAAGAGTGTAATAATTGTGATTAATAATTCTGCAAAAAGACAGCCTCAGTTACAAAATCAAATATTTAATGGGAAACTTGAACTCAAGTAATAACCACTAGATGTAAACTTTTACAGACAACTTAATGCATTTTAAGTGATCACAATAACTTCTAATATAGCTTCACTTAGGGTTATCCTGTCAGTTCCTTAGCCTCTTGAGAATAACCAAAGACTTTAAAAGCAAAAAGCAGCACTTAATCTCATAAAAGATTTTCCTTATAACTTTGTGCATGTTGAGTACACAAGACATTTCCATGGTTTCAGTCCACTCACTTTACAATAAATTTTCTATGTATTAATTTTGATCTGGGCAGTTAATTGCCATTTGTTAACTCATAACATAACTTTCCCAGACAGTTGTTACAATAATAACCAAACAATAATACTAAGTAGACTTCATATTCCTGCATGAGGTCAGTCTATCATTCAGACAGGTTGTATACTATGAAGCAGTTAAAAGAGAAAACTACCTCTATTTTATTATCTCAAACTGACAGAACAAATAGTAAAAGATTTATAGGGTAAACAAGACAGGTAGCTGAAACAAAAATAAACTACAAAAGTTCATACTATTTGAAGTTACAGGATCAAAAATTAGGCCAAAATTTCAAAATGTAACAAATTAAAAATCTTATCAAAGCTGAATAAACTGATGTAGATTTGTGCAATACAACGACTTAAACTGTGTTCCTTTCACTCCCAACGTTTAAAGCAGCTTCAAAGAAGACGCTGTATGCTGCAATATACCATAATAATAACCAAAAAATTAACTGTAAGCCAAATACGATAAAAATACAGCTAATAACCGCACCAACAAATTTCGGAAAATAAAACGCATAACGTATTTTCCATCCACAAAAAAAACATACAAAGGTGAAGCAAGGTTAGACAATACGAGAAGCTGTCAGGATAAGTTACCCTGATTAAAATACCACGACATGGAGAGTTCAGTGATGTTCAGGAATGGCTCATCAACAAAACAACAGGGAAAATCACTGCAATAGCCAAAGATCGACAATATTTTTCATTTTCCGTCTAGTTTTAGTGCAATGCCTTTTCATTTTCACGAATACAGCTCGAACTAAAGAAGGAGAAAACTAAATTCAAGATGACATTGGATTTAGCAGTAAGGAAAAGGACATCTACCGTTTGACAGCCACGAAATATCAATGCAGAAGCCAGCCACTACGTTTACATATGACTACGAAAAGCTCAGTACTTACTTGGCCTAAAGATACTCTGGATTGATCTGGGCTTCCGTTCATACCAGAATGACTCACGAAATTATTCGCCAACTGTTCTTGTTGCAGCTGAGGCAACGGATTTTGAAAGGGATTGCTCCCGGAATTACTCGCGTTCATATTAGTAGTTCGAGAAAATGTCGCTCCGATTTCGTGCGCCACTGTATTCAAAGCGATCGATTGAGTCGCTGAGCTAGGCCCATTCATAGATCCCATCAAAGCGTTGTTGTTGGCAAGCATGTTCATATCGAGCGAATTATTACCATACTGGGCTGCAACTTGCAGTCTTGCATCCCTCGCCACCTTACTCTGCAATGCCGAGTTCACTGTTGACATCGGCAGAGACGATGACGGGGCAGGACTCAAACCAACACTTCCAAGATGGAGGTCATTGGATGAAGTGAGCGGTGTTGCAGGAGTAGGAGTCCCACTCGTACTGACCGGCATTTGAGGAGGAGACGACAAAGAATTGTTCACTGCCGGACTTTTAACCGATGTTAAAGTAGTCAACGATGGACTATCAGGACTAGATAAGCTAACTGTCGAAGAGATGGCACTGGTGTTGAGCGTAGAGCTCGCGCCACTTGACAGGGGAACATTCGATTGAAGAATTTGCTGCAAACTCGAGGTAGCACTTGAAACATCAGCTGTTGTTTCACCATTAGTTAGACCATCAGAATTAGGAATCATTGCGGGTCCACCAAGTTCATCGGGTAAACTGGCATCCAGGTCTTCCATAAACTTCCAATTGAACTCTTTAAAGGGAAGACGGTAATTTAAATAAGTTAAAGGAACGGAACATAGACCTGGAGAACTCACTACTACTGCAAACTTAAAACGCTCACAAACACAGGAAAAAAATCAGTTGACATTATATTTACCAGCATTGTCGGTTGGTGTGTCTGGGGCTCCTATTTTCGGTCGCTTGTTCGGTGGTCCGTCTACCAGTTGCTCGGCCATTACTACTACAATACAAAAACCTACTACACGAAAACGACTTGTTGATCATACATAGTCATCGCCTTTAAAACGGCGAAGCGCCTTCGTCCCCTGAAAATAAATTCAATCAGTAGATTACTAATCTGACAAAGGAAAAGAATCTCTTCGATGGAATGAAGTCACAACGAGCCGTACTACAACAAAATTAACGCAGAAGTAAAAACAAAATCATGGCCGCTTACCATTGTCGTTCTCACAGCATTATGACAACGAACCGAACAAAACAGTACAAGACGGCTTTAAGATCCTTTGTAAGTGTCCTTCGACGAACGAATTATCTCCTCTCCTCCAGATGAATCTGATTTTTCCTGTCGTAAAGCTTCAACTAGTAATGAAAACTTGAAGTAAAATAGCGTTCCGAAAAGTTCCCTGTGTCAATGCCGTGAAGCGCAACAAGCGATGGCTCAACAGCGCGGGGGGGCCCAGCCCCACCATCATGCATTGCGGTCGTTAATCGCCATTAATTTTAATTTATGACAATCATCTTGGAGCCTGGAACCGAAGAAAACAATAGATAACCTCGCTTCGGTGTCCTTCGCACCCAGTGAAGCACGCAACCGGAAGGAGTTGCATCACTCTTCAATCCCACTCACTGGAAGTAAGAGAATTTTTTTTCTCGCTTGTGAGGGGAAAAAAAATATTTGAAACTAGATGTCAGAAAAGAGGGCGTACTTCATAAAATTTGCTAAAAGTTGTTTACCCTATTTGACAAATTTATGAAAGCGTGAATTATTTTCTTGAAAAAAAGAAAGCGGCTTATACTTTACAGAGTAATGTGACCAAACTTTCCTTGACGGGATGGTTACATGTCAATTTACTTACTTGCATGTCGGCTTTTGGGATTTCAAAACAATACGCGATTATCTTTCCTATAATGGCACGAATAAAAATTTTCACTAAAACGACCTTACAATTAAATCTGTGATCGATATTTATTGAGCACGCAATCACTTCGATAGAACGCGAAGCGCTTCCGCTTGAACGAATTTTATCAGCGTGAACCCGAAGGCCGGTATTGAAGGTACCATCAGAATGAAAAATTGCATAGCGCCTGATCTTCCATGTATATATTAGTAAAGGATGTAGTGTGTTCATCTTACTCGTTGAGCGATCTAAGTAGCTCTGACTGAAGGTCACGAAATCACGGTTCATTAATATTTAAAGAGTTCAACTGAGACACAATAGCGGGTATAAAGACGAGACTACAATACGTCCCTTACCGTTCGATCAACGAATTTCTTGAGAGATATGGGATTTGGACTATTTTAATGTGACTTCCGGCAAATTTATATCTTAATTCCTTCCAAATGTTCCTTAAAACCATATTTCCAAACTAACGGTTTTTCGTCTCTTTTCCAAAGTTTTCTACAACTTTATGGATTCAAATACTGTTGTTGAATTACATTCTATTTACATGTTCCAAATATGACGACTGTCGTGAGACAATTTTTCTCTGACTTAAGACATAAAAACACGAATTTGATCATCGGCTTCATCAGGAAAACATGAAGAAAACCGGTTACACCATGATTGCGTTATGGGCCCGAAAGAACAGAAGTAAATTATCCTTACGGATAACTCATGGGATAGTAACAAGGCAGCAGACAACTCTCTGCAGAATTCTTTCTAGTTCATTAAAAAAATATGAACACTGATGAAGAATAATTCCCCCAAATGGATCAATGCAGTCTATGACAAGTAGGTATTGATTATTGACAATCGCGGTTCGGTAACACTGCATCAAGGCTTCCATGCCTATTTACCGAAAACTGTAAGCTTCAAGGAAACAGTAAAATCATCAGTGCAGGGAAGGTAAATAAAAAATAGAGGTGTTTACTAACTAGTGCAGCCAAACTAAATTCAAATTAAGTTTCTCATTCATATCTAAACAACGCCACACATGCATTTTCCCGCGCTTTTGATTAGTTGAACGTTTTCCCGCGCTTGGCATTAACATGAGTAATTTACTCTGCTATAACTCTAAGTCGAATACTTGGCATGATTTGCGGATTAGGTATCGTTTTACCATATTTAATTAATGTGTCGTTGTTGATCGACTTGTGTGAAGCAGTGGAAGATGGTTGCTGCAATCGCAGACACGCTTTGGTGGTCCGTATAACAGAGGGGTTATGAGGGGGGAGAGGGAAAGTAGCATAGGTAACTCCAGTGCTCAGGTACCCTCCCTTCGTAACCGCCCTGTAAGTTGCTTGACAGGAAGTTTACTCTGTTCCCATTCCAGAAAGAAGTGAAGTGTGACAACATGGATGAAATACCTGGTTTTGCGCACACCTTACTTGTTGCCCCAGGACTTCACGCCGATAAGAAATACAAAGATCTGATGACTGTACTTCGCTAAGAAACATGCGAAGCTGAAACCGTTAAACAGTTTGTATCACTTGTAACGCCTCCCTACAGGGCAGGAGTACTTACGGGAGTGCCCACGAAAGAAATAAAGTGGAGGACCAAAATATGAGGACGAAGTAGTTTTCAGATATTTATCTCCAGCAGGACGTTCGATGGATCTGGATTGCTCGAGTCATATTTTAAAAAAAAGTTGTCCACTGGCAAGCCTTCACTCAGGTTCCCTTATTATAAGAATGGGTTTACTACATTTTATCAAGTATCAAGGAACTTAGACAGACTGACCTCATAAAAGGTTTCATATCACTGGCAAGCAAATATGCTGCAGTTTCTCATTACTGTTGTTAAGATCGTAATGCTCTCATTCCCTAACAAAATGTTCACGAACTCAGTCACGCATTCCACTGAAAAACTATTTTTTTTAATTTTTAATTTCCAATTTGAAGGAGTAGACGTATTGAACTGGACACGAGAAGGATCGTTCCCAATGCTTTTGTTTCTTTAATGGGGAAGGGAGGGGGAACCAACCACTGACCCAACAACATCTTTTGTCATTTAATTCTTTTTGACTTACTTACACATAAATTTTATCCTACAATAAAACATGTTTAGCCAAGGAGCAAACAGCTATTGCAAGAATATGTACAACATACACTTTAAAGTTTAGTTCTTGACCTAACTATAAGATCTTGTTGAATCAATATTTGTTAGAGCTATAAAAATAAATCAACAAAAATCTCATGGTTATTTTTGGTGAATATATTTGAATTATTTGAGTAATTAGAATTAATTAAATTAAGTATTTAATTGTTTGTGGACCAAAAAAATTAATTCATAATTTTCATATTTACATCCTATATAGAAAATGATGGTCATGGAAGTTGAGATTTACAATGCTACTAATGTTAGCAGGATTGCTTTATCAAAATTAATCAATCACATTACAGGAAAAGAACAATGAACTCGGTTGTTCCAACCAGTGTGACCAGAGCAAGCACAGACAACGCATTTAGATGGGATTTACTGTTCACTTCCTATGACTTCTGGTCAGATTTCCACAAGTAACCCTAATGCTAAAGGTGCACTGTAAAATATTTACAATATTCATCTATTTATGGCATAAGAGACATAAAAGCTTTAAGGTTTTAATTGTTAAACCCGAATGAATGTTTCCAGTTTTAGAAATCAACCCTTGGGCATCAAGTATTGTCTTGTTTCACACACTCAGCAAGTAGTAAGTGAATGATGGTCTTGATCTTTTTTCATAACATTATTCCTTAAGACTAGATGAACATTTATCTATCAAGTAAAATTAGTTGGAAGTGCTTGCATTGTTGAAAGGTGTTTAAAACATTAAAGCTTTGTCAGAGTGTGCTTCAGTACTTTCATTGTTAAGCCAACAAAAATAGCAGTCATGCCATCAAAAAACTCTTGCATCATGAGTATTGAACAGAATAATTTAAATCATGTCACAGGTAGTTTCATTATACATGCAAACCAGAAGTTATAAAATCTTCCTACACTGACCTTACAGTTAAAATAGTGTCATTGCAGTTAATTTTAATAAGCCAGTCTTCAATTGACAAGCAGGCAGTGAAGTATTAATCATCAATTTGTAATTTAAAACAAAACTGAGAGGCACATAGTAAGCATCAAAACACGAAAAAGTTGTTGGAAAACCATCCTCATAATTCATAAATTAACTAATTTGACTTTCATCATGAAATCCAAAATGACCCTGCATTTAACTTTAATCAAAGTAAATAATTATGCTGTGGCTGTTAGAACTCAACAATTTACTGTTTATGTAGTTTTTTCAGCTGGATACCTTAGTCGCTGCAAATATTTTGCATTCAGTTAATACTGAAGTTCAATCAAGTTAAAATTAATTTTTTTTAAGTGAAAGATTTTCATTGCTTGAATGTTAAATGGCAGCAACATGTAAAAAATGATCATCAAATAACAGCATTTCAATATTTATTTATTTAAACAATACATAAAATGGTTCTGTAAAGTAACACTGTCTGAGCATTAAATCCTTTTTGTAAGGTTAACATTTGGCTTTTCTCCCAAACAATATACCAGTAACTAAATTTGAAATAAACTAATAAGAAATTTGTCCATCACCACTTAAAGAAAGCTCAAGATGAGAAATACATTCATATTACATAATTCAGCAAAACATCTTATAAGTGAGAGAGCAGATACCTATTCCAGTTATCATAGATATTGATTGGAAAACCAGACTTTTCAGGATCCAAATTTTAACTCCTCCATGAAGATGACTGAACTTCATGACAGCATAACAAAAAAATATTGCCTTTTTGTTTAAATAAGTGACTCCCACAGTTAACAGATTAGACCACACACAATAGGTCAGCCATACAGATTGAAGCTTAAATAAGTGAAGCTGATGATATGCTTCTCACTCATGCCCATAGTGGAAGAATAGCTACCTTGAATGATGTTTTCTCATATCAAATGGTGAGTCACACAACTAGAATCAGAAGACGTGCTTATTAAACAAATAAAGAAAGCAATTTATTTTCCCTTTTCTAAAAGCACATAATCAGATCATCCACAGTAATTGTGTCTGTCAAAAGATGCTGAAATTTGGAAAACCAGCCATCAAAAACCTACCTGAAAACAGAAATGGGTCACTGAAAAAAATTTGTAAAGCTTGATCTGCTTTAAAATGTATGCTAATAGTAATTACTATCTATGGCTGGTTCTTACCCAAAGCCATTTGGGAACATTTGGACTTGGTCAAACAACTGCATTCAGTAATGAAACCCAGGCTGGAAATATTAATTCAAGTTGGACATACATCTGTTAGAAATCTGTTTGGGAATCTTTGCCTCTTTGTTATGAGTCAATAATAAATCAGTGGGTATGAAGTTCTGTATCCATAGAAACATATTTCTTATATGATATTATTTAATTACTTTTACATTTGCTATACTTGGCATCAAATTTATCTAAAAATTTTCTCTTTTAAGTATTTTTAAAATGTTTCCAATAGAACTCTTACTATTTTCCAATCTAATTTTAAATATACACTTACTAAATATAACATGAAGAGCACATACTTTAAAATTTTAATTCTTTACAAATGTCAACTTAATTTGTCATTACCCTATATTTTTAATATATAATAGTATATGTATATTTATATGTAATAACATACATGACTACAAGACGCCTGCCACTTCACTCTCAATCAATGACAGTTTCCTGTAAAAAAAAAACAACAACAAAAAACAAATAGAAAATCTTAGACAAAGCACAAAAAAAATAACAACTACTATCACTTCTTCCAGTAAAAATTTGAGGAAGTTAACCATTCCGCAGGACACAGTCCCTGAGCAAGAACAGTAAACAGCTTTCTAAACTCATAACGACGGTAAATAAAAAAAAAGTGTGTGTTATTGTTATCACCTAATTCAGATTGTACCACCAGAAAATTTGCAGATGAATGTACATTATACAGGAAAAGACAAAGGTAAACTAACCCTGATTTCTTCACAAATACAAGCACCAGGTTCTGTAATTGCCTCCTAAAACATAAAAGTGAATGAGTTGAATCAAATATATCCATCACATTGTTAGCCAAAAGAGTAACTTACCACTGGATTTGTAAATATATCAGCTGCCTTTTTATTGTTGCCAGAGGAACGAGTTGTTTTTTGAAGAAAACAAGAAAAACTACAAAAAATTTCTGAATGAAAAAGTCAAAAGAGAGTGAGAAAGTCCGTAACCTGTCCTGAGAACACTGAAGCAAGTGTGCCCAAACATATCTACCTCTTCTTCACCAGGTCTCCACAAAGTTGGGAAAACATTTCTTATAATTCTTCCCCTGAAAGATTTACTTTTGAATCATAAATATCCTTTATTTTACATTTTAGTTACTTTTTGTGACCTTTCTTCTTAAAATGCAAAGATTTTTGAAGAAATTTATATTATGTAAGTCATGGAAGGATGGAGACATCTAATGTAGATTAAAGGCAGGGGGTTTAAGTAACATGGCTCTAATTTGGATCAGAAAAAGTTTAAATTAAGAAATTGTGTTAAGTTAGACATCAGATAAACTTGCCATGAAGGATGTTCTTTAAGGCCCAAAGAACAAAACAGTATCATAAATTTGAAAAATTTAAAAAAACAAAGGAATGTCACATACTGTTCTTCTTCCAGTGAGGAGGTAGGTGGTTATATGGCCTTTGCCCTTGACTGGGATAGTTCCTCTACGCTCAAATGTGAAGAATTCGTCAAGAAGTTTCTTAGATGCCTCGCTGACCTGTATTCTCCCTTTCACACCAGTGGAGTCCATTCTGCTTGCAATATTCACTGTGTCTCCCCATATGTCATAGAGAAGTTTTGTTGTACCAATGACCCCTGCTGTGACTGGCCCAGCATTAAATCCTATCCGTAAATGAAACTCAAATCCCAGCATGTGTTCATTGAATTTGTCAACAACCTTGATCATTCCCAAAGCAAATTCAACAAGTTGCTTTAGGTGGTCATATGGGTGGGCATCTTTTTTGGCACAACCTTCTGGGTAGAGGCCAGCCCCAGCCATAAAGGTTGAGCCATTGACTGTCTTGATTTTCTCCACTTGGCTAAACTGGCTTTTGTCTGTCAGAAGGTCATCAAAGTCACCAACAAGTTCATTCAAAACTCTGATACATTCCTTGCCACCTTCAAAGTTCTCTTCATAGAAGTCAGAAAAGTTTACTATTGAAGCAAAAATTACTCCAACATTTTCATAGTTCCGTGAGTAATGACTAGACAGTTTCAGTGCATCTGCTACATGTTTAGGGAAAATGCTCTCCAGTAGCCAGGCAGCCTGCTCCTTGTGCATTTGCGCTTTTCGTTTGTCTTTAGCAGCTTCCTCATCTCCATTGAAATTACGTCGTACGCTCATTTCCAACTGACGATTTAACACACACACAAAAATCAGAAGTAAACCAATGCAAACCATGATTTCTAAGCCTAAACGCTCATTGTATTCTGCTCCAGGCCGAAATGCACAAAATTCGTCATAAGTAAGCAAAATAATGTATGTAATAGAAAACACAGCAGCAAGTACAGTCTTCATCCAAGATGTAAGTTGAGTGAAATTGCAGAAATGTAAAAGTGCCACAGCAAATATTAAGGAGTAGAATTCTCTTGCTTTTGAATCAGTACGGTCCTTACAGTTCATGAAGTTTGCAAAGAGTGTTCCCATGGGAAGACACATTAAAAGAGCTCCTATAAGATGGCTTGTGAACCAGCCGCAAATGTAACCAACAATTTGGTGTATACATACAGAATATAAATGTGGAAATGCTCTGGCAACTGTCAAGCAGAACAATGTTATTTCAATAACAATTGAAATTGGCGACAAGACCTGCACTGCTAATGGAACAGGTTGGTAGAGCGTGAAGCCTAAAATCATTATGACTAGATAAATAATGTTGGAAAGCAACACATCTAAAAAGAAGTTCACTCTGGGGGATGCAAACGTTGTCACCGAAGGGTTCAACAACGTACAGTCCTGACCTTCATTCTGATATCGTCCCTCAGTTTCTCTGTCATGAAACTGTAAGGTGCAAGGGTTCATTGACCTGTGAAAGTACTCATCGCTAGTGCTCTCTTGACTCATCAAGTTGACAAGTTGCTGATCATTGCTTGTTCTCAGAGTATCCCTCATTAAAGCTTCATTCAGGGATAAGCCCAAAACTTGAGGAGAGCATTGACCCTCTGGCACTCTTCCATTAGAATCTTCATCATCATCATCAGATCGGATTGAAGTTCCACTGCAATAGTCCATTTCAATGACACCAGGCTTGACTTTCAGGTTGCCTTTAAGGATTTTAGGACCATTGTCTGAACTTGACTCACCTTGACTGGAAATGTTTGAATCAGAGTTAAACATCACATCTGAGGAGGTAATCTGTTCTGAGATCTTGACATGCTTCTTGTTTTCTTGTGGACTGCTGTAATGAGAAGCATTCTCATTCATGCTGACATTGATGGCGTTTAGGTTTGCTGGTTTCTTTTTGCGTCCACTTGGGTGAAGCAGATTCATTGGTTTCTTCATACCATTCTTACGACCAACAATGAAGTAAGTCTTAATACCTTCCAAGCCATGATAACGTGAACTGCCATTACCATCTTCCACAATATAGTGACCAGCAAGAAACTTAAGTGTTGTTGCAGTGATATGTACACGTCCAGGGAGACCAGCCGTTTCCATGCGGTTTGCTAAGTTTACATCATTGGACCAAACATCAAATTTAAAGCGTAGCGAGCCGACAATACCACATAGAACAGTCCCTGTATGAACGCCCACCCTCATGTCAACTTCATTCTTGGTGTCCGCATCAAATTCTTTGATTTGTTCCAACATGTCCAGTCCCATCTCCACACAATTAAATGCATGATGGGCTGTCGCTTCAGGGCATCCTGCCACACAATAATAACAATCACCAAGGGTGCTGATTTTCTCGCAGTTATTGATATCTGTGAGGCGATCAAAGCGCCCAAAGAGATCGTTCAAGAGCCTAACTAATTGCTCAGCAGACTTATTGGAAGACATGTTGGTGAAGCCCACGATATCGGCGAAAAGAATGCTGACATTCTCCATGCGATGCATCTGAAACGGTCGGAAGACCATCTGGCCTTTGTTTCGTCGTCTTTTCTTGCCGTTTGTACTGTCCTTCGGATCTTCCTCCATTTCTTCGACCACAAGCAGCTCTTTGGCCACTAAATCCGGCATTACCGATCGGATCATCTGTTCTTTCACCTGTTTTTCAATTTCCAAGTCGCGACGAGCAACAACACATTGACCAACCTTCCAGAAAGTGCTTCTTTCTCGTACTTGGGCCATGAAAAAGATTTGAATTCCAAACAGATGAATACACATGTGCAAAATTAAACGACAGATGATTTCCTTGGGCTGGCTGTCTCTTTCCTTTTCGTCGGTGACCACGTCAGAGAGAACTTCGTGAGCGACAGAAAAAGCCACCGTCATTACAATGCAGATGTACAAATGAAGCGAATGGATCATGGTATAAATCAGCATGATAACACATGTACACATACAAAATCGAGCCGGGTTCGAAAGAGCTGTTCCCCTCTCTCGCAAAGCGAACAGGCAAAGTTCCATGGCGATCAGTAAAACAGACGCGAGCAACGAAACAAACGATGCACATTTCTTGTACAATCTGCTGAATTTAGTAAACAGTATTAAGGAGATCACTAACCCCAAAAAAAACCCAGCTCCTACTAAGATCTGATAGCCTTCACTCTTGAGCAGAACCGCAAAAAATATCCCCCAGGTGACACAAACGAGGCATACAAATACGAGAGCGTGGACGAGACGCCTTTGGTTGTGGGAAGTGAAACGCTGAAACTCCTCTTCCAAAATTTCCGAATCAAATGAGGGCTTCCACCATTGAGAAGAAGCTCGCTCAAAAAACAAGGGAATACAACCTTTTTTCGAGCGCGTATCGACCTGTGAAAAAGACCTCTCTTTTTTAACCGAAGCGTATGACGGTTTTAATTCGACACTCATGGACTCTGGATCTGTGCTGATAGAGTATCCAGACCTTTCCTCACCAGCCATTTCACTATCCAAAGAAAGACAGCTTGCTTTTCAAGGCTTCCCCGGTGTTGATCACCTAACTAAATCATCTCTTTAGCGTCTTCTAAGTCATTTTAAGAGCAATCGGCATATCAGGACCTCAACCACTACCCTTTCCGCCAAATGCTCTTCTTCCTCGACATCAAAAGGGAATTCAGGGATTTCCTGAGCGAAAGCACTTAACTTTCAGCGGCTCTAAACTTTAGCACATGAAGAAAATAGACACGCTCAATGCGAGCTCTTTTTTTCCGAGGCGTATATCACGTGATCTATAGCTACACGTGACATCATTTGGTGTCGTCTAAGTGGCTGTGAGGCTTCCTGTGTTTTAGGTTTGGTGTGAAAGGACAGCCAGTTGAACATCTAACCTATTTTTAGCAAATTCTTCGCATTGTGGTCATGCATGCTCAAACCACTTGTACTTTCGCTGAAAACAAATAGGTCACTAATGGCTGGTTCAAATTTCAATGATTTTGTAGAATTTAACACCAAGGGAAGGTCATATGGTTTAAGAAAAATATATGCGTAACGAGGGGAGTGAATTGTGTAAATATACAAGCATAAATATGGAGGGCTTTGGAGAAGCAAACGGAAATATGCTAATCGATCATGTCAGGTATCGCTGAGATCTTAACTCCCCTCCCCCCCTTTCCCCCCTCGGAATAGGGGCTATAACTGTCCGACTGGTAAAATGTAGAACAGGGACAGGAATTAAAAGAAGCAAGGGTAATGAGGGGGAATTCTAGTAAATAGTTAGGATAATGCAGCTAATTTGCACTAAATGTGATTGCAAATAAAAAGGATTTCATGGATTAGTAATTCTATTATATCATATTCTTTGGGTAAGAAATTGTTAAGATCCTTTTAAGTACTAATGGGAGATTTTAAGGGAACAGGCGTTGTTTTTAATAGTGTTTGTCTGTGTTTTTTAAAGATTCTTGAGGGAGCGAAGAAAATATTTTAAATGCTGGGGAAAATATTATGCGCTAAAGATAGACACGAAGAACAAACCGAAAGATTTGTCCTCGAGTTAGGCTGGATCTTCAATAAGTGACGACAAAACGACTCCATGCCTAAATAAAGCAACAACAAGCAAAAGCACGAAGAGGTTCCTATGAAATCTTTATGAAATACTGAGCAGAAATGGCTTAAACTGGCCATACGTTAGTAGCGGATACAGGATTTAGTAAGCTGACTCAGTAAATACATCAAATGGTATGTGTAGCGGGCCATAGGTGCTTACCTTTCTCCCTGCGTACAAAGTTGACGTAAGTCTTTACACTTAACAGCTGTGTGCTGCCATAAACTTGACAACTATGAATGTTACTCAGATGGAAATAAAATTGCATTTTGTGCTGACGGAAATTCTAACAGCTAAAAAGACAAACATTCCTAATATTTAAAAGTAAACAACGACGTAGCAACAAGAAGCGAAGAAGTTTTACAAAAATTAATATATTAACATATGTGATGAGTATTTTGATCGGCTGCGAGGGCTTAGGAACGAATGACAGCTATGAAAGATCTCAGCTATAACGTGATCTTAGCTATGTAACTTTTTTCGAATATGAATAAATCTGGAAAGGTCGTTAGGAGGGCATAAAACGGAAGAGAAGTTTCACTACCACGAAGATAAGAGGTCCTTCATTAGTCAGCATTGAATTAACGTTTTTCTCCTTTTATAAAAAATAAAATGTTAGACCATGTTAATCAGCTTCTTTTGTGGACAATTAACTAAAAGTGAAATAACCTACTCTTTTTAGCGGACCCCTGTGGATTGATCCGTGCGCCTAAACACCCCCATTCCACAAAGTTATGACCAAAGCAGGAATATTTTTGGGTTTTGGAACTGAGCCCAGTCCCATTTAGTAGTTCCTCCTTCAGCTTCATCCTGTTTGTTGTGGTTTAATGATCTTGACATTGGCGGTGAAATAGGTAAGTGTTATGAAACGTTGCTATTTTTTGCAGAGATAAGTGATTTAAAAATACTCTGCAGGAAAGAAGGAAACTTCGGACAAGCTGGCTCAGTTTCAAATTGAAGTCGCCAGAAATAGACAAGTACCTGTAAAAATAACTTTAATGACACATAAATATTATCAAGAACTATATCATTCTTTTTAAGGATTAAGTCTTTTCATCACTAACATTTCTGTGGTAAGTTCTTTCTCTTCTTCAGGCGCATAACAAGTTTATAGCGTCTACGTTTTAATTTCTGTATCAGAGGTTGTATGACGCAGCACTCATGCCGGGGTTGATCATCTTCAGTTAGTCGAAATCATGGCCAAAAAATTGATTATGCAGGCATCCCTTCTTCTTCTGAGCAGTGTACGAGAAAATTGAACTGACTCTAAGGTATGGAGAGCCCGGGTGGAGAAGCTGAACAATAAGACAGAAAAAGATGTGGTCTTGTAGCTTAATGCTATGGAAAATAAAGCAATTATTTCTGTCGGTTCTTAGGTCCACATCTTCACACAATCTTAATTTGCATTTTGATCCTTTTTACGCATACCAGAGCCAATAACTCATTTGACGTGCCCCTTAAACCAGCTGTAATCGTGTTTTACCACACTCAAGTGTTACAGCCAAAACTGGCTCACGTGTAAGATATGAGCATTCTTCAAATTCTCTCACAATCTCATGCTCAGGTCGTTTTCTTAACCACCCCCGAAAGTACTTCCTAGTTGAATGAGGATAGAGGGTTTTGGTCCTGGGAACGAAGCAGTCCCCTGAATTCCAAACCAAGCTTCACCGAAAAAGATCATGTAGATTTTGTAAATTCACCTGGATGAACTTATCTGCCTTCCCTCTCCCCACCTCCTGCCCTCTTATTTCTAGGTGATCCCAGACAATAGATTGAAAGCTGCATTACCTGCCAGTTGTAGGATAAAATAAAAAGATAAAGATAGGAAGAAAATGCTGCACAGAACTTGAGCCAAAAATATTCCTGTTTGGCCCTCACATTCAGTCATTAGGTAACAGTACATATTACTTTCCACCTCAGTTTGCTAAGCCGGAATATGTTGTCTGTCAACCTTCACACTAACCGCTGCCTCCTCTCCTCTCCTCTCCCCCCTATTCTCCACTCAGATCCTGTCATCTTTTTCAAAATATAAAATCAAAAAAATTTTCCATTATGTGAAAAATATACCTGATTTTGTCTTTCAATTTTTTTACAATATTTTTTCCGAAGAAATTCGCTTGTTTTTCGAAGTGGGACTTCGAAAATTTGAACCGGAAATCAGTTTTAGCGGAAATGACGCAAAATAAATATTAATTGAAGCCCAGATCTCCTCTTTTGAACACCTGCGATGACCGCCTGATCTTTTCTCCACTTGAATTTTGCGTAGAAACACAAGTTACATATCGAAATGTTAGTAAAAATGTCGGCTTTATAAGAATTTTTTTACTCTCGGTTTTTCTTCTTTCATTATTAGTGGTACTAACATTATTATCTTTCTCTTAGGTCGAAAGTAACCTTCAAAATTACTTTAACTTCTGATCCGAAATTACCATTCAAAGTGTACGTGAAAACTTATTTTCATGCCAGTATTAGTAACTTTTTGTTAAATGGGGTTTAAACCTTAAATATTGCTCAGTAATTGACGTTAAAATTCCATTTACAGACTTAGTGTTCCAGAGGAAACGCCATTTACCGCAGTCTTAAAATTCGCCGCCGAAGAAGTAAGTTATCTGACCGATTTGCGATGAATCCTTAAATCATAACACAGTATGCAACATTTAACTTCAGTTGAAACAAGCTGTTTGTATAAAGATCTGATCTACTATGTTAACAAATATTGATCTTTAGTGTTCTCGTTCCGTATTTTGTTTGAAGTTCAAGGTTCCTCCTGCTACCAGTGCAATTATTACAAACGGTGAGTTATTTTGATTTCCTCTGTAAGAAAAGGAAAGTCTTCCCTTAGTGCTATGCCGTTTCTAGTGAATATGGTTGAATGCTGTTAATCAGGATCTTAAACCCCTAAAGTACACTGCCAATTCCTTTGCGATCTTAGCCGGAACTGATACTGCAGCAAGCAAAAATGATGTGATCATGGCAAGACAGCTATGGCGATAAGAACTGTGGGTGGGTTATCATAACTGTGATTCCAGTATCGCAATACAACTGAACCTGTCTTAAGCAAACATCCAAAAGTCCCTTGCCAGCGTTCATTTATTGCCTCGTCGATACAGCTTTTAGCTAATTGCACAATAATAACTAGTAGTTCGCTCAAGCAACACAGAAGTCATCTCAGTCAGCTTGGATCGGCTAATGTTCCTGTCTTAGACCAATTAGCTTCTCAAAAAATTTATTCTACATAATTAGCTTTCTCTCAATGATGTAATGGATGGTTTAGGGAAAATGTGCAAGGCATCTAATAACTCATCAAACCTTTTCCTTTTCTAGATGGCATTGGCATAAATCCATCACAAAGTGCAGGTGAATACCCTATCATGTATATCTTGTAAATTTACCTGAATGTTTCCTCATCCAAACATATCTGCCTTCTCTCCCCACCCTTTATTTCTAGGTGATCCCAGACAATAGATTGAAAACTGCATTACCTGTCAGCTGTAGGATAAAATAAAAAGATAAAGATAAGGGGGAAAATGATGCACAAAACTTGAGCCAAAAATTGTCCTGTTTGGCCCTCACTTTCAGTCATTAGGTAACAGTACATATCACTTTCCACCTCAGTTTGCTAAGTGAATATGTTGTCTGTTAACCTTCACACTAACCGCTGCCTCCTCTCCTCCCCTCTCCCCCTACCCTCCACTCAGTAGTTGGTCTAAAATGAACCTGTGATCATGTTGAGGCAAGAAAAATGCAAAGTTGTGATGAAGCATACTGTAATCCAAGTAGTTGTTGGGTGGGAGGTTGTTGACCATTCTAAGAGTTGGCTTCTTTTCATAGTAAATTCACAACAGGAATTTTTCTTGAGACATGTTTTATATTTAGACCTACACCTAGTTACATTGCTTATTTACTTACTGTGTACTGTGGTAATACTGAAAATAGCTTAGTGAAGGACAATTTGCACAATTATAACATGCTTCCAACCTGTTGTTGTTTCATAGGAAATGTGTTTTTAAAACATGGATCAGACCTGAGAATTATTCCAAGAGACAGAGTGGGAAGCAGGCTCATAACATAGGAGATGACACTGTATTTAGACTTAATAATAACCTGAATAAAATACATTTTACCCACATTTAAAGACTCTCTCAGTATTTATTGAAATACAGAGGAATACAACAATGCTTGAACATATAATTCTTGTAAGTAAATGTACTTGATAGACACCAAAAAACTTTTAAATTTCTGTCTAGTTAATATTCTCTTTGACTAATGTGCTTGGGTTCAATAGTTTCATTTTTTGTATTCAGTTTTTTTTAAAATGTGTGGTATAGTCGTGCTTTTCTTATTTCAAGAAGTTGTGACCTGACCAATGCCCAGGACCCTTACATTATGCATGAAAAGTCTCTGGCAATTGTCATTTGCAGCATCAGTGATACTTTAGAGACAAAAAAAAAATTAATTCCTTTTGAGGCATTGAAGAAACCAGGAGAAATGTGTGTGATGTGCAGATGGTTAGGAGTGCAAAGACCAAAGGAACTAAAGGAGAGGGTAATACTATAATAAGAATCAGGATCACTTACAATAAGGTTAACAAGTAAATAGAAATAAATAAACAAGAATTCATAAACAATATTGTCTTTATTATTTAAACATTAGTTAGCCCTTGTACGCACATGGAACAGTAAAAAACCTCACTAAGAAAACATTTATATTTCAACTGTGGATGACAAAGTCTCGCAAAAAATTATTTCCCACAAATATCTCCACAAAATGCAATTATACTGTAATCATACATGAGAGAATTTCAATTTTAAATTTGTATGGTTAAATTTTTTTTTTATGTACAATTGACTTGAAGTATTGAGTGAAATTCAAAGACATTGCAGTGTGTGTTATTATGATTAATAACAGTCAAACAACTGAGGCAGACATGAATTATTGATGAGAGTCAGTCATCCTGGAATGAAAACAGAGAGAATGATGTAAGATAAGGGTTGAAACAGTATATCTTGATTTTTGTAAGAACTTGAGGTGACTATATTTCTCTCCTACCCATTCATCATCATCCACTCCTTCTTGAAGATCCTGAGGCAAAGGATCATCATCGTAATTTCCTAATTTGTCAACCATAGAGTTCAAAAGCTGAAAATAAATATATAAAACCAATTTAATTTTCAATTATTAAAAATTAACTGTAAAGAACTGAAGAAATAAGAGACACTTTCATTTATTTTAGCAATCTTTCTTTTTTTAGTGAACAGTTTGTTTTACTTACTTCTTCTTTCTGCTGTTCGATGGACTTCACCTCCTCCAGCTCATGTCTACTGTCGTACTTCCTGGCAATAGGGGCTGGTTTGGGTGCTTCACTCACTGCCACAGATAAGGAGAGAGAACAACAACCTTGTATTAAAATAGTAATGTTCACCCAATAACAAATGAATTAAGGTTATGAAGAGCAGTGGTCTGTAAAGTGAAGAAAAAAAATCCTTGCCAACAAGCACAGGCAAAACAAAAGAAAAAAAATTGATGACTATGTTCCCTATTTTCTAGAAACTAAATTAATCACTTTTTTGACATGAAAAAGAGGTTACCCTTAAGTGTAATTTGTTTGATATGGAATGCACTTCTCTATGATTTCCCTCTGGATGACTTACTTAGTTGGACATTACTGCCAACAGCACTACAATGCTACATGTTGGAGGAAGGCAAATTTTGCTTAGGGTTGGTTCTCCATTAGTAAATTTGATCTAAAATGAATGAAGTAAATCATATTCTGACCTGTAGTAAACAATAATAATGCATGGTAACTACACTTATTGATTATTTACACACATGCTTTCATGCCATCTGGTCTGAGTGACATTGTTCTCTGTGTTTTATCTTCACCAGTGAACCACTTATCACTAGTCACTGAAGGCTCCCACCATACTCTGGTGTCTGGGAAAAGGTCATCTTGAAAGTATTCCATCTGATAATGAAAAGGAAAATTAAATCACTACTAACACCTGCTCCTCTAAATTAACTGCTAGAGATGTTACTGTTCTAATCACTAAAATTTCTCTCCACTTAGAACAAACATTTACATATTGTTAATATAGCAAGAGAATGCACTAGCCTTCACTCGAGGAACCTGGAATGTAATTAAGTCAATTGACGTCTTGTTCAACTTAACAGCTCTGGCAAACTCCACTTGTTTTATGTCACAAACAGTCTTAGGTAGAAAGGCCACTGCCTGTTGGAAACATGAATATTACGTAATTCAGATTCTATTGATTAAAATCATGAAAGTTATCAAACAATAACTGAAGACTATTGCTTAAAATAGGTATAATTTCATAAATTGACATAGTGTCAAAGTATCTGTGCTTACTGATAACTTGTTAACCTCTTACACCCCAACATCAGTATGCATATTCTCCAAACTGTTCTCTGTATATTTCCTTAGGTGTTGACAAGGAGAATTTATATAACAATCAAGAGCTTCTTTAGTTAGTGATCCTTTCCTTTATTTTTGTGACCTTAATGTTTGATTCAAGAGTGATATTTTAAGGAGTAAATTATTAGATGCTAGTTACTCCTTGGGAGCAGAGGGTTAATGGTTTTCAAGAGTTTAAATGGTACTAAAAAACTTTTTTAACCAATCAAAAACCAATCTAAATGCAAAAGTAAAAATATTATTTTAAGAATAAAATATTAAGTTATTGATGATATTAATGAGTATGTGGTGTCTACATGTGTTACTTATTCACTGTAACAGTATATACAGAAATTCATCACCTGGTAAGGGTTCTTTGTCCCATAGTGTGACAATTCATTCAAGTGAGGTGGCTCTTCACTGACTTCATAAGCAAATATTGTAGTTTCACCCTGAAAAGGTAATTCACATGGTAAGGCATTTGTTGCTAGTTCAGCCCATTTATCTTGTTGGAAATGAAATATACCAAAATTTATTTTCCTACACAGTTCCATACCATAAACTCAAATAGTCTGCTTAACAGGATATGGCTCCATCTGTTGTCTGACAGGCACAAACCTATTTATCTGACTGATATGTACAAATTTCCTTGCACCACATCTCAACTTATTCACCACAACCTTCCTCGTGGAGTTTCATAATTATAGAAATGAAAGTGCCAATACAGATTGTTTATTGGAAGTGCATGGTCCTTGTCACTGCTGACATTTTTAACACAGCATATTTATATTATATTATATACATATACCTTAGCAGATAGAAACATGACAGAGGAGTCTTCATCATAGAAAGGTATCAGGGTAGCGGGTGCCGCATCCACCTCCACTGATGATAAAACTTTAGACAGATCACAACTGTCATAAACACTAATGATTCTTATGCTTGATCTAATGCAGAGAAAAAGAAGAAAATTCACATTACCCCTGAACAGCTAAACCTGAAAAAAGTTAAAAGCTGCATATTGAAATATATATACACAGGTGTGATATTACCGTAATTTCCGGTCGATTACCCGCACGGCCGATTACCCGCACCGGCCGATTATTGCATACGGCGAAAAAAAAAGTCAACGGATTACCCGCACCGGTGGATAACCCGCACGTTGTTATTCAACTTTTTCGGTGGCGAAAACGTGACATTAAGGCGATACATTTCAGTCTTTCGATTCAGACATGTGCACAATTCTGTGTCAATATTAGCTTATACTTTATTGATTGATTATTGCTGCTGCTCTATTACCGATTTCATCGGCAAGAGTTATTACTCTAAGCTTATAATCAAACGTAAAACTGTGACGTGGGCGTTTCACAGCAGGCATTTTAACTTAATTGGTGACTCGTGGATACACTTATCGCGAATGATCGAGGTTTATAATTCTTATTCAGTCAGTTACCTTTTTATAGCATGTAGGAGCGTAATGAGCAATATCCATTGTTCATTTGTCGTTAAAATACTTTTTCAGCGCGAAATTAGTTAAGTTTCGCACCTATTATTTTCAACATTCTGGTGATGCATTTGGGATTTAAAATTACTGTCGGCAATTTCTCAAAAAATCGATATCTCCTGTTCTACTGGGCCTAACAAGTCCCTTAAAACGGGAAAATTCTCTTTAGCTCAAGCTAGTGAAAACTGGAAATTTGTTACTGATGCGCCGGATATCCTTGGATTATTTTTGTCACCATCAAGGTTTTGTTTTCACGCGTGCCGATAAAAATTTGTTTGTCACGCAACTAATTATGCGTGAAATAAACTCGAGTTGGCATCATGTTTTCGTGCCGCTTTGTGGCACTTTTGATACAATAAAATTCATTTGAGAGGTGGAAACGCAGGTAGGTGAGAAATTTTTTCAATTCAACTTCCAGAAGAATTTAAAATTGTCACATAACCCGCACCTCCCTATTACCCGCAGTGGCGCGGATTTAATGCAAAATCAACAGATTACCCGCGGGTAATCGACCGGAAATTACGGTAATTTTTTTCTTCTGATATCCACTTGGCTCCTAAATTCTTCAAAGTGGTAGCCAATTCAAAAAAAGTTGGTTGCCATTTTCAAAGACAAACAAAACCTTTTTTTCTGCTGTCATTGTTCTAGAAATTAAGTTAGGGAAAAGATCTTCAATGTGCTACAAAGTGGACACTAGGATGGATGATATGCAACGTTCAAGCTAACCTAAATCCAAGATGGTGTCTAGTTATTGATCAAGATGCATGTATTGCAATTTGAAAACAAACTTAAAGAGGAAGTTCGCTGCGGATTTATCTTTGCAAATCTTTTTAATTCACTATATCTCTAGGTAAGGTTATGATTAAACATTCTAGTCGCCAATTTGGCAACTAATTTTCAGGATTTGGTTGCCAAAGTGATAAAATTTAGTCGCATTGGCACCTGTATTAGGTGCAATTTCATGCTCTGATATATGTAACAAACAAAAAAAACCTCCAAACAAATTTAAGTACAAGAAAAGAATATTAGGCAAAAATGCCAAGTACATAAGTCAAAATAGCCACACTTTTTTTCTTTAAAAGGTGAAAATATCCATCCAGGTGGTCTTTACTGGACATTTAATTGAGAAAGGCAAGTAATAGCATAATGTAAAAAATGAAAATCATGTTTATTCAGTGTCTTTAATGAGTTACTTCTTGACATACAATTCTGGTGGACAGCAAATAGCTTTTTGTCTTTAAGGTGAGGTATATATGTCAACTTACTTGCCAAATCCTGTGGTCACTAACCAGTCCCCACTTGGACCTCCCCAGAAGACACGAGCTCCACGGCTCCCTTCAGGTCCTGTTCCTGTCTAAAAAAAAGAAATTAACTCTTTGATCAAATATAGGCTGCACTATAAATAACAATATCTACAAAAAAAATCAACAGTGCTGGACTCAGATTACATGAAGGTACACCAGCTGAACAACTCCCCTAGGGTGTGACCAAGAACATTGTTGATGTGCTTATGGAGGTGAGGGAAAACAATTGAACACAACTGCCATTGATTATCTCTGCTTTCTGTAGCATGAGGCCACTGGGGGAGATGCTTCTCTACATGGAAGCAATACTAATCCAGCAAAGGTAGCCCCAACATTTCCTCGGGTTTCCATGACAGTTTGCAGGTATCCAATTACACTCCTGAGTGGAAAGGGGCATGGTCACAGTAAACTTTCTTGCTCAAGGAGACAACACGACTGCTCAGTCCAGCATCAAACCTGTCTGCAACATACTATCCACTGAGCCAGCACTCCTCTCACAGAGCTCATGCTCAATTTTAAATTACAAAATACACTAGTTGAGGCTCTCTCTGGTGGAAGATTGTCCAGACAAATCTCCTTGCACCCAGATAATATTTTAAATGAATAATACCTGTAGAGGCGAAACTTGAGATCTTGGGTCAAATATTCTGATCTTGTTATCTCTTGACACAGTGGCTAGTCTTGTTCCATCTGGTTTCCAACTCAAGCTAAAAACCTAAAAAGACTTTTGATAATCAGCTTGTTTGACTGTTCAAGTTTTTCATTTCCTTTTTTAATCATCAGCTCACTTGGTATGCTTACATTTATTTTTATCATAAAAAGCTAGCAACCATAGGATCAAAAGTCTTTAAGTGCTATCAAGATGATAAAATTTTTGTTTGGTGTAGATGGTTAAAAAATGTTTGTTAAAACTTACAAAGGTATTCACTACAACTTTTTCTCTTATGAAATATTGATACACATTTAGTTCACAGGATGCTTGGCTCTGCAACCTTTAAAGATTTTCATAAACACAAGAATTTGCATTTCATCCCAGAAAAGGAAAATGGAAAATAGCTGTTTCTTTGGCAGCAGATGTACCAGTAAGTGTTTAGGATCCTTACCGAATCAGTAAGTCCTTTAAGCGTTATTAGATCTTTAGCTTTGTCAACATCCCAGATCTTGATGGTTAAATCCATAGCTGCTGATGCCAGAACACCTTTGGCTGTGGGGTGATACTTTACTATGTTTGGTTTGTCATTATGACCTGTAATATTAAAAACAAAAGAAGAAACAAACTAAATTGATGAATTTGTTTAAATGTTTATAACAAAAATAGTTGTTTAACCAGTCAAGTTTTGGAAGGTATCAGATCAAATTTGATTGAGTGGTTTGTTAGCCAGCTGGTTGGCTTAAAAATAAACAGATTCATAGATGTCTAAAATGATTTTTGCAAAATAACCTTTCAAAACCACAAATGGATTGTTAATAGTTTCTGTCAAGCCATCATTGGGTACTTCCCACACAGTAACAAAACCACTTTCACAGGCTGAAAGATAAACAAATATAGAACATTATTAGTTATGCATCCAAATATGCAGAAAAAGTATTTGACAAAAAAAAAACAAAGCCCTTCGACATACAATCACATGATATACAACGAAGTGCATCAATTCCAACTGTCAAGTTGTTTCACATCAGTTTATTAAATGATTACATTTGACTTCGTCAACATTATACCCAGCAGAAAAAGTGGCTTAACAACAAGCCCATTGACCTCCACCTTAAGAGGTATGAGTTCAAGACCTACCCAGGTCATCATCTTGTGTCTTAAGGCAAAACAGTCCACCCAACAGTATAACAATGGTAGCCAACTGTCAGGTAAGCCTCACGAAATTCAGGGGGAGTACCAATACTTTCAGTTGCTTCATCCTTAATACCAGCATAAGCTTAGAGAGAGCATGGACCGCCTGGATCACTTTCTGACCCTCACTTATAAATAAGATGTACCCAACCCACCAGTTGCTAGTCTCTGTTTGTTAAATGGGTCCATGGCAAAATCCAGCACACCACTACCACACTGAATTACAGGCAGGCCCGAATCAGGAAGCCGGCCGGGCTTATCTAACTGAAAACAGAAATTTGATCACATTGTGAGATAACTTATTATAAGTGTCTCTAATAAAAACAATAATTTAAATAACAAAGAGAATAAAAATAAGCTATAATTTATAATCATGATAATAACATATATCAACAAGAAGACCTCCAATGATTGAAAATGGTCTTCAGGATGGTTGCCACTGAAATAAAAAATCTAAGAAAAAAGTCAGTTTTGCTTCTCCCCAACTCTGTCTTTGAAGCCACTAGCCATTATTTGCATTATATCTATAAAATTGGTTCAAAAACGGTCAGGGGTTTTCCTTCAATTGCACCTTGGTGACAGCTCATCTGCAACCAAAGCCTCCCCCATGCAAAGGAATTCACTGCAATTAAATTCATTAAAAAAAGTTGGCCTGGACAGATACAAATGCATGTTTGATGGATTACTTACAGGGACCACAGCTATTTGGCCTCCAGGTCCTGATAAAGGAAAAGCGGCAAACTTCTGATTGACTTGAAAACCATCAGAGTCTGCTAGTACTGATATGCTCAAATTCCGTACATTGTCTATATTATTGCTTTTGTGCATGGGAGTGCCATGAAGGTGTCTGAATTTTGATGTACGTGCAGCTGTGAAAGTCTTTCGTGGCTTTGTTGAAGGTTCTGCCTCAGGACCAGCAGATGATGTTAATTTGTTGATGGTTTGTTGAGTTTGTTGAGAATTAGCTTCTTCTTTTGGTGATTCTCTGGACTCACTTGTTGAATGCTTAAACACAACAATAACAAAGATACCTCCTAATTACTCAATATTGCACTATGTAGGTAATCTCTTTACACTCTATTTAAGTTGTTGAATGGCAGGTCATGCCATTAAGAATCCACATACATTCCCATTGTTACAATTCTTAATGGATTAGCTAGAGGTCTTTGTTGAGTCACTTGGTAGGGATGACACATACCCGAGTCTTTTCTCATGCAGTGTAAACATTTTATTACCTTACTACAAATTGAAATAGAATATAGTTTAATGTAATGTTAGGAAAGAACTTACAATAACTTACCTTTTCTACAGCAACACTTGGTTTCTGACTTTCTGTTGCTGGTTTTGGCTTGAGTGTGGGTTTCTGTGGTTTTTCTTGTGCTGTTGTTGTTTTTTGACATTCCATTTGTCGTTTTGATGGATCAAGAGAAACTCTCCTTAACTGTTGGGAAAAACATGCCTTTTTAGCACTAACTCCAGTCAACTACACACAGGAAGATTCAGATGTTTTCTTCTTTCTGTGCCTGTGACAATATAAATGACTTTGTTCCTTATTACCAAAGCAGGTCAGATTTATCATCTCTATTAAGGTAACTACAAATGAAGTATACATGAATAACACAAGGATCTGATGCTCTGTAACTTACAGGGTTATTGGATCCACTGAACCACTCTTCTGCTGTCATGGATGCTTCTCTTGCAAAAGTATCAGGAAACAAGTCTTCATGAAAATCCCTGTAAGACTTCAATAAAAAAATTAATTGACTGAGTATCAAGTTAAATGAATGCAGAGGCAGAACAAAGAAAGAAAGAAAAATAGAAAGACAAATTGGGCAAAGGACCAAACCAAAAAGGTGAAAAAATGAATGAGAGAAATGATGATAGAACAGTAAAACAAATAAACAAACAAGGAGACAATAAAGAAACGGACAAACAAATCAGTCATGAGTTACATGATTCAATTATTTCTTTACCTTTCGTGGCACACAGTAACTGATAGGGACCACTGATGATTTTGTTAGCTGAAGAAGTCGTACCACTTCACATTTCATTACATTCATGGCAAGTTTAGGTACAATGGCCATACCTTTGTGCTGTTGGTCCATCACCTGTGATGACACTTGAAATAGTACAGAAAATTTTATATCAGTAGAAATTTCAATACTCTAACTGTATCATAAAGAAACAAAGGCATTAATATTGAGTTCACACTCATTACCACTGGCACAGGATCAATCAAAGCTTAGGAAGTTAGCTCACACTACAGAACAGAGTAGTGACACTGACAGTTAAGCAATGAATACTATTTTTTTAACAAATGTCACTTTATGTAATGAGCATGTTTAGTTGAGATATTTATCTCAATTACCTGAAGTAACAAATGATGTGGCAGTATCAGATACTTCCAAATACTGGATTGAAGAGTCACCCTGAGTGCAACGAGAGATAAAATAAACAAATGGATTAGGTCACAATAACAAGAGTCCATTATGTACTGGATTGAAAGGGGGGAAACCACCCACAAAGCTGTGTTTACTTCATGTACGCTGCTCATTGAATCAAATATGACTACCAACTCTCTCATTTTCATTTGCGAGATATTTTTAATATAACATAAATCAGGACATAAGAATGAAAAAGAATATCAGGGGGTATCATGATTTGACACCAAATTCTCACAACTACCATTGTAGGAAATGAATGGAGACAGCATGAAGAATTACTCTCAACTTTTTGAGATTTGGGGAGTAAAAGGGCATTAAATAAACAACGTCAAGTGCTGTTTGGAGTGTGTTAAGTTAGTTAGTCATGTAAATAGTTTAATGCACCCCTTGTATGTATTAGAACATGTTGTCACCAAACAAGTATTAAAATTACAATTTGGACATAAGACAATGTGGTAATAATGGATGGTAAAAACAAATACAAGAATAATAAGGTATACACAATAATACCTTCCCAGCTAAGAACAACATGTTGGTGTCTGGATCAAAAAATGGCATCAGAATTCTGCATGTACAAAAGTTGTGTGGATAAAAAAAAGAGATGAGAGTGTTGGCCATAGAATTACACTGCTTGGATTAAATGTGTGGTGTGGAATGTTTGGCAATACCTAAAGTCACAGACAGTGCTTGTTCCATTTGAGTGTCAGACAGAACAATGAATTATGCACAATTTTTTTAAGAAAAGTTTACAAAAGCTGTTTATTAAAATAACCGTTTGTTAAAGAAAGTGAAATTTAAAAACTCACTATTATCCTGCAATTGAAACTTGTGTTTTGACAGCTATATCTGTTCTTTATCACCTTAGATTTCAAATCTGATTTTGTAAAAAAACAGCTAGGAAAGTTTAAAATGGCAATAAACTTTGAGTTCACTTACCCAGATGATGTATCAAAGCTCATCCTCTGTAATGGACTGCATATATTTTTCACATCCCTAACAACAACTTCACGGGTGCGAGACTGTTGAAAGAGTAATTTAGAAATGTCTCATGTTTTCAAAAGACTCTTTCAGCTAAACTAAGTAATATTCTCACCTGCCTGAAACCTGCGGTTATAATTTTGTCTGTGTTTCCCAGCCACAGCACTCTTGAGTCCTTGATTCCTTCCATGCCTTCACATTCCTGCAAACACAGCACACAGTCACTTAGTTTTGAAATATTTTTGTTAATTCCTATCAACACTAAATACTTCATCTTTCAAAATGAAAATATAATCATACAAATCTTTGTCTAAAACACAAAGTGAGTGAGGCCCTTGATAATGGGACTAGCTAATACATGTTATGTGCATGTACATCATTACCATTATCAATATTATTCAATATTTATTATAACATAGCCAGCAAATTTGTCTAATCAAATTCAATTGAACAAGTATGCTTCATATTCCTATTATGCACGCTCATGACATCAGCAAACAAATCCCTCGAGAAAAAACATTTTCCATCAGGTTGAAAATATTATAAAACAATTGGTTCATACATCATCTGTGCATTCATTGATATATGAAGCACTTGGGAAGTTTGGAGAGTACTCAAGAAGCTAGAGTTGCTCTCGGCTACACCTTGAGCAACTCTTATGCATCTTTTGTGCTCTCCAAACTTCCCGTGTGCTTCATATCTCAATGAACACACGCTGATGTATGAACCAATTGTTAGTTTGTTCACTCACCGCAACAACAGAATTTCCACGTGGGTCTAGGATGCGTACCTTCTTGTCCTGAGAAAGTAAAGGTTAGAAGAATGATGTCATTGTAGAAATGTACTTTATCAGAATAAAAATGATATGAAATTCTTATCCGGTATAAAATTAGAAATATAACACTGTCTTTTAAATAGCTGACCTTGCTGGATGTAACCAATAAAGAACCATCCCCTTTCCAGCAAAAACTTTGAACCAAGTCGCGATGGTTTTCCAAATCTGTACCCAAACAAGAAATGATAAAACACCCTTTGATTAATACACAACTGCAAATATAAGAAAATCATATATGTATACTGCTGTTGAAGAAATGGATGTAGAAATAATCCTCACAGTCACGAATACTACTTAACTAGTAGTGAAAATAAGGCTTGAAAAAAATTCAGGTCTGTATGGGATTTGAACTCATGACCTCTGCAATACCGGAGCAGTGCTCTACCAACTGAGCTAACAAACCAACTGGGAGCTGATCATTATGTTAGTTACAAATAAAACCTCCAAGTGGTGAATACATGACTGTAAATATATGAAAATCATATAATGTGCACTGCACTTTTTTTCACTACTAGTTAAGTCACTTTCATTCAAGGATCACTTCTATATTAAACCCTTTGATTAATTGTGTCATATAAATGCATGTAGCTCATATAGAGTATTATGAAATATTAAATTATTATTTTAGTTAAATAGTAATACTACTCTTATTGCATAATATTATACTGACTGTAGTTCAGCTGCTGTTTCTGTAGATCCCAGATGGTGACAGACTTTCCAGATGAACTAGCTAGTACCTATTTCCAACAATCAGCAAAATCATAGAAAAAATCACACAAACAGTAGAGTATTTTGTGATTTATAATCGTGAATGAAATCTCGTATTTTTAAAATTTATGATTCCATATACGGTAGGTAATAAAAAAAGATGCAGATTTAAATAAGGTAAAATGTTTTCTTGTGCAAGTCTTTTCATTTAATATTACCAATCATACCATACCTCACTTGCTGCAGGATGGAACAGCACATTTTCTACGCGACCCTTAGAAAGAGAGTAACAAAAAAAGTAATAAAAAAAGTAAACTCATAATCACTATGGACATTTTTTTGTTCACCCCAAGGAATTTTTTAAAGCCATTTAGCAATTGGGTTGTTGATGTTTTCCTATACATTGTTGTTGTTTTGTATCTTTTTATAATGGGAGAAGGGATTGAATTGCAGTTATAGAAATATTAAAGTTTTATAACTGATGTTGTAACTTACAGGCTGCTGTGGAAGAGTACAAAGTGGTGCAGACAGAGTCTCTTTTATGCCTTCCTCTGGAATTTGCCACAGTTTAATCTGCAAACCAGATAGAAAATAGAACTAGAGTTACAACAGATATTTTGAGCCTGGTCCATTTGGACATTTAACAAGGAGGCAGTAAAAATGAAAATTTTGTAATCTTAGAATATTTTTAAACTTCTTAAAAATATCACAGGCAACTGCCTTCTTCTCATCAAGTTGTCAGTTTAAGCAGCCTCCACAAGCTTGTGGTTAATAAATTTTCAGACACAGAATTAAAAAAAAATTAAACTTACTGAACAGTCAAAAGAGCAAGTTGTAAGAAGCCTTCCATCAGAGGGTGAAAAGTCCAGGTCAGACACAAAATCTGAACAAGAGGAAAAGGCCAATAAAAAAAAACAGACTAAGTAAAAGAGATAACTTCCTCTCCAGATCAAATGACTGTTTGAAAATGTTCAAGCAAAGCTGTACAACAGAGCAAGGAAAATGTCATCTAGCAACCAATAAAATTAATAATTCTAATGATAATAATAATAGATGTACCTGCATGAGCATGGAGGAAAGGCAGTGACTGTTCCTTCCTTCCTACCTCTTCAAGAGGAAGAACACCAAGACTTCCTCCACCTGAGGGATGAATATACTCTGTAAATGGCGATTACCAAATTTTTACATTGCCCTACTTCTGCAAGGTTTGTATTCTGTACTTCTTAAGAGAAAATTTAATCACTTAATAAAAATTTTTCTACATCTTTTCTGCCTGTTTTCCATGACCTAAAACAAAGTGGCTGGTTCTTGAATCAAGTAAAAACAACCAAGTTATAGAGGCAATTATTATCTTTGTTTTTTCAACATGCAATTTTCAATAAAGGTTAAAATAGATGGTGTGATAAGTCTTACCTCCTGCATCCACATTGAATGCCATGAAGATGTCACTTGCTTTGATGTGATTTCCATGGGAGCTCATTAGGTTTCCAACTCTTATATCAGTAATGGACTCCTAGAAAACAGGTATATTGTTTGGTCAAGTATATAATGTGTTCAAAGCAATATTCATAGACACTGTGCTCTATAAAAGGATCACTCAAACCACCAAGAGTTTTGACTGCTCTTCCCTTGAGAAAACCTCATGTGGCAATTGGCCAAGTTTGCTGGCAGCAAGCTCTCATATATGATGTATTAATTGAAATCCTGTTAAAATCCCTATATATAATTTACAAACCCCACACTTACTGGGAACACACCATCTCCACTCCTATCTGGCTTGCATCAAATAACTGCCCCACCCCCCTGGACCCCAGGAAATGGATTTGACTTAGTGATTCACTGCAGAGTTGAGCTAAAAAATTAAACATAGCCCTTAAATAAGCATACGAGGCTCTAACACACTATGGTCAAGTTTTAAAACAAAGCCTTCAACTGCTGAACATTTGCAGCATAATAGACTTCCAAGGTTTACGATGATTGCAGTCTAGCATTATTTCTTGCATTTAATCTTAGATGCCAGATAAAATGAAATTGCCTTAGTTTAGTTTCGTATCGGTGCTCTCAAACCCTAATATCTTAAGTAATTATACTGCTTGTCTACGAACGCAAGTAGTCTATGAAAAAGAAAAGAACTGAACATAAGTCAAAAGGTAAACTGAAATTTGTGAAGTACGTAGACTGACAATCGTCATTGAAGCAAAGATCGTGAACAACAGCGGTACCTACCTCTTTCTTAGGAATCTTCGGAGCTGCATTTCGATATTTGGAAGCCTTAAAACGATGCATCTTTGCAATTTATCCGATATAAACAAATAATTCACTCAAACAGCTGTTTAATGCTTTTCAGGCACGCGAGAAATCTCGTGAAATCGCCAACTTCCTCCACCGGGACAACCCCGCAATGCCATATGGGAATAGTTTTAAAAATTTCCCGCTCTGCTGGAAATGGGAATTGTAAGGTTCACAAGAAAGCAGGAATAATTTACTCAAATTAACTCAATCTTCTGCTCCTCTTACCGCAAAACATATTCCCAATGAAAGTTCCCTAAGTGTTAGCTTCCTAAGCTTCAGGAAACAGAACTCATCACCCATCAAGATGAAGATAAAATGGCTACTGTCTCGGATCAAGTGAATAGCAAGTAAGGAGGGTTCTCCTCTCCTAAACAAGTCTTCCACGAAAAGTGCAAGTTTTCATTCACATTCATTTGATATTTATTTACATTGATTTTTTTTACATATACTAGTTCATTTGCCCAAACATAATGTTGGGTATACAGAGCTCAATGTAAATTTGAAGTTTAAATATACTCTTTGGCTCTGAAACCATAGAAAGCAGTCTTTGCTGATGACATTTTTCTTTATGCTCCTTTTAATGTCACCTATTCTCCCACCATTTCTTGCTGTAATATTCTATCAATTCACTGAAATCTGAACAAGATACCCCATTGTATGCACTTGTGTTTTGCTTGTCATGCTTGTCAAGTATTTCATGTTTGAAACTCATGATAGGTAAAGCTTTCTTTTTCACTATTTCACCTAAGAAACAAATTTGAGTAAGGTGGAGTTTCACTCTACCTGTGGTATGTACAATACAAATTGCCTAGTTCCCAGCCAAAAAAATTCTGCTACTTATTTCCCACACAACAAAGTGCTATAAAATACAGATCACATATTTCACCCATGGATTGATAGTTTTGAGTGCAATGAAATACAGATCACATATTTCACCCATGGATTGATAGTTTTGATGAGCTTTTAGAAAACGAACTAGAGAGTAATAACAAATATCATTTGAACTCATAGAAGTTCAGCTGAAAATATGTATTCTTTTAGCTGCAACTCCTAGCTACCAAATTAAAAAAAATAGCCTGTTTGGTAGGGAAAGAGAAAAAAAGGTAATTAAATGAATCATCTTAGGGTAAAAAAATTCAGAAATTTTTTAAGCACCAACAAAAAATTATATCGAGGACACTGATTTAAAATGGCAATAAACTGGGAAACACACTACAGAAACTAAAGAAATGAATCTTGAGGAGAAGAGTGCATCTCTTGATAGTTGTCAAAACCACCATCTTCCCCCGTGAGGGAAAGAAGCTGCGGCATCGGAATGTGTGGAATATTTAGCTGCATGGAGGCAAGGCTTTGTGGAGACAGTGGGTTGTTTAGAGTTGGTGATTCCACTGAGCTTCTCTGATCAGGAGAACCCTTGTTCAAAATGACTGCTGTGGTCTTTGGGGTTGATGATGCAACCGCTTTCTGTTTTGGAGTTTTGGTCCTTGCTTTCTTTACAGGAGGTTCTTTGGGGACCTTGTCTGATGTGTATTTTTTCATTTCTTTTTCATATCTCTCTTTATCTTTTTCATACATTTCATAGTAAACCTAAAAGATAATAAAAAACAACCAATAAACAGTCTTTACATGTAAAGAAGTAGGTAATGACTTCAGAGACATTGTTGGCATTACCCGTATGTAAGAAATGCCAATGTAATTCCAAGAGTCAGTTTAGCTTTTAAATTGTTTTTAACTGTTTTCCTCTTCCTGATAGAGGACTTTTCTATAGACAATGCAGGATTGAACAACGTGTAACATTGTATAACAATGTCCTTTCTTTTCCAAACCTTTTTATCTTCAGTGTCCAAGTTATTCCATTCCTTGGCAAGTGACTTAGTTAACTCATGGTGTCCTATATTGGGGTCCTTCTGATCATCTTGCATAACAGTGCGCTGCTGTTGGCAGTACATAAAGAAAGCATTGGCTGGTTTTTTAGGTGCATTTGGATCTTTATCTTTGTCCTTGTCCTTTGAGTTATCACGTTTCTTGTTCTTTTTCACAGGTGGTGAGTCTGGACTCATTAATTCACCAGGTAAGAGGGGAGAAGGTGCAGATTTTGGAAATGCCTCTGAAACTATCTCTGAGAGTAGTTCAGCCTGGGGAGAGAAAAAAATTGCTATGTTAGATTTTTAGATTGAGATATGAAAAAAAAAACAACAAATGTAGCCATACATGTTGCATCCCAGTTAATTAAAGAGTCTTTAAAGGTAATACTTGATGATGACTCCCACACAAAAATTGGTTGGATAAATCACTTCTTTTTACAACTAAACATTCCAATGATGATGTGATATACTACAAGGTAATTAATGGAAAGATAAAATTAAATTGAGCCTCACCTGAAATGGTGGCTGTGCAGCTCGATAGTCATCATTATACTCATCTAATCTGTCCTTGAGAAAGCTAAAAACATAGCAGATTGAAAAACTAAGAGACATATTTACATTTAATAACATATTCACCCTTTCAACTCCAGAAGTAATCATTAAATACTATCTTAAAATTGTCGTACACTGACAACCAGACAGGTAATGAAAACTAAGAAAATTATCAGATTATGGACATAGCCTTGGTATAACTTCAATTCTCTCAAACAGCCCGCAAAGAAACTTAAGGCCACCAGTTAGGGGAGTTAGCCTTTGAATCCTTTTGGTGAAATTGTTTTTTTTTTTTTTAGCATATTTCTTAGTTATGATCACAACGATATTTTGTTGTTGCGAGACTTCTCTTTCTATCATTGTTTTTCTGTAATTTTTCGCTAGTTCTTATCACATGTCAGCATTAGCTCTTTCGCTGAATCGTACTCTGTTCATTTCTATCAGTAACAACTTGAGATAAAAGTTTTCTTTTCAAAATTATTTTATTGCTTCCAAGTTAGACTATCGGTAAATTCACCGAGACAGGCAAAAATTCTCTTACCTTCGCTGTTTTCGATAGCGCTTTAAAAGAGTCTTAACATGGTATATACGATTGACTAATCTCTCGTTCTCCTGTGGATCAAAACAAAGTTTAGGTGATTTTCAACTTCGTCAACACTCAGTAATTAGTAGCCCTGCATTTCAAGATATGTTAGTTCTCCCAAAACCGTCGCGTACATCACCTGCTCGATCTGCCTGCAGTGTTTAAGTAAAGTAAAGTATTTTTGTTTGCACACAGTGTCGTGATCTGTAAAAAGATCTAAAGACACATTTTGATCCTCTTCATCCGCCATGTTAAATTCTAGCACTACCCAGAGGCCATTGCGTGCATATTTCTTTTGACAATTCCAGGGTAGTCCCTCGGGGATTCTCGGTTTCCTAATAATGAGAGATGCTACTGGAGACGAGGTTGCAGTCCCTAAATTTTCTTCAACGATTTTTCGTCACTTTTTCTAATGGTTTTCACTTCATTTGAACAACTAACCATACTGTGCGTAAAAAGGAAAAAAAAGAAGCAAAAATTGAACTTGTTAATTTCATCTAGACCCACAAAAAAATTGATAGGGTAAAAAAAAGCTGTGCCTTGCATCATACTAGAGATTTTACGTGGAGGGTGCTATCCTCTATCTCGAATCAACGCGCTTGTTGCAACAAAGCGATTCAGCTCCTCTTCTCTATGAGCGTTTATTACAAAAAGGTAAACATCAAGTCCAATTGTTAACAGGCGTGGGCGACCGACAAGAAACCCCTAGCTACTTTTGCCATTTCAGCGATACAACGAAAATCTCAGTGTTACAGCTGCTAGTGTTAGCTGTTTGATGAATGTCTCAAAATGCAGTTAACTTAACGTAACTCACTGAAAAGAATAATGGAATTTCATTTACTCAAATACTTTTAAGTGACAAAACGGTCGCTTGGAAATATCACTCTGTGACATCTTGCTATTAGGGCCATTCCTCACTTGCGAAAAAGTGTTTCTTTTGAAAATTTTTCTGTCATCACCAACATTTTACAAGTGCGGATGCTTTGTCGCGACTTGACAATTTTTGCCGAAGCGGAAAAATCTTCAAACGCACCGCCGATAGAATTTGTCCTGGTTAAAAACTGGACAAAATCGACTGAATAAACAAAACTGTGATAAACTTGTCGATCATTTGTCGTAAAAGCCACGACTAGCGTGTAATTGAACTAAAATCAGTGAAATATTGTCTTTTATCGCTTAAGTCGGGGATTCTAAAATTTTAAAACGACTTAGGATAAATCCTTGAAATTGGAGTCGCACGGAATCCTTTGCCAAACTATGCTGGCCGGTCTTATGAACAGATCAGGCGCTGACGGAATTTGATGGCTTTGATATTATGAATGCGAATGTAACTGATGAAACCAAAATTTGCCCTTTGATTTTAGCGGGAAAATTCTAGTTTTGTCTGCTAATGCGGAAAGACCATTACATACGAAAATTACAGAATCTTCAGATTATTTTGAGAAACATCGGTGTCCACGGGTTATGATACATTATGGGTACAAAATCACGTTTAACCATTCTATTCCCAGGTTTCAATTCAAATGCATTGTAAAGACAGATGCAACATTCTTCTGCATTCAGATGGATAACAATAAAGTCACAATGTTTTCGTATTAGCCTTAGTTAGGTGGTAATTACTGAAGAAGTGATGTTTATACAGTACAATCGTTTCAACCTGAATCTTTTGTTTTAAATTTGTCTCACGATTGTTATATTAAAACAAAATGTAATGTTTCGATTAAGTGACTAACAATAGGTTCAGTTGGCTTATTAAGAATCGTTTTGCGGACTGTGCCGTTAACTACGGTAAAAGCAACGACACCTCACTGATTGTAATTTCTATTGAATGGTCAACCCACATGTGTCCAATCCACCTTCGCAGGGGAGACAATTCGTCGCCCTTTTAAATTTCTAAATCACAGGATCATCTAGTAATCATACAGGTGCACAAATGAAATCTTGAACAAAGGCTGCTTTCTGAGCCTCACAGACCCAGAAGGATTAACAGCTTCCTTGTGATAAAACAAAGCGCTGAATCAAACAACTGAAGATACAAAAACTCCTTGCTTCCTAAATCAGCTCTGATTTTCTTCCTTACTTAACTCTTGCGGACCATCGCCAAAGGTAAGAACAGGATTATCATAAGCCTGCGCCGAATCAGCCAAGGAACTCTCCTGACTATCTATCAAAAGTTGACGACTTCCAACCGACCCCGCTGACCTGGGAATGTCTTCTTTAGATTCAGCAACAGTCATTTGATTGTCCGACAGCCTTGGAAGGTTCCACTCTGGCATACCCAATGCACCGACATTAAATTTATCTTGTTGATGAGCATCACCATTGGTTGTGCCAGTTAGTTTACCGCGGCCTCTAGCAGGTGACCTATTGAAAGAATACGCTCCAACTTTAAATTCATCATCAGCGTTGGGATCAGCAGCTGTCGCATCCATTTCCACAGGTTCTCCATAGTAGTTCACCCTGGAGTAGGAACTCGCACGAGGGATACCATGAAATCGCCTTAATTCATAATGTGTGTCGTTAGTAAGGAAAAAGCTTCCCTCACGTCGATCCTTGCGACATCGGAAAATAAGCACACAGATGCCGACGAAGAAAACAACAGCCATCAAGGTACCAAATCCTATGTAAAGATAAAACGCAATTTTATTGCTCTTGGCTTCGGTTGTTGGGGCCTGTGTAACTGGTGACGTGGGACGAACCACTTCCAACTTACTCGCTTTGAACTTTTTTTCTCCCAGAGTTACACTTAAGTTTCCGCTGTCGACAATTTTCTTTAAAACTTGTACCACATTTTTTAATCCACCTGATTGGTGAATAGTCATAGGAACTCGAATTGAACCACATGTAATATTCCCCATCACAATTGCCGATCTTGGAATCCTAAGTTTACTGGATACTTCCATCTGCACCGCCTCTCGAAAATCGTTCTCCCTATCTTTGTTGCTCTTGACGTAGTTACAATCTCCATCAAACACGACAACAACGGTCTCATTTTCATAAACAAGTGGTTGTTCAGTCACTACCTGTGAAGATGAAGGAGTTGGTTTTCTCGCGGTGGTCGCTGATGAGATAACGATCGATTTTGAAGCCACAGTATTTGATGTCGTTGAACTAACCAAAGAGTTTGTCATTGTGTTTACTGGTCCAATTGCAGAGATCGACGCTGAAACAGTTGGACTACCTGCGAGCATTGGACGCGACGATGTTGGGGAAACTTTAAGACTTGAACTCAAAGTTGTACTACTACCTGCAGCACCTGAAGTTAAAGAGGCTGTGGGAGTTGCCGAGACTGATACGGATGGTACACCACTAACAACAGGATTCGAGCTTGAAAGTGTCTCACTGACAAAAGGACTTGTACTTGAAAGTGCTGCACTAACAACAGAACTCGAGCTTGAAAGTGCTGTACTAACAAAAGGGCTCGTGTTTGAAAGTACAGTAGTAGCTGTACGGCGTGAACTTGAAAGTGCTGCACTAACAACAGAACTTGTACTTGAAAGTGAAGCTATAGCTGTACGGCGTGAACTTGAAAGTGCTGCACTTATAACAGGACTTGTGCTTGAAAGTGCTGCCGTAACTGTAGAGCGTGAGCTGGAGGGTACCACAGTGTTTGAGCTTGATTGTACTTGCGTGAAAAAACGGCTTGAGCTCGGAATAACTACAGGACTTGAAGGACCTGCACTAAAAGCATGACTTGAACTCGAAGATGCAGGTAAAGCTAAAGACCTAGACCTTGAAGACGCTGCTCCAACCACAGGACTTGAGCTTGAAGGAGCTGTGCTAACTGCAAGACTTGAACTAGAAGGTACAGGTGACACTATAGATCTGGAGCTTGAAGACGCTACACTATCTATAGGACTTGAGCTCGAAGGTGCTGGAATAACTGAGAAACTTGAGCTTGAAGATGCTGGGATAATCATACCACTTGAGCTTGAGGGCGTCGCACTAACTAAAGGAATTGAGCTTGAAGGCATTGCACTAACCACAGGACTTAAGCTTGAAGGCAATGCACTAACCACAGGACTTGAGCTCGAAGGCACTGCACTAACTACAGAACTTGAGCTTAAAGATGCTGGAAAAACTGCTGGACTTGAGCTTGAAGATGCCGTACTAATAACAGAGCTTGGGCTTGAATGGACTGGAGTAACTGCTGAAGTTGAGCTGGAAGGCATCACACTAACTGCAGGACTTGAGCTTGAAGATACAAGAGTAACTGCTGGACTTGAAGGTGCCATACTAACAGCAGGACTCAAGCTTGAAGGCGCCGAACTAACTGCTGGACTTGCGCTTAGAGATGCTGGAGTAACTACTTGACTTGAGCTTGAAGATACCGCACTAACTACACGACTTGGGCTCGGGTGTGAACTGCTTACTGCAGGTCTTGAACTTGAAAGCACTGCACTAGCTACAGGGGTTGAGCTTGAAAGCACCACACTTATTGTAGGGGCTGACATTGAAAGCAACGTACTAGCCACTGGGGATGAGCCTAAAGGCACCGTACTAGTCATAGGGCTTGAGCTTGATAGCACCGTTCTAACCAGAGCAGTTGAGCTTGAAGACACTTCACCAGTCACTGGGGTCGAGCTTAAAGTCGACGTACTTACAACAGCACTTGACCTTGCAAGTGCTTCACTACCAACAGTACTGGAGCTTGAGGCTACCGGATTGACGACAGGACTTCGGCTTGAAGGTGAAGCATTAACTACTGAGCGTGTACTTGGAACTGCTGCACTAACTGTTGGGCCTGAGCTTGAAGGAGCTGGAATAGCTGAAGAAGTTACGCTGAGGGAAACTACAGGACCTGAGGTTAGAGGTGCTGCACTTGCTATTGACTTTCTTAAGTTTAAAGGTGCTGCCCTTCTCTGTCTATTATGAACGCAGTTATATTCTTCCCGAAACGCTTCTAGAATGATGTTTTCAATTTTTCTTCCAGAAGAGAAAGTGATTTCTCTTGACTCTAGACGATTTCCATCGTTTCCTATGAAGTTGAGGTCCTTAGGTCTGGGTGTTTTCATTGAAATCACATTCTAGAAAGAGAAAGATAAAAAAAAAACTTCGATGAGTTCGAGAAAAAAGTAAGCAAGGATCGAGGATTAGGGTCAGTTAACCCACACAAGGAACACTTAATCCAGCAACAACAAATTTTACTGACTGATATAACTATTCCAATTGAACACGATGATAGTCGCAAATAATATCATATTAATTTACAAAACTATAATTTAGTGATCAACTGAAACCATCACCAAGCTTCAAAAGTGAGGGAGTCGGAGTATGGCATACAGGCTCTCAAACCTTCGCGGGGCTTATTTTACCAATATCTACATCTAATCAAAGTTCATTACTAAAACGCACATTTTCCAAAAAGGTAAGTTGAAATCTTAATAATTTGGCTAGTTGTAAGAATAAATATATTCGTGGAAAAGTTCAAAATTATCCAGGTGTCATAATCTCCGTTAGAAGTGAACATTTCGAAGCAAACGGCATCATTCGGGAGATTCTATTCCAACTTAGTAGCACTTTGTTCTCAGCAAACACGAAACGTTAAAAAAGAAAAAAAAGAAAGAGGTCCTGGCTCTGACTTTGGTTTTCTACCGAGGATCCAAATGGCGCAAACTTCTAAATCTTCTAACTGAAAAAGAAAATGTCTTGTCGAGAGTGACAAGTGTTGGAAATTTTCCCAGCCTTCAACCTTACTTTTCACTTGGTTTACGCATACTAGCCCACCAAAAACGTGGTCGTGAAAGCTACCTGGACAAAACGTGACTGAAAAACTATCCTTTCCTGCAAAGCGCCACCATGCCTTCTGTGAAGGTCAGGGGTTCAACTACATCATTGGCTGGCGGTTCACAGTGGGAGCGCGATGTTTACATAATTCTTCGAGGGGGCGTGAAATGCTTCTTAACCTCTGGAAGACGAAGACTCGCAATACGATTTCCACATGATGTCTCCTCTTCAAATGAATTCATAGAAATTGTGGGATTGACAGAGCGCCTTGAAATTTGGCCCAAACGTTTGCTGAACGAAGAGGAACGGAATTTTTTTTCCTTCCTTCCTAGCGACCTCGAAAGGCGACACGTCTGCAAATACTCCACAGAGAAAATCGATAAATCGATAGGTACACTGAAATGTTCACACTCTTTGAGAGAATGATCTTTTATGACTGCCACTATGCAGTTACACTTCGTGATCGATCAAGTTTAATACCCGATTTATTCGCCCGATTGGCATTTCAATTCAGTTTTAAGTAAAACAGCCCTCACTACATGCCTTCTTCTCTATCAAACTAACCAACTGATGACATATTGCACTAATATGACTCTGAATTCTCTGTAAATAATACAGGATAGGGTATTATAACATTAAAACAAAAATGTAGCAAGCTACCTTTTCACCAGCTGCCTTGCCACTTTCTTTGACCATCCTTATTATTAGTTTGGTTTCCAAGGGTAACAAACCTTAAAGATAAAAAAGTCATCACCTTCAGACATGGCACAAGGTGTAATTGGGTATTGGATGAATGGGAGAGTTGGCTGGGAAATGACAGATGAGAAATATACACTAAGTGATTTGCCAGATCAGAAATTAAGATCTTAAATCCTACATTGTTAGTTACCCATTCCAAAAATTGTCTGTCAATCATAATCATAACAATGTGCTTTTAGTTCTATTCCAAACACTGAACAATACTTGAAATGGAAGAGAAAAAATGAAGTGGCTCAAATCATCAGTTTCAGTGTGATGGCCACTTACTATCAGGCAACTGTGGGACAAAATAACTAAAGAGTGAATTGAACAATGTATTGCCTTTGTAGTGTGAGAGCCTCTTTCCAGTAACAACTAAGACAAATATTGTTTCCTGTATCATACCTCTGTTCTGTGCTACAGTCAATATCTGTGGAACCTCTGTAGTGACCGCCACACATATCAAAAAATTTGGCTTCTTCTCTAACAGCCATGGAAGAAAGTTTTCTTTTCTAATGGAAATGTATTTCCTGTAATGATATTAAAAAGTTTTTCAAAATGATGTTGACAAACCCATCATTATTGAGGTGAATTGCTGGGAAATGATGAGAAATGTCATATATTACTGGAAAATTAAACTGTGTGATTAGATGGAAAGTCTAGGAATACAAAATAAAATTTTGGTACTGATAGAAGATATGGACAAAAACCTACAACACAGACAACATGCACTGGATTAGGGTTCAGGGAACCTAATGAGCAACTGCGGCTGGAGCTGATAGCACAAGAAACATCACGATTTAACATAAAAGAGGGCAATGATAAGCTCCCATACAGCTCAAGGGTATTTTTAATGTGGTGATGGCTTCAGAGGCATTATCCAAGCCAGCATAATGACTCTCTTGAGAGAAACTTTAAAAAATCCCTTTCTCTCATGAAAAATTTCCTTAGCCCTGGGAATGCCCCAGCGGGGAGCATTTGAGGCTCAGCAGAGCCTATTATCAGTGTTTTAGTCATAATCTATTGTCACAGCTAACAGGATGTGACCTTTGATGATCGCCAAAGTACAAAACCCACCCTAACACGTTAAACATCCTCTCCTAGCCTCATCAATTATTTAAAAGAAAAGACTCGTTCATCAAACTACTTTCCCTAGACCATCAAAAGCAGTTTTGGACTAAAGAGATGTTCTGTAGCGAATAAAAAACGCAAAGAAACTCTCCGAAGAATAAATATCAACGAACATCATGGTCGCGATCAGATCACACTAAGTAAACCCACACAGCTGAAGGAACGAATATTTTTACCCAAAACAAAAACTTCTCACCGTAGTGGTAGTGTCTTACGCATCTAAATTATTCACATTATTCTTTTAAATAATTTATCAAAACTCAAGACGGACTATCATTCTGAAATGAGAACAAAGCATATCAATTTTGTCGCGTGGCAAAATAACTAGCGGAATTCAAATATAGCAATTTGTTTCCAGTGTGAGCGCGAACCAAATATCGGAGCAAAGTCCGCATAAGAATATACAATATAGGTGACTCTCACAATTAAGAGCATTTTTTCGTAAGCTGGAAAAAATAAAACACTTTGGCGTTGCTTCAATGTTTTTAGCGAAAATTGTCGCGACAGTTGAGGCGAAGGGTTTCAAGAGGGGCCAAACCTAATTACGTGCCGCCGGAAAAAGACTGGCTTAATAAAATTTTTGACAGTTTCAGATGCATTCAGGTCCTTTACACGAGAAAATTTTGATGCTTGAGCGATCTAACATATCAGACCGCGAAAATGTACCTCAACTATTCAAGCTCGGAGACAATGGCAATTATTCGCTGCTTGAGTCTCAAAGAAGTCTTATATAATAACAAAACACCTCCTTAAAACAACAAGAATTAAACAAAGCGAATGATTTTACCGATCTTGTACACTTGTCAATGTCTGAAATAAGCCGTGAGATTCAAAGCCGCCATCTCGTGCTCGTTGAAGGATAACAAATTCATTCCCTAAATTGGCTTGATCTGCTCCCAGGAAAGATGTTTGCAACTTTTCAGCATCAATCATCGAAGAGCCAAGGTCTGCAATAAGTAAGATCCTTGACTTCTGCCAAACATTTGCTGTATCAGAAGCTGAAAGGTTAAAAAAATAGAATCAATGAAGCTGAATGCACAAAAGGCGATATTTCTCAATAATTACATTATTCAATATTTTTTCCATGGCACGAAGCATTTCGTAGCATGCAACGTGTACATCGTAAGACCCGCGAATGAATGAGTTCATTCTATCTAATACATTGCGTAAACTATTTCTTTGCAGATGCTATGGAAAGCGATGTGATTTACTTCATTATCTACATAATGTGCTTACCTCTGCTAATGAAAGCACCAATTCCAAGATAAAGGAATATGCTGGCAAGCATCGTCGAGGTCTTGTAACTCTTAAAAATCCTTCGTTTGTAAACAAAATGAGATAATTTCATTAAAATGAAAGCGATGCTTTATGAGCTCAACAAACTTGGCGTTGGCAAATATATCATAGCGTATCACTATCCCTACTGTTGATATTGTTAAAAATCTAAAGAATATAACACAAACAACAGAAGATATTAGACCTCACTACCGCTAAGAACTCGCACCCATTTGTTCAGCCAAACGTACTCGCGCATGCAGGATACTCTGTTAGAGTCCGCAGTTAATTTACAGTTACGTCACCGTGACTGAGTAGTTATCAACTAACCAACAAAAATATAACCTTGGTTAATCTGGAAATTTCAGTCTCTTTCCGAACCACGGCAACGTCAAGAATGATAATGACACAATTGAAAGAGAAATTAACAATGCGGAATAATAAAATTGCGACTTCTTTTCTTGCGGCAAAAAAGGTTAAATGTTGACGAAGTTCTTGCGAAGTGTTTGGTTTATAGCGGATTTTTGGAATTTAAAGCATAAGAGCCAAAAGCTAACTCTACAGCCAATTCTCTCTCCTCCGTCTCGATTTAGTGGAAAGATGAATGTTATGCTTTCGTGTCTGTAACAAATGCAACTGTTACTGATCGAGTGCAAATCTCCTTTGCATCTTTTAGGTCCCCTGCTGTTAATCCTATTCGGCAAAACTTCTGAAAGCTGTCAACAACTGTTCAGTACAACGTTAAATTTTCCAGGGCTCATCTTTGTAAAACATTTTCACTGTCACTGTTACATGTCACACAGTGTCAAGTTTATGTCACAGAATAATCTGAGTTTAGAAGTTTTTGAAAGCTTTTTTTTTTTTTCAGGCATTTTTAAAACTTTCTCTGTCTTCTCTGTCCTATTTTGTCGTACAGCGCTACTGTCGAAATCAAAGTACAATTACTGTAATAGTCCTCAGGCAAGACATGCTAAAAATGAAGAAACAATTAAAACAAATGACAACGCGAAGTGAATCTGTTTATTCCACTAGGTCTCACTATGGCCGATTGTGAAAGGATTATAAGAAGAGGATATTGGTGTTACAATGTGAAAGCGTGCAGTCATTGTCCGCGGTGAAAATAAGAGCTGTCGAAGAGAATGAAAGAGTTGTTAGCATTGTAGCAGGGATGAACATCCTGAGAGAGTGGAGAGAAACACACACACATTTTGAGGTAACGGCTATCATGTGCCGACTTGTCCTGTGGACGCCGGAAATCATAAGCTTCATTTTGAACTAATGAATTTTAAACGGTCAGTTTCATTTAGGAGATTGTAAAATTCTTTTCACAGGAGGCACAAACTAATAGAAAATAATTTTCTTTTGAAAGAAAATGGATCATTAGGAGTGGAAACTAGAGGGCTCTTGAAATGAAAAAATGTCGGGTGCGTTCTGCTGTGGCGGAAATCGCCTCAATTTTTTTCACTTTACGGTCTAAAGAACAAATGTAATCACGAACACGAAAGTTGATGCACTTCTCTCGAAACAATTAAGTATGGCTGACTTCAAACCTTTCAGACGTGAGATTTCCAGCCAGGCTTTTAACATAATTATCTGCTACAAATCCAAACCTCTGGAAATTTCAGCATGATACGCATGTTACATAATTTCTTCCTCCGCTTTGCCTATCATATTTTCCGAGAAGTCTTTTTTCAGAACTGTAAATGTGATAAGATTTTAAAGACGCAGGTCGGATTACAAGATTAAGAACGAATGAAAAGTTGAATAATGAATTAGCCTAAACTAAATTGACAAATTAAGAAGGCTTACTTTGTACTACCTCGCTGACACCTGCATAATTCTTTTTGTAAGCTGAGGGTCCCAAAGGATAGGGCCGATTTCTCAAAAGTAAGTAGACAGTTACTGAGTAGTACATAACAGCTGATTGTTTTGTTGCTCTCAGCTGATCAAAGTACTGCATTCTCAAAATCTTTAGCCGAGCTTGATGCTTGTCCAGCTGTGAGGAAATGTAATTTCCTTCGCTAGCTAGAGTTTCTTTAAGATCAGAACTTTCCCAAAAACGCGAATAAATCATCTGAAAGTTGGTGAACGTTAAACCTGTTCGTTCAAGATGATGGAATTGAACCTGACGCGTTTGGATTACTTACAGGTGCAGACGATGTTTATGGCTTCCTTGGATACCGAACTTTGCACTTGGTTTTAGATATTAATTTATCGGAACTGAAATGAACGAACTTTTCTTTCCAGGTCGGTGTCACGTCTCCTAAGACGATGAAACTGTTATCTAGTGGCGGAAAACGGAGCGCTCAGAAGGTTAAACATACTTTGAATCATCAGTGCAGTTGGTCGTTCACGTTACTAAGTTCGAAATAATTTCATTGATTTCCAAAGAAAACAAATATATCTGTATTTTGAATTGGTGTTGTATGTTTTGCATGGAGAAAACTAAGTTTTTCTGTTTGGCCTGCGAGCTGGCGATTTAAAGTGAGTTTTCGATCTCGGGAAACGAAAGATCATACACACTCTCGACGTTCCTTTTCTTCCCTACTTAATACAGCATTTTCCTGTTCTAACTGACTTCCAGATTGCAATAGCTGATCATGATGGAGTACTTACTTGTTTTGGGATGAAAAAACAAACTTCTCAGGTTAGTTGTGTGGCACAGACAGTACTCAAATTTAAAATAAGGAACTACAGGAACAATTAAATCGATCACAGTAATTGTTCCTTTGTTAGAAAGCTGGGTGCATCGATATGGCGTGATTGGTTTGGAGAGGGATAAGAAGACTTGGTTGAAATTTCATACCTTTTGTACTTAATTTGATTCCCACTTACTGTAATACAGGTGGTTTTCAAAACACTTCCAGGATCACCAATCTCTAAGTTGCAACTTGGTGGCTTGGATGGTCCTTCGCAGGAGAAGGTGTTTGTGGCATCTGGGGCTGAAGTGCGTGGCTATACTAAGAAAGGAAAGCAGTTCTTAGGATTTGACACCAATCTGACCGAAAGTATTCAGTCCATGTAGGTCCAATGTTTATCTTTCACTTTTGGAATAATAAAATATGTAATGTTTTTTAAAAAATTTTTTTATGTTGAATAAATTATTATTAATAGAAGCATGTTGTCTTTTTATTTTTGGCAGGTATGTTAATGGTGCTGATCTTTTCCTTTGTGGAAACTACATTTACAATCATTACCGTGACTGCAAAGATGAAAACTATTTCTTGTCTGGAGATAAGATTACTGATGTCCTTTGTTTACCAACAAGAAAGTGAGAGAAATTTTCTGATGTTTAAAATGAAAATCACATAATTTCTTACACCTTGGTTAACTGTAATTGTGGTATTTTGTTCAAAAATTTTGTATAAAAACAATTTTAGTAGGGGTAGGATGCAAATATCTTCTCATGCCCTTTCCCAATACTTCTTGACACAGTTTACCAGAAATAATTGTTATCCAGCAGCCCAGGTAACTCAACATATTTTTGCTGAGGCTTATCTGCTGGAGTGACACCTCTCATTTAGAAATTCTATTTTGGATAATTTTAGAAACACAGATGTGTTAGTCCCTATTCTGGCCTGTGAAGACAGAGTCTTAAGGGTTTTACAGGTTAGTAATATTAAAAATTTTCAATTGGTAGACAGACTGAAATATTGCTGTAGCCACTGCATAAGACTGATGTTTCCTAATAATGAATAATCTTACTACAAGATGTAACTCAATGTTGAAGTAAATATTATAATTTTTTTTTTACAAGGATTCTGATTTGCTGTATGAAGTTGAAGTAGCTGGACCACCCATGGTGCTTGCTCTGCATGGTGGGAATGGAGGTTGGTAGTAAACATGGAATACAAGTAATTTTTAACAAGCCTTGAAAAGTATCTACCCAGGTGATTTTCGGAATGGTCCTAGCACTGATAGGAATAACGCAATGGAGCCCTTAAAAAAGGTTTACACTTTGTCTAGTCTTACACACACATTAACCCTTTGACCCTTAAGATTGACCAGCTTCTAATTTCTCCCTACAATAATACCCCTGAATCCCACATTAAGGTCACAAGAATAAGGGAAATGATCTGCACTAAGGAAATTCTTGATTGTTAAATAAATTCTCCTTGTTAGCACCCTTGGAGTTGTATAGAGAATATTCATTATGATATTAAAGTGTAAAGGGTTAATTAGATGATATGTAATGAGGTTTTGCCTCTGGTGCATGTTTATACTAGAGAACTATATGCACTACAGTGTTTACTGCTTTTATTGTTTATGTGTGTCAACATTTCATGCTTTGCATCAGATGATTACCACAGTATGATGACTTACTATAATTGTAATAGTTACTCTGACTCATACTTAATTTTAGCCTTATCTTAAGGTTTGTCTGGAGAAGAAGTTTTGTATGGAACATCAGATGGAAAAGTGGGCATGATTCAGTTAGGAAGGTATATGGAATATTGACTTAAAGTATTTGAATTGACATAGAAACAAGCTGAACACTTTCACAATTTTGTGCTCTCACCCAAACATTGGAATTGTCTGTTCAGACATATTCCATATGTTCATGGTTTTCTGAGTTTAGTTAAATGTTACTAATCTTCATCAAGGATACAAATTCACCCATAACCAACTAGAGGAAGAGTCCTCTTGACTGATAAAATCACAACTTTTTAACAAACTAAAGTCATTCACATGATAACTTTGAAATATTTATTTCCAGGCATTCACCAAATCACAAGTGGGAAATTCCAAATGAAAAGCGGAATGGAGGTGAGTGAGTTGATTTTAATTATTTGTTGACAGAGAAAGACCCTAAAAGAAGGCTTTTTATAGAACTAAGATGCTGCAAGATCCTGGGAAATTTTTTTTATTTAATAATGGATCGGAATTGATTGTCAAAGCTGCATTTAATGTTGTTCCTGCCCGCCAGCTGGCATGCATTCGTATGTTGCAAGTTTCGGGAAATGAAACAACTTCAGGAGTTGAGTTAAGATTTAATGTGTTCTCTTTTTCTACATTTTTTCAGGTGTCTTGGCACTGGAAACTTTTGACATAACAGCTGATGGTGTGCCTGATGTTCTTATTGGGCGGGATGATGGTTTGGTTGAAGTGTATGGTTTTGATGAGATGGATGAGCCAGTTCACAGATTTAAACAGGTTAACCTTTTGCATCTTATCTTCAGTATGCACGTATGCTGGTATATTTGAATCTCTATATTTCCTAACACACTGACAGGAAGAATTTGTTTAACGGTCAAGAGCTTCTTTAGTTAGTGAACATTTCTTTTATTCTTGTGACCTTAATGAATGATTAGAGTTTGATATAGTGAGGAGAAATGAGATGTTTGTCACGAATAATTATTGATGTAATACAGCTGTGTAATAAAAACACTCACACAGGTTAATGATTTCATCTCCAGGCTTTAAGCGAGAGCATCACATCTGTATGTGGTGGCTGTGTGAATTCCTCAGGATATGATGAGATTATAGCAGCTACTTATGCTGGTTGGGTGGTAGGTTTTACTACAGAACCTCAACAGAAGGAAGTTGGACCCACTACAACAGCTGCACAGGAACCAATCAGTGAAGAGGTACAGGCAAAAATGGAGAATCTTAGGTAAGAAATACTGCAGGTCACTCAAGATTTACTCCCTTAATTGCAGATCCATCCAAGGAGCATTAACAGTCTGATATTAATTATGTAAAATTAAGGTATATGTAACTTTCCAGCAAAAAGTGATCCATCTGTTGAAAGCATTTTTCACCAATTAAAAACCACTTCTGCACATCAAAATTTTCACCAACACATATACATTTTCAAACTTCAAGCATTTTCTTATTATTGTGAGTAACAGAGATATCACTTTTCAGGGTAGAAATTGACACTCTTCAACAGAAGGTGCTACAGGAACGGGAAAAATACCAGCTAACTGCACACTCCATGTCTGCTCTCTCCGCAATTCCTCAGTTTGCAATCAATGATAAGTTTGCACTGAACAGGGATGATGCCAGCTATACATTGAGTATTGAAGTTCAGATTCCCATTGACAATGTCTTGTTACAGGTAAGCTCCATTTTTTTTGACAGGCATTTTTCTTATACCCAACTTCATCTTGAAAATCTGTTTGAAAACAGTAACTGCAGGAAGGTCTCACTGTCTCACTGTCTCAGTCTTAGAGTGAATTTTTATCACCTTGAAGTAATTTTCCACTAATTATGTTGAGATGTTTTGAGGGGAAATGTGACAAGTGTCTGCCATGTAGATAAGATGATTGTTTTTGTTTTACATTTATTGCTATTTCTCTAGAGTGACGTACCAATTGATCTTCTGGATGTGGATAAGAATTCTGCAGTGGTCAGTTACAGTGCTTGTGATATTGAGGTAAATGATGACTTTCTTAGTATATACTTCTCTGACTAGTATTAAGTTAAGACCTTGCATGTACATGCAGTGTGAAGAATTCTGTATACAGCTATGATAATGAGTGTTTCAATTTTCTTTCAGAATGGCAACTTTCTTCTTGCAACTTACAGATGTCAGGCAAACACTACAAGGCTGGAATTAAAAGTTTGAAGGACTTTTCAAATCTTTTTACCAATGCTAACTTAATGACACAAATCACATTAGCATTGTACTACATGAAAAGGAGACAGGACTCAGAAATTTCTTGGTATTTCTAACCTGAGAAAAGAATCCATCCAGTTGCTGATGAGAGATGACATTTAACCCACATTTTAAATTTCACTCAGACATTTTACAATTAAAGCTTTCTTACCTCCATTTCATTTAATTCCAGATCAGATCAATTGAAGGACAGTATGGCACTTTGCAGGCATATATCACACCCAGGATTCAGCCCAAGACCTGCCAAGTGCGACAATACAGTATTAAACCACTCTCGCTGCACCAGAGAACTCATGTGTTTGACGAGTCCAAGTAAGACCTCATAAAAGTTGGATTCCAATTATTGACAATCATGTGATTGTTGTTGTTTTGCATTCAAGATCTCAGTTCCTGAAGTTGTCCTAAGTTTTGTGGTCTGATTATGTTTTCAAAAGTTTCTTGAAAGGTTACATGTAAAAGAAGTCTTTTGATTTTCAGTTTTTATGAAGTTTCCAGTTTAAACTTAATTTTCCCCTTTGTGTTTCATTCAGGCCGATGAACTCATTGAAGTTAATGGGCCATTTCAGTTTTGCGGAAGTTCATTCCTGGGTTTGTTTCTGTCTCCCAGAAGTGCCAGACAGGTTTGTTAACTTAAGAGAGAGATTTATCCATAGTAAGTATACATTAAACCTTTCCTTGCACAATCATGATGAAAAATCACAACACGCCAATAGCAAAACCAGAAATACATTCATTTAAGATAACCAGAAATTTAAATTTTGTAGTTTTCTATCTGTGATATCAACAAGTCACAACATTGATGTTATCTCTGTTTTTGTTGCAGAACTCCTGCTGGAGAGCAAGTGAGCTTTCATTTCCTGTCGACATTTCTTGATACACAGTTAGACTGCCAGTACAAGTACGTATTTGCTTAACAAATTTCTGTCATCAAACCTACTTTACATTAGGTTTCTGTATGTCTCTAGTTGGTGCAATGCTCTTAGTTTTTCAGTGTGGAGTCAGAGTCTTATGTATGTCTTTTATTTCTTTGCAGAAAAGGAGAAGCCATCTTTAAATCTGACAATATCTCAACAATATCAATCCTCAAAGATGTCCTCACTAAAGAAGCTACTAAACGAAAAATCAACCTCAATATTTCTTATGGTTTGCTTAATTTTCTTGCCCTATTTATTTCACTGCCTTTCTTGTTTTAGTTTAATCAGAGTTATACTCAAGTGGCTTGTTATGTGATGACCCCTCTCTGTTTCAAAATGTCCATAGCCTTTGAATTAGCAGGAGTTTTACAGGTTCCATCCTCTTTTCAGATGCACTTCTTAGTCACACCTACTTGAAATTTGTCATTTCAGATCTCAATGAAGATTCTGTGGTCCACACACTGAACCTTATACATCCAAAGTTGGAATATCAGCTCTTGCTGGCCAAGAAAGTCCAACTCATTGAGGGACTAAAGGTCAGTGCGTAAATGGCTTATAGCTATTGTTTCTTGCAGAAACATAAAATTGATGATGGTGGATTTCTTTTTTTCTTAGAGTAACCTGACACTTTTGCCTTTTAGGAACTACAGATGCATGAAAGTGATATTGGATTTTTTGCTCCAGAATACCAAAAAATTCTTGGTAAGACAAATTTTTACTGAAATGTATTATAAAGGGTAATGAAGTCTCAGAAAGGCAATTATTGCATTTCAAAAATATGCTAAGGCATCCTCTTTAAGGATGAAATAGGAATTTCTCAATGATAAAGATAGGAGGTAAATGATATTTTCTACACTTTTAGTATCCTCAGTATTCTCAGGCATGCTTTTTTCGGAGAAAACCATACACATAAATTTCTGATAAATTCATAAATATTTTTTGTAAAGATGATGCAGAAAACCTCCAAGCAGAATACAAGAAGCAGCCCTGCCACTTGGAAAGACTCTATGGTATCCTTCATAGAAATCCATTTTACTAGGAATTTATTCAGTGGTTACAATCTTACATGGAATCTTAAATCTCGACATTTCAGATAATTGATTTGGATATAAAAGCTTTTTAAGGGTCTGGTCAAAAAGAATTCAAGGTAATATGGTAAAAACTAAGGTTGCCAAAGGGTTATCACCAAAAGTTTTGAGAGTTAAGTACACTTTACTTGAGATGAAAATTGTTCAACCCTCCAAAAACTAAATGCCATGATCCTGTTATGCGAAATGGCCAAACAATCAGCAGTAAAGAGAAATAGTAAAACAGAAGCTCAACCAGTAATACTTTCACAGAGCTGTAGTAAAGACAATAAATATCTTTTCTTGTTTGGTATCATTTCTTAACAAGTTTAAGGTATGATTACTGATCTCTACATAGACAAGTTCAAGTTCAAGGTAAGAATTGCAATACTTATGTAAACAAACCTTTTATTTTGACCATTACCTGTTGGTCAAAGGCGACTCTTCTGGTTTTCAGAGGGTTTCTGTACAAATAATCCAGTCATGAACATATTGTGTTACATGTTGATTCTGCAGTTACACTATTTTAATCAACAATGGAAATATCTCATGTTGATAAATCTTGATAATTTAATTCTAGGGAATGAATGTGAAAAGCAAGGTTCCCATTCTTCTGGAGGTGCTGGACAATTATGATCTACAAAATCTTGTGGAATTCTTTGAAGCAGCATAAGCGATCACTCTTCTTTGCTTCTAAGCTTAAAATCCTGTAAGCGCACATTTCAGAAATAGGTGTACAACAGAAACAATCATCAACTTTCCCACAACTGACTACATGTACTTCAAGATTGTAACCTTAGTTCAGAATGAACCCACTTTAAATCTCCTAGATGATTTAATGCATCCTTGATTGATTGATTTCTATTTCCCTGATTTGTATGTTTGTCAATTTTATTTCAAGATTTTTGTTCATAAAGAGTGATTGGTCAATTCTAATAACATTCTACTACCAAATAATTCTTTTCTTGATTGTAATGATAACTTAGTCCAGGTTTTGCGACATCAGTCATTTAGAACCATCATTCACCTTAGTTCTTTGATTTAAGAAGCTAAATCTTAATCATTGAACCATATAGCTGACTGTACACAAGACTATTTACTTCCTACAATTAACTGTGCAATTTTTTTAAGGTAATTTATTTATTTATTTGTAATTATTGTAAATAGTGATGCGGTTGGTTTGTAGTCTAACCTGCACAGCTTTAAAAATATATGATCACTTATAAAAATGTTCATGGAAGTGATTGTAGTCGGATAAGTTGTCAACAATTACCTACCCAAGCGTTTTAATACGAGGTTTAATGACATAAGAAATGATGTGCTTCTTATATGAAAGTATACAGGTTTCCACTTCATCTTTTCAGTTCCAGCTGATAAATATAAACATTCGAAACTCATTCAGCTTATCTACCAAAATTCCTCACGAAAAGCCTCCCAGCAACAGTCGTTCCAATGACCTGGATCTACTCTTTATACCAACTCCTATTTCTCGCCACTTTCTCGATATCCTACAAACTACTTTGCGTTGCCGCAATTTCAAGTATTGTACATGAATCCATCGATACTTTTAGCAGGTGACCTTCGCAATCAACATTCGTGGAACTTAAAGGAAGATTAAGCAGGAATAAGGTACGATCTTATTAAAATATGCGGCTAAGGTATGTCAGAGAATCTTTAGTTTAGCTGCTGCTATAACCAGCTGTCGCCGTGACTTGAAACAGGAAACTCCAATTACGTGATGTTCTCGTTGTCGCCAATTCCGCTTCATCGGTTCCATCGATTCTCGGCTGCACAGAAACCGACTTTATAGACTCGAGTCATATCATCACCTTCACTGTTTGCTTCTCCGCCAGTTACCCAATATTCTACAGCCCATAATTAGGGTTTCTTTTTACTTAGAGCATCTCGCACAGACTGCATGAATCTCTGACCCATCTCCTCAACGTTTGGAATTCCTTGGTAATTTTGTTGTATATATGCTCCTGTTAACGTGCCAGCAACAAGTCCCAGCACCAGCGTTTTGTTAATATGAGAAAAAATAACTCCAGCGGCAAAACCTTTAAGAAATGAGTAATCAAGAGGCGGTTTCTTCAGACTACCATCTCCTCCTTCGGGAGCCATCTTGATCGTTCCTCAAATTGAGATCCAGGCCCTCTCGAGTAATGACTCATTCCCTGTTTCTCAAGGTCAGAATTTACTAAAGAAGGAAGGAGGGGTGGGAGAGAAGACGATTTTAGTGAGGAAATTAATTACGTTGTATTTGTAAAACAGAATATGATTAACTCAGGATAATTTTATGATTAATTATGAATTTTTTTTATTGGAACAAGTTTGATTCTCCCATTGTCTAATTCAACAGCCTCAACTCCCAGCTCTCTTAGCCGTGAAGTGTCAGCTAGCCCTTGGCAATCCATGGCTGAAACAATTCTTTGGTTTTCTTTATTATTCTCCAAGAGGTTTCTGATTGCAAAGATGGCCCACTGACAGATGACTGAACTCAAGGTCAAGGAAGAAAGAATAAACAAAGATGGACAGAAAAATATAATGAGCCGAAAAAAACAACCCCCCACAAATGTACAGTAGATCATAAAGTTAGTGCTCTTCTTCAAATGCCTTGCCATTCATTTTGATGTAATCCTTCTCAAAGCTGATTCTGTAGTGAGCCAAATGAAATTCTGAGTACAGTGCAAAATAATAACCAATTAAAATTGGAAAGGATACAAGGATTGTGATCATCCACATTACAGTGATCCAGTAGTAATGGAATTCCTCCTAGGTCACGTACCTGCAACAATGTACACAATAATTAAACACAATCTGTGATGAGTATTTAATTATAAATAATTCTCCTAATGAAATATAATTCTTCTAAAGCTACAAGGAAAATTTTACCACTCAAAAAACATCCTTACCTTGTTCTGATTGGCTGCATGTTTGTAACACATATTCCCTATGACTCGCACTAGATCTCTCTGAAAGCCGTGACTAGGACTCAGTTTCCCAGAGTCTACACCTTGTGGTATGGAGTGTGCATTGCTGAAAGTTTCCTTTACCTCTGAATTAGTAGTCTCCTTTAATAAGCCTAAAACATAGTTTTTTCAGAAATAAAAACCTGTCATTTCCTCTCTATATACAAAACAAATATTAAGAGCTACTATATACATCAGTGTAAAAGGTAAGAGAGTACCTTAAAAAACTAAAAAAAGTACATGTATTTCTCTCTGATACATGAATGTGTGAATTTGGTAAATTAATACCAATAATTGTCACTTATACAACTGTATTGTTTCTCCTTCATGGTCCCTCTTCCTCAAACCATAAGCAGCAACCCTCCCAAAAGTCATTTAACAGCTGAAGGCTAAGGCCTATGGTCATTTACAAAAGCATTGGCCCAGGGTCCTTTTTGACCAGACACAATAAAACTTTCAACAAACCTACACAGGTGGTAAGTAATGGGGTTCTTTCTTGTAGACCAGTGAGGTTTGATTGTAGTCCTGTGCCAATGGATAATACACTTAACAGCCGCGTAATGATCAAGACCTGAAACTAAATACAGGGACAAGTGATTACCAATTTGCAAACATAATATGAGACAAATCAAGATATATATATATATATATATATATATATATATATATATATATAAAAATATAAATATAAATATTTTAAGAGGAAAAAGGGACACAACTACATTTTCCTGACCTGGTTTAAACCCCTGAAGAGTAAAGCGATAAACAAAACAGGCTTGTCGGAATATGTAGTTGTGTCCTTTTTTCCTCTTAAAATATTTATTCCGCTCTGCTTCAACATATTGAGCACTGTTCCATGTGAAAATGGACTTGCACACTCCCTGTATGTATATATATATATATATTAGATTTTTGCAAAAATACAAATCTAAAATTACATACAAAGTCATCAGATGATGGACTCAGCTGTTGTAGTTGTTGTATAATGTCTTCAGCCTGCTTTTCAAACTCATCAGCAATGTAAGCTAAGGAGTCTGTATAAAAACCATGTTTCACATGTTCTTCTCTTAATTTGATACTTGGCTCATCTAAAGCATCTGTGAAAATTCAATAACAAAAAATAACACTTGAATTGATGTACCAACTACCGGTAACCTGATAGCAAAGGGTTACCTGCTTCTAGACAAAATTAAACACTGACGTATGTCTGTAACAGACATGCAACAGGCATGGTAATTAGTGAAAGTAAAAATAGTTGTTTGTACCCAGAGACTCTCTTTTGCCATGCACATGCCAAATAAAACCAAAAAACTAAACTGTTATTATAAACAATATGTAACTTCCTTTACCTGTTATTTTGACTTGAATCAAGTCTAGTAAGATTATCCTGAAAAGGTTAAAACAACAGTTATCAATCAAAAATACTTTTGTGATGCAAAAATTTGGAGGAAAGTTTTTTTAGTTGGCTGTAACATTTAAACCAAAATTAATTTTGAATGTCTGCTAACATTTGCTTATCCTTATGGACTGTTACTAACTAAACAGTAAGAAAACAAAATGCTTGCATTTCTCTTTTGCACACAATTTGAGCCATGAGGCAACTCTTTTATGTCAGACGGCTTCAGTAAATGTGCTGCTGTTACGATAAGAATGAGAAAAAGTCTTTAATCATAGAAGGATGACTGAGCCAACCATTTCAGAGAGCTGTTAATTCAGTTGTGTAACATGTCTCTTTGTATCTAGATACATTCTGTTTCAAATTGTAAAGAATTATTAAATAGATTTAAGCAACCACTGGTTGGTGTAGAAAAATATGATCTTACCTAGCTAATGGATCAAATTCAATTCCTTTGTATATCTCAGGTAATAGTGCATTGCAGATCAAATAATCTAATATAAAATACCTGAAACAAACAAATTAAAAATGTAATCAAAAGACACAGATGCAGCTCATGATATGGAATGAAGAGTTGTAAATCAGCCATGAGACATACGAACCCCCATTCAAGTTGAGACTTTTCAGCACACAAATGTATAACATGGGTGATCATCTTGAGTCCATCATGAGCACTTACCAGCTGAATCCTGTCATTGATTGAATATTAAAATACAATAATGAAAGACAAATCAAGTTTAAATAATTTCTTATTTATTTAAAAATGAAAACAACAGTTCTTGCTCCTAAGTTACCTGTGCTGCTCATTCAAGCAGTTGTAAATAATCATGCACAAGCAGTCCTGTATGTTGTGATTAACTGAAGACAGCACACTCCTGTGAGGTATATACATACAAATCAGCTAAAAACAAGGCCTTGAAATTCTTTGGTGGGGCAATTTGCAACAACTCATGAGTTTGAATCTTAAAGTTACAGATAAACATATTAGGATACTTACAAGAAGAAGTTTGGGAAGCACATATTCCATACAAACTGCTGAGTAGCATCATTTTTCACCACTGTGTTTCCCAGAAGCTGAAGACTACTCTTTACAGCATCATTAACTGCATCTGATGCTAGAAGACATTTTAAGTAAAAGTACCAGATTTTAGCTGTAAATACATTCTCTCTCACAATGGTAACCAAACATACCCTACATATATAAGGCCCAATAGTAAGCAACTCTCACAAGTTTGAAAGATGGGTAAGTCTTGCATGAAAATACAAATTTTCTTCAATCAATAAATTATAATTCAGAAAAAACCAACAATTGTTTTATATGGTTCACCTCTTTCATTCTCTTGGAACTTTGGTTTTAGCAAAAGCACATTTGTATTAAGTACTTCCTCGATAACTCCTAACGATCTGTCAATAAAATCATATATCATGCATTTAGATGTTTTTCTGGATAACGAACTTGACCTCTGTGAAAGAAACGAATGATAAAAAAAACTAGCAGGATGTACTTACGCTATACTGTTCTGATTCTTGGGTGTTGCCGCACAGCAGTTTCTCAGGAATCTAAAAGCTTCTGCCGAAGCTCTAAGGCAAAGGATCAGCTGATTTTCTTCTAATTCACCTGTTTGTGCGCACATGCTATTTTTGCAGGCCGTTATAATATCTTTCATCTGCAAAATATTCGTCTCTGATACCATACATCTATGACATGCAAACCATGAAAAAGTAAGAAATATGATATATGTTATAATATTGAACTCAGATCTTCGAATCTGTCGTTTTGATTTGAAGGTACTTTCAAGCCCAAGCCGTAAGTATCAGTGTATCAAGAATTTCGACGTTAAGGAAATCACAGAGCACGACAAATTGTGCGACAGACGGACTTTTGATCATACCTGTTTTCTTTAGCCACCGCCCATGTCTTAAGTCTTTCCAACGTAGCTTTAACCTCAGTCCACGAATTTTTGGAGTAATTTAGTTTTCTCGTCAATGCTCCCAGTTCTGAAAGTGCGTTATCTCCGTCCGCCATGTTGAAAGTTGAAAAGAAGTGTGTGGTATAACAGTAGCAAAATGGTCTGCTTAGAACAAGCACTCAGATAGGTCTGCATAGGCATGCAAGCAAATCTATCTATAAAACAAGTCTTTGAAGTTGTAGAGTACTCATAGGTCAAGTGATCACTCTCATTCCTCTAATTCAACTGTCTTTTATTCAATAATCAAGATAATATATTTAGCGTACAATACTCGAAATCAGTTATTTTGCTTTCACTTGGGAGAGTAGATTTACGGCACGATTGGAAGTTCCTTACAGTAGTGACGCTATGTGACCCTATGTAACGCAATACACTACATAAGTAATATTCTTCTGAGAGTCGAAGGAGAGTACAAAGATGTTTGCAAGGTAAAAACGGCTACAAACATTAGGTTTTTTTTCTTACACGGCTCAGCTTACAAACTGACATAAAATTGTTCGCTTTAACCAACATCTCGTGTAGTAAGGCAAAATCTTATAACAACTAAAGTAACTCAACTTGAAAAATTATTTAAAATCTAGGCACTCATGATATTAATTGTGAATAAAACTTATTTGTGTAGATCGCAAACTTTGGAAGTAGGTTACAGACGAATAAGTCCAAGAATGAATAAATGAAAAAACTGATTGGTTAGAGGTAGGCACTTAAACCGGCTGCGCAGTCGCTACTCCCTTAAAAAAGTGCTTCTCTTCCTTAACTAAACGAGTACACTGTACATTATTTTAATTTATACAGAGTTTGACTCCAGCGTTTGTATCTGGAGGGGTCTTATATGAATCAGTCGAACATGACGAGTTCCTTCCAACTTGAATTCGACGTCATCTGACTCAATGCTTTGGGTCTTCTTTGTAATTACGCATGCCTTCAAAATGGAGTACGCTGACTTGAATAGCACAAGCCTATAGCCCGCGTCACATAATGGGACCAGAGAAGAGAGTGAGGACTGGAAGAAAATCAGCCACGGAAGTAAGGGTCCTAACCCCTGGGAGGAGTGAACTGAAGTGAGTTGTAACGCCACTGAAAAATATGTAGGGAGCCAACTCAGCATGGCCACGCAAGATTTTAGCACAAGATAACGTGATAGAGATTGCCGTTGCTTAAGAGATGTGAAAGGAGGAAGAATAACTCGCGGGTTTTGGAAAACTCGTTTCCTCGGGAGTTTGTGGGAGATTCTTGACGAGATAGCGAACGGATCCCTTGGATTTGAAGGACGTCGGGTTTCCCATTCGGCCTCCTTCACTAAACTGTTGACAGGGTGTGCGAAGACATTTATTTTCTTTCCAGTGCCTCCATTCGCACCAGTTCCTGGAGTGGTCAAGCTTTTTCCGTCTAGGTTTCCCTGGCGGAGAAGAACTTCTAGTAAAAGATTCTCTTGGTGCAAACGAGATTGATACGAAGACTTCCTCGAAGCTAGAGGAGTTGCAGTAACAGACGTAACACCAGACCTTCCGCTTGACCGCCTAGACCAGTATGACCTGTTCGACCGGCTTGTGCCACGTGACTGACTTGATCTTGAGCTGGTGGCTGTTGTCATTTCAGGGTCGTTTATCTTCATCTCGCATATATGTCGCTCCCAGAGGAGCAGTACTGGGTACCACCGACGATGTCTCAATACTTTGATAGCAAGAAAGATAGTTACGGAATGAAGAGCGAAAGAACACCCGAGATAGAGGATAGAATAGTTTGAGGGAGTTTGATCATAGTTGAACAGAATATGAGAACGTGACTGAGGGAGACCGTTGTAAGAACTCCAACCAACAATTGGTGGAAGGCTGAAAAGAAATCCCATTGACAAGCTCATGGCAAGGAAAACAACTACTCTTCTCTTAGCCTTACGTTTTCTAGTGAAAGGAAATTGAAGTTGTATTTTTTGACAAAACACAGCAAGAAAGAAAAGCACCAAAAGAGAAGTGATATGTACCCAGGAGCTCAGAAGGTTCAGGCTCTGACAGAGTGTCTTATTGTGTTCCCACCACACCGGGCCTGTAACAAGAGTCACGAGGGAGAGCCCAGGGCCAAGCAGTGTGGCCGTGAAGTCGAGTGCAGCTAAAACTGTTATGTGAGGACATCTCAGGGTCGAACGATAAGAAATGAAGGGAATGGCAAGATTTCCACTGACACCTAACAACACCAGAGCACTGGCGAGTAGAAGTTGGAGGGTACTGGGAACGATGAACATGATTCGCTGGTAAGAAGTCACGTGAAACAACGGTCAAGCGGTCAACTATCTGAAGAATAAAACCACAACATCAGAAATTAATTCAAATTTAAATTTTTCCGACGCGGCGAGGAAAGAAAGAAAACTGGTGAAGTCCGTAAATGAAGGGGCAGTAACCACAATAAAACAGATTGATGGGCAGTTTACGTGCTTTGTAGATTCTCCGAAAAAAAATTACTTGTGTAATGAAAACAGGGGTGAATGAGGCCTTATGTTTTGAGGAACAAACTGAGTCCTAGGGCGAGTTTCATGTTTACTCAAGGTAGTTTCATTCGTTATTAATTTGGATTTCATCGGTTGTGTTCAAAGTACTTTGCACGCAACAAATGCACATTGGAGAATTCAAAGTGTACATTTGGATGGCATCTGTTTGCCGAATAATTTTCATTACCGAAAATGACAAACTTTCAAAATCTTCCGATTGACGGTAAGAATGTTTCGAAACAGGCAATACACTCTGATCACTAATAAATTATGGCCGCGGGTGGAACAATATCGCGGAATATGAACAGCAGCGGAAATCCTAATGTATTTCGTGAAAAAAAACAAAACAAAACAAAAATAGTTATGTTTTGGATTATAGATAACATCTATGATCACATGGTTCGAGATCAAATTTTACCTCTTGTTTGTGTTCCCAAAATTCCAGTTAAGCCAGCAGCGACGCTCGCCTTTCTTGTTGCCCTTTACTGCGAAGGAAAGTGTGGGATGAAGGGCAAGGCGCACAGACTTTAAAAACAGTCAAACCATTATTAGGAAAAAGAAGATGATAAAGAAAGTCAATTTACGGCGTTTACTACCTCAATCAGAATATAAATTAACAGAATAACTGAATTAAATCAAACGCCAATTTATTAGAGAAGGGTATAATAGTCTCCTTATGGGTAATTGACAAACCGTGGCCATGAATATGAAAAGTAATTTCCAATCTAATTTTCACTGTGCCTGGATTCTTGAGTGTGAAAGCAGACTTAAGAAATGAAATAATATATTGACCGTTTTTTTTTAAACAATAACACCATATCGTTGCAATTATAACTAACAAAGTGCTGATTTTGTGCTTGGAAAATTAACAGCGATAGGATTGCACAGAAAATTGTTACTGATTACCTTTATGTCATTGTTCCTCTAAGAGCGAGTTCCCTTCTTTGTACAGATGTGACGTAACATTAAAAACCGAGTATGTTTTGCCCTAACGAAAACATTGTTGATCCTTGATAAACAAATTATGATTTGCCAATTACATCGTTGGATGCCAATTAACGAATTAATTTCTGTTTAATTATCATAACAGAGAAGAACTTGCCTTGTAAATAACTAATTATTGTTTCAAGGTCTTATTAATTAGTTTCAGTTTTGTTGTAGCCGTATTTTAGAAATGATACAGTTAATATTACAGTGAAGAAAAAGTGGAAAAACTAAATCACGACGAACTAGGGGGCAAAAACTGAAATGAGGAATATCAAATATTCATTATCTGTGATGGGAATGTATTTCTCTCTTTCTTTGCTCATTCCATCAAGAAAGTGAAAGAATTATCATATCTTAAGAATAAAAATCTGCGACAAGCGAAAGTTGGCGCGCAACACGAAAACATGTCCGGGGTATCGCGCCCCTTCTCACTCGTAGGTCCCGTTTAGCGATAATTTTGTTTTATGCTTGCTCACCGAACCTCGCCGAGATTAAGGCATTGAATTGTTGAAACAGTAACCTGTATGAAGAAAATCGAGAGGTGTACTTGCAGAAATGGGCATAATTAAGTAGGCCACCAAATATGAGTTTAATTCCCTTGACTCTCAAAATCAAAGACTGTAAGATTCTCGAGCATACAATGATCAAGTAATAAGTACAGTTTTATTTACGAAAATAATAAATCATTTCCATGGTATGAAGTTCTCTTGAATATCTGGGCTTCTTATGCTGGAGGTGTATGTAAAATTCTCTATCCACCCTTCTTGTTGGTGTTTTTCAGACCGTGAATCTCCTCTGCCTTTTTCTGACCAGCGGTTCATTTACTTGGCATTGCTCATGCGTAGTGTAGTCAACCGTGTAAGCTCTCTTTCTTTGTTTTTCCCGCATGTCGTACCCATTACTTTTCGGTTTGAACTCCTCCTGCTGCTGATACCGGTTAAACTTTTCAAAGATGATTGGCAAGAAGGGTGTGATGAGTAAAGCTCCAGACACTGAACACACTCCACCTGTTATCTTACCCCCTGTTAGACAACATCAAGAAATTGTTAGGATTGTCTGTCTGAGTACCAGTCCAGCAGTGTGATAGAGAAAATAAGTGTTATTTATTGATTACAAAGCCACTCGAATTTCCTGTGATCGTGGAGTTGTCATGGTGAAAATAAGCACGTGAGACTTTACAGGGCTTGGTGTATAAGAAGAAACACATAATCTCCTTAAGCCTTTTACTCCTTTTTCCCCAAAATATCAAAGCATTGTCCAGAAAACAGGTTGTAAAAAAAAGTCTTATTTTGATAAGACACTAAATATTTTGGATAACTCAAAAGGAAAAGTATGAAATTAGCTAAGGAGAAATCCTTATAAGGTATTTGGATACTTAATGAGCCAATAGCCCTGTAAATAATCATCATCCCGATGTAAGATAGCGCAAAAGTGAGAGATGCTTGAATTGAAGTAACTATACTCTGAAACCCACGATCAGAAAATTGTAAACAACAGAAACCATGATGTTTCTGGAATGTTGTTTTGTCTCAAGGACAAAGCCAATCAAGCGAGAGGAAACTAAACCACAATCAGCAAAGTAATTAGTTTGTGGTTTTGGGTTTGATCGCGTGCACTGAACTTTATCAAGATCGACCAGTACACAATTGACCTCTCAGGTTCAAATAAAAGCGTTCACGGTTTGCCGGATCTCAATTTGATAGGAAAGTAACCCAAACCACTGAAGAATGTATAGAAAACTAGGCTAAGAAACAGCCCCACGAGTGATATTTCATTCTTACCTAGTGTTTTAGGAACGATATCTCCATAGCCGAGCGTTGTTATGGTAACCATAGCCCACCAACAGCTCACCGGGATACTCTCAAACTTAGTCCCCTCGTGCCACTGTTCACAATAGTAAGCTATGCTCCCAAAGAGAACAGTTCCAATTATGTTCAGAAATAACATTGTCCAGAGGTCACCAATACTGTCCTTGAAAGTTTTTCCCAGTACTTTCATAGTAGTAACATAGCGAGATATTTTTAATACTCTAAAAACTCGTGACAAACGGAGAATACGCAAAATGTACAATGAGACGCGAATAGATCCAAAGGATATAAACAACGAGATGTAGAATGGAACAATGACTACTAAATCGATGATATTCAAAGCTTGAACAAAAAACTTTCGTTTTTCTGGAGAAACGGAAAATCGTGCAATGAGTTCCAAAGTAAACCATGAAATACAAGAAGCCTCCAAGATATGAACGATCCCTATTTTTTGTGTCTTTGTGGAATGGTTGCCATAACTCGAGTTCTTTGATGTGTTCGATGCAGCATTTGATGCCAAGGTCACGGGTTTGTAGTTCCTGAAGGTAGGGAGAGTATCAACACACAGGATTATAGCTGAACAGACAATAACGAGTAAAGAGAACAAGTTGACCAGCCTAGCTAGTGCGTTTGAATCTGGAACTTCAAAGATCTTCCATACTTCTCTTTGACACTTTCTTAAAGGCATAACTTGTCTCTTGGTCAAAGCACTTGGCAAGGCTAATTTTGTCTTTTTGATATCTTCGTTAATGTACTCATATAGCCCAAAAAAGTAAAGCTCATCCGCCAGAAGCTGTTCTGGAAAGTTTTCGTCGGGAAACATCAATCGTCCCTCTGACACGTAGAAATGGAACACGGTTTCGAACGCTGTTCGATTCCTGTCGAAGAACAGTTCGTCGCGTATAGAATCGTAGAAAAAAGCTCGTTTTCTACGATGCGCCAGTAGACTGTTGGGAAATAGAGATAACAATCTTCCAGTGAAGAAGTATTTCTTTCCACTGACGTTCACAGTAATTCCATCATTTCGATCACTCACTTTTCTCTTTTTGCTGCTGTATGGTTGGATGATCGAGTGTTTGGAAGGCTCTCCAAAGCGGTTAAATATATGGGGCTGCGTCAAGCTGACAGCTCTTCGTCCTCTTCTTTTCGGCGCTCTCCTGGGTAATCCTTGTCCGTATAAATGAAGCATGTTGGTGTTTTGATGAGAAACGGTAGACGTGACACAGGTGTTCCGAGTTAGGTAAGACTGATCGTCTTGTATCGTGCGATGTTGTTATTTAAGCTGTTATTCTAACAGCGGTGCAGATTTCTAGAATAATTAGTCACGCGACACAGATTTCCAAAGATGACTGATTTTTTTTGACATGATATGTGAATAGATTAAGGATCAAGAATTGACTCTTGATAAGAATTGCAGCGAAAAAAAATTCTGATCAGATTCTAAAAATGCATGGAAGCGTACTTCAGTGCTAATCGAAAGAGGAGTCAGTATCAAGTCTGCACTCCTTCCATTAGGTCATTTTAAAGCGACAGCGGCTCTTAAGATACTAAGTGATTCGTAAACAATATAAATGAAGTAAGCTATTGTTAGGATTAATTTTATGGGCGTAAAAAACTTAAAAATATTAAGAGTTAATTTTGCGAAAGAGCATTTCCCTTTTTATGATAACCGTGCAATTACTGAATGGATCCGATGAAAATCATTAACCTTTGCAAAAATTAAAAATGTTTCGAGACTCACTACTACTGAAATCGTTCTTAATAACCTTCTAATGCATCACCGACGTTCGATAGAATTGTTATCTTTTAAACGTATAAATAACCTCTAACCCGTTCGTTTCATATCAAACTGTTAAGTCTGTTACCTAATGAAGCACGTTCAAAGATGGCAACTTATAACGCCTGATTTATGATCAAGATTTTACGTCCGAGTTTACCTAACTTGTATGCCTTGTCCAGGAAAATCAGGAGTTTGGAATGTAAGTGACTAAAACATGGAAATGCGATTAAGGGCGAGCAACGCACTAATGTTTGATCCCCTGATGGCCAGAAGTGATAAACTGATAAAGTTCAGGACCGGAATGCTTTATTAAAGCTCACATTCATTTAAATTGCCTTCTCAATTTATCAGTGTTTTGACGTTGATTGACAGTAATTGTCCACATTTTTATTGCGTAGTAGAGGTTCTAGAATTCTTGATCATATCGGAGTCAATAGGATTTTACGTATTACACGTGTTTTCCATAAGAAATTCTATTTCTGTACGTCAGCAAGAACTGAAAGAATCTTGGTATACTGAGTTTTCGTGCGCAATCAAAAGGTTCGACCCAGTCAAAATTCTGTGGAATTTTCAGCTCGATAATTTCAAGTACCTGTAATTTATTTAGGATCCGAATTGAAATTGACCAAAACGTAATACACTTTAGAGAACAAAAACCTGTGCACCGCTCAAAAATGTTCAAAATCAATTTTGGTTCTTTCGTTTTATGCCAAGTTATAGTCCATTTACACACTAATTTATGCGATTTATATTTGTTAGAGATTATTACGCTCTTTCTGGCATATGAGCTTGTTATAATAAGGCACCTGTCAAACGTCACTTAAGCGACATGGAGCAGGTACCCTCATTACCAGCTAAACCTGAGAACGAAACTTAATTCCCTGGTTCTAAATTGATGAGTTCTCTTTTTGCAGGCTGCTCTTGAATCCTCAGCAAAGTTTCCAATGAAGGAAAATTCAGCCATTTTTAGCGTAATTGTCTTTGGTCTCATTCTCAGCACACTTGGCGATCAAGGTATCAAACATGTAATGCCTGCTGTGACGGTATTAACTTCTTGAGGATAAAACTTAGGCTTGTTAGTGACATCTGGTATGATTTGACAGTCGTTTCTTCGGTGTTGAGGAAGTGCCTTATACACACGTTCGCGGTCATAAACATTGTCCAAATTATCTTTCAACTTTGTTATAATTGTTAGATTTGATGAATATGTGGACGTTGGAAGTATGTTCTAGGTTCCCCTTTTTCAATGAAAGGATTGGAAATGTACCAAAATTCTGAAAAAGGAACTTGGAACCTTTCGCTTCTTGGACAATTTTGACATCGCACGCGACATTTGAATTCAAGTGTTGTACTCTAAAAATATAATTACACCTTATGAAGTTTCGGGCTGTTGGAAAATATCGATTTCCCGAAAAAACGGAAAGCAGCGTTTTTGCAAGCGGAACAACAACTAATGGAAAACATTATTAAAAATCCGCAGATTGTTCGCTCAGGAAAGGCAACAAGAACGAAATGATTCTGCGACGAATCTTGTTTGCAAACTACAGCAAGAACCAGCGTCCTACGACTCCAGTGCATATCTCTCTACACCTGATTGTTTCCAATCTTGATGAAGTAGTAAGTGAATCCCGACTGGAATTGGGCCAAAATAACATCAATTAAAGTTCAAATTTGTAAAATACGTCTCCAAATTGCGTCCTTTTGACTCATTGTTCAGCTTTAAAACGTTAATTTCTAATACCAGTTTCATTAAAAATAAAAACATTTTATTGAGATATTCGGGAAATTGCCAAAGAATTGAATTTCCCCTTTTAAATATATTGACATTAAATCCATTCCTTTCTCGACCTCAACTTTAAGCTAAGTATTTTCATTCTTCATCATGAATTTCAGCCTCCTTAGGAAAAGTTATTTTCAGGATTTGCAAACTTAACTAAAATTTTGCTGGAACCTTTTCTAATGATTGAACAAGTGAGACTAATCTTTGTTGCCGCTATGTATTTTGAATTAAGGATCCGAAGAAGGAAGAAATTGGTTTAGCTATTTGGCTTCGAATGGTGAGCATGTCTTGGGAAATATCTTTATAACAAGACACTTAGTGACAAGAGAGGAACTTAAACTTAAACGTTTGGTTGAGGGTCCTCATTTGAGAACAACTCAAAGGGACCCGAGTTGGAACTCTTTCCTTCAACAGAATTTTTTTCTCACGAGGAGGGAAGAAAGCAGATTTTGCCACAATTTCTATCATTCGATCTGGTTTCGTTGTGATTGTGAGGTGAAAGTCATCATTAGAGCTTTCTGATGTGTTTTTGTAACGCTCAGCTTGCAGAATGAGTAAGTGAATGAGTGAATGAATGAGAAAGTTTTTATAAATGATTATTTACGTACATTAAACTCCTTTTTATCAATTTTTCCACTGTTATCCTTCAATGTCACAGAATTTTGTTGTACCTTACGAAAAATACCATGAAGATTAAATAACTTGATATTTAGATTGCAAAATGTCTCCCTAAACTTTCCTTTCATTTCCAATCTAACTTCAGTTCTGGATGGATAACCGCTTACGATGGAACGCAACCCAGCACAATATGACATCTCTTACCTTAGATTTCAAGGAGGTCTGGACCCCAGACATGGTTCTTTATAACGCGTGAGTACAGTTCATAAGCGGTCCTGTGATTTGCCACTGGGGAAACCAGTTGAATCTTTCTTTCCCTATTCTTTCCTACTTCGCTTTTGTAGAGTTGGTGCCGTCAGAGATTTTGGTTTATCAAGCGATGACGATCTACCCATGGGCCTTATCGTTTATAGCAACGGTAATATCTTCTTCTCCCAGCCAACGACCATCCGTAGCGCATGCGCGTTAAACGTTGCCGACTTTCCTTTCGACGATCAGACTTGCCAATTGACGTTTGGTTCATGGACTATGGACTCCAGCCTTGTGATGCTGGACCTGCGCAAAGAAGGAATCGACATGACGCAATTTGTAAAAAACAGCAAATGGGATGTACTTCAAATATCTCCTGAAGTACGCATGCACGACGATTTTCATGACAACGATTTTTCTCTTGTGGTGTATACCATAATGGTCAGGCGAAAATCACTTTTCTTTATTGTCAATTACCTCATTCCATCGGTAGTTATTTTGGCTTTATCCCTGCTACTGTTTCTCATCCCGCCTGAAGTTGGAAAGCGAATGGGTAAGAATTGTTCTCGTCTTTTGACTTCTGGCATAACAATAGACTTTGAATCAAGTCAAGGGTTGTGTATTATCATAATATTTAACACGGGAAATAGATTCTATCTCCTCTCAGTACTAACAGACAGACAAATAACCACGAGAAAAATAACACGTAAACAAACCTGCGAGTCGAGTTACACGCAAAGAAAAATCAAGAATGCGCGTGCAGATATTGCTAAACGGTCAGGGGTAGCTCCAAACAGAATAGTATTACAATATACTATTCATTATAGAGAATCCTCTTTGAGTTCTTAATAGTGAGGAGTTACTGAAGACTCTAAACGCTGGCTAGCTTGATAATTTGTACTGAGGAAGAGACTGGATCCCAATTGAAATTGTTTCATAATTAATCCTGTAGTAATAGCGTTATAAAATGTGTTATTATTATTGTGAACATTAATATTTCAGAGGCCGGTATAAACCTTCTACTGTGCTTATCTGTGTATCTCCTGCTGTTAAACACAAAGATGCCAAACGCCTCAAAAAATTCCCCTCTGTTGACAAAGTTCTTCGGCTGCGCAATCATAATCCTTGCATTGGCTATGTGTTGCACGTGTTTAGTGTATGCTGTTTATTTCATGAACTCATCCGGTGTGGAGTTGCATCATACTTCGCTGTTTATTCTTTTTAAGGTACGAAAAAACCAGTAGCGAAAGAGTGACTTGCATATTCTCAAGGACAATCCGAAATCGTGGACAAAACTGTTGAGACAACTAAGCCGAATGTACGCTTATTTTCAATTCAACCTCCTTTGTTACCTTTTGTTACCTTTCCTGTCAACTTTCCCTATTTCAAGGTTGTCAAAGCGTTTTTTTTCTACTTCCATGATGTCGGGTAGTAACAATTTTAGAAGCGGTTTGTTCAGAGGGCTGGTAAATGAATCGTCTCAACAGTTTTTTTCTCGCGATTTTTGATGGTGAGGAAAGTTGTTACCCTCCTACTTCAGATTGTCCGAAATTGAAGAGACCAAAATCGGTATTAGCTTCAGTAGGATCTCTGAGTATTTAAGAAAATTAAAAAACTGCTTTCCAAATTAAAATAAAACCAAGAGCATAAAAATCCACTTAAGTAACTGCCACCATTAAATCGAGTTATATCTTTTATAGAATTTCATATTACAACGGCTACAACCACTTCTCTTTACCAGTCCCTGCAGACGCTTAAAACGCACACGATCTCGAGCACGATCAAAGGTTCATCCTTCACAAACAGGTATGCAAATAAGACAAGTTCTCACGCAAAGCTCATATTTTTCACTAAATGATGTATGAAAGAATTTAATTTTCCACGTGTCGCCTGAAGAGGATGTTATTTCTTGAAGGCACACGACAAACGGAACGCTTATAGATAATTACATTTTATTTTAATTATTTCATAGAAGAGGTAGTATCATTTTATTTTCTCCCATCAGTAGACTTAGATTTGACGCCAGATTTCGATGCCAGGAAGGATAAAACTCCCGAGGAATGTCACAAAGATGATGGACAAGCCCATTCAATTCAAGACCCACCCCTGATAATTACTAGTGATAGTCATGGTACAATTCCCCGGATTTCTGCAGCAGGTCGAGTAGATCAGGAGGGTCGCCTTACACTGGTTTCAGTTGGTTCTTCTTTCGAATACAGCAGTAGCATTTCGAGTACTGCCTCTGTCAGGTCAGATGAAAATGTCAAAGCTGTTATGGCTACCTATAATGAATCAATTGCAGCTGAATTTGTAAGAAGTGAAAGCCTGACCGAAGATTGCAAAAAAGTTTCTTTTGCTTGCGAGAAAAGCGAGTCAAGAAAAGTTGTCAAACGAAGAGCAACCAAAATACACGACGGTGAGTCAGCAGTAAAACGTACTGAGCACACTCTGGTTTGTTCAGCGGGATCATCTTGGTTCACTCAGGTATCGTGGGATGAATCATTGGAAGACAATGGCAACGATATCGAGGACATTTCAGGCCGTCTACAAGAAGGCGTAGATCAGCTAAGAGGATTTAACAGCGGTTCAGATACCAAAGATTCTGACGTAGGTAAGACAAGATGCTATTGGACAAGGTGTTGTATATTTTTCTTTCAGGAAATCATTTATACAGCTTATTGTCAGACAAATCCTTTGGGTAGATCGGTGTCTGAGTGGTCTGTCAATAAGTTAGCCCACTAATACTTCAACTTAATTAATGACTTACCGGTTAACCATTGACTTTAATATTTTTGTTTTAGATGACATAACCACTGCTATTGATGGTTTGGATTACATTGCTGAGTATTTTGAAAGAGAAAAAACACAGAAGGCAAATACAGAACAGTGGAAAAGAGCAGCCATGGTTTTAGACAGAGTATTTTTAATCATTTTCTTTACGGCTATTGTAGTTTCGCTCTTAACTTGTTTGTTGTTGGCTGCAAGAGTCAGGAAGTATTTCATTTCGTAACTTATGACAATTTTGAGATATTGAATGTTTTACATTGCATCTTACCTCTTTTCTCACCAAATCTCTGTTTTTATCCCAGGTATAGATCACAAATAATGCGAAAGTAGCCATTGTAAAAAATAAAATGTACCGTAAGAAATGTCTTAGTTATTCCAGGTTCTTTCGGGCAAAGTCTGATGCATTTGGTTCGATTTTGGTCTAATCCATGATCGCTCGACGAAACCCACCTTTTTCTATTGGGAAGGGAACGCATTCTACACATTCCCTGGAATTATCAATCATTCCAACATTTGGTTATAAGACTTTTTAAATCGGCGAGTCTCTTTTAGGAGAACCATGGCCTTCTACCATCCTAAACTCCTAAACACCTTGTTCTTAAAACTGAAACTGTGCTAAACTGATTGATGTACGAAAAATGAATAAATAAACTCGCAGTGGATAAAGAAGGAGAAAAGACCATTAACTGTGAACAGGAGAGAAATAGGATGTCGCTGTCACCGATGAAAAGGTAGCCAATAGTACGTATTTGTTGCACCTCGGCTTATGTTATCCAAGGCTGTAGCGGACTTATCAGATGGCGATGGTGTTTAATCGCTGCATAGTGTCATCTGTTGTTCACATTGTATGAATTTGTGAACGCTCAAACTATAAGTGTCAAGGGATGCTCCATGATAAAACAACATGGAAAACCAGATACCATATAAAAACGTGGACTTTTTTGTTGCCATGTCAACCTGCAGGTATTTCAAAGTTTCTTAAACGATTGGCAATTGAATGATATTAAATTAGCTTTATTGGCCTCCAAAAAATTACTAATTATCTGTAATACTAATTGCCTTTTTTCTTTTGATGATAATTTCAAATCATTTCCATTTCATTGTTACCCTCAACCTCGTCCTGTCTCGCACAGTTTGGCAGTCATTGCGTTTTGCCCTCTGCGACTTTTAAAAACAACTCAACACTGGTCTTTCCTCTGCCTTGTAACACAGGAAGGTCAACAAGACTGGATAACAGCTGGTATGTGCAGAGGTACCTCAGTTTTAAACATTAGTACATTGCTTTATCTTCACTCCGATTCCAAAGATATTCCAGCAATTAGAGAAATATATGCATTTATATCTGAAGTAAAAAATTTGAAAATTTCCTCAGTATAAATTTTATTGATCATTGTTTCTACTTTTTCCGTTCATGAATGTCTTAAAAGTTCACTCTCGGACATTCCATATTCGGGAACCAATTTCAGTTTTAAATGCCATGATGGTAAAAAATTTTGCTGAAAACGTAATTGTGGAGAAATCAATCTGCACCTGGAGGTACGTTAGGTAGATCATTCAACTGAAAAAAATCTGTGCGCACATATGAATTACAAAAACAAAAGAACAACATACAACTTTTTTTTAATTTTTGACATGATCGCTGACCTATATGTAAAAAATCTTAAGTGACTGTTCGCACGATTTTATTTCTGCTCTGTTTCTAGTGACAGCTTTCTTCGGAACGGAGTAAACAGCTGTGATTTTTGATTTAAGAGATTTGAGAAAACAACTTTTAAATAACTTTATCATACGTAACATTGGTAGAAGAGTCGGGCGATGTTTCCGCTAACTCAGTTTTGAAATGATGATAAAAATTCAACCTCCCTTTCCAGAATAATTTAAGATTCCTATTAAAGGTGAAAAGAAAACGAAATTCCACCGAAAATATTTTCAACTGAAAAACTGTTCTAACAAAAGAATGGACCCTTTATTTCTTTTGATACATCCTGTTTCAGGCGAGATAAAATCCATCATAACGACAATCTTATATCAAAAACATCTTTTTAAATCGTTCCGAAAAACCTGAGAATTTGAGGGGATTTCCTACAAACGCCGAACATCTGGCGTATTGTTTAGTTTAATAATAAATATCATAACAGCGATGATAATTAAATTTTTATCACGTTCAACTCTGTTGTGACCGCTTTTATACAGTTGTTGATCCAGTTTCGTCTTTCTGAGACCATTCGATGCTTTATAGAACAAAATTCAAGCAGAAAGCTCCTGTGCCAAGTGGCCCTTTTGTTTCCTGTTGACATTCTTTTCAACTCTTTTACCGCCAACACCCCACAATAAAGAATTCGGACATTTTGGTAAACAGAAAAATAAAGAAATAAGAGCTATACACGCTGATAATATCTAAAATATTAACGCTTGAGGAGAACAAGCTGAGGGATTAAGGCTTAAGTTTCAAACCATTAACTTATCATTTACCTCTTCGTGCAATAAGGAATGTCATGGTCTTACTTCTGTTCATTCTTTAGATTTCAAGTGCATCCAGCATCAGCAGGTGGCGTGACTTATCACCAGCGAATCATGTTCATCGTTTCAAGTACCCTTCAACTTGTACTCGCCAGTGCTCTGGTGTTGTTAGGTGTCAGTGGAAATCTTGCCATTCCCTTCATTTCTTATCGTTCAACCCTCAGATGTCCTCACATAACAGTTTTAGCTGCACTCGACTTCACGGCCACACTGCTTGGCCCTGGGCTCTTCCTCGTGACTCTTGTTACAGGCCTGGTTTGGTGGGAACATAATAAGACACTCTGTCAGAGCTTGACGTTTCTAAACTTCTGGGTGCAATTCGCTTGTTTCTTGGTTCTGTTTGTTCTTGCTTTGTTTTGTCAAAACATTGACCATCACTTTCCTTTATACGGCAAACTGCACGTCAAGAAGAGAGGAATTCTTTTTCTTGTAATTTCCCTCTTAACAGGGTTACTTTTCAGCATTCCTCCTATTCTGGGGTGGAGCTCATACCATGGTCTCTATTTATTGAATCCTTGCTCCTTGCTCAGCCACGTTCATAATTTGTCTTACTACACCATCATCTATCTTGTTTCCTCCCTTATCGTTTTATTCATCACTTTGTCTCTAACTGTGAGAGCAATAAGAAGACGGCGCCGGTTTTACCCGCTGCAGCTCCTCTGGGAAAGACACAAATTGGAAACGATGATCAATGATCCTGAAATGACAACTACTGCTTCGTCATCCAAGTCATCGTCCAAGACAAGCTTTTCCAGGCGATCGAGTGTGATTTCTGGTAGACTATCGGCTGTAGTTTCCTCTTGTAACAGTCCTTTGCCATTCAGAAAGACTTCTCAGAGATCTCGCCCAATCGAAGGCAATCTGAATGTTCTACTGGAAATCATTGCTCGGGAAAGGACGCTCAGTGTGCAAGCCGGAAACGTAGACGAATCAAGTACTGCCACGGAAGTCTCAGAGCAGGTAATACCTAGTGCCACTACTGGGAGGTCCTTGTCTGGTATCCCTGGGAAGCCGTTTGTCATTTCCTCACAGGTCCCCCATCCAATGTGGACAGGGAGAAAGAGAATTTTCCATAACCCGCGGTCTCTCCCACCGTTCAAAGGTATAAAGCAACAGAAGTCCTTTTGCAGACTGCTGTTACTCAGATGTTGCCTCAGCATTTTGTGTTGGTTACCTCTCTGCACCTCGGTTGCACTAAGCCTTTGTTTCACCACCTACCCTCAACAACTAAATACCCTCATAAAATTTGCGATTTATCTTCATTCCTCCATCTCCCCGCTGTTGCCATTGTTTGACGCCAGCTACAGGATGATTTGCCGCCGGGCAGCGATTTTCTGCTTCAAGCCATGTGCGAGAAAAAATGACACACACGTGGACCTGTCCAGGTCACGTGATGTGGATCCCAGGAATGACGGGGGCCAGGATGTTCGATTACAAGACGTGATTCGTCTTGAGGGATCGAAGCTTTAAATAGCATTGATTTTAAGCATAGTATTTTTATTAGCTGTTCTTCCCCTGATCCGTCTCTTCGCACATGGCATTTTCTAGGAATCCCCTTGAAGAACTCTGACGCGAGTACTGAAGAGAGTATAATATACAAACTGATATCTGTAACACACTGATAGCGTTTGCTAAGTTTTTTTCTTTTTCAGAAAAGTTAGAACTCTGCAATCTTACATTTTTGTTTTGAGAACAGAGACCAGTGGTTAGTAAAAATACTGTAATAGCTTTAAAAAGTGACTGTAAGAAGGAAAAGGTTTTAGTCTTTAAGTCAAGCTCAAGCTTGTAACTCCAACTTAACGTCAGAAAATGTAGTTGCTGCTGAAACATGATCTGACTCAGTTTGTTGACGACCAAATAGCCAAAAGAATTTCGAAGGAAATGATAAAATAAATCTTAGGGGAGGGGTAAGGGGGGGGGGGAGGGAGTGTTACTTGTGATCTCGGGAATCATGAAAACTTCAAACTCCATTAGTGACAAATGAAATTTTGGCTGTAGTGGGAATGATTGCTGGTAATTGAGGATCCGGGAAACTAGCGATGGCCCAGAACTTCATTGGTTTTAAATATGTTAAATCACTTCGAACACCACAGATGTTTTGCGTGATAGAAGCTGAAGTTCAGCGCTAACCAAATCTATGCTGCTTCTTAGAGGACGAAAACCTGTTAGAACTTCAATCAACCTAATATATCGAAAATATCACAAGAACCTGTCACATACATGAACTCTATATTTTCATTTATTTCTCGAGGGCCAATCCTTTTTTAATCCTATGTTACATTTCAATTTCCTGGTTACAATCTCCTTTTCTCGTCGCATTGATTATTATTTTCAATGTATGACTGTTGTGAAAGCACACAACCGCGTCTCCAATCTCTTTCTTCCTCGGTGATGTCTGAAAACCAGGCCTGAGAACAAATTCGTGAATGTTTGATACTTGTTTTGGTTTTTACAAAAATTAAAAAAAAAAAACCTTGGGAAACCTTATAAACACTTCCTCGAGAAATACTAAAAAAACTTAAGGGAACCCAGGATCGTCAGGCGGTCTCTGTGACACATAGCAATTGCAAGACGCTCGGAATTATTCGTGTCTATTCTCAGACACACTCACCTTACTGTGGATACGAGAAATACAAAGATGGATACTTTCTGTTCACTCTAGGACGATGTTGCTATGAATCTGTCTTCCATTCAGTGGCATAACGTTTCGAAAGTTATTGCACATACGACCGACATTTGGACCTTGAGCATGCGCCTTGCTGCTTTGTAGATTTCGGAATGCCAGTATCTATTTTCAAGATGAAAAACAGCGCTCGGATTAAAAAATTTCTAAAATTCTTGAGGTTTGAATTCCTCGAGTAGTGTGATGTTGGAAAATATTTGTGTAAAGATGATTTCTTACTTCTTGCTCTGTTATCTGTGGATGATTGTTCATCACAAACCACGTGACCGATTCATAACACCCGGGAGTCGTAAGAGATCCTTTGTATTTGTAAAACCTGTCTGCAACATCTGGCGACGCGAGTAATGGTGCCAAGTCCTCGATATGCAGCCCCTCGCTCTGTGTTACCACGTAATTGCTGTCTTTTTATGAAAAGACGAGGTAAATATGGTTAGTATGATGATAGAGACTAAGAGCTGAATTTTGTCTCTATCTCGACCCAGTTCCCCTCATTCGCTTCAGTCTATCGCGAACAAAAATACTGAGTTATATGAAGAACTGAGTTTCCCCTCCCAAAACATCATGGTACGCGTCTCTATGGTTGAACGTTAAGTGACATCATCATGCAAGTATGTTAAACGTATGTTAGGACTCTGAGATCAGTCCCGAATGGTTTAAATTTCAATTATAGCTGTAATACATAAGCTTAATCTAAACAATCCACAGGTGTGCGAACTACTTACTCTCTTCGACAACGTTGTTAAGAAGACGCGCAATTTTTTCCAGAGCATTATTTGCTGGTGTGGTGCCAATGTTTGCCATTGGAAGCTGCAACATGAGATGTGCCTCATAAGATTTCCGTGTACTTAGAGGAGCTAATTTGTGATCAGATAAGTCTTAAATGCTGCTTTTATTCCAATATTTATTTTATCAGCCTTCCTTGGTAGATTAATTTCATTTTTCAACATCCTTGACTTTAGCTATACATTAGGCAGTCAACTACGATCAGAATGGATTACGATCTTCCGATATTAGATTCACTTAAAGGGTAAATAAACCATTGTTTGTTAATTGTGCAAATGCTTAATTTTTCTATTTGATGAGCATGTTCTCATAATTTTATCCTGACTAATAAAGTTAACACTAATATGCCAATTGACGACTTGATTTCTAGAGATAAATTAGAGAAGAAATAGTTAAGTGATATACCTCGTAAAGCACAGACACCACAGCCAGACCATCTTCTCCCTGAGCTGCTAACTTATACGTCGCGTAATTAGTGTTGTCCCAAAATACCATGTGCAACTAACATACAACAGAAATTCCAAATAAGCACCGGGGTGCTGCAGGAGGATTATGGACGGTAGAATACTCAAGACTGTTTTCGAAAAAAAAATTTTTTTTGAAGGTATTCAGTGAGTTAAACATCTTAATAACGTTTGCAAAATCTGCGAGCTTTCTTTTCTACACTTAAGGATGAAATGGAGAAGTCACTGGCTCGTCTTAGCAGACGAGCCAGAAGATGTCGGATTTTACCTCAATCGGATACGTGTTGCCATCAATTGTGTGCTCCGAACCGACTGTATTATTGCAGCCAAAGTGAAAATGAAATTGCTTCAGAAAGTAGTTTTCCTGAAGTAGACCGCCTGCCAACTTGACCGTCAACTCCTCTGCGAGGAAGAACGTGGGCGCATATCCATTGTTCCTAATCTCACCGGTGATTGGTTTATTGCCCGCCACTGTCAGCCTCAGGTTGGGTGGATTGGTGGGGTCTTTCTGCATCACCTGGTCTGTGACCACGTCGATTGGGGACTGTTTGCGTCCATTGCAAGACCAGTCACCGTTTAACGTTTCCCATTCATCCGGGCCTTGACAGAAAAAAACCAATAACGATCATGTTTAACTTGGAATGTTCGGTTGAAATCGAAGCAGCTTATACACAGTAAAATTCCATTGGCTTTGTTAACTATGAGCTTTGTAAAATACCATGATTCTGTTTATTTCCTGTACCTTTGGCTCCGGCTATTCCTCGGTCATAAGACCAGGGTGTGTCTCCAAGCTCAGCTGCAATAAATAAAAAATATATCAAGTCATGTGGCTTCCTCGTTTGAACAGAAACGAGGCGATAAAATGATCCACAAAGAACCATGCGGGCGTTGAATTAATTAAATATCCGGCACATATTACACTGATTAAGGTTACCGAAAGGGTAATGTGTTGACTCTCTTATAGAAAAGGTTAAGTTGAGATAGCGCCTGATAGATTGTGGAGGCTTACGCGCGCTGGACGAAAGAAATATCCTCTTTCGATCTTTCCGAGTCTGCAAATCTTTAATTACTAGATAACTCAGAGGCCATGAATAAATTTACCAAACAACATCTTCATTTAAATTGCTACATACGACTTACTTGAAAAAGTGATGTCCGCTTTCAGGAAAAGAGCAATACCTGTCCACAAAAGAATGTTTGTAAAACAAACGAAGAAAAGTTGCAGGTGTCCGTAATGTCATTTGATATCTCATGAACATTCAGTTAAACCATTGGGCACACAGAATATATTTCAGCGTTTGTGTGCAATTTAAAAATTTATTTTGAAGAGATTTAGGATATTCAGCTGAAAAAATAACACAATCTGTTTCGCGGTAAAATAACTGTAATGTAATATGATGTTTAGACCTAGAGAGAGGAAGAGAAAATTAGAGAGAAAAAAAGCTAGAGGAAATTAGACTTAGATAAACAGATTTTAAAAGAGGAAATTGTCAGTGAGTTACCCTCTCTCCCGAAATGTTTTTCAAAGAGGTTACCAGAATCATTTTTGTTGCATTTTGAACAAACACCTATTCATAGAAGTGCAAATAAACATTTAGGTTATGAGTGTTAAACAGACAAACAATTTGTAAATAATCATGTTACCTGCAAGCAAAATAATGGAGTATAACTTGCTCTGTTTAGAGTACATCAGGGTTAACTGTTTTGATTCAGTTGCGTAAATGAAGAACGGCTTGGCTGAAAAAGTCTTACAACCTGAAATTTGAGTCAGACACCAACTAGGACTTTTTACGTCTTTGTTATTTATTATCTTTCTGAGGAGCATTAATGATTGAATACATGAAGCTTATCAAGTGTAATATACTGTGCCCTTGCTTATCCAAAAAATTAAAATGATATTGCAACATCTTTAAACTGACGATGAAAGAATTCCGGTTTCCAATTTTTAGTGAGCCCAAGCCAGGATTTTGTTGCACACTAAGTTCTCCATGGAAAAAAGTCAGTTGTGGTTCATTTTCTAATTTTCTAATGTTTCAGAATCCAATCAATTGACACATGACCAGCACCTGTCAATCGGCTGTCAAAATTCGGCCATGGATCAGCTCATCTTAAAAAGTAAGAGTTATGGCGAAATCATAAAATTTTGTATGGGAATATTTACGATCTCTCTTAGGAATGAAAAAATACTGTCAATGTTAATAAAAAATAATTCGCTTTACTTTCACAGTGCACTGCTTGTTATCTGACCGCTTACTATGTTGAATAGAACCCGCCATTATAGCGAGTTATCCATTTCTAGGTTTACTACATAAGAGAAGCTTCTCTTATGTAGTACAAAGCTTAAGGTGCTGCCTCCTTACAGTCCGTTTCTCAACATCGTGGAACAAGCGATCAGTAATCTTAAAGCTGTAATCAAGGCCGATATCTCTCAACCTGGCACTCAAGAGGAGTAAAACAACCGGGAAGAAGCAAGACGTTAAGGCATTCCACTGGGAGACTATCACCAAGGAATTCTGTTAAGACCAGGCCGAAGAAATATGAACGCAATAACTGTCCGAAAATACGCTCAATGATTTAGGGATATGCAAACCTATATTCCGTGTTGCTTAAACCGCGAAGCAATATAAGGATAGGCTCTTACTGGAACACAAACTTATTTGAAATTCTTAATTTGTTAATGTAGCTGAGAACTGATTGTACAACAACATTAAAGATTGTACTTTAATTTAGAATTAAAGTATATTGGTGTAAATGCAAACAGCTTAAATGAAATTTAAATCCGTCATAATGATTGTCTTCTCTTAACTTGATAACACTTTCGTGTTATTTAACTTAAATGTAGCGCTAATTAAATTTATCTTGCGTTCTTGAAGGGCAAACGGTGTAAACCTAGAGATGAATGACTCGCTAAAATGGGTTCTTTTCAAACACAATAACATAGTAACAATAACAAGCAATGCACTTTAAAAGTAAAGTGAGGTATTTTCATCGAGAACTTGACTTATTTTTTTATTCCTAAGAGCGGTCGTAAATATTCGCCTACAAACTGTTATAATTTCGCCATGACTCTTACTTTGCAAGATGATCATCTCACGGCTGGAGCTTGGGGCACCTGTGGTTTGGCTGGTTAAAAAGTGACTAACTGAACTTAGAGCAGTCTAGACAGTCTAAGAGTTGTAGGAAGAAAATACATTCAGCTAGAATGGTTAATGAAGAAGTGGTGGACGCTGACAACTAATACTAGTAGCAGTATCCTATCCATTCTTTAGCCTCGGTTTTCTCCGAGTTCCTGTCCCTTTGCTTTTGACTTTTTCATTTCATCCCTCGCCAGCAGTTGGATCAAAACCAACGTAACAACAAACAGGTATTTTTCTTCACCAAAAACAAACAACAAAATGAAAATGCCAAGACTTTGGCGGCGTGAATAACTATCAGAATCATCCGATAGCTGATAACTAAGACGGTTTGTTAAAGTAGTTTATTCTCGCGGATACCATTTGGCCTCTCCTTCTCGTTCGGTTCACAGGTGAGTTCGTTCATAGAACAGATTCGTGAACCTGTCGTTTACTTGTTTTTTTGTTTTGTTTTGGTTTTTTCATTTATTTCCAGGTCCACCCACCGCCACTTAATTAACGGTGACCCTAATATTCTTCAACCTTAGGGGTCGATCGATCCATCACACAAAACGTTGAATATAATTAATTACCGTACGATTGGTAAGAATCTGTTGTGTGATTTTTATGGCTCAGGAGAAACTTTGATCATTTTTAAAAACATGACAAAACTCTCGCGCATTAATTTACGAGCGCTAGTGGAGCAGATTGCAAATAATTAAAAGAATTAAACAGATGCAGTCGTTCACAGTTGTTTGAAAGATAAAGGCGAGACATTGATTGTTTAAACTTCTTTAGGTTATTTTAAAACAAGGGGTTAGGGTGTGTATTATTTTAACTTCAACTTTTGCCGCAATCATTCAGAATTAAAGAACTGATTAATTTTTTACGAACGAAATGACGTTCGAAAATGAAAAACAATAAAAGTTTTTGCGACAAGTCGAAGTCGAAGTCGCTTCTCAGCAACCTTGCCAGTTGTTGTTTTGTTCTTCTTCTCCTGTGGCTGATTATAGGGACGATTCTTTACTTCCTGCATGCCTACGACTGCTGTTTAAGGGAACGACACGCAACATTTAGTTGCTCAAATTTTACAAAAATTCCTCACTCTTAAGAACTTGAACTGACATGGCTGGTCTCCCAGGACATAAGCATTGGCTTGATACCATTTGTTCTGAGAAAAGTGCGTGGACTTCTGGGATTGCTTGCAATATTGAAGAAAGCCGTCCGAATGCCAGCATTTTGGAGTCTGATGGCGATGCTTGCAATGCAGATCGTGGGATTTACAATAATTATGAATTTAACAAATTAACTCATATACAAGTATGTCTCGTAGCTGCATTTTGCATGCACGGATTAGCACTCATTGCAATCCAACCAATTCTATGCTGCGAGCGCTCTGATCATATTCCGGTTCCAGTTTACTTAACCAAAATTACTTATCATTAACTTGACTTTCACAAGGAAAAAAGCAACAGACACCGGAGGCAGAAATTGCAAGACCATAAGACCTTTTATGATTATAACAGGCGTCTGCATCATTTGGATTACATGTACATGTGTCCACTAATTGTTCGTCTTTCGAGTGATCTATAGAACTTTCCTTCAAACATGCTTCTTAGAGGACGAAAACTAATGCAACTTGTCACAGCATAATATAACAGTTCATTCCTTTATTCCAGCCATGGTTAACATGAGCTCGTGCCAGTCCTTCTCGTTACCACCCGGATTTCTTTCACCTTAGAACTTCAATCAACCTAAAATATCGAAAATGTTACAAGAACCTGTCACATACATGAACTCTATATTTTCATTTATTTCTCGAGGGCCAATCCTTTTTTAATCCTATGTTACATTTTAATTTCCTGGTTACCATCTCCTTTTCTCGTCGCATTGATTATTATTTTCAATGTATGACCGTTGTGAAAGCACACAACCGCGTCTCCAATCTCTTTCTTCCTCGGTGATATCTGAAAACCAGGCCTGAGAACAAATCTGTGAATGTTTGATACTTGTTTTGGTTTTTACAAAAATTTGTAAAATAAAAACTTTGGGAAACCTTTTAAACACTTCTGCGAGAAATGCTAAAAAAAGCTTAAGGGAACCCAGGATCGTCAGGCGGTCTCTGTGACACAGCTATTTTAAAACGCTCTGAATTATTCATGTCTGTTCTAAGACACACTCACCTTACTGTAGATATGAGAAATACAAAGATGGATACTTTCTGTTCACTCTAGGACGATGTTGCTATGGATCTGTCTTCCATTCAGTGGCATAACGTTTCGAAAGTTATTGCACATACGACCAACATTTGGACCTTGAGCATGCGCCTTGCTGCTCTTTAGATTTCGGAATGCCATCATCTATTTTCAAGATGAAAAAACAGCGCTTGGATTAAAAGAATCTCTAAAAGTTCCTCAGGTTTGAATTCTTCAAGTGGTTTGAAACTTTCCGTTGTTTCTTTTAAAATCTGGACTCTTAACGTTAAGAGTTACGAAGAGATAGATTATTCTTAATTTCTGAAATGGGGTTTGAAAACTGGGAAAGAGGACAGTCATATTTTTGAGAGTCTTCGTGTTTTCAATGACTTCACATTGTATATAACTTTACACTGAGAAAGCCATCCTCCCAAAGTTTTCCTTCTTCAAGAAATCTAAGGTGTGATGTTGGAAAATATCTGTGTAAAGATGATTTCTTACTTCTTGCTCTGTTATCTGTGGATGATTGTTCATCACAAACCACGTGACCGATTCATAACACCCGGGAGTCGTAAGAGATCCTTTGTATTTGTAAAACCTGTCTGCAACATCCGGGGATACGAGTAATGGTGCCAAGTCCTCGATATGCAGCCCCTCGCTCTGTGTTACCACGTAATTGCTGTCTGTTTATGAAAAGACGAGGTAAAATATGGTTAGTATGAAGATAGAAACTGAGAGCTGAATTTTGTCTCTATCTCGACCCAGTCCCCCTCATTCGCTTCAGTCTATCGCGAACAAAAATACTGAGTTATATGAAGAACTGAGTTTCCCCTCCGTCTCTAGGGTCAAACGTTGGCTGACATCATCATGCTAGCATGTCAAACATATGTTAGGACTGAGATCTTTCTTCAAAGGGTTTGAATTTCAATTAAAGCTGTAATACATAAGCTTACTCTAAGCAATCCACAGGTGTGCGAACTACTTACTCTCTTCGACGACGTTGTTAAGAAGACGCGCAATTTTTTCCAGAGCATTATTTGCTGGTGTGGCACTGATGTTTGCCATAGGAAGCTGCAGCATAAAATGTGCCTCATAAGATTTCAGTCTACTTAGAGGAGCTAATTTGTGATCAGATACGTCTTAAATGCTGCTTTTATTCCAATATTTATTTTAGCAGCCTTCCTTGGTAGATTAAATTCATTTTTCGACATCCTTGCTGCTGCATGAAACTAAGACTTTAGCTATACGTTAGACAGCCAACTACAATCAGAATGGATTGAGATCTTCCAATATTAGATTCACTTAAAGGAGAAATAAACCGTTATTTATTAAATTGTACAAATTATTTATTTTTTATTTGATAAGCATGTTCTCATAATTTTGTCCTTACTAATAAAGCTAACACTAATACGTCAATAGACGACTTGATTTCTAGAGATAAATTAGAGAAGAAATAGTTAAATGATATACCTCGTACAGTACAGCAACCGCAGCCAGACCATCTTCTCCCTGAGCTGCTAACTCATATGTCGCATAATTAGTGTTGTCCCAAAATACCATGTGCAACTAACATACAACAGAAATTCCAAATAAGCACAAGGAGAATTATGGACAATAGAATACACAGGACTGTTTTTTTTAAGGTATTCAGTGTGGTAAACATCTCAATAACGTTTGCAAAATCCACGAGCTTTTCTTTTCTACTCTTTACGATTAAATGGAGGAGAAATTACTGGTTTTTTTAAAAAAATCTGTAATTACGCCTCGTAGCTCTGTTTTAGCAAAAGCCAGAAGATGTCGGATTTTACCTCAATCGGATACGTGTTGCCATCAATTGTGTGCTCCGAACCAACTGTATCATTGCAGCCAAAGTGAAAATTAAATTGCTTAAGAAAGTAGTTTTCCTGAAGTAGACCGCCTGCTAACTTGACCGTCAACTCCTCTGCGAGGAAGAACGTGGGCGCATATCCATTGTTCCTAATCTCACCGGTGATTGGTTTATTGCCCGCCACTGTCAGCCTCAGGTTGGGTGGATTGGTGGGGTCTTTCTGCATCACCTGGTCTGTGCCCACGTCGATTGGGGACTGTTTACGTCCATTGCAAGACCAGTTACCGTTTAACGTTTCCCATTCATCCGGGCCTTGACAGAAAAAAAACCAATAACGATTATGCTTAACTTGGAATGCTCAGTTGAAAATCAAAGCAGCTTACGCACGGTAAAATTCCATTGGCTTTGTTAACTATGAGCTTTGCAAAATACCGTGATTCTGTTTATTTCCTGTACCTTTGGCTCCGGCTATTCCTCGGTCGTAAGTCCAGGGTGTGCCTCCTAGCTTAACTGCTATTAATAAAACATATATCAAGTCATGTGGCTCCTCGTTTGAACAGAAACGAGGCGATAAAATGATCCACAAAGAACCATGCGGGCGTTGAATTAATGAAATATCCGTCACATAATACACTGATTAGGTGACCGAAGAGGTAATGTGTTGACACTCTTATAGGAAAGGTTAAGTTGAGATAGCGCCTGATAGATCGAGAGGCTTATGCGCGCTGGACGAAAGAAAAATCCTCTTTCGATCTTTCCGAGCCCCCAAGACATTGAATCTTTAGTTATTAGATAACTCAAAGGCCATGAATAAATTTACCCGACAACATCTTCATTTAAATTGCTATATACGACTTACTTGAGAAAGCGATGTCCACTTTCAGGAAAAGTGCCACACCTGTCCACAAAAGAAAATTGCTAGTCCTTCTACTAATTCATTTCTAGTGGAAACCAGTCATCCTCTCTTGTCCTAGACTCAGTTACGCAAAAAGTCGTCAGCTTATCAACCTCAATTTTTTTATATTAATACTGTTGTGATAACTTTAGGAGTTCCACCCAAACCACACCGAAAGAATAGTAAAATATGTAGCTCTGAACAAAATGTTTGTAAAAGTAGCACTTCATGATGAAACGAAGAAAAGATGCAGGTGTCTGTGATGTCATTTGATATCTCATGAATACTCAGTTAAACCGTTAAGGAGACAGAATATATTTCAGCCTTTGTGCGCAACTTAAAAAATTTGTTTTGAAGAGATTAGGATATTCAGCTGAAAAAATAACACAATCTTTTTCGCGGTAAAATAACGGTAACGCTATATGATGTTTAGACCTAAAGACAGGAAGAGGAAATTAAAGAGAAAAAAAAAGCTAAAGGAAATTAGACTTAGATAAACAGATTTTTAAAAGAGGAAATTTTCAGTGAGTTACCCTCTCTCCCGAAATGTTTTTGAAAGAGGTTACCAGAATCATTTTTGTTACATTTTGAACAAACACCTATTCATAGAAGTGCAAATAAACATTTAGGTTTTGAGTGTTAAACGGACAAACAATTTGTAAATAATCATGTTACCTGCAAACAAAATGATGGAGTATAACTTGCTCTGTTTAGAGTACATCAGGGTTAACTGTTTTGATCCAGTTGCGTAAATGAAGAACGGCTTGGCTGAAAAAGTCTTACAACCTGAAATCTGAGTCAGACACCAACTAAGACTTTTTACGTCTATGTTATTTATTATCTTCCTGAGGATCATTAATGATTGAATACATGAAGCTCATCAGGTGTAATGTGCTGTGCCCTCGCTTATCGAAAAAAATAAGATGATATTGCGACATCTTTAAATTGACGATGAAAGAATTTCGGTTTCCAATTTCAGTAAGCCCAAGCCAAGATTTTGTTGCTCACTTAGTTCTCCATAGAAAAAAGTCAGTTGTGGTTCATTTTCTAATTTTCTAATGTTTCAGAATCCAATCTACTAACACATGACCAGCACCTGTCAATCGGCCGTCAAAATTTGACCTTCGATCACCACAGGCGGTCCAAGCTCCAACCATGAGGTGATCATCTTGCGTAGTAAGAGTCATGGCGAAATCATAAAAGTTAATATGGCAATATTTACGACCGCTCTTAGGAATAAAAAAGTACAGTCGAATTCTCAATACCACGCTTTACTTTCACAGTGCACTGCTTGTTATCTGACCGCTTACTATGTTGAATAGAATTCGCCATTGTAGCGAGTTATCCATTTCTAGGTTTACTACATAAGAGAAGCTTCTCTTATGTAGTACAAAGCTTAAGGTGCTGCCTCCTTACAGTCCGTTTCTCAACATCGTGGAACAAGCGATCAGAAATCTTAAAGCTGTAATCAAGGCCGATATCTCTCAACCTGCCACCCAAGAGGAGTAAAACAACCGGGAAGAAGCAAGACGTTAAGGCATTCCACTGGGAGACTATCACCAAGGAATTCTGTTAAGACCATGCAGGCTGAAGAAATATGAACGCAATAACTGTCTGAAAATACGCTCAATGATTTAGGTTTATGCAAACCTATATCCCGTGTTGCTTAAACCGCGAAGCAATATAAGGATAGGCTATTACTGGAACACAAACTTATTTGAAATTCTTAATTTGTTAATGTAGCTGAGAACTGATTGCACAACAACATTAAAGATTGTTCTTTAGTTTGAAATGAAAGTATATTGGTGTAAATGAATTTTTGTATTTATGCAAACAGCCTAAATGAAATTTAAATCTGTCATAATGACACTTTAGTGTTATTCAACTTAAATGTAGCGCTAATTAAATTTATCTTGCGTTCCTGAAGGGCAAACGGTGTAAACCTAGAGATAGATGACCCGCTAAAATAGGTTCTTTTCAAACATAGCAACATAGTAACAATAACAAGCAATGCACTTTGAAAGTAGAGTAAGGTATTTTCATTGAGAATTTGACTTATTTTTTTATTCCTAAGAGCGGTCGTAAATATTCGCCTACAAACTGTTATAATTTCGCCATGACTCTTACTTTGCAAGATGATCATCTCACGGCTGGAGCTTGGGGCACCTGTGGTTTGGCTGGTTAAAAAATGAGTTACTGAACTTAGAGCAGTCTAGACGGTCTAAGAGTTGTAGGAAGAAAATACATTCAGCTAGAATGGTTGATGAAAAAGTGGTGGACGCTAACAACTAATACTAGTAGCAGTATCCTATCCATTCTTTAGCCTCGGTTTTCTCTGAGTTCCTGTCCCTTTGCTCTTGACTTTTTCATTTCATCCCTCGCCAGCAGTTGGATCAAAACCAACGTAACAACGAACAGGTATTTTTCTTCACCAAAAACAAACAACAGAATGAAAATGCCAAGACATTTGGTAAAAGTTTCAGTTTCTAGCGGCGTGAATAAATATCATGATCATCCGATAGCTGATAACTAAGACAGTTTGTTAAAGTAGTTTATTCTTGCGGATACCATTTGGCCTCTCCTTCTCAGGTTCACAGGTGAGTTCGTTCATAGAACAGGTTCGTGAACCTCTCGTTTGCTTTTGACTTTTTCATTTCATCCCTCGCCAGCAGTTGGATCAAAACCAACGTAACAACGAACAAGTATTTTTCTTCACCAAAAACAAACAACAGAATGAAAATGCCAAGACATTTGGTAAAAGTTTCAGTTTCTAGCGGCGTGAATTAATATCAGGATCATCCGATAGCTGATAACTAAGACAGTTTGTTAAAGTAGTTTATTCTTGCGGATACCATTTGGCCTCTCCTTCTCGGTTCACAGGTGAGTTCGTTCATAGAACAGATTCGTGAACCTCTCGTTTACTTGTTTTTTTGTTTTGTTTTTGATTTTTTTTATTTCCAGGTCTACCCACCGCCCCTTGATTAACGGTGACCCTAATATTCTTCAACCTGGGGGGTCGATCGATCCATCACACAAAATATTGAATATAATTAATTACCGTACGATTGGTAAGAATCTGTTGGGCGATTTTTATGGCTCAGGGGAAACTTTGATCCATTTTAAAAAACATGACAAAACTCTCGCGCATTTACGAGCGCTAGTGAAGCAGATTGCAAACAGATGCAGTCGTTCACAGTTGTTTGAAAGATAATAAAGAAGGCGAGACATTGATTGTTCAAACTTCTTTAGGTTAATTTAAAACAAGGGGTTGGGGTGTGTTTTATTTTAACTTCAACTTTTGCCGCAATCATTCAGAATTAAAGAACTGATTAATTTTTTACGAACGAAATGACGTTCGAAAATGAAAAACAATAAAAGGGATGTGAATAATAAGCATAAAGATAAGTATTAGAGAACATGACCTGTGATCACAGTATCAGATGTATGAGTTATGTTTTGAAATGAAGGTTATTCATGTTCAAACAAAGTCTGTCTTTTTGTTTTATTTTCTGAAAATTGGAACGCAAAAAGTTTTGGATCTTTAACTAAAACCTTTTCGTTTTTTAACAGGAAAACAGCAAAATCCGCCTGAAGCACTTTGATAAAATGGTTAGTTCTGTAAACTAACTGGCATCCTGGATGGAAACCTTACCTTTGATATTCTTGCAAACGAAAAAACAAGACCGTTTTTGCGACAAATCGAAGTCGCTTCTCAGCAACCTTGCCCGTTGTTGTTTTGTTCTTCTTCTCCTGTGGCTGATTATAGGGACGGTTCTTTACTTCCTGCGTGCCTACGATTGCTGTTTAAGGGATCGACACGCAACATTTAGTTGCTCAAATTTTACAAAAATTCCTCACTCTAAAGAACTTGAACTGACATGGCTGGTCTCCCAGGACATAAGCATTGGCTTGACAGCATTTGCCCTGAGAAAAGTGCCTGAATTTATGGGATTTCGCGCAATATTGAAGAAAGCCGTCCGAATGCCAGCATTTTGGAGTCTGATGGCATTGCATGCAATGCAGATCGTGGGATTTACAATAATTATGTATTTTAACAAATTAACTCATATACAAGTATGTCTCGTAGCTGCGTTTTGCATGCACGGATTAGCACTCCTTGCAATCCTTTTCGTGCTAAATTTTACGCCGATAAATCGAATTAGACGAAGGCGTAACTACTTTGTTTTTATACTCCTCAAATTCACGTTACTGGTATTTTTCGTGCAAACTTCTACAATCTTTGTAGTTGGATCCCTTCAGTTTACTTTTAAAGTCACTGGTTTAGATGAGGTGGGACGATCAGCTAATTTCGTGACGATTTTTCGAAAACTTCGAGAATTTCCACAAGTTATTTTCTTCTACAGGACAGCAACTTTCTTCTGGCACAAGTTCTTTTTGGATAGTAGAAATATACTCAGCCATTTTCAAATGCTGAAGTCAAGGAATGATATTTCGAATAGATTTCATGAATAAGAGTATTTTTCTATCGACCCCCATGAAACTGAAACCAAAATAAGCCACTGATTTGCACAACGGAGAGAGGCTGAGACTACAGATTTCAAATTAATGAAATGTTTGACACCTTGGCATAACTCTAAAATGCCCGTTTAAGAAACGAATAAAATATTTTTGAAAGTAACTTTGACCAATAAATCAAGGTATCTTCATTCTTTTGTTTTATTTTGGAAGATTAAAACAGAAGTTAATGAATAGGAATGAAAACAGTACAATAGTATTTTTTTTTTTTGACTGAAGATTTTCTCCTATGACAAAACCTATATACAACATAGATTTTAAGATACCGTCCTGTATATAAACAAAGCAAGGATTGTAATTATAATTGAAAGAAACTGTACATGATTTAGCACAAGCGGCGGTTCTTTCCCTTTGTAGGCTGCCGTGTGTAATAGTAACTGGTTTATATATGATAACTTTTATCGAAAATAAATGTTCTGAATAAAGAAGTGAAAGAGTAGTTTTGTCATGCAATTATTTCAAGATAGGACTGCTCGTCTTCAGAGCACTTATGGCTTTCAGCATTTTCCTTACCAGCCAAAATGATGTTTACAGGTTCCTCGTAATCGGTGACCAAAGCTTGATAAGCACGACAATTATCACTCTCGTTGTTCTGTTCAGTTGAGTCCGTTTTTAATGCACTGTAGTCTTTTGTCACCTCTCTATTTTCTCTGCCTTTATTCAGCGGGTATTTACCTTTGAGTTCATCGCTGCTCTTTCGTCTTATTGCTAACCGCCTGGAGATTGAGAGTTGTCCTGGAGTTTTGTACGGGGAAGCGTATTGAACGTTTCTGTTTTCATTGTTTGCCGATCGCTGTAACAGGTGATATTTCTGATCTTCGCAATCAGGCGAGTCTTGAAAATGCACTTTTAGCTGGTTGACTTCGCGGAAATTGTTTGCCCCATCATCCTGTTTGCGAAGAGATCGTGTCTGTGCGTCATAATAAAATGGCTGTGCAGTTATGTCGCCGTTTTGTTTGCGTGTTTTCATTTTCAAGCGCCAAAGAAGGAAGCCAATGACGCAAACTAAGACCAGTATCACGCAAACGAGCGGAATTATTGCGATTGTCCAATGGATGAAGCCGGCAGGAGGTTGAACTGAATTAGAAAAAGAAAATAAAAATAATTGAAAACGTTTAGGGGACGGAGGAAGTTTAGTGGAGAGGATAAATTAGAGCACCTATTCAGCTGTGGGGCAAAAAAATCATAATACGGCCAGCAGAACAAACACTAGTTTTCCGTTTGTGTGGCCGGTGTGACTCCCGCTTCGCCGTTGGCGCTTTAATCGAATGAGTATGGTGTAATATTTAAGATACTGTCTGAACTTTTCTTGTAACTGACACTTGTAGTCAGTGACAAAACTGGTGGTCACTGTGCTCAAGTTGATCGCTACTCGATCGCTTCTAATTCGCACAAAAAATACTAATTAAAAACATGAATTCACGTTTCTGTGAAACATATCCCTTACCTTTTCTTACCATGGAAATAATATCAGTATTGCTGGCTCGCGTGTTTTTTTCAGTTCTCAACGTCGGAGGTGTTTGTTTGCTACTTGTGCCAGATGGAACTGCTCTGAATACTTCAGTGATCTTGCAGGTTAAACCACTTCTTGAACACTCTGTGAAACGAGTTCCACAATTAGTTATACACAAGGGCGAGTGGCAAATAATTCAACGTGTTTGTCCGGTTTGTGAAATTCCCCTCATGGCAACACCCGTCTTCTTTTCTTCCGAGTGTGTCCTTACGTAGCTGCTCGTATTCCTTTACCCAGGCTATATCTGTCTGCATTATATATTTAGCAGTCAGCAGTTCTAAATAATTTTTCGAACAAAATGGGTTTGATTTGAGTGCTGTCACTTTACTTTTGGTTACTTATTTGCGCCTTGTTATATACAAAGTAGAATAGTTGACATCCACATTTAAGTTAAATACACGGTTGTAATCCATCTAAGACAGAGCTCATATGAGGTCATCATGCGTTATAAACAGTCTGGAATGCTAACGAGTTACTGTAGTTAATGCCGAAGATTCCAAACTAAACTGACCCCATTCTTATACACATCCCCACCCCTAACAGGATTTCCTTTTGGATATAGGATGGGGCTGGCGTGGGTGTGTTGGAATGCGACAAAGTAACAAACTTACGAATAAACACTAAAAAAACCAACAAGGAGTCTGTCAGACAAACGAATAAAGGGGGTAAGTTTCTAAAGAAACTGTGGTGCTGCGTCTGTGGGAGAGCACATCAGGATCATTTAGTATTATGAACTGAGAGATCGCCATCGCACTGACGAAGGGTTAACGCTCGGAACGTCAGCTTTGAAACTCTTTCACGTTATCAACTCAGTTGATAATACTAGATTACCCTGTCAGACAGACAGACAGACACACACATAATGCAAAACAGGATACCAATGGCCGAACAATATTTAATAAAGCAACGCACACACCAGAGGGTATTTCGCAGATGAAGCCGGCGAAAATGTCTCCTCTTATGTCATTAAAAAGCCCCCTAGTTCCCGGCGGGTAGTTTTTCGCCATCACCACATACGGCGCACCATCTCGAGGCTGCCAAGGCTGCCAGTGGTTAATGGTTAATGGCTGTCCATTCACCCAGGTCCAGGTCCAGTTCCCTATCACTGTGGTGTTCCTTCGCAAACCGATATGCCAGTCATTGTTGAACTTGTTCGTTAGGTTTTGGATGTAATCTCTTACAACTTGCCATTCATGTGGTGTTTCCATGGAGACAAGGTCTCCTCCGTTAGATTGACACGACTGTCTGGCCGCAGTCCATGTGAGCCCGTCTTCGTGGAATGTGTAGCATGAGCAGTCCGCGGCATAAACTGTACAAGCAGATCACAAATGACTTATTACAATGATTTCTAGAAGCTTCGGAAACAAATATTCAGCAGTTATTCCCTCCTTTAACTGCAATGAAAGACGATGGCTCCAGTTATAAAATCGAGACTTGCCGCAGTTCTGTGAACTGGTATGATGTTCTATGAACTGGTATGAGGGCCGATAAAGCGTTGTCGTCGGGTGAGAAAATCTGCTCTCAAAATCTCTTAATCATTGAACAAATATATTACCATTCATTCTCTGGTAGCGGTTAACGAAAGGACCTTTTAAGCTCATTTAAAAATAGATCTTTGTTTTTACCGTAGAACATAGACGCGGCATTGATCAGTCCCATCTTCTCTTAAATCTAAATATCGTAATTCTGAACCGTCGAAAGGGAAATTAAGGCTTTCCTGATATTTGTGGTTGTTTAGAGCACAAGCGCGGATATAGCAGTGCAGTCCAGTCGAAACTATTCCTCGGCGTTTCACAGTTTTAAAGATCTAGGATTGGAATTTATTTACTTCTGTTCTTTTGACTAAGGATTGTAGAAACCGGTGTCTAGATTATTATTACTGATGCTTAAGGTAGACGTTGACATATGCGAGTGCGTGACTCAAACAGAAAAATCATCTTACCTTTGACCACAAATGGAAGAAAAACAGCGACTCCAAGAAAAAGCGTTAATTCCATGGTGGAAGTACTGTGATCTTACTCTTTTTTCGGTTCAAGTTGGCAATTCTTTTTTATGTATGGAACAGATGTGCTTACGTATTCAGACCGATTCCACATTTCATATCCGGTGTGTTACTGGGCGTTCTCTGAAGCTCAACATTTTTACACGTATACGGCAATAATCAAAACACGTTACAATGAAAGGATCGAGTATCGCTCAGTCACGCTAAGTTCCAGTTTCTGACAACAGCGTTTCTTAATGTTCTTTCCTAATTTAGCAATACCTAAGGATCGATTGTCATCGATCTCTTTGTTTTTCATTGGTATCTTTCAATACCCTTGTCATGCTTGAAAAGAATTTGCTTTCCAGATATCATCACAAGACGAATTAAAATGAGGTTATTTTTCACCAACTTCCCATAGTATTCAAACCACACCGTGGGAACGTCTCTCACGACAATGCTTTTTCTGTTGACCAGTTGACAATGAAGAGGTTTTCTGTTTGTGTGTTAAAACAAAAAAATATACAAATAAATTCTACTGATAACCTATTTGTGTCCTTTACAAGATCACAGGGAGAGAGGAGGCTTGGTGGATAAGCGGATTATGGTGTTTTGATTTAAAACCATACATACGTACTTCGCAGATTATTCCGGTAGGCGTAGGATAACACTGCTTTAAGAGAACATGCTCTTGTGATTACTTAAATTGTTTTTATTACATGTTATCATCATTATCAGTGCTGTCTTTTATCACAAATCAAGTGCTCTTGAGCTAAAAGTAGATTCTTATATCCAAATAAAGTTTTTTACTAGTAAACGCATCTATGTATTATTCCATTGTTTTTTTATTTGGCATTGTATGGTGTATGGTCGCAATGTATTTACAAACAGATTGAAGCAAATAAGGATACGATTACTCTCGTCACAAGCGCAGAACAAAAGAGAAATATCTGTGTTCCCTGCGAAAAATCAAACCTCAGACCTTCTCGATAAGGCTGAGATGTCTTGCGTGCTCGAGGAATTCCTGCTCTTATTTCTTTTTCTCGATTTTTTTGCACCATTATCTTGTTTTAATTAATTATGCTTTAATGTAACACTATTAATATCTCCACGCCCTGATAAGTAGATATGTGATCACTGATCTTCCTAAAAAGTGATCCGTATTATGGAGATAATGCGCAAACAGCGCTTAAGTGTCGCGATCTTGTAACTAAAAAATCAACACCTATATCTACAAAGATAAAAAGCTTTACACCGAGTATAAAATACTGGAAGGTTCTAATAAGCCATCTGAAAGTAAATGTCACAGTGCCTAGCTCAATGGTGTGGCAAGTACCCTACACGCGCCCATAGACGTATCACTTCAGAGGGTTTATTACTGAAAAAATATTACTTTAAGTCTTGATCGACTTCGTCCATTGTCTGGCTTTAATCTCTCCGCGGAGCTTGGTCTTCCTCGGATCGTCTCTAAAAGATATCTTTGAGGAGTCAAATTCTAGCAAGAGTAAAACAAGGCTTGTTACACTTTGAACCAGAATGTTTCCTAAGGGAAAGTGATTTTAAAGATGAGATGAGTTTCCAAACACAAACCTGTTCATTGTTCCCACCATTTGAGAGCAGCTTTGCGTTCAGCAGATTTAACCCCAGTTACTAGAAAAACACACATAGAAATAATTTTTAGTCTCGGGGTCTAATACGTTTGGCTAATTGCGTACTTACGAGCAGTCTAGCCTTTAATAATATGAAACACAGTCCAGATTTTTTTTGCGCACCATACAGAAATCGCAGCAGAAAAAAAAGGTCGTTCCGTATGGGGCAAATAATGTACCCTTGGTCTTGAGTGTAACAAAGATCAAGGCTATCTCCTAACTTCGGGATAATTTTATCCATAAACCCACTGTAAAGATGAAAGCAGGGTTAGTTAGTGTTCCGGTAGACCTGTCGTCGTGCACACAAGAGGACAGTCAATAAGTACATACTACGATTTTACAGCAATGTTTGACTGACCAGCGTAGACAGAATTTCTCCATCGTCCACCACAGGACTCAAACGAATTTTCAACGTACTCAACAGGATCGTCGGGTTTTCTGCACTTAATGTTACATTCCTTATCATCAGCTCGGCCATACTTGTCAAAAGTATTCCCGCAGAAACAAAGATCACCGTTTTGCAGGCCAGCGTAAGGAAAACCTCTGTCAGCGCATTGGTCAACACAGTCTTGTTTTGAGGAAAAATGCTGAATTTCATATCCAAGTGCTCGAGGCTGCACCAGGCGGAAGTTGTCATCCAGCGCCTTATCGTCCTTGTAACAGCCAATCATATCTGCAAAGATGACATATTAAACTTTTGACGTATAATGGAATACCTTAACCGTTCATACCGTGTGTGATCAGAGATTCTTCCTGTTTATATGTTGAACTGACTTAAAGGTACGCTTTATTTAACAGACAGATACGACGAAACTTCATGGTTTAGTCAGTGCGCAAGTGCAGAACAGCGAAACTTGCCTCGGTTTGAAACAGAGACAAATAACAATATCGGAAGTTTTAACCGCAGTTGTAAAGCTCTGTCAGCGTAAAAGACTCACAGGCATGTACAGTTTTAATAAGATGTAGGGGAAAATGGCAAAGGCAAAATATTCCGTTTTTATCAAAAGCACGACTTATCTGGAAGTTAAATCTAAGTGAGGTCAAAAAAGAAAACTATATAATCTTTACACAAACTGACAAACGAGATTTGAATGTTTTTTGTAAAGAAGTGAGGCACACTGAAACTAAATAGGTTACCTGGGTTTGTGTCCACAACTTCTATGTAGGAATACGACAAACCTGGTGATTTCAAAAAGGAAACGTATGTGGCACCTGTTATGGTGATAACACTTTTGACTCAATAAGTGGATCTGATCTAGTGTTCTCTTCTGAAATTACACGGTCCTGTTCGCTTCAATGCATCAGAAGATCAACACATACATAACTCAAACATCAGCACTTTCTCAGGATTCTACCTTTTTGAGGTGTTTGTCTGCCAAAAAAATTCGCCTTTATTTCGTAACTTCATGTTTGTATTTTTCAACTAGGTATACAAATCAGGTACCACTTGTTAAAACCTTCTTCTCCAAGCTGGTCGCTAAAATGGGCTGTCTGATTTAATTTTGGTAAAGAGCACCGTTTTTAGGATTCGTCAACTCCTCCTTAAATCCAGTACAGTTTTTTAAGTTGTTGAATGGATTAGAGAATGTCGACTAGTTAGTTAGGGTTCTGAGACTACTTACCAATTAAAGAGAAGATCCCAAGGACGAAGGCTGAAAAGTATAAAAAGCGTGAAAATTCTGGAATACGTGGAAATAAAAGCATTAACATCTCCAAAGACACATACCTGAAATTCTTCGCAAAAACATTTTGAAGACTTAGGCTTTTCCCTCGAGAAATCAAACTTTCCCGTTGGGAAGATTTCCTATCTGTGTCGACTCTATACACAATTAATGATCGCAGGTGAATGACGCGATCTCCACCAATTAGCGCTACGCTAGATTCAATCGTGTTTAACTTAAACAGTTTCCATATGAGCTAAGTTCATAATATAGAGAGTAAGGAAACGTGTGCAATAAACGAATTGTGACCACGCGCAAAGGATTTTATGGGGTAGCTCACACTGGACAGCTATTGTCTGGAGTTACGAGCCGTGAAAACTGCAGTAAAACTTTTGAAGTGTCCTCTTAAAAAAATAAAAAATAACCTTCAGGGGTCACTGGTTCTAATAGTGTGTGGGATTTTTTTGAATCGAACACAATTGATAGAGTAAAAACGTTAAAATGAAAATAAGACATCGTGTAAAAATGTGGTCTTAGCTCGGTCAACCTCGCGGGCTTGTCTTCAGGCTACTCACATGAAGAACTATTTATCTTATGGTCATTATTCAACTTTAGATTTTCGCCGGTGGAGAACAGTTGACGGATGTTTTAAAACGAGTAACGGGTATGTATATGTACCTGCATGTGTTGACACTGAAATATGAAACAATATTTGTTATGACAGTTTTCGTGTTGAACATTTAAGCAAAATTTGTCAATAAAAACTGGTGTTGTTTTATGTAAAAAGCTTTCCGCTAGCAAACGAGATTCGTGACGGTTTTTTGAGGTTGAATACTTGGCTTGTGTAGGTGACATGAAGTGGGTACCAACTTTTTAAACCTGCTACTTTTCTTGTGATTCGGCTCTATAATGACGAAACTTTTTTCCGGGCCAAAAGAGTGGAAACCACATTGCCAGGATCTGTTAGTCACCGTGCGCGCTTTGCTTTCAATTTTGAGGGTGTTAGTACACTTTGAGCATAACAACTTACAATGGGTCCATGTATCGTAGTCATGGGAGTTGAAAAGAGAGTATGAACTGTTCATATTTTCTTGGAGTTGATTAACAGATTCAGGTGCCCTGCTGTTATCATTGTATGATGGTGTTTTAAATAAATTTAGGAGCTTTTGGATATTGAAATCATTGTGCATTTGAAGGCTCCTCTCTCTGATTCTTCCCATTTTCCCTTAGAATAACAAACATTTTAATAGCTCCCCATGATAATTCGATTGTGTTTCCAGATAGCCCAAAGTTTAATTTGTTAATTTCCAAAACCCGTCGCGTAATCGACCCAACAACATACTCAGACCAGCATAATTCGCTTATCACTTCGCTTAGAACTTTCTCTTGTTTTTTTGCAACTGTTGAGCTGTAATGAGAGAACATTTTAATTTCAGATTACTCTACATGATAGGGAAAGTCTTTATTACATTCATTGTCACCTTTTATCTTAAAAAAAATATCAAAAGAAAGTTTTATGAACAAAACACAAAGCTAATACCCCTACATAACTAAATGACAGAGTAAATTTCTCGAAGATGGGTTCATAGGTGGAAAAAGGTGTAGTTATTCTTGTACGGCTCCGTTCTGGTAAGACTTATCCGTGGCCGGATAATTAAATGGGGGGTAATACCCATGTTGCATTTGATAATCACTTAACAAGAACCAAGCCACTTCATTTGGCTTGGCACATGTTAACCAACGAACAAAAATTGATTTCCATTTGTTCCTTGCCGGGCCGCTCAAATATCGACCAATTGGGAGGCCATCGTTCCCACTGAAATGAGCATTTAAACAGTCCCGGATGTTCGCCAGGCAGGGGTTTCCCCCAATGTAAATGACTCTAGAGTCTTGGGTGATCTCGTAGACACCAGGCAAGCGAGTAGACTCGTATTTGTCGTTGATGTCAAAACTTCGTAAAGCCGAGGTAAGAGGACGAGCGTTCAAGCGTTCACGGTAGTATTTCATGTTGTTCAAGTCCTCTTCTGTGGCCTGGTAGTCGTATGCATCAACATAAGCCATTTTCTGACCGAAATGCCCTTAAAAATATTTAAAGAAACAGTGAAATTCATTCCATGACAAAAGTACGAGGAAGACAGTAAGTAAAGGATAATAATGGTGACCTAGACTCTGAGAGTAAACGTCAGAAGTTAGTAAAAAAAGGAAGGAATAGAGCTTGTTGCTAATTAAATAAGGAAAAAATGTTTGTAGTCAATTAGAGAAAAGAACCTTAAACAGTCTTCACAGGATTCGCTCTACCATAAACTTAAGCAGGCTTTATTAATAAAGTCATTCTTATGAAATACACCCTTCAGTAAAAGACTTAAAAAGTTCACAGACGTTAAGAGTTTCTTTACCTTCCACCTACAAATCAGCCTCAGGCTAAGGATTTTCTCACAAAGCTACGATATTAAAACCTTATTGCATAATGTAATGCATCGAGCAGAGCAACTTGTTCTATTTTAATTTCATAAACCTGTAAAATTGCATATAAATTGTTGCGAAAACTGGAAAATGCAAAAACTTACTTTTACGGTAGTCTCCTTTGATAACACTCAGGTTTATTCTCGTAAATCTTCAACTCCTTGTTCTTCCTTCTGTCAATTTTTCCGTTGAGACGGTTGACGGTTGCAATTGGTTTTGGTGCGTGATTTAAAACCCCATAGATGTGCGCGCGCAATTTTCTTGCAATACATCGCCTGATCTCAAGTGTGCAAGATTGGAAACAATCGAAAACAAAGGCGCATTGGAAAGGAACGTCTTAAATGAGTTGAAATTTTTAACTCGTTCGCAAATGGTTTCCATAAGGGTACCTTTGTATCTGTAACGAAGGAAATGCAGGACTCACTTCCATAATAGTTTAGTAACTCTGATTGTTAATCTTGAAGTAGAGAGTATTCATTAAAAGCGTTTTTCAAACATTCCCCACCAAACTGTTGTTTTGTCCAGCGCTCTCTTAGTTTTCTTTTATCAATCTTTGCTTCCTCCTCCTTTCTCTCATAAACTTCAATAGTCTTCTCTTTCCAAAGAGCACTGTTTGCGAGAATATTTTCACGCAAATCAAAGCAATACCCGTGAACAATATCAACAAAAGCCATTCCCTATTAATACTCAATAATATAACAGTTAGAAAATAACAAATTTCATCAGCGTGATAATTTTTGGAAGTTTGCAAAACATACAACAATTTTAGTGTTTCGCCCAGGTCATGAAGATTTTTATCCGTTTCCGTTTCAAATGACAGAAAAGTTAAAACTTTGTGTATTCGTCTGCAAATCTCTTTTATGAAGCCATAAAATCTAAGGTCGATTTTTCCAATGACGGAGAATCACGGTTCTTTAAGATACTATTACATGATTTTTCTCCCATTGCGTTATTTTCACCGCCGACCGTTGTTCATCAAGCTTACCACAATTATCTTCCTGTGCTGCGGTTACTCAAGAGACGTGTTTTACTTCTGGGATTTAGATAAGTGTGTCGGTGTACGCTGTGTCATAGCCTCCCCAAGTTCAGTGTTGTGAAAGAAATCTTACTGGCACTGCGTGTTGGGTTCCTCTGTGGTTGAGTCGTGCAAAAAACTAGATTTAGAGGTTTTCACCTCAAGGAATCAATAATACCGGAATTCTTTGACCGCTGATATTATGAAAAATGATTGCAGTTTCTATGTCGTGGTAAAGGTTATGATTATTACGTAATATTATAATCGAATTTCGGTACGGCGCGTGCGCTTCATCGCTGTACTCGATCAGTTTTATCCGGTAGCATTTTGAAGTCAACATAATTGATTTACATGGATGATTTGATTTAAAGCTATCGGTTCCTCCTGGGAGGCGTAATTCAACACCTGCCAGAGTTGCAGAAAAACTACCCGGACATTGTCAGCGAAATTGAACGAAGCTTATACGTAGACGACCTGATTGAGTGGTGGCCCCACAAGTGGAAAAGGCAAAGAGATCAAATCAGCTTCAGAACGTATTCGCTAAGGCACCTTTGAGTTGCAAAATGGTAAATGAAAGAGCGGTAATTCAAAACGCAAAGAGCAGTTGGAATCAGCCGCGTCAGAACCAGTTTCGTCGATCGAGGGAAGGGAACTATGACCCACTGGGACTGGCCTCCCAAAAGCCTGTCAGACGTGTGACGCTGCTTAAACGATGCAAAGCTCCAAGGAAGAGAGTTGGACCCGAAGGAGCGACTTCCTGAGTAGCTTACAGTCCCAAGGTCCTTAGCAGCCTATCAAGAGGACATCTAATCAATCGATACGCCTTTGCGATGCGCAGCAGTGCCGCAGCTGTGGCGTTGCAGTCGTTCAAGAGTCAGGCGTCAATCAGGACTTGTACAGGCGACTCCAAAAAGGACTGACGATCCCTCGGCTAGAAATCTGGTGTCTGACATATGGCGGTAATCTCGGCAAACGGCTTCAGCCCTGGATGAATTTCTGTAATGGAGGAACCCTGGACCTTTGGCCGTGGTGGAGAAGTGCTAAACCATCCCTCTTGGTGCAACGGACCGAAGTGGTTGAACAACAAAGCGTGCTGGCCTCCAGATGTTATGACCAAGGCATCGGATGAATCAATGGCAGAAGTGAAAGCAACGTGAGAAGTCTTTGCTGTGGCGATAGCAACTACAGACGAGCTAGACATCCTCCTTGAGAAGTTTACCTACTGGAAGACGATGAGAATCTGTGCGTGGATGATGCGGTTCGTCCACAACGTTCGTTCAAAGATGATAGGAAGACTAAAGGGACCACTGACCACTGACCACTGAAGAAACTAACAAAGCGAAAATCTTTTGGGTGAAAAGAGTCCAGAGGAGAGCCACAGCGGATAAGCATTATCAAGAAGATCGGTTGCAACTGAATCTACAACCAAACCAAGATGGCATATTGGAATGTCGAGGGAGAATTCAAGGGCATTTTCCAACATAATTGATTTACATGGATGATTTGATTTAAAGCTATCGTTTATTTAAATGAAAATTTTGGCTCAAACAGAAATTTCCCCTAACCATTGTCGGAAAGGAGAAATTTTAAAATTATGATGCGTACCCATTATGTCACTGGTTAATTGAACGTAACTTTGTTGCTAGGCCACTGAGATATATTCATTCGCCGCCAGCCTGCGTAAAAAGCTCTCAACTATTTCTAAGAATTTTGAAGAACAAAAACTGTGTTGAGGTATGTACGATTCAGCTGTAACGACAAACTCTCACCACAACAAGACTTTTGTGCCTGTTTTAAGTTTTAAAGGCGTCATTGCAGTTGTAGCGTTTGTAGGATGTAGTAACAGCATTAAGATAGAGATTCAGAATTTTTGATATGTTCATCAGTGTTTGAAAAAACTCAGAAAGAAAACCGACGTTTACATCCGCGGAAATATTACAGTCTAAAATGATTTTCTGTTTTTTTCTTAATGGCTGAAGTAAATCGAAATGAAAAGATCCGGGCCAGAGACAACGGTCAAGGAAACAGAAGTGGATCAAGATCACTTTAAGGTGATTCGTTTCTACAGAGAAAAAATGAACCAACAGCCTTTACACAGTGCACTCAGAAGCTTTAATATACAAGATGGTGTACGTATGTCTGGAGTTTACGAGATTCATAGAAATAACGAGGTAAGCGTTAGGATCTTTGTAGATTATGGGCTTTTCGGCAACGACTACCTACATGGAGAGATTTCGAGAGATTGCACGCGAGTTTTACAAAAAAAGCAAACTGTTAGGTTCAGATTAGTTTGTATTTCAATAATAATACCTTACTGAGAAAAAGCCAGCTCCGGAGTAAGGCAGAAAAGGAAAATGTCTGAGATCCCTCCATCTCGATGTTATATGTTATATTGTTTCCTGTGATCGACTTGGCATCGGAGTTTTCAAAGCCGTCATGTCTAGCCGGCTTTGGTTCGTCTCCTTCGCAGCTGTTGTGTGGTGTCATCAAGCAAAATGCTCTTGTTTGGTCCCGTCACGTTGCGAGGGCATGTGTTGCGTGACGTTACCAAATAGCAGTTGCAAAGAAGACACAGCTTTAGCTAGCCCCGTAGAAAGTTTTCATAACGCAGTTGTCTTATGATATCATAACGCAATTTTCACAGATCATCTACATCGGAGGGAACCCTTATTTTAGCAACATCCGGGACTGTCTAAATGCTCATTTTAGCGGAAATGATGGACTTCCTATCGGTCGATATCTTAGCGGCCCTGGAAAGCGACGCTGGAGGAACATTGCTGTGCGATGGTTGACTTGTCTGAACCCCCCTGAAATAGTGTACTTCTTGTTAGAGGATTATCAACTGAGGAATGGCGCGTTACCAATTTATAACAACGCTCCTAATGTTCAGTCAAGAGATTGGGATTGTGACTGAATTTACCAAGAATCTCTATCTCGTACATCGAGTAGACTTGGGGGTATTTGTCGCTGGGAGCTTTTAAATTCGAAATATCAATAATTTTGACTTCTCATTATTTAACCCGCAGAAATGCCTGAATAAAAGTCATACACTTCGATCTATGGTGTCTTTCGTAGATTTTAAATGTTCAGTCCTTATTGTCCCCCTGCTGTTGTAAATGGAATAGGATGAGTGCACTCTTCTGTTTACACCTGATAGTCCATTGTTCTTAAGATAATTTAGTGGTAACAACTGAGTTGGAAAGCTCTGACGAAGGGCTAACGCTCGAAACGTCAGCTTTTTTACCCTTTACGGTGACCAATTAACGTTTTCAACTCAGTTGTTAACACTAAATTACCTGCTATACTCTCCCACCGACGCAGCACCACAGTTTCTTTAGAAACTTGCCCCTTTATCTATTATTCATAAGTTTGGCAGTTCACTCTGACTAAAATTTCCCTACTAGAAAACTCGCGCACGCCTCAATGATATATCCGCCAGCCAAATTTTCACTTTGTGCAGGCTCAACCGTTACGAAGATATCTCTGCGGGCGCCATTTTCCAAACTCTTCCTTCGCTACGTTGTATTAGTTACCGCCACGAATTTTCACGGACCTCCTGATTTCCAGCAGTTTGAAAGAAATGCAGATAGATTTATTTTTCCTGGTGAAAAGTAAGTTCTAGGAGGTTTCTTTTTGGAGATGGATCGGTACGTGCGAGTAAAGAAGATCGGCGAAGGCTCGTTTGGAAAAGCCTTGCTGGTGAAAAAGAAGGCCGATGGAAAGCAGTATGTTATTAAGGAGATCGGCATTTCCAAGGTGATTTTTGTGTCAGATTGAATGTCTAGTATTTGTTGAAAGTGTCTGTAAATGATGAATTTTGATTCTCTTGTAGAAATCTTGGCGGTATCCCAGTATGTACATTCATGTAATTGTTTAGGCTCATGTTACAAAATACAGCTCCACTCAACTTCCTTGATGTATATTTTCTAGATGTCACCTAAAGAGAGAGAGGAATCCAGAAAAGAGGTACTGTCTTGGACTTGGTCCAACAAGAACTTTTGTCTCTTATAGATTGCTAGTCTAATGTTCGTCGCATTTTATCAAAATTTAATTACAGGTGGTCTTGTAATTACTGCAGCATCCACTTGAGTTTTTATTTTGATTATTGGTGTACACCGCATGATGAGATTTGAATGCGGATATTTTTCTGCAAACCCTCTAACTAGCGCTTGAAATATGAGGTAACTTAAGATGTTGTGCGTAATTTCATTTAAAGTAAATGCCGTGCATGAAGTTAACATTTTTATGAATCCTTCAAGAAAAAAAAAAAAAAAAAAAGACAGAATCTTTCCTTATCTTTTTCGGGAATAAAGTGAGGAAACAGAGAATATTCTCATGTGATATTTAATAATTAAGCTGAAAATTAGCAATGGCTTGGCCATCAAACAAGACAAGAAAAATACTTATTTAAATAATTTTTTTTCAAAGGTGAAAGTCTTGGCTCAGTTGAAACACCCAAACATTGTGTCATACCAAGAGTCATTTGAAGGTAAGGGTTGCCCTGTTTACATAATCAAACATATTCAAACATGTATTTGTTGCAGCAGTTTTATGAACAAGAAATAAAAATCTCACCACAGAATTCCTCCAAAAAATATCTCTGAGACCTGTTTGAGCTACTACTGATGCAAGTTGCCTTATTAATGTGAACTATTTATTGCAAATTAGGTCATTTACCTTAAGTTATTGTGAAAAAAGGTAGAGAAAATAAAAGATCACATTCATGATAGGATTTAAGACTCAAATTCACACCTCTTTTATTGATTTGTTATTTCTTTCCTCCAGAAAATGGAAACCTGTACATTGTTATGGACTACTGTGAAGCAGGTATTTAATAGAGTAAATAGTATGCACAACTCTAGATTTTAAAGAGTGGTCAAATTGGAATTTGGATCATTTGATTTTTATGAGGTGAGGGAAACTGGAGAACTTACAGGAACACTTATCACCAAAAATGAGAAACAGCAGTAAACTCAACCCATCCGATGCTATATCTGGGAATGGAACCCAGGCCACAGCTGTTGAAAAAAGGGTTCTCATCTCTGCACCATCCCTATGCACCTTAAATTATTTAATAATAAATTAATTCATTTTTGACAATACATATAATTTCTTGATGAAGTGCATTCTGCCTTGTGAGGTCTTGTCTTCCAGTTTACCTTTGGGATACCCTTTGAATCTAAGATTCCTAAGAAATGTGGTACAGCTGTTGAGGTAAAGATAACTAAAAGAATGTTTGTTTCAAATGTTAACTTCTAATACTGACTATAAATTTACAGGTGACTTGTATAAAAAGATTAATGGCCAGCGAGGAATACAGCTGCCTGAAGAACAGGTAGAATTGTACATAAGCATTTTTAAATGTTCTCCCAAATTGTTTCTTTGTCAACAAGGGTGTTTTTGCTGTTAATTCAGTTTGAATCCAATTTTATTTTATTCCAGGTTTTAGACTACTTTGTGCAGATATGCCTTGGCTTGAAACATGTACATGATAGAAAAATTCTTCACAGGGATTTAAAATCACAGGTTTGTCCTATAACTTTATTATTTTTGAATGATTAATGTGCAAACAAATGTGATACTACCAACATTTAACTGTTTTTGTGTTTTACCTTACAGAACATATTTTTAACAAAGAATGGAATAGTCAAGCTTGGAGATTTTGGAATTGCAAGGGTTTTACACAGGTAATAAGGTTTTAATGAGGTTATGTAGTAAGTTTTTATGTTTTTTTTTTTATATTACTTGTTTATTACTTTCTAATATTTTCAAACCTAAGTTTGTCCAATGGTGACTTCACAATTGAGTTGAGCTTGGCTTTCAATGATTCCAAATTTGTTTCTCTTTCAGCACCATGGAGCTTGCCCGCACCTGTATTGGTACACCATATTATTTGTCCCCAGAAATCTGTGAAAACAAACCTTACAATAATAAAAGGTGAGCCTGTATTTTCCTAAAACTGTAGTCAAAGGGTACTGTGCAAGTATTACCAGTGTCAATTTGACTGTTCATGAAATGATGATTATTACAAATATTGATTCGATTTTTTAACCAATTTCAAAATTTTCATGCAGTGATATCTGGTCACTTGGATGTGTCCTCTATGAGTTGTTGACCCTCAAACATGCTGTGAGTATTTTCTTCACTTTGCCTTTTACAAAATGATTGACTTCCAGTATTTGTGTACATACACCTTTCCTCCATGGTTTCAACCAGTAAAGTATGAAAACATTTTCATTCAATGCTGGTGATTCTAAAGAAAAATGTTTTTAATTGCAGTTTGAAGCAGGAAATATGAAGAACTTGGTTATAAAAATAATAAGGTATGGAGTATTGTTCATGGTATGTGATGAAATTTTTCTGCTGGTGTAAACAGTCAATTGATGACCAACCAGTTGCAACTTTGGACCTAGATTATTTGTTCATAGCTTGCTAGCATGGCTGTATCACTAAACTGAGTTTTATTTACTAAATAACAGTTCATCATGTTTTAAGTATTTGGACTTATTCAAAAAGTACAAATTTGGTGTAGTAATGATCCTTCAATTTTCAATTCAAGTTGTAAGTTCTTTGTGATCTCTAATGGTTTTTGTTTATTTTCATAGAGGGTCATATCCACCCATCCCCTACAAGTACAGTGCTGACATCAGAGGCTTGGTTGCACAGTTGCTAAAACGAAATGCTCAGTATGTGCTAGATCTAGTGATTATTTAATTTAACTATTTATAGGAATGGCTTTGTTATGAGAATTTTATTAATGTTTTAATTGTTAACCCTTGAGGACCTAAGAGTGACTAGCATCTAATTTCTCCCTAAAATTTCACCCCTGAATCAAACACAAAAGTCATGAGAATAGAGGAGATGATCAGCAACTAAAGCAGCTCTCGATTGTGAAACAAATTCTCCTTGTCAGCTTCTTTGGAAATCTATGGAGAACAGTATGGAGAATATGCATATTGATGTTAGGGTGTAAAGGGTTAAAAGATGTGGTATGCAATAAATTTTACTGATTTCTCCTTGTAACTTGCAGTGATCGCCCATCAATTAACTCAATCCTGAAGAAGCCATTCATACAAAAAAGAATTGAGAAGTTTTTGTCTCAGGAGGTTGGTCATTGAAGTCAATTTGATGAAATTAATGCTTTCTCCCCTTAAATTCCAAGGTTACTTGGAATTTATGATCAAACTTTATGGTTGAATGATCTGTCAGTAGCTTTGTGAAACTAGGTTCACCTTTATTTTGTAACATGATTTACTAGTGGTTGTAAGGACTTTTGTCAACTAGGTTTTGACCTGCTTGCTTTTTTCAAAACATATTTTTAGAAAATGGCAGAAGAGTTTAGCCACACTGTAATTCATCGTAAGCCTTTGGGTGTACTTGGCCAGCAGCGGATGGCACCCAAGCCTGTCATTAAACCTGCTCCAGGTCAGTTGCTTTGATGCCACAGTTTGGAGACATGATGTCATGCTCCATGTTATCCATCTGGCTTATGCATGAATACTTTAACTTATGGTTGTATCACAAAAGTTAATAGTTATAACCTGTTGGGGGAGCCTTGCTGTTATTGATTCACTCCTCTGTTAAAATGTTTTCTTTCACCACAAATCCTGAATATTTTCAGTGTCACAAAAGTACAGTAACCCAAAGGCCAAGTATGGAGTTTCTGTTGCAAAGAAGAAGCCTCCAGTTAAGTAAGATTTAATTCTATTCGATCTTCAATTTAGGCATTATTTTAACCTTTTTTATATTGATAAAAACTTTGAAAATGTATTTTGCTTTCAGGAAGCCTGGTTCTGGAGAAGCTGCTAAGAAACCACCTTCCAGACCAAGCAGTGCTGCACAAGAGAAACCTGTTGACAAGAAAAAAGAGCTAGATGCTCGTGAAAGAAGACGCAAGGACTTGATGCAGAATCAGGTAAGGTTAAACCTTGTGCCAGGTCTTGAAAAGTGATAACAAATAACCCAACAATAACAGATAATTTCATTATGTGTGGTTTTGTTGTTTTACTGATGCAGGATCAGATGTACCAGGATTACATGAAGAAGGTTCAACAACAGAGATGGGAACGTCAACAGGTGATCAAACTGCGTACCATGAATAAAAACAAACACTGATGCTCAAATCTCTTTGAGTGCAATGCAGAATTTGAAGTTTATTTATACTCCCACTTGCTTCCAGAAAACATTAACATGATGGTTACTTCATTTTACAGCGTGATCAGATTAACAGAGCTAGAGAGCAGGCTTGGAAAAACACTCTCCTGGTTGGGCTTAGTCCAGAGGTGAATATCCTGATTTTGTTCTGAATGTAATGGTATGCCAGTGTTGTACATTTGTAAGAGTCAGTAGTTATGTAGCACTCTTGAGCAACAAGAGGTACAGTGTACATGTTTCATGAAATACTAAATGAGACATTACACAATTTTATTGTCCTTCATTTGATCAGTTTAGCCGAGATTGATGCTTTCCATTCTTTTATCAGTTTTGCGTCATTCATCCAATGGCATAAGAATCCCTGTCCATATCAAAATTTTCATCACAGCCATTCATGAAAAATTCAGTTCATCAGAAACTTTTTAAGACAAATCTCTTGTTTTCAGGGGTGCGATATTGAAGCATGCCTCTATAAACTTCAAGACAATTGTCTTCAATCCTGTTTTGCTCTAAATACTTGTGTCCAATTGATTGACTTGATTCTTCTTAAGCAAGACACTCTCTCCTCAGTGGTATGAGGGCATCTTTCAGTCAGATTTAAAATTAAAATAAACTGTTTTTAAACATTTGAATTTATTGGAGCTTAAACCTAGTATGTCCTATTGTTTTTGCTCTGGTACTGCTTTTGTACAAATCCTTGAAATAAAATAAATAATAAATAAATTAAATGACTTTGAAGGTTAAAACTATCTATCTCCCGTCTAGTCTAACAAAGAATTTCTGCAGACATTTCCCAAGCTTTTTTCCTGTATTGATGGTCATTTTAGGCAAATAAACACTAATTTAATAAATAGATGGAGAAATCATTAGATAAATAAATAATTGAAAAAGTTGCTATGAATGAATAAAAAAAGGATCAAATACCAGTAATTTAAACTTTTATGATGGATTATAGAAAGATCCTGTAGTAAAATGCTTCTGTTTACTATGTTTTCTACCTGTCCATGGAAGATGACATCATGAGAAAGAATCCATCTAATGACAATGTTTTCATGTTCCATTCAAACCTATATAACAAATATCTGACAAAACTTGAAAATTGTTAATTTTTTTAGAAAGCAAAAAAGCCTGCAGCTCCATCTGCTGGTGTAAAACCAAGTCAACCAGATGTCATTGTGAGTACCAAGTTAATGATTTCAGCACTCCTATGGCTGGTTGTGAACATGTGAATCTATTTTATATTTTATTAGCACAGATGTGTTAGTTTCAAACGTACTTACACACTTATGTAACTTTATTTTATCTCCAATTTGCAAGTTCCATGTTATGATACAGACTGTATACTTCTAGTTTTGTGGGTTTTATGTAATGAGTGTGCTCTGAAATTTTGGTCTTGAACAGAATTCTGAACTCTTGTAAGAAAAGGTTTTTGGAAAATTAGAACGTCCTTCTGCAAATGGTCGTTTGATGTGACTGAATGTATTCAGGCTGTTACAGGAATTTGGAACATGAATGTAGTTCACAGTTAAGCCTTCATCTTCTGGTAGATTTTTGAGAATTTATTTGCAGCATTTCCATGGATACTTGTGATAGATAATAACTTGTGGTTTTTCATTTAGAACAAGCAGCCACAGGCGATGCAGAAATATCAAGAAAAAGCTGGAGACAAGGAGTTCAAAGAGAACAAACCAGCAAGACCCTACTCAGCAGATAATCGGAACAGACAACCAAATGTAGCAGTCAAAGGGGCTGGTCGACCTGTGTCTGCTAATGAAGCTAACAGAGCACCAGCTGCCAATCCTGTAAACCTGGCATGGAATGCAGCCAAACAAGGACAGGTCGATAGGTGAGTGAAGCGAAAAAGGGTGTGGTTCACAGGATACGGGTTAAGGTGCGCCTCAAGGAATAATAATGTATAAAGACTTTGTAACAGAGACTGTATAGAATTGCGGAAAATCCAGAAGAGAACGGGAGGTCTTGACTTATCAAAGACTGAGTCGTGCTGTAGTTGTACCTTTGACTTACCTAGGTCAAAGGTGTTTTAAAAAACTATGCACTCGGTCCTATGGAGAGTTTATGTGGTGGAGGGATAGGTTTTACGATAGTCGCACATGAGCTGCACGAGACATAGAGTTAGTGAAGGAAAGACTGTTAAAGCCTTTTAATTTGTTTTTTTCATTTCATATTTCGTTGAATAGAGCGCAAGGAGCTGGGGCAGCAGAGCGAGCTCGTGTGTTGGAAGAATTCTGGAACAGAAAGAGAGATGCACAGAGAAACAGAGCGAGGGGACAGGTAAGATGGGTCATAGGGAGAGAAATAAAGAATTGAGGGGACGGGTAAGATGGGTCAGAGGGAAAGAATAAAAGAACTGAGGGGACAGGTGAGATGGGTCATAGGGAGAGAAATAAAGAACTGAGGGGACAGGTAAGAGGGGTCAGAGGGAAAGAATAAAAGAACCGAGGGGGGTAGGGAAGATGGGTCAGAGGAAAAGAATAAAAGAACCGAGGGGGGTAGGGAGGATGGGTCAGAGGGAAAGAATAAAAGAACCGAGGGGGGTAGGGAAGATGGGTAAGAGGGAAAGAATAAAAGAACTGAGGGGGGCAGGGAAGATGGGTCAAAGGCAAAGAATAAAAGAACTGAGGGCGAGAGACAAGCTTCAAACATAGTCATGCTAATATATAGATTTAGCCAAGCCTAAAAGCGGAGCTCGCATTTTTTTTCCGCACGTCTTAAGGGCACAACGCCTTACCCCGGCCAGGACTAGAACCCGGGTTGTCCGACTCGGAGCTCAGTGCACTGGCCACGAGACTACTGGAGAAAGCCGTGGCGTTGGCGTGCCCGCGGAACAGTTGACCACGCATGTTAAAAGTAGCACCTTGTACGGTCGGTCGTACGGTCTCAAGTCCAAATTTTTTCGGCTTGATGGGTTACTACTATTTTGTATAATTATGGGGCTACGCTCTGCGAGTTCCGCTATAATTGTACAATGTGCTTCTTCTAACACATTTTTTCCTTCCCTTCATAGAATTTTAATGCACTCCCAGATCACTACCCGCCAGGTTAGTTTGAAAAATTCTGATCATGTACTTTCGTTCTTTGTAAAATTTGCTCGCCCTCAGAAATCCAATATGGAGTTTTTTAATATTTCTTTTTATAGGTAACGTTGCTCAGAAGAAAGATGGTCTGCCTGCTAAGGACGCAAAGGAAAAGGTTTGTATTGAAACATATCCGTACAAAGTATCCGTGAAAAAGGTGAAAAGATGAAAAGTTGGATATGTGAATGTGTTTCTCTACTGACGCCCTTCCGTACTTAGGACTGCAGCTGGTGAGGCATTGGAAATGACCGCAGTGGTTTGTTAATTAGAAGGGGTAAAGCCTCCTGTTAAAGACACGCCGTGAATTGTTGTGAAGTGAACTGTATCTTTATCTTGCTCTCTGTAGGAATATCTTTCGCGTTTGGAAGCTATTCGACGCCAAAACTTTCATGAACGAAAAGAAATACAGAGAAGAATGGCAGGAGTGCGAGCCCCAAAGGAAGTACCACCGGCACAGGTGAGCAATGGAGTTTTAACGACTGAAATTATTGTCTGTGGTGCGAACAGCTGTTAACAAAAAAAACGTTGATTCGTTTTTCATCCTAGAAAGAGAATGTGATGATTCATGGAGACCCACGTTATGATCCTGTCGCCAGGAAAAAGAAAATCGCTGATTTAAAGGTAAAAGTCAGCCCATTGTTTCGAAGCTGGTAACGCGTGTAGAAGGTTTCCTTGCTCGTGCTTAGCGCTTGGAACACGTTGTTTCTCTAGATAGGTACTACTCGTGTGTTGTCCTTGACTCTCGTTTCTGTTTAATAGCTACTCTCTTTTCCCTTCATTTTATGAAACCGGGAGATCGCATTAGAACGTAGTCTTTGCACGAGTGTAAAGTGTCTTCCACTGACTTTGTTTACTTATTTTCGCCTGTTTACATCAAGGCTCAAGCAGAAGATCGTGCTACGATGTTGCGGGCTCAACTTGAACAGAGAAAGAAAACGATTCTAGCTAGAATTAATAAAGAAGGCAAAGAAAGACTGGAAAAGGTTTGGAATTTTCTTCAGTTTGCCATCATTTTTTAAGGGTTACTTGTGCTTTATGTCACTATTGTATAAATCTTTTTTTTGTAGGAAAATCAAAGACAGGATCCTGATAAAAGGTATTTCGCTTGTTTTGAGCGACTTTAATTTGATAATTCGTTTGATCTGCAGATTATCTTACGTAGATTTGAGGAAATTCGTTGCGATAGTGTACTGGAGATTTTTTAGTGGAAAATGATAACGATAAAAATAAAATCCACCTCATGCTATCACGCAAGTGAAGGGCCATAGTCTTGATTGCTTCTCTGTGACGCTCTTTTACAGGCCGCTCCCTGCTTTGGCAAAGTATGAAAGACCAGCAGGTATAGTTTCATTGCAATTCTGATGATTGTTGTTTTGTATTTCCTCCGTGTATATGTAATCTGGTTCTGTAACGGTTTAAGTTCGTGTCTAATCTAATGGATTGAATTGTCACAGAGCCCGCGCCAAAGCCAGCGGTTGCCCCTGTGGGTCTTGAGACAGCTTTAAAAGAAGTAGGAGCCACAATGCTGTTCAGATCAAATTCAGAGGTAAACTACCAAATCTTTTGCCAGGATCATCTTGTCCAATTGCAACTGAATTTTGTAACTTGTTCTCTTATTTTTTATTTCTTCTTTTTCAGAACGATCTTCGTAAGATGACAGAAGAAGACAAGAAGGAGCCCCTTGCACCACGAAAGGCCTGGGGAGATATTCCTTTCCAACCACGTATCCTACCATTAGAGGTGACATCATCGGCGATGGAAGGTGAGAAGTGATTTTGCAGACCTGTTGACTGGAGGGTCAGTTCAAAAGTTGGCCTCCTTCCTCTGCTCTCAGGCTAATCAGGTTACGCACCACTGTCCTCTTTGGCGCTTGGTCGGAGCAAGACTAACTGTCGATGATCAATTAAGTGTTCCATTCCTCGCTAACGTAGAAATAAGCAACTTTCAGTGCATGAAGCTTGTTTAATTCCTCTCTTTCTCGCTTTTCCAGCAACCAGTGCAGGCGATGCAGTAATGAAACCAGCAGCGGATGCCGCCAGGAAGCAATGGGGCAAACCACAAATGACAGAAATCATCTCGGCTTTGGGTAACGCCAAGCTCCAAACTGCAACAACAGCCATAGGAGGAGCTGATGAACAAGATGCGGCAAAGAAGGCTTCACCAGCTGTTGTCACACAATCACCTGCTGGCTCTTCGGTCTCTGCGATGGGCACAACTGTCACGGTACAAAGCCCCACTGTACCTCCCTTGTTAGGAGTAACAGTGGTGAAATCGCCCACCTCAAAGTCTCCACAAACTGTTATTGTCAAAAAGGATAAGAGTGATGAGATGCCTGAGGCAGCGAGCTCCAAAGGAGGGGCCACAATTACCATATCTGGAACAACAGAAGATGAACATAAAAAATCTCCTGTATTGGACACGATCTCCGAGGGAACCAGAGAGGGTGACATCAACAAAGACAACGGTACTGTAAAAGTGGAGAATTCAGATGATTTGAATTTAGAAGAGGTGGAGAGTGTCCCCCAGGAAAAGGTCCTCGAAACTTCGCCCGAAAAGGCCGAACCGAAGAGTCCGGTAAAGGCCTGGGGAGGGGAAAAGGCCACTACACCAACTGATGGTAGGTTCTAGACCCCCAAGTCAAAACATGGATTTTCTTGTTATTTTAAACCATGTCAAAACAGAGTAATTGAGTACAAAGTCAGTATTTAGTTAAATATAGTTATTACTTGGATAAGTGACTTACCTAACTTGCTGTCTATTTTCGCTATGTTCAAGGTGCTTTCAAACAAAAATCTCCCCGCAGTGCCTGGGTAGACGATGATAAGAGAGCTGCCTATCAACAGTTCTTGATGGCGTCACGCGAGCGTACTGGCGCAGAATCTGAGTCACGCAATGAATCACACGATGAAAAATCTGCGTCACGCGCCCAAGCCGAACAGGAACCAAAAGAAGCTCTGTTTAAACGAGTTAATAGGAAGGAAGAAAGGAAGGAAACAAGATCAGAGGATCTGGAAGTACAAGATATTTCGGTTGACGACTCGTAAGTTTGCAGCACTCAGCTTACAATTTAGTTATATTGTCCAGTTTTAAGACCTGATGATTTGTTCTGTGATGAAGAGCACAGTCCTGGTTGAAAGCTTCGCCACTCAGAATCCATTGGACATCTCAGCATATTAACTGTTTCATATTATTGTGTGTTTGAATTTAGATCATTCCATACGGCTGATGGGTCACCAAACAAATCAATGCGGGCTGCAGAGCTACAAACAGGAATTTATGATACGAATTTTACAGTAAGTAATTACATCTTCTATCTTAGGGTCGTCGTCGATCTCTCACACATCTAATCGAAGCTTTTTTTCGGATTATTTTTCGGATATTTCTCTGTCATCCTGGGTATTGTGGGCTGCTGTAGTGGAAATTACACGATTGACAATATTTATGCTTATTCTGTCGCAGAGGCTACGAACTTGCTCTTTACCCGACTTGAGGATGTTGTTTAAGACCGCTACCTCCGGACGTACACAGACTTCAGATGAGGAGCAGGGGGAGACAGATGAGGATGAACACGGAGACGAAGAGGAAAATGCTGATGAGCAAGGAGATCTAGAAGGGGACGAAGAACTTGACGGAGGGAATGAAGAGCATGATGATGGTGACGACGAGGATGATGACGATAACGAGGATGATGACGAAGACGATGACGAAGACGATGACGAAGAACTTAATGTTGGCAGGTTTGCGCGTGTTAAAAGAAAATGTCTTTCAATGCATTTGCAGGGTATTTGTAGTAGCCTTACCTTACTGTTCTTTTTTAGAGAACAAGAGGTGATGAATGTGTTATTATTTTCTCAGTTATTCACGAATTCCTCCTTATATTTTAAAAATATCATTTTTTGGGTGTTTTATTTTGCCTATTCGGCTTTTGGAACGTGGTTTGATTTCGATCCACAACTTTTTGAGGATATAACATCCCCTAACGACTAATTCCTTAACTTAAGTTTGTAGGACCAACTGTTTTCGTATCCTTATAGTCTTATAATACATATAAGAAGCGAAGCTTGTAATTATTTCACAATTTAGTTACTCGGTCATTTTATGATCTTTCCTCAGCGACGAAGATGAAAATGAGGAATTCGAGGATATGTTGAATTCCATGAGAGACGTACTTGTAAGCACTGGTAAGATTTAAGTATATAATTTCTTCATTTTGTCATTAGCCCTTCACACCCATGATAGATCACATGACTTTCTTACTATGTACTTCTCCCTAGGACGATCTCCTTCACCCATCAAGAGCATGCGTGGAACTGATAACAGTTTGGACTGGGATCACTGCGCGGACACGCAGTCCCCAAAAGGTGAAATTTTCAATCACCCGTTCCCCTTTTATTGGAATATTTTTTCTTAGAAAAAATTGTTCCCTGGTCATTCCCTTCATAAGTCTCCACTGACCAACAGCCAGGATCTAGCTGGTGCAGGTTACATAGACACGCAACCTCGTTTCCAAGCCATTTTTCCAATCGAATGAGGAAGTGGGTGAAACTATGGCTCTCTCATGTAATATGAAAACGAACCCCTCTTTGGAAGACTGATTCGTGATTTTAATCATGCAAGTTTTTGTTATCTATTTCTCTAAATAGACGATGATAGCGACGGAGTGGAACTAGAACGATCGTCATCTGAGTTATCCAATCTGAATGAGGACTGGGACTCAGGTATGGAGGATCAAATCGAAATTCCTTGATATGAAAACTACCATATAGATTGGAGGGCAAAGAATGTTTGGTAAACTTTTTGTTGTTGTCCAACCTCCCTCTGTTCCTGTATAGCAAGTTGTATCGTAGATTGTTGTGAATCATGACTCATCGTTTTTTTCATCAGGTGACGACGACGATGACGAAGACTCAGCCTTGCAGGAGGCGCGAGATAAGAAGCGTCAGGAGGAAGAAGAGAGTTTGTTTCAAAGACTGGAAGAGTCACGACTGATGCTTGAACAGGAACTAGGAATTGACAGATTTCTACGCGTCTACAAGTTTCTCCAGGTACAAAGATGTGTCCAATGATTTTTTAAAAAAGGAAACACGAGTCTCGTACATAGGAGTCCTCTCAGTGTTACCTTTTCAGTGTGAATAGCTCGTCCTCTCTTTTGGGTTTCAAGCCGTGGTCCACTTGATATAAAGAGAATAAATTTCACATCGATCTTTGAGTATTACATTGACTGAATTTGTCTCTCGACAGTCTGTCCAAGAAAACGAAGACGATAGCGCGGAGATCGGCACTGCAGGCGAGATCAGTGAACTGCTAGGAGACAAAGAGCATCTGTATCCCAAAATACTTTACCTTGTCATAGCAGACTCGGCCTACACTGAGGGTATGACCTCTTATATTTGAACTTAACGTCTAGTATTTTATAAATTCCTTAGGCATCTTCCCAAATCATGCTCTACCTCAGGCAAAAATCAGTTTAAAGCCTCTCACAATTTTATGTCGGTATTGTTATAAATTGTGAGGAGTTCTTCGCTTTCTCTCTCTTATTTGCAGTGATCTTTAATCTTTTTTATCTTCATTTGCAGATAACCAATGAAGCACGCCTGCTGCCCTTATCAGTAAATTATATTTAGCTCCGAATGAAAAGAACATGGACAATGTTTGAGCCTAAGTTTCACCTCTAGGAGAGAATTCAGGTTGCATAGAGTGTTTAGTAAGCGATAAAATGGCTTTGATTGGCGGTAAATCTTCTATATTTGTTCATAGGAGAGTTACGACCTAGGTCTTATACTGAGTGCTACTAACAAAAGCAAGAAAGCGATCAAAATATGTCAATTTGAAAAAGTGCTGATCGCTGGGTGTGAGTAGAGTAGTGAGATACGGAAGGTAGGCACCTTAACACAGAATCTAGACCACATTTACTTTGCCATGACTATTGCTAAAACCGTCAGTTGAAATGAAAAACAACTAAATAATCACAGAAAATTGTCTCTTTAACTTAATATCTTATATCATTGCAGATACTAAAAAATTATTTTCAAAATGTAAATTTTTCACATCTAAAGATTTTGATTATTATTTTTTTGGTCACTAAGCTACCTTCACAAATCGTAAGTTACGCAGGCGTAATTTGTTGTTGATTGAATTTCCCTTGGATTGAATGCCAGTAGTTGATAAGGTGCATAATTCCATATTTTAACGTGCAAGTTTTGTTACCCTGGCAAATAACTTCATTTTTGTCTTATTTAGTGTTAGTTCTCAAATTAAGTGCGAGATTTCCCTCAGGTGTAGGCGCACAAGGGTTTTATTCTCGCAAATGCCAAGTGTGTTCTGGCTATAGTTTATCAGTTAAGTCGTTCTCTACTTTCAAACTTGAATAGTAGTAAATTATTGCCTAATGAAAGCTTTTTCTGAAAAAAAGAAATGGGCGAGCAAGGGAAAAAAGTGGCTTTCTTCCCCATGTCTCCTGACAGAGAGCTCCACAGAGGCTAATATAATTAAAAGTGTGATAATAAATGTTGGCAATGTACTTCAACTGAATTTGCCTTTTTCTTTAATCAGACCCTTTTATCTGAACTTTGGTTAGATCAATCATTTGATTCTACCATCAACCATTAATCTGCAATAAGGCGTTAACTTCTGTTGTGAAAAGCGAAATTCGAAGGTTGGCGACAGAGGAAAAAAGGCAAGACTTATTTTAATCCTTTTATCAAGGGTTTGACTTGCGCCAGTAAACTACTGTCGCTCTAGCTTATATAATGCAAGAAGAATGGAACGAGTCATGGCAGGTTTCTAACCTTTTAAACGACACGGCAATAAAAGACTGCTGTATTAAACTTCCTTTTCATTTACCTTGCATGTATTAACTCGAAACAAGGAGTGAAAGCGGAGGATGAGAGTTGACCTCGGATTCCGAATACGAGGTCAATTTACATAATGAAGTGAAGCAGATATCCCACGGGAGAGTTTAATTTAATTTCGGTAGTTTCCGATCTAAATTTAAAAACTTTCGTAAATTCGAGATTTTTATGTCCTCCATCATTGCTGGGGACATTGATTTTTGGTCTCACCCTTCTTGACGTTGATAACAACAGGAGCAGTTTTCTGTCCTCTCACAGTGACCGAGGGCATCTGTTCTTTGTGGCTCTCCTGTGAAATACAAATAAATACATTGCAAACAATACCAGTAATTGTGGGAGAGAAAGATACACGCCTTGTCGTTTTACTAGATTTTTTAACGGCGTCAATACTCGCTAGTGGCATTAAAGTATTTAAAATCAGCTAATGCCAACATACTCGGGCTTTTATACCTAGGATATGTATACAAGAGATTTTGCAACAGTGACAACCATTTAGGAACACTTATTATACTGGTGTCGCGTACGCTACAGGACAGGCACCAGAATAACACTTAGCTCGGATTTCAATGTAACTGTAACCAGCATCAAGTTAGTTTACCTCGGGTTGAGAATTTTCTTTCAAGAGCCCTCCATAGTCCGGTACATTGTCATGCGTGCTTTGAGTTTCTGATAAATCGATGTCGTCCGTTGCAGTTTGAAAGCGCACCATCGGCTTTCTTTTAAATTCTACCTTACTTTTGGCCTCGTTTTCGACGTCATTACTTGATAAAGGCAATTTCCGTGGCACATTGCTGGTAATTAAACTTTCTGCAGTAGATTCAACTTGCAAAGGAAAAGTCACATCGCTGCCTCGTTGCTTTTTGTCGCTTGTTGTGTCACGAGTGTTAACCAGAACAACAGGAGGTTTTAAAATTGAGGGCTCTAGTTTCGCAACCTTTGCATTAATTGACACGGTATTTTCTTGTCCTTTCTTTATGAGTGCTGATGTTCTGGTATTTTTTGAATTGGCCCCACCGAGCAAAATGGCGGATTTTGTTTTCCTGAGACCAGACGAGGTGGATGTTTGAGAGACATTTTGAGGGTCTTTTTGGGAATCTTGAAAACAAGAGGAAAAAAAAGAGAGAAAAAGTAAATATTGAACGAAAAGTTGACCTTCTCTTGTCACCCAAGACCAGAGAAAGGTTGGAAAATTTGTTTCCTGCTTTTTCCCGCTTGTTGAAATGGGAGAAATTATATCCTCCTCTCTGTCGTTTTCGTTCTCTTTCATCTTTTACTCCTCTACATCCCTCAACTTACTCCTCAAATGAATCCTTCGACTGCGAGTTTCAATTGAATCTGTAGGTGACTAAAGCAGATTTATCTTTGGTGACAATACTTACGGCTCTGCAGCTTCAGTCGTAAGTCGTCAATTTTCAACCTAAGCTTGATATTTTCACTGTTCAGTCGCTCGACATTAGACTCGGACACATGCAGTTGATGTTCAGTGTGACGAAGTCTGTCAGTTTCGGATAACTGAAGTAATGTTTTTGTCTGCAATTCTTTATTCAGTGCTGCCAAGGCTTTCCTAAAGACAAAGTATAAAACGAAGAATCAGGTAAAGAGCAGGGAACTCCATCCTTACACAACTCCCCCCCTCCCCCCATTTAGATTGTCAGAATATAAGATATTTCTGACTCGAGATTAGTAGGCCATTCGACTTCACTCTGGTAGCTGTCTTGTATAAGGTCTACATTCAGGGTTATGAGATAAACTACTCCGTGCAAGCTACACATAAGCTTACTTGGAATCTTCAAGCTGTAACTGAAGAAAGTTCACGTAGTCCTTCTTGTCTCCAAACTCCGAGAATGCGTCGTGAAACTCCATCAAACGGCTGCTTATGTTGCGCTCTTCCTGAAGGACAAAAGATCAGGGAAACACGCGGTTGGTGAGTAACTTATAGGAGCAATATATGATTTAGAATCAGAAACCAAAATTAACGTAACAACGGCTAATTAGGACAAAGGTAAAAACTACAAGGAGCCAATAAGCCTCCAAACTTGCCACGTGACGAGCAAGCGACCAAGACATAATTATTGTATAGGAAAATCACGGAGCAACAATTGAAGTGACTGATACCAAACGCCATAAGCTAAGGGAGATAAAGAGTACTACCTTCTGCTTCTCTAGACTTGATATCTTTGTGTTCAACATCTTCACCTCGCCTTCTTTCTGCACCAATGCCTGGGTGAGCCTTTGGATCTGTGAGGCGTCTGCATGACAGCTCTTGACTTGGAGCAGAGTCGCTACTTGATTCTGTAAAGAAAAAATGTTTTTGTTTTCTGGGTTTATTTTTACCTTTTCGTCAAATAAATTAATTTCCCTGGTAAAACAGGGTTAGCTTGTGCAATGATTTTCCTTTCAAAAACTTTTTGTTACCTTCAGTCTCTGTAGATGTTGTTTCGTCATGTTGTGCACTTTCATCGCACCCTCGTGTCGGGCTCGTAGACTGCCATATTTCTTCTCAAGTTCCAATCGCTGGTCCTCAACCTGTAAACAGCAGGTACGTTCAGGCCAACTTACACCTTGATTGACAAATAAGTGGCGATGACTAAAGAACAACTGAAGTTACACAAAGCCACAACATACCTCCCCAAAGAGAGAATTTCCTTGTTTTCCAAAGTTTCTCCTGGCATTGTCTGCCTTTAGGTTTTCAAGTTCAGCTTTTAACTCGCCTGCTTCGTTGCGAGCTTCCTGTTAAAGTTATACAAAATACAAGGTTTTTGTTACAGCTCATTCCTTTTGGGGTGGATTATACTGCATCTGCGGAGGGAGCATGCAGATCGTTGACAAATGAATTTTACTTCTTCGCCATCCCCCTCCCCCCCCGCGAAAGTGTTCTGTCGAGTGGTTGGTTAATTTCTGGTTTGCATATTCAGTTATTCAATAATTAGCTTGAATAAATTAACTCGTTAGTTGCGATTTTTCCTTCGATCATCTCCCATCCACACCACTTGCGTGCTTCGATCGTACTCAGGATTTGCCTAAGCGAAAAAAATTGTTTTCACCCTAGACCTATAAATTGTCTTACCTGTAAACAGTTAAACCAGGTTTGCCCTTGTCGAGCCTTCTCTTGGAGTTCTTCCTCAAGATGCTCAACTCTTTCCTTCAGTACGTTTCTGTCGAATAAAATTCTCTCCTGACTATCTTTCAAATCAGCCAGCTTCATGGTCAAAGTATCCCTCTCTTCTGAGAGCTCGGAGGCTAGATGGATGTACTCTTCAATACTCTCTAATCGTGATCGTCCTTTGTGTTGTAGTTCTTCGCTGCTTCGGCGAGCAGCTTGTAGCATCTCATCCTGCTTCTTAATCTTTTCTTGCAGCTGAATTTCTACCAGCGTGTGCTTGCTGATATCGTTTTGCAGAGATTCTATTTCTTTTCTCAGTTCACAGATCTTTTTTTCTGTTGTCATCTGTTGAGATTTTTCTTTCGCTTCGAATTCCTTTTGAAGCTTTACCTTCAAGTCGTCCAATTCATGGGCATGGTTTGAGTTGGTTCGAACTTCTGTCTCAAGTCTGGATCGCAAAGAATAATTCTCTTGCTTTAGTTCCTATGAAGAAAATAAATTCATAGAGAACATTTTTCTTCAAACTAAGTGCTTACAGGAATGAATATTACAGCGTACCTCAAGATTCCCTAACGTTGTTATGTAGTCGTTGTTCACTTCTTCAAGTTTTCTTTCCAATTCCTGGTTATTTTCGAGCAAATTCTTCCCAATCTCTCCTGCCAATTGTCCATCCTGCTGCAAGCTTTCGTTTTCTTCTTTTAAACGGATTATTTCCTCTTTGAGAAAATATATTTCGTTATCCATGATTGCAAAAATACGGCTTTAAGTGCAGATCGAGAATGTTTACGAGGGGTAAATTTCAAATTTCGCTGGAGACGACTTGGGATCCAAATGCTAAGGCTGTGATTGGCTGCTTCGTCGATTTAAATCAATCAAAGGCCAATCAAATAACATAATTTGCTATCATGGGCTCAAATAAAGTCAGCGGAAATCCAAGATAAACAAAAATGGCGGACCAATCTATAGAGCGAGCTAGCGAAACTCATGATATTTTGAATGGGTAAACTGTGAACTTGGAAAAGATAAAAAGGATAATTGATGTAATCAAAATGAGTATTGCTGAGAAGATTTTTAGGCAGGGAAGTCCTATAACCGGAAAACTACTCGCAAAATCGCTATTTTTGAGGAGATGTTTCACGTCATTTGGTTATTGCAAGGTCACAGAGTTTCTCACTAAAAGAACATGGTGCAACCTTCGGCACAATTTTCTTGTAAAGGAAACACTTCAGAACAGAAAGTAAGATGACGATGGTAAAAGTGTATCCTCTGAATCCTCTGTTTCATGTAAATGTTGGTTTCTCACTGTTGAATAGCTTATCCACAGTTGAATGGTTAAAGGATGTTTTCAATAATCTTTTAGTGGCATTACATGGAGTCAATTTCGAAGAATCTGCAGTCAGTCAACAAGCCATGGAATGCCTACCCAGGTAAGAAAAGGATCTCTTCGAATTTGTGTCGTAGGTTTGATTTACTGAAGCCATTTCAAATCAGATCTCTTAGAAGTTATGATATGTGATGTCTTTTGTAATTTTCTTGTTAGGATACAATTGATATGTCTATGTTTCCAGTGTCAAGAGTTAAAAATTTTAGCATTATTGCTCATATTGACCATGGAAAAAGTACTTTAGCTGACAGACTTCTTGAAATGACTGGTAAGTAACAAGTGTATTGTAAATATTCAGACTACATGCATGCAATAAGTGTTTTGTGTTGTATATTACTTTAAAAGTCAGAAAACTATGAATGCTGGAAATATCTTATGAGCTCATTCGGCATGAGGAATCCTAACAATAGCACAAATTTGTGTCTGGTTTGTGTAAATTGTGATCTCCATATGGTTGGTCATTTGCAAGATGCATTCCAGACATATTTCAGCTTTGTGTGGTTCTCTGAGTTTAACAGAAAAACATCTTGATATGGGACTCTCCATGGGAAAACGGACACTAACACTTGTCCGTTAAACAGCCTAGAAAAATGGTTTTAAATGGATACTAAACGGCCAACTCAAGTGTTTAAATGGTTTCCATAACCGCCTAAACGGATGGCAAAAAATTTAAACGGTAGACCAAAGTCCAAAAATGAATAGCTTAGGCCTTCAAATGGTTGACCAAAAATAGAAACGGATTGCATGAAACGTTAAATGGTTTACCAAAGTCCCAAAACGGATAGCTAAAACAGTACTAAATGGTTGACCAAAAATACAAACAGTTGGCTCAAAACATTAAACGGTTGACCAAAAGTCCTAAAAAGTGGATAGCTTAAACCAAATGGAGCGCTAAAAATTATTTTAAAACAGTTGTGGTTGAGCTTGCGAGATCTTTGCAGATTAACTTTCCGAGCGCTAAGGGATAATTATCTTGAAGCGAAAACATTGAGCATAATAACTTGAAAAATAATAACTAGGATATACTTGTGCATTTTATTTCTGGGTAAAGTCTATTGCCGTTTTCATGTGACATTCATGAAGTAAGTGCAATTTACCTAGAATAGTTTCGCTGCCAAATATCCTGAATGGTCACTGGGAGAAAGTCATAATCTCTTCCTTTGTTTATTATTATTATTGAAAATGAACTTTTTGTTTTGAAATCAGGTACAATTTCAAAAGACAATGTCAATAAGCAAGTGCTGGATAAACTTCAAGTGGAGAGGGAGAGAGGAATAACAGTTAAAGCTCAGACTGCATCATTAATTTTTGATTATGAAGGAGAAGCATACTTGTTAAACCTTGTTGATACACCAGTGAGTGTAAATACGTGTACATAGATTGACTTTGATAATAAACCACTATGTCAGATATTAGGCTAGTTATTGTAACAAGATCAAATTAGTGAACAATTTCTTCCTGTTTTAGGGACATGTGGATTTTAGCTATGAAGTGTCCAGATCTTTAGCTGCTTGTCAGGGTGTTATTTTACTGGTTGACTCAGCTCAGGTACAGTACCTCGTCTTTCCTTGTTACATGAAGCATCTTTCTTATTATTTAGGTGCTCTGTAGGAGGCCTGAGTTTAAAATATGCTGTTGTGTGGAGTGAGTCACAAGTGACCATCAAGACTGAACAGGCTTGCTTGAGTCCTATGGGTGTTAATTTGCATCAAACAAGTTAAATGACCCAATGGTTACTTCTAGTGAAGGCTGATTTGTTGGAAGTCTAGGTGTTGAAAGTGAGAGTGAATACTGCGATGTCTAAATGGCTCAAGAAACACACAAATACACATGCTGTCTCTGTTAGGTCCACATGAAAAGATGTTGTGTGTGTTTATAAAAAAATTGGTCTGTAGGCTTCATTAGAGATCAGTTTTAAACGGAAAATTGTATACTCATCAACAATCATTCAACTGCCATGTCAAATAATGATATCTATTGATGCAAAATACTTTGATTGAAATAATTCTTCAAAGTGGGCTTCATCTAATTTCAAGGGTGTAGTGTAGGGAAACCAAGTTGCATAGAATTGTTTGCTGATATTTTGCCATTGCAAGCTTCTTGAGTATGTACATGTATATGAATCTATTGTTATTGATAATGAACTCTCAGAAAATGTACCAATTATTTTTTTATTCATGCAGGGTGTCCAGGCACAGACAGTATCAAATTTTTTCCTAGCATTTGATAAGGATTTACATATTATCCCAGTACTCAACAAGGTACATGATTGTATGTCACAGTCACGATTTAACATTTTCAGATACAGTACTTTTTAATCCTGATTTAGTCGCAAACAATGTTCTAATTTTTTTCTTTTGAAGATTGATATGAAGACTGCTGATCCTGACAATGTCTCAAAACAAATGGAAAAATTGTTTGATGTCAAACAGAATGAGATTTTAAGAGTAAGTTAACAAATATGTAGATAATGAGCACAATTACTTTCAAAGGCTCTTCAATTCCTAAGATATGATCAATCATTCTCCCTTAGAGCTGCAAGAAATTCTCTCAAAAATTAAGCCGATAGAATTTCATATTATTTCAAGGTAACACTTTCTCACCAGTATTCTTCTTTATTCTCAACATCTATTTGCTGATTAATGCTTTTAAGTTGAGTGAAGAGGTTAATTGTCAATCAGCTCTCGGAGTTAGAAATTAATGTTAAATCTTTTATGTATTGTAAATGACACCTGAGGATAAAACTGTTGCACAGGAAATAAAAAAGAGAAATATTTGAAATTCTGGCTTAGCACCATTTCAGCTGTCCTCTCTAATGTTTTCTTTCATGTATGGTATTACGCTAGATCTCTGCAAAAACAGGAGTTGGAGTGGACACTGTTCTGAAAGAAATTATTGAAAAATTACCATGGTGAGTTACAACTAAAGGAAATTATTTCAAATTTCAAATGATCACCCTTGAAACAAAATTTAAAATAGATATTTCTTGTGATAAGAGTATCTCAACAACCATTAACTAGAGGAACTTTGTCATTGAGGCTTTTATTCAATAGACTTTGAAAACTGAAAACTAAAACTTGCAGTCAACACTGTAAGATGAGGTTATTAAATTGTAGTCCTTGTAGTCCTCAGGGTGAGGTGTCAGCCCCCCTAAAAGCTCTTCTGTTTGACTCATGGTATGATCAGTACAGAGGAGTGATCTGCCTTGTTGCTGTTCTTGATGGATCACTGAAAAAGGGTAGGATCACTTACTTAATACCATTAGAGGCAATGTTTAATATTTAAATAATTAATACCAGATAATTTATGAAGTAAAGATCTCTGAGGAATGACTGCTGTAGTGAGGCTTAATAATCAATAGTATCAGACTTTTTCTTTGTTCATTTATACTCATTGTCCAATTTTTGTTAATTTTTTAACAATGTGGTTTTTTAAAGTAATCTCTGCTGTAACAGAACAGACTTCTTGAACTGCTGATGTACCATTTTCTCTTCCATCTCTTATCCTACAGGAGATGATGTCATGTCTGCCTACACACAACAGAAATATGAAGTCTTGGATATTGGAGTAATGCACCCAGGGGAGATCTCTACTGGTGCTCTGTAAGTTTAATTTTTAACACCAATTTATATATTTAGGAGAAAGTTTTCCCCAGAGAATTGCAAACCTGAACCTACTACTTGTAAGTTAGAGGTGCCAGTTTCTGTCCAGTGGTATGCTTGTAAACAGCTGACGTAAATAATCTCCTTCAGTCTGCTTGGATCTAACAATGATTTGTTTCATTTGGTTGTACAGCCTCACTAGCTTTTGTTCTGTTGAGGGAAAACATAGACATATTATTTTTTAAGAAAATAGAATCAATTATTTCCAAACTTTCCCTTGAGCCTCATTAATCAAGACTGAATGTAATTCACTGCTATAACATGTACTGTATGTGCCTTGTCTTATTTAACAGGGTAGTACCCTGTAAATTAAAATGCATAATTCATATTGACTTGTTCTGCTTCCAGATTTGCTGGTCAAGTAGGATTTGTTGTTTGTGGAATTAGGAACAGTAAAGATGCTCAGATTGGCGATACATTTTTCCACCCTCATGCACCTGTTGAACCACTGCAAGGATTTAAACCAATGAACTCCATGGTTAGTTGATTCTGAACATTTTTCATTCTTTCACATTCAACTCTTGTGTTATTCTCTTCACGCAAACTTTTCTCACCAGACTCATTTTGCTCCTTGTGTTCTTTGTAGGTGTTTGCTGGTGTGTACCCTGTAGATCAGTCAGAACATCTCTACTTAAGATCTGCAATTGAAAAGCTCACACTCAATGATGCTAGTGTCTCAGTTCATCCAGATAGTTGGTACGAATAGAAGTTGCAATTTTGTGAATCATTTTGTAAATGTTGTCTACAGGATGTATGATGTAGTTAATCTAGTTTGATGTATTTTTAGCATGCAAATCTGATGTTTGATCATGTTTTTATGTGTACAGGATTAAATGCACAATGTCCTAATGCTATTTGTGTAACTTTCTGAGATGATACTTTGGTACAGAAAAGTTATGTAACAAGGGCCATCTCTTAAGCTATCCAGAAATACAATGAAAATGCTGTGTGGTTCCCATGGGATCATCACATGTTCAATTTGCTTGTATATCATTATTACCTGATATAATATTACAAAAAAAATTGTGACTGATGAGATCTTCATAGAGAGCATAAATTCTCCTTTTCAATTATGAAATGTGGTATTCAGCTGAAAGTTTTTCTCTTTCCTATTGTACCTCATAGTCTGGCTCTGGGTCAAGGATGGCGTCTGGGTTTTCTTGGCTTGTTACACATGGATGTCTTTAAACAGCGGTTGGAGCAGGTGTGTATGACTGGTATAGGGGGGCACCTGAATTAATTGGGTGTAACCCCTTCCAGAAGGGATAGCACAAGAAAAGTGTCTTTAGTAATATTTGTCCATCAATTTGAAGTGAAGACACCCCACTTAATGACTGCCACATCTCCTATCTGAATTTTTTAGCCATCACTGAGTTTTCCAATTGTTTTCCATTTCAGGAATATGATGCAAGTATCATCATTACTGCTCCAAATGTTCCTTACAAAGGTGCATAACTGTAGTTTATTATTTACTATGAAGGATAGAATGGTATTCAGGGGCAGGATAGCCATTAGTGGATCTTGCAATCAATATAAATGAAGATGATTTTTGGTATCAAGATCTCGGCTTAAATGTGAGTCCTCTACCATATGCTTATAGAGAGAATATTGGGTAAATGGACATTGATCGTAATTCATGTCTGGAGATCAACCAGGCCAGGGAAATACTTTTGAATTTATCTTGATTTTTTTTCCACATTTTGTTTTACAGCAATTTTGAAAAAGGATGATGTTGAGGTAATGATTCTGAACCCTTTGGAGGTAAGCTGCTTTTTGATACAACAAACTAGCTAAACTGAAAATGTCTGTCTTTGAAAGTTTTCTTTTTCATGACTACATTTTGTTGGTTTTCTTGTTGTTGCTTTTTTTCTGTTAACTTGGCAGCACTGCTTGCTACTACATCGTCTTTGAAACGTTTTGACCAGAATAATTCGGTGAAAGGTAAAATTTCATGTATTGAATCATTTTTGTTTGTAGCTCCCAGAGCCCTCTCAAGTGCACGCGTATTTGGAGCCTTATGTAATGGGTACGATTGTGTTCCCTGAAGAATGTATGGGCAAAATGTTAAGTCTTTGCGAGGTGAGCTGTGTAGGATAAACTGATTGTGTAACATGTCTTATTTTCCCCTCTCCTCCCCATATGGGATGCTATTACCGTTGAAGTAGCACAGGTTACCACCCCTGCCCTCCCTTAAAAAACCTGGTTGTTCTAATTTGTCCTTTTTTTATTTTTTTACTTCCAGAGCAGGCGCGGTGAGCAGCAAGAAGTAATTTACATCGACGAGTCACGTGTCATGCTGAAATACTTGCTTCCGCTGAACGAAGTTATCGTGGACTTCTACGATGATCTCAAATCCAAGTCATCTGGCTATGCAAGGTTTGTCTTGGAGTGTGAAGAGTTGTTACTATGGTTACTCTTGGTTCGCACTCGTCAGTGTGAAAGTAAAACTGCGGGATAAGAGGCTGAAAACTGATTGTTGGTTTTCTTCTTTTCAATTTATTTTAGCTTTGATTATGAAGATGTTGGATACAGAGAAACAAACGTTGTTCGGGTAGGGCTAAGCTGAAATTTTACTTTTTAATATTTTGTAGATTTTGCTAAAAAGTAGTCGACTATTTAGCGGTACAATGATTCCTTATTTACAATTGACATAACTTTTTTCTCAAGGTATAATTTTTTTTACATGTTTCGTGGTTGTTTGTACAGATGGATATCCTGATAAACGGTCATGCTGTTGACGCCCTAAGCTGTATAGTTCACAAAGACAAAGCCTTACAATCAGGACGGTCCATTTGCGCTAAACTTAAGGACGTCATACCCAGGTGATTATGGTGACATACCTTTGGCCCTCTTTCATCATACAAGTCGGTTAGTGCTTAAAGTCAGACATTTGTTGTGATAGTGGCCATAAGATCCCAGAGAGCTCTGAATGGTTACCACGGTCACGCTTAAGCTTTTTCGCGCGTGCGCTCACAGTTTTCCGCTTGTTAAGGATGACGTGCCTTCTCGGACATTTCTGCGCCTTGCCGGGATGTCAGTTTAAGGTTTTTATTGGTTAATTTTGTCAGTGTCCATCGTTGTCGCAGCGATTCAAAGTAAGATGTGAATTAGCGCGCTACTACTCATCAGATATCCTATTTAGTATTGATCGGAAGTTTGGATATCATCAATTAATGCTTTCTTTTATGGCACAGGCAACTATTTGAAATTGTTATTCAAGCTTCAGTGAGAGGAAAAATCACATCAAGAGAAACGTAAGTTCCGGTTGTTTAAATAACTATTTAGAGAGCCAGATCCGTAACGTTGTGCTTTCTGCAAGGCATTACCTGATGATATTTAGATACACCAGCCGAGTTGGCAATGCAGGGATAAATTAGTCCTCTATTTTTCTCTTTTTCTCAAGAATTAAGCCCTTAAGAAAGGATGTCACTGCAAAATGCGTAAGTATTGACTCTTGATTAATATTCAGCTCCGGTTGTTTCTTTGAGACTTTAGTGCCTTTTAATTTTTTTGTGTCATTTTTGTACAGATGAGAAGATCATAATTTTTTTCTTATGTTTTTGTTACCTTTTTGTTAATTTTTGCCCAACTGGGTCATTTTTTTTTAACAGTTTTAACTCTTTAACTTGTTTCCGTTCAGGGTAATTTTTTCGTTATGACCTCTGAGATTAGCTTGTTTGTTTTTTCTAATTGATGTCAGTACAGTAATTGTTTTTTCTTTCTAGTATGGTGGTGATGTGACAAGGAAAATGAAACTACTTCGGCAGCAAAAGGAAGGAAAAAAGAAGATGAAAAGGATCGGAAAAGTGGACATACCCCACCATGCCTTTCTGAGTGTTTTAAAAAGATGACGATGACCTATGGACACTTCATTGGCGTTATATAAATCCGTATCCCTTGATTGGCTGTAAAAACCATCTCCGTGAATATATGAAATTCATATATGTGAACTGCTGATTAAGAAATTAATATGGAAGCGATCCTCGCAGTAATGAACACTACTTAAACAGTACTGAAACTTAGGCTAGACAAAAATTCAGGCCGGACAAAAATTCAGGCCTGTACGGCCTGGTTAGTTCATGGGTTCAAATCCCGTACAGGCCTGATTTATTTATTCATCACTTCGCGGGTTTATTACGAACCAACATGATAACCAGTTCCCAGTTACCTTGTTAGCTCAGTTGGTGAAGTACTGTACTACACCGGTATCGCAGAAGTCATGGGTTCAAATCTCGTACAGGCCTGAATTTTTTTTCCAGGCGTTAATTTCACTACTGCTTAAGTAGTGTTCATTACTGTGAAGATCGCTCCCAAATTCAATACCATCTCCATAACGCATCTATTCAAGGATTTTCAGTCGACTAGATGGAATTTTATTGAATAATAATTCATTGTATTAAACTAATTAAAAAAAATGAAATTGTTTTTAACTCTCCTTAGAATAGGACCAGTGTCACGATTGGGCATGCGCATAGAAATACATCAAATTTGAGAAAATAACGTGTGTTTGAAAAGAATCATCCGCGGATGGCAAAGATAGAGAACGATAGAACTCCACAACCAGTTCAGTTCAACTACAGAACCTTGCAAAAATTTGCCGAGGTTTTTTTGCGTGACTGAGCATGCGTCACGGTGACACTGTTCCTTAAACTCGTTTTGTTTTGTCGCCAGCTTTTGTCGGTCAAGGAGTTAACGCGTGCTTTGATGTTGTCTTTAGCCGCTCACCTAGACATTTTTCGCATGCGCAGAAACGCTGTAAGTGACTTTTTGGAAGATATACGACTATTGCGGGGTAATTTTAGACTTTGGCGCCCTTTTCCACAGGAAGCCCAAGGTATAAGAAATTTTAGGCCCCAAAGAGGTGCCATTAGTTGGAAACATGTTTCTCTTTCATAAGTGGTCGGCACTAAAAAGTCTAAAAAAACGCAAAGACATTGTCATTAAGGCGGCCGACAAAGGCGGTGCAGTTGTTGTTTGGCGGGCCGACCTCTATCAAAAAGAAGCTTTGCGGCAACTTTCTGACACCTCCTTTTATGCCAAAGTCGACAAAGACCTCACTTTAATTAATCAAAACATTGTCAAAAATACGATTAACGATCTTACAGCTAAACAAGAATTGCCGGCCACTGCTAAAAATCTCATCATTACCACTCCTAGAACTTCGTGTATTTACTTTTTACCTAAAATCCACAAACCTAACAACCCAGGTCGACCCATCGTTTCTGCCTGTAGTTGTCCCACTGAACTTATTTCCAGCTATTTAGACAAAATTATGGCACCTATCGTCAAAACTCTACCGTCTTACATTAAGGACAGCCAACACGCACTTGAAATTTTTCGTGACTTTAGTTTCCTCGACCAAAACAAACTTATTTTCACCATGGATATAACATCTCTTTTACACTGTCATTCCCAATGATGAAGGTCTCCGGGCCCTCAAACATTTTTTTGATCTACGCATTGTTAAGGAACCTAGCTCTGAAACACTACTCCGTCTGGTCGAACTAGTACTCACACTCAATTGTTTTTCATTCGGTGGTAACTACTACAAACAAACTAATGGCGTGGCCATGGGTACTAAAATGGGACCCAGCTACGCCAATCTTTTTGTAGGTTTTATCGAACATCAATTTTTTGGCCAATACCACGGCCCAAAACCTCAACTCTACGGCCGCTACATTGACGATTGCATCGGCGCTACCTCCTCTACCAAGGAGGAGCTCACTCAATTTATAACCGCCGTCAATTCCTTTCATCCGGCTCTTAAATATACCTGGGAAATTTCCGACACTTCTTTGGCTTTTCTAGACATCAAAATTTCAATTGAAGGTAACGGCTTATGTACTAGTGTTTACTACAAACCTACAGATTCACATAGTTACTTGTTGTATTCATCCTCACATCCATCACACGTCAAGAACTCCATACCTTTTTCACAGTTTCTCAGACTTCGTCGTTTATGTAGTGACGACTCTGATTTTTCCGAAAAATCAGAGGCAATGTGCCAGTTTTTCGATAAGCGCGGCTATCCTGTTTCTGTCGTTCAAGCGGGCTACCACCGTGCCCAACAAATCGATCGACAGGCAGCACTACAAACGGCCGAGAAGGAGAACACTGACCGCATTCCATTTACTCTTACATTTCACCCTCACAACCACGCAGTTAAATCTATCATTCTTAAAAATTTTAAATTACTCCAAAACGATTCAGAGACTGGCACTATCTTTTCGCAACCCCCACTTATTTCATTCAAACGTGACAAAAACATAGGCAACTTTTTAGTCAGGAGTTCATTTCAAACCTATGACCAATCTGGAACTTTTAAATGCGCTCGCTCACGATGCAAAACTTGTCCTTTCATTCATAACGTAGAGAAAATATCGGGACCCAAAAGATCCATTAAGATCATTGATCACTTTACGTGTACCTCCGCCAATGTTATTTACTGCATAACTTGCACTTATTGCAATAAGTTATACATCGGCGAAACAGGAAGACGACTGGGTGACCGATTCCGAGAACACCTTCGCGATGTGGAAAGAAATGACAAGGACGCATCCAAACCAGTCACTAGACACTTTAATCTTCCTTATCATTCTAAACAGCATATGGCAGTTTGCGGCCTTTCCTTACATCTAGGCAGTTCGGAAAGCCGTAAAACACTAGAACAAAAATTTATATTCCAAATCGGCACCCTTAATCCCCACGGAATCAACGAGCGCTTTTCATTCAACCAATTTATTCCTGTTTTCTCGTCACCATATTCCCACCAATGGCGTAGCTCCACTTTCTACATATAAATCCACACGCAACCCACAATTCCTCTAATCGCTCTGACGAAGGGCTAACGCTCGAAACGTCAGCTTTTTTACCCTTTACGGTGGCTAATTTACGTTTTCAACCCAGTTGTTAACGCTAAATTACCTGCTACTTATCGTCTAACGAGTGATCATATGGCTGCAAGGTCTACCGAAAACCGAATTCGACGGCTTCTTTTAAGGTCGCAAGGTTGAGTATTGAACTGGTAGGTGAGTAGTGTAGGACAGCAACCTGTTCGTCTGTAAATCTCACCACCCGTGATAAACACACCTATTCTCAAAGACAAAAGACAACTTGCACCATCGTTAAGCTAGCCTTCATTACGTTCTTAGCTTTGAATTTTACATCAACACGAGAATTCGACATGCCTCGAAGTATTGTCAAGTACTTTCTGATGCTGTGTATTGTCGTAGCATTTGGGATTCTAGTCTTGATTTTTGATCGCCTAATATTTGCATTCAGTGGTCTTCACAACTTTGGTTTGGCTGATGAATCGAAGGCTTTTTATGCAAGTAAAAATTCAGAGAAAAATTTATCGTTGATAACCACGGCAAACTTGGTCGGCAAGGTTCTTCCTGCTAATTCTGTTCGCTCGGAGCGGCTGAAGACTAAAGAGCGTAGGGAAACAAACGAATTGTTTTTGAAAAACAACGGGTCAGCAGCCGCGAACAAAAACCTTCGGCAGAAGCTTCCTGAGGAAAAAGCGCTGGAAAATTTTCAAAATGACTGGTGTCGAATGCAGCGAGCTCGTTTGGAGTGGAAAGATGTTCTTCGTCCATGTTGGAATTCAACTGTTTGGGGGGCGCCAAGCAGGTTTGGAATCAATCAAATGAGTGATCCACAAAAGAGTTATATTTCACAATGGGATATTAAACCGTCCGGCGACTTTAGCCGATTTTTTATTCAGTCGGTGTCAGTTAACAATGAATTGAAGACAATTGGGGGAGATTCTTGGAGAATTCACCTTCATGGGCCCTCGTCTTTAGCTCCAACAGTCATCGACCTTAATAACGGAAGCTATGAGGTTTTATTTCTTATGCTCGAGGAAGGTGAATACGAAGCAAAAATATTCCTGGATTACAGCCTCTGTCATGGCTTCAAAGACCCACCTCCACATTGGTTTAGGAAAGGTAACAAACGGATACCAATTGTTTTATGCACATTACCCTCTATAAGATCTTCGCTCTCGTGACCTTAAAGAGGCTCTGTCAGGCCATTAGTTTGCGCACTGAGCTCTTTCACTTTAACATATAGGTGTTAGGTCGCAGATTAGTCCCTATTGTAACAGATACGAAGCAGAACGCGTGGTGTTAAGCCGGAATTGGTCTCTTACTGTTGTGTTTTGTTATCAAACTGAATTTCGTTGATTCCAAACTAGGGAAGGGGGGAGGGTGAGAGTTTATTGTCAATCCTCTTACAACTGTGTTACAACCGTTACAAGTCTCTCCTGCTCTTTCAACATTAAAGCTTACTCATATTTAAGGCAAAGGAATAAATTACAATTTTCTGTTCCATAGGGATGTTTATTATGCATGGGTTAGTGATTTCAGCTGTTTAGATCAAATGAAGTCCCGAGTTGTTTGTGAATGAAAAAAAAATTTTCTTTGAAAAGATCATATAAAAAAAGAACCTCCGGCCAGGAAAGAACGCGTCAATCAATGAGTAAACAGATAGTATCTGTGATCGAATTTGCATCCAGAAGACGAAAACGGAGAACAAAAGGTTTGAAAATATGACAAAGATAAGAAAAGGAACCAAGTTTTGATGAGTTCAGCAAATTCACGAATTTGTGACTTGGAGATGTAAGGTGTGAGGTATTTACAGCTTAAAACAAACTGAGGTTCTCTCATCCGAAGGTGAAAATAATACACCTGAAAAAACTCTGTGACAGCTACACAAATACAGGGTATATCTTTCCTTGGCACAGTTTAAATTGAAAGAAAGACTAATTGTTCCCCGAACTACTGTTCGTCCAAAAGATTAAGACAGTACAGTCTTACATCTTATTTACGATCTTATAGTGCAGGAAAGTTGCTTGATCTTATCAAGCCTTATTTTATTATTATCATGATTAAATGTATCTGTCACTGGAGTACGTCACCAAGTGAAATGAGTATTGAATAATTCATACGCAACACCCTTTAATTAAGCCCTAAATTGTCCCATAAATTATATGATGAATAAACCTTAACTTAAGAGATATGTTGATAAATAGAGCCAATAACCCTAAATAACCTTACGCTTGATAAAAGTTATTTTTGGGACTTTTTAAAAATTCTCCTACAGTTTGATGCGTGGTGCAATTTCCGCTTCGATCGTATTGTATCATCGAGTCACGTCTTGCAGTATTTCTAAGATTATTGAGGCTACAGTGCTGAGAAACATTTCTTAGGCCAAACTTTGGACCCCACCCGTCAGGAATTCCTGAATGCACCTCTGCGCAATTCGGCTCGAATACAAACGCCGTAAGTTGACCTTCTTCACCTCCAGTTCCGCGGTCCAGTTCTACAATTGCGATTTGTTTTTCTCCTGCACCGGAAGTCTAGTACGCCATCTACTTTTTAAATTTTTCTCTTTCAGGTAATCCACAAGGTAAAAACCAACCCGACGGCATCTTAAAGGGGGACAGGCCATTCCTGATCGCTCTATTTCGGGGAAAAGAAAAAGTGACATTTACTGTTCCTCCATCGAAAAAAAACCAGGGTCACAGTGAGTAGAAAGAGATAAGAGCTCTTCTCATTTGATGTTTGCCTATTATTTCATTGTTCCGGAAGGGATAAAATCGAATTGATCAAGTTCTTTTAGGGAGTGTGTGTCAATTAATCCATTAATTGACACATTAAATCAATCAAGTCGTCCATCCTCTGCTTTCTCTAATTTTGTGGCGTTACGTGGCCACAGGGAATGTCTTACAAATTCTGCGACGTGGGTAGGAGGAAAAAAAAAATCTGCAGCGGTGTTTTTCGATGTTGAATCTCGCCTTCTAATTAAATCAACAGAGAGAAAACTAATGAAGAAAAATGATTTTCATTATCATTGTTTTAAGTAATTCAACTATTACCTCGATCCATAGTCGAAACTTTGGTGAAAAAAGTTTCCACAAAAGATTCCAGCTTCCGTCAATTTACATGTGACTCGTCATGTGGAACTTTCCTCTGGGATGGTTTTGGTCGATGGGTGAACGGCCGATGGAAGCCTTACATCAAAGGTACTTTATATTGAAACATAAAACTAAAAATATTGATATTATTACCTGTTTGCTCTTTTTCTTTCCTCCTTCTCATTCTCTCTGACTGCAACATCTGCGACATCACGGAAGAAGTGGTGAGCTTAACTTGATGGTTTCCGCGCCAATTAACTGCTATTCGGGGGGGGGGGGGGATCATAAGATATTACAGAGCCTTGTGGGAATCAGGTAAATTTTTTCGTGACACAACCTCCCCTCCCCTCCCCAGGCGATGGCAGGTCCTTTGGTGGATCTTTAGACGAGAGGTCTGGGTTCTAGCTCTGGTCGTGTCTTTATGTTGTGTTCTTGGGAGAATATTGCTACTGAGACCACTGCAGGCTCTGACGATGAACGCTACTTATTCCGAATGATGGTTGTTTCTGTCATCTTGTATGTGATATTGAACTTATGTTTTTTATAAAACCTTTAGATACCATACACAAAGACAGACGCAATAAAGAAGGAATGTTCTTTTCGTTCGGAGACTCGATCTCGAACGCTTTTATGAGCTCACTAACGTCCGGTCCATACAGTGGGCTTTGTAAAGTGGTCTTTGGAAGTTGCCAGAGTGTCTATCACTGGGTGTATGATATGCAGGGGTACTGGGGCGATGGCGTGAAATCACCAAGGGAACCGGTACCAGATGAACGGGATTACGACCACGAGCGAGTTATAAGTGACGTCAAAAAAGTAAGCCCCACCCCAGGCACTGTGACAGGAAATCGTGATCAAGTTTGTTGTTTGCGCATTTCCGTTGATTGTATTCAGAAATAAACCAAAAGAATCACAACAGCCAATAGGAACTCAAATTAAAACAATTAAATTGCTTGTAGCGCGATAAAACTTGAGTATCCTCCGCGATTGGTTTTAGCCTTGGATCTGATCTGACTGGTTGAGATAGTGGCGCAAGGCATTTTGGCCTATTATTGGCAAAAAGAAGTAAAGCGAAACCACTCAATTGAAAATTTCTTTACTTTACATTCTACATTGAATAGCTCATACTCTTCGTGCAATTAAGAGCTGTTTGAATGATTTCCAATTTTGACTTAAATGTTTTGGTAGGGAACATCATTTTACTACGAAACTCCTCGTATTTGCGTATTTATTCGTACAAGTTGTTGCTACATACTCGGCTCATAAATCACAATTCTTTCAAATGTACTATCATTTCACTTTTCCCTTTTAGACGCTTTATAATCCAGCTATGACTGAAAAGAGTGTTCTTTTGATGAACATGGGCATACATTTTGCTGCTGCAGTGAACTTCACAAATTACAGACGACTTATCGATGATCTAATAAGACTTGTTACTGAAGGCAAAGGACAGCCAAAGCTTCACAATGAAAGTACAACAAGCATTTTTAAGGGCAGATTTATATGGAAGACCTCTACTGCTCTGAACAGAGAGCGTTTTCCGAATCCTCACAAAGACGTTCGTCGATTTTTAACTTTCCAGCGCGTGTTACTCTACAATGCGTATGCCACTTCTGCTATGTGCCGCGCTGGTATTGACGTCATCGACGTTTATCCAATCAGCGATTCGTATCCAGCTGGCACTATTTCACTGACGGACCCAGTTCACTATGGTGGTCACGTGTTTAGGGACGTGGAAGCATTATTATATAAGGTGTTCAGTCCGCAGGATTCTTAGGGTCTTGGGGTAAAGGGGGGGGGGGGGGGAGGCGTGCTTGCTGTGTTTGTTGAGTTATCTCGCTCGTTACTACACACGTTCTATCTTTATTTTTTACATAACATATAATTTAAAAAAAAAAAAGAAATGCTATATGCTATTTTCTATGTTGACTGTCAAAAATGGGACTCTTTGGGTGTCTCTGGCGCTCTAGTCCTCCTCAAAAAAGTTTAACTCTACGTTTTTCAATCCACTCATTCAAATTAATTAGTTTTTTAACTGACTGTTGTGAGACGAAAATTTTGGGATGTGGGCCAGAGACCGTTGATTTAATATAACTGTTAAGTTTAAATTACTTGTGTATTGTCTCAGTCACTTTTCAAAGCTTTCTTATGTTTCCACACTTCAAGGGTCTGGATCTAGTTTAACTACGGGTGGATAGACACAATCGTTTCCAGTTTATCCACCTAGATCTCCGCCGAAGTTACTCAATTAAAGGCTGGAAGAGATTGTGAGCCAGCAATCTCGTAAAGTGGCTATTATGTCAGTCTCGTTTGAGATTTTGGGGTTTCATCGAGGAAAAAAAATTGACCACTCCTTAATGAGACTTTTGAGGGCCTAAATATACACAGTGCAACAGATATTCCAAATAAATGTAAACTGGTTTAAATCCCGACTGACAGGAAGTGGACCAGTTGGTTACTTTGAGAGTGCAGCTGAGGTGTTGAATTCAAAGTAACGGAGAATATCGCAATTTTTAAGCGATTTTAGCTTTTTTATCGTATTTTATCTGCTAATTTTATCATATGTTCCATATTTTTTTGGTGAAGTGCACGCGATCATTACGTCAAGTAGCATGCGCAATATAAGCTAATAAATTATTGCTATTATTATTTTTATTATTATTATTTAAAAATAAAAACGTTGAGTGGTAGCGTGGGAACCTGGACCTGAAAGAGATAACCGGGCTTAAGATCCAGCACTCTAACCACTCGAGAACACTGTCTCCTAAATTATTGTAATAATGTAATAACTTTATGATAAATTTGTCGTCAATCATGTTCAGGTGTCAGGTGGAGATCTGCTGCTTGTTAATTCTCTTTGTCCTCGTTAGGCAGAGGATGAGTTCTAACTGTTAAGAACAAGCAATGTTTCAAATTAAAACCGTACAAGAGAGCACGTTCTCAAGAGGGGAATATGGTTTAACCTTTGCTCATGCTATAATTAGTTTGTTCAGACTGTTTCTTTCGGGCTATAGCTTTGTGCGGCGTATTTGCGACAATTGCCTCCTGAAACGCTCTCCTGAGGACCAAAGACATAGATATTTTCTTTCCAAATAATAGGAGGCACCATGCATGGCAACAGAAAAATTACTTCTTAAGATCCGTCCAGATCACGGCCAGGGGTATCTAAGATTCCCTGAGAGAGTATACCAGGCAAATTGATCTTTCTGGAACCCCCTAATGCAACCCGCTAGTTCTCACCACTAAAAACTTTTAGCACCCATCAAAGAAAATTCAGGTATCAGATTGGCCTAATCATCTATCCTCGTCATAATAAATCTTAAAGTTATGGTCTTCTAACCAGCACAAGACAAACTGGGAGGTGATTATTACACCACATCCTTTTCCTGCCAGTAAAGGAAGCGGTCAGACTTACCATGACGATGGCAATAGTAAACCCTTATGATGATGAGTGGAACAAAAATCGCAGCAGCCAATGCTATTCCGATCGCGGCAACTGGTGGTAAGGATTTCTTCGACGCTACAATTAATCGAAAAAATTAAGTTTTAAATTTTGCAATATAATTCACTATTTTTAAAGATATTTACTAGGTCTTTTGCTTGGAACTAGTCACTGGAAGAGCAAATTATTCAAACGATGTCTTCAGCGATTAGGGGTCAGGTTACAAGTCGACCGCTGAAGGTTACCATAATCCAGAATATTCCACGCAAAGAAAATTCACAGGGTACTTACTACTTCTCTCTCCCGATTCATTTGCAGTTTTCAATACAAATGTCGTCGCCGGTTGACTTGTCGATATTGCTGGTCTGGGAAAAGATACTGAATATTCCGCTTCAAATCCACGATCAACTGTTTCTCCAGGATGGAACTTCACAAACATTTGGTTTCCAGACGAGAACTGAGGCTGATTCCAGGTCGACCCCGGACAAAATCGCCTTAGTGAAGGCGAACTTATTGACCCACCATCATAAAGCTCCACATAAGAACAAGAGTCCGAACAAGGACTGGCTGAACACTCACTTAACACAAAGTCTGTAAACGTAAACTTTACTATTTTGTCAGCTGGCGCGGTAATGTTCCAGGTACAATTTATGGACGCAGTGTAGTTACTCTTTGGGTAGTTTGTGCTGCTTATTTTGCCGCTGCCTGAGAGAGGAATTGCTTCCTTTTGGAAAAACTATAAACAATGAAAAAGGAGTATATGAGTTTGGGAGAAAAATCATGGATTGGTGTGGAAGAGAAGCTACGCATATGGTATTTCAAAAGGAGATTGGCTTTGGGCAATGCGCAGTTCCAAAAAAGGGACCTGCTATCTGATGGCCTGTGAAGAGGATGGAGGAGTTTAATAGGGAAACCATCATGGTTTTCATGTGGAGTAGAACGAGTCAGTCGTCGCCAACAGAGTATAAATGGGAAACATTACAAAGTTAACTGCAAATTAGCTGCCACGAAAGGAGGAATATAAAAATATTACAGAACATCAGAGATCAGGTAAATTTTTTTCGTTAAACAACCAAAATGCTCCACTCCCCCTCCCCTCCGTGGTGATGATTAATTACCGTTCTTTTATAGGTAGAAGAAAAGAGTATATGTCTTTCATAAATTTTTATGGCAGTTGAGTCAGTTGATACGATCGACTTAGATGTACCAAAGTTATTTTTGCTACTTACTTGGAGGACTGTAGTTCAACAGCCTGTAAGTTGCCCTAAATCCGTCATAATCCATATTTGCATCATCGGACACAAACACCACCCTCAAGCTTTCGTGCAGTGAATAAAACTTTACAGGAATAAACCATGGTGTACCACATAGTTTTCCAGGTAGCACTTCATCACTGAAGCTATTCTGAACTTCCATATAATCACACGAGCAAGCAGCGCCATCACAACGTTCAAGATTATAGTCTGGTATTGTGAGCTCAACACGGTATCCTTGTTTCCCCATAATCTTCCAGCTACATGTCTGGTTGAATGGATAGTTTCTTGGATTAAAGGGAGAGGAGAAAGAACCTGATGTTTCATCGAGGATCATATCTGTAGGAAACACTGAAAAAAGGAACAAAGACTGTGTCAGGCTTCGAAAACTGTTTTTGTTTTGAGTTTAAACTTTACTGCGGTCAGCTGCTTTATTTTCAATACTGCCTTCAGCTCATTTTCCATATGCTGACGGGTTTAAACATAAATCAGTGTAATGAACATATTTCAACACATTCAATTATTTTTTCTCCGGACAATAGCTGTTCATAGATCGTCTACCTCATTAGTTTCAGGTTATACTCAACAAACTTTTCGCTTAGTTCAATAGGGTACATGCTCAGTACACTTCTATGCTTCCTTCATAAACTACTATAGAACAAAAGCTCTTACGTAAATCTCCATCTATTGCCTCAAAGGTTGCATTGAACCCTTTGTTTACAAGGCCGGTGCGAGATTCAAATCTCACTTGAATGAAGTTTCCCTCGGAGTACACAGGGGGGGGAAGCTTTTGACCACAGATCTTAAAGTCGTTAGGATTTCCTCCATGAGAGGCAACATTTGTGATAAAGACTCGGGCACTATCTGCTGCCGCACCAGCACAGTCATCGTTTTCATCTGCTACCAGGGTAAAGCTCAAGAAGGTCAGTTTGATGATTTTCCCACCAGGCACCGTGATATTCCAGGTAAAAATCCTACTTGTGTCATAGTTGTCGGGAAAATTGGGGCTGGAAATGTGACCACTAGTAGCATTAATGGTTTCTCCAATAGGGTTGGAGGCTGAAAAAGAGAGGAGTTTTCATTCACTTTTTTTATATTTTTAATAACCGGACACCAAACAGTTCCAATGAAAGGGGGTCTCAATAGGGTGATAGCTTTGACGGCTAACGCTAAAAACTTAAGCGATTCTACGGCTAACGCGAACGGTTAATATCATTCCATTTTTGTACTAGAATTTATTTTTTAACGGTTAACATTGTTGACGACTAACGGTTTAAGTCTGTCAATTTTTACGCCTACTGGGTCAATTTTTTGGCCGTTTTACGGCTATCGGTTGGCATGAGAGAGAGTAACTCAGAGTGATCGTGGTGAGCGGCGAAAGTCTATCTGTCTCTTAAAGATATAGAAGTATGAAATACGTTGAAAGTTGGGGCATGGTTGGTTTCGTAACGCGTCAAGACCAATTTCGCGCAAGAAAAATATTTGATGATTGTAAAAAAGGATATTCTGAATAAACTTCACAGGGTACTCACCATCGGTCCTTGTGTATTCATATTTCGCCTCAAATCCACGATCAACTGTTTGTCCAGGATGGAACATCACAAACATTTGATTTCCAGTCGACAACTGAGGCTCATTCCAAGACGACCCCTGGCAAAATCGTCCCAGCGAAGGCGAACTTGTTGACCCACCATCATAAAGCTCCACATAAGAACAAGAGTCTGAACAAGGACTGGCTGAACATTCACTTAAGACAAAGTCAGTAAACGTAAAGTTTACAATGTTGTCAGCTGGCGCGGTAATGATCCAGGTACAATTTCTGGACGCTGTGTAGTTACTCTTTGGGTAGTTTGTGCTACTTATTTTGCCGCTGCCTGAGAGAGGAATTGTTTCCTTGGGACAAACTGTGTACAATAAAAAAAAGCATGTGAGTGTGGGAGAAGAAGCATAGGCTGTTCCGGGTGTTCAGTTGGTAAAACGCAATGCCATATTGAACTGCACGAGAGTAACAGAGGAGTGAAAAAACGAGGGAGGGGTGGATCATGTTGTGTTATCAAGTTCTTCTTTTTCCTACCAGACCCAAACCTCACTCTCTTTTTTGCTACGCCACTACTATTTTGCCTCTGTCTGTTTCGCTCTGTTTGACTAACTAGAACTCTTGGAATAGGCCAGAGTGAATATGGATTGGTGATAGATATATGGTTTCTTTCACAGATGCCGTCAAAATCCACACGGTAAGAACAAAGAAGTTGCACACGAGGCGCAGCCAAGTGTCACTGATGACCACAGTTTGATATCATCTGGCATCTCTTTCTCAACAGACACACGGCAATGTGGAATCTAATTGTTTCATATACGGTGAAGAAGCAAGCTGTTGTAAATGGTGAGGTTATTTATGCCTCTGTTCTCCAATAGCTGATAAATAACAACCAATCGAAATGCTTACCATCTAACTGTTGATTCAAAGTCTATAGAAACCAAAGCGGCTCAAAACCATACCCTTTACAGTGATATATTCCAGTATGGCTTTTACAAGGGAGAAGCCCCAAGGCAATAATATGAATATTTGAAACTCGTTACAGTGACCAATTTAAATTGTCAACTCAGTTAATGAAACCAAATTATCTTCTTATACTCCGCGACCGACGCAGCACCACAGTTTCTTTGGAAACCTACTACCTTTATTCAATTAAGGTTGGCATGGCTTCCCAGTACATCACCGCTTACACTATACATCAGAGATGTTCGCATTCACCCTGAGTTGATAACAGAGAGAACCTCCACTCTTATTGACTAAGCTCCTTATTATTACTTGCGTGGGTGAGTTTATTGCATGTAACACATTCTCTCAGCGAACTCTTAGATCTTAGGAAGTTGTTTTCTCTACTTACTTGGAGGACTGTAGTTCAACAGCTTGTAAGTTGCCCCAAATCCGTCATAATCCATGTTTGTATCATCGGACACAAACACCACCCTCAAGCTTTCGTGCAGTGAATAAAACTTTACAGGAGGAAACCTTGGTGTACCACATAGTTTTCCAGGCAGCGCTTTATCACTGAAGCTATTCTGAACTTCCATATAATCACACGAGCAAGCAGCGCCATCACAACGTTGAAGATTATAGTCTGGTATTGTGAGCTCAACACGGTATCCTTGTTTCCCTGTAATATTCCAGCTACATGTCTGGTTGAATGGATAGTTTCTTGGATTAAAGGGAGAGGAGAAAGAACCTGATGTTTCATCGAGGATCATATCTGCTGGGCACACTGAAAAAAGGAACAAAGACTGTGTCAAGCTTCAAAACGTATTTTAGTCTTAATTTTACACTCCACTGTGGTTAACTGGTTGATTTTTAATACCTACAGCTCCTTTTTCGTATGTTGACGGGTTTAAACATAAATCAATGTAACGGACATGAAATATAAACAGCTTGCGTCCGAGTGAAAGGCTTGAATACATTCAATTTTCTTTCTACAGACTACAGCTGTTCATAGATTGTCTACCTCATTATTTTCAGGCTATACTCAGCAACGTTGTTGCTTAGCTCAATAATGTATATGCTCGGTACACCTCTATACTTCCTTCATAAAGTACCCCTGAAGAAAAAGCTCTTACGTGAATCTCCATCTATTGCCTCAAAGGTTGCATTGAACCCTTTGTTTAGAAGGCCGGTGCGAGATTCAAATCTCACTTGAATGAAGTTTCCCTCGGAGTACACAGGAGGGGGAAGCTTTTGACCACAGATCTTAAAGTCATTAGGATTTCCTCCATGAGAGGCAACGTTTGTGATAAAGACTCGGGCACTATCTGCTGCCGCTCCAGCACAGTCATCGTTTTCACCTGCTACCAGGGTAAAGTTCAAGAATGTCAGTTTGATGATTTTTCCACCGGGCACCGTGATATTCCAGGTACAAATCCTGCTTGGGTCATAGTTGTCGGGAAAATTGGGGCTGGAAATGTGACCACTAGTAGCATTAATAGACCCTCCAGGTGGGGTGCAGGCTGAAAAATAGAGAAGTGTTCATTCACTTTTTTATATTTTTATTACTGGGCACCAAACAGTTCCAATGAAAGAGGGTCTCAACAGGGTGATGGCTTTTACGGCTACCGGTTAAAATTGTGGCCATTTTACGGCTACCGCGTACAGTTAATGTCATTCCATTTTTGTACGATAAATTTGTTTAAACGGTTAACATTGTTTACGACTAACGGTTAAAATCTGTCAGTCTTTACGCCTAACGGGTAAATTTTCTTGGTCGTTTTACAACAATCGGTTTATACCATTGAGACCCTCGTGAAACAGAAATGTTAAATACGTCTTCTTTCAAAAGAAGGCGAGAGTAACTCAGAGTGATCGTGGTGAGCGGCTAAAGTCTGTCTGTCTTTTAAAAGTATAGAAGTATAAAATAAGTTGAAATTTGGGCCATAGTCGGTTGCGTATAACGTCAAGAGCAATTTCGCGCAAGAAAAATATTTGATGATTGTAAAAGAGGATATTCAGAAGAAACTTCAAAGGGTACTCACGATCGGTCGTTGTGGATTCATATTTTGCTTCAAATCCACGATCAACTGTTTGTCCAGGATGGAACATCACAAACATTTGATTTCCAGACGACAACTGAGGCTTATTCCAAGACGACCCCTGACAAAATCGCCCCAGCGAGGGCGAACTTGCTGACCCACCATCATAGAGCTCCACATAAGAACAAGAATCTGAACAAGGACTGGCTGAACACTCACTTAACACAAAGTCAGTAAACGTAAACATTACAATTTTGTCAGCTGGTGCGGTAATGTTCCAGGTACAATTTATGGACGCAGTGTAGTTACTCTTTGGGTAGTTTGTGCTGCTTATTTTGCCGCTGCCTGAGAGAGGAATTGCCTCCTTGGGACAAACTGTAAACAATGAAAAAGGAGCATGTGAGTGTGGGAGAATAAACATAGGCTGTTCCGGGCGTTCAGTTGGTAAAACGCAATGCCACATTGAAAAGCGAGAGAGTAGCAGAGGAGTGAAAAAACGAGGGAGGGGTGGATCATGTTGTGTTATCAACGTCTTCTTTTTCCTACCAGACTCAAACCGCACCCTCTCTTTCACTACGCCACTACATTTGTCTGTTTTGCTCTGTTTGACTAACTAGAACTCTTGGAATAGGCCAGAGTGAACATGGATTAGTGATAGATATATGGTTTCTTTCGCAGATGCCGTCAAAATCCACACGGTAAGAACAAAAAAGTGGCACGCAAGGCGCAGCCAAGTGTCACTGATGACCACAGTTTGACGTCATATGGCATCTCTTCCTGAACAGACACACGGCAATATGGAATCTAATTGTTTCATATACGATGAAGAAGCAAATTGTTATAAATGGTGATGTCATTTATGCTTCTGTTCTCCAATAGCTGATAAATAACAACCAATCGAAATGCTTACCATACTAACTGTTGATTCGACTAATGGTCAAAGTCTATACAAACCAAAGCGGCTCAAAACCATACCCTTTACAGTGATATATTCCAGTATGGCTTTTATAAGGGAGTAGCCCCAAGGCAATAATATGAATATTTGAAACTCGTTACAATGATCAATTTACATTATCAGCGCAGTTAATGAAACCAAATTATCTTCTTATGATCCGCGACCGACGCAGCACCACAGTTTCTTTGGAAACTTACCACCTTCATTCAATTAAGGTTGGCATGGCTTCCCAGTACATCACTGCTTACACTATACATCAGAGATGTTTGAATTCACCTGGAGTTGATAACAGAGAGAACCTCCACTCTTAATAACTAAGCTCCTTATCATTACTTGGATTGGTGAGTTTATTGCATGTAAAATATTCTCTCAGCGAACTCTTAGATCTCACCAAGTTGTTTTCTCTACTTACTTGGAGGACTGTAGTTCAACAGCTTGTAAGTTGCCCCAAATCCGTCATAATCCATGCTTGTATCATCGGACACAAACACCACCCTCAAGCTTTCGTTCAGTGAATAAAATTTTAAAGGAATAAACCATGGTGTACCACATAGTTTTCCAGGCAGCGTTTTATCACTGAAGCTGTTCTGAACTTCCATATAATCACACGAGCAAGCAGCGTCATTACAGCGTTGTAGATTATAGTCTGGTATTGTGAGCTCAACACGGTATCCTTGTTTCCCCATAATCTTCCAGCTACATGTCTGGTTGAATGGATAGTTTCTTGGATTAAAGGGAGAGGAGAAAGAACCTGATGTTTCATCGAGGATCATATCTGCTGGGCACACTGAAAAAAGGAACAAAGACTGTGTCAAGCTTCAAAACGTGTTTTGTCTTAAATTTTTAATTTCCACTGTGGTTAACTGGTTGATTTTTAATACCTACAGCTCCTTTTTCGTATGTTGACGGGTTTAAACATAAATCAATGTAACCGACATGAAATATAAATAGCTTGCGTCCGAGTGAAAGGCTTGAATACATTCAATTTTCTTTCTACAGACTATAGCTGTTCAAAGATTGTCTACCTCATTATTTTCAGGCTATACTCAACAACATTGTCGCTTAGCTTAGCTTCCTTCATAAAGTACCCCTGAAGAAAAAGCTCTTACGTGAATCTCCATCTATTGCCTCAAAGGTTGCATTGAACCCTTTGTTTACAAGGCCGGCACGAGATTCAAATCTCACTTGAATGAAGTTTCCCTCGGAGTATACAGGAGGGGGAAGCTTTTGACCACAGATCTTAAAGTCGTCAGGATTTCCTCCATGAGAGGCAACGTTTGTGATAAAGACTCGGGCACTATCTGCTGCCGCTCCAGCACAGTCATCGTTTTCGCCTGCTTCCAGGGTAAAGTTCAAGAAGATCACTTTGATGATCTTCCCACGGGGTACTGTGATATTCCAGGTACAAATCCTGCTTGGGTCATAGTTGTTGGGAAAGTTGGGGCTGGAAATGTGACCACTAGTAGCATTAATGAATTCTCCAGGAGAGATGCAGGCTGAAAAAAAAGGTATCTTTCAGTTACTCCCTTGGTTTCTTATTGCAAACAAAAGAATTTAAGGAAATAGAAATCGAAAATTTATTGCAAATTAGCACCTTCGATACCATATCTTTACTAAAAATGAGAATTCTAGTTGACTTAAGACGAAAACTGTCGATTAAAATGTAGACATGTAAGACGAACATTTATACTTACGATCACTTGTCACCAGAGTCAGGGAGGCAACTGCAACAAATACAAAGAACGAACATGTGAACACGTGTCTCAACGTAAGTAGTAGAAACAGTTCATCCCAGATGCTAAAAAGTTTGAGGTCATCTGAGCAAAAGGGGACAGCATATAAAACTCCCTAAGCTGCGATAGCTCTATTTATACCACAAAGAATTCTGAGCTGATTTTTAACTTGTTAATATCTCATATTTTCTGAGCCTCTTTAACACCCGCTTAAACTGATCTGAGGCAAACTGATTAAATTTTTATGTGTGCGTGTGAGACATCAAAAAATACGTATGTGACGCGTGAATTTAACGGAAAGAAGAGCGAGATTCGTGAATTTATGAACAAGCGTGAGGCGTGATTTGTCACCTGAAACTTACTAGAAAAGTAAGTAGTTGACTTAGGGATAACATTGATATAAATAAGAAATAGTAGAGCTCCTAATATGGATCCTTAAAGTACACCAGAGAAGACAGGATGGAAATCAGACTTAACGCCATTAACTTATAGAATTATTGTTACCTACTGCATACGTAAGATCTGAAAGAAGTGTTGGATTTGATGGTCAATTTTTTGATATTGAAGTCTCGAAACTCAGAGTTATCAATGTGAGTGGAAAAAGTATTTGTACAACCGTTTGAAAACATCTTGGTATAATCGTTGATATCTTAATTGTAAAACAAAATTCCAGTGTCGTAAATAACACCTTGTAAGAATACAAGTACAGCGACTGAAATCATATGGTGTACCGTGGATGAAATTGTGTCGGTTTCGGATTTTACTGAATCTAGTATTATCAGGAATTTTTCGTATTCATGGCTCCTGGTGTAAAATAAAAAACTAGGACATAAAAGTCACCTGTTGGCAAAACTTCATACGTGAATCGCTATTTTTAATGAATGTGCAGTCAGGTGAAAATGTTGAAATATACTTGCTGGCGTTGTCGTCATATTTTATCATCAATTGTTGATGTTAACTTCCTCTCGTGTCAGAAAGAACTTATTCATCGATTTAACGTTTTCTGTCTATTTGAGTGTAAGAATCAAATCTCCATTTGCGTGTGACGGTATAAAACGATTTGATATTCATTGAAATAAAGTAGCCTAAGAATGCAAAGTACCTTTATTCATGTCTAAACCTATTCTGCGAACGATCTACTATCAGTTTGGGCATGAATTGACCTTTAATTTGACTCGCACGGTTTGATTATTAGCGATTAGAAGTCGGCAGACAGAGCAAAATCAAGTTCAGAATAATAGTTCAAACCTCTGTCCTGTAAAAGCAAACAGATGTGACTTCTAGATGCATTTGTTGTACGTATGATCAGTGAAGTGAAATTTGCGTATTAATCATTCGCATGAAAGAACTCTCACTCACCAAAAAATGTAGTCAAGATCCAGGTTGAAATCATGGTGGTATTCAAACTTCTTGTTCTATTTGAACGAAGCTCGATCTTCTTCACGCGGAAGAATCGACGAGGTCGAAATCAACAAAGCGACATAAGTCAGTTGTGTTTCGTATTTAACCGCGGAAATATGGAAGCAAGCAGAAAGACAACAGACCGAATAAAGGCTAGTGTGACGTTGACGTCATTGATGAGTCTGCATCATTTAAAAAAGTTTAAATAAAAGAAATGAAAGAGCATAGAAATTCTCTAAATGCTGTACAAGCTCTGAAAACCCCACTGCCACTTCACAGAATTGTCATTGAAATTTATGAAAAAAGCTTCTGTTCAACAATTACCAACCAAAAAGAGACTTTACGCAATATTCATCAAAGCGAGAAGAAATGATATGACTTCCTGTTGGCTCCCGACAGTGCGTTTTTTAAACACCCTCCCCTCCCACTTTTCCCGTCCCAAAAATTGCGACACCAGGTTTCACAAAGTGTTCATCCGATCTCGAAATCTCGTTAGCTTTTGCCTCAATGACTTTCTTTCAGTGCTTTTCGTTTCAGCCTCGAAGTCTCTCATTTCTTCAAAGTTTTGGGTTTGTTCTTATAGACGAGGGTCTCCTTCAAAAGGCAGCGAGAGTAATGTGTCGATCAAGTGGAAGTTTCAACATCTTCCCGGGTATACCCCAGGGCATTTGAACTTTTGAAAATTGATTTATTCAAATCCTCCTCCCCTGCCGAGCCAAGATGGTGTTCAAATGTCTTACTCAAGTGCTGGATTTAATAGTAAATTTTTTAATACGAGGCAAAATCGGCGACCGTAACTTTCTTCTCATTGACCAAGCTTTAAAATTTATCAGTAACTTGTAGACCTCTTCTTCTGAGCCATCCGCCCGCGAACGTGAACTCTGTACCTTTAACACCCTCTATAATAAGAGATAAAACCTTGTCTTCCGCTAGAAAGACTTGTCACTTTCGGTTCAAATTCTCCCCCGGGGACGGACGACAGTCAAATATTCTCGGGTTACCTAGTGGGGATATTGAAGTTTCAAAACTCAGAGTTATCAATGTGAGCGGAAAAAGTATTTTTACAACCGTTTGAAAATATCTCGGTATAATTGTTGATATCATACAAGAAACAAATGTAAAAGAGCGAATCTTAACAGTAAAACAAAATTCCAATGTCGTAAATAACACCTTGCAAGAATCCGAGTACAGCGACTGAAATCATATGGTGGACTGTAGGTGGAATTGTGTCGGTTTCGGAATTTACTGTCTTATCAGGAATTTTTCATATTCATGGCTCCTGGTGTAAAAATAAACAGTCACCTGTTGGCAAAACTTCATACGTGAATCGCTATTTTAAATGAATGTGCAGTCAGGTTAAAATGTTCAGTGATATATACTTGCCGGCGTTGTCGTTATATTTTATCATCAATTGTTGATGTTAACTTCCTCTCGTGTCAGAAATAACTTATTCATCGATTTAACGTTTTCTGTCTATTTGAGTGACAGAAACAACTCTCCACTTAACTTACATATAGAGAGAGGTGGTTTAAATGAGTCACTGCAATACGGATGAGTTTAATTATTTTTGAATTTGCGAATCTTTGGCTCGATGCGTTAGACGAGGGTCAAGTCTACCCTTGGGTACACCGATGGAGATTGATTTTACTAGTGCATATTTTCACAACCCACTCCCCCTGTGCAGCAAAATTGTCACTCCGATAATTTTCTCGATCAGTTACAAGCTTTTCCGCCCCTCAGGACTACCAGTTACTCAGGACTTTTATTTGATGCTTAATGGAAAAGTTGACCCGAAACAATGGACCATTTCTTGATACGAAACGATTCAATATTCCTTGAAATAAAGTAGCCTAAGAATGCAAAGTACCTTTGTTCATGTTTACACCTGTTCAGCGAGCGATCAAGTGTTTTGAATTCCTCAATGAGCATGACTTGGCATTTAATTTGTCTCGTACGATTTGACAAGAATTACCTCCCTTTGTTGCACGTATGATCAGTGAAGTGAAATTTGCGCATTAATCATTCGTATGAAAGAATTCTCACTCACCACAAAATGTAATTAGTATCCAGGCTGAAATCATGATGGTACCAAACTTCTTGTTCTATTTTAACGGAGCTCGATCTTCTTCACGCTAAAGAATCGATGAAGTCGAAATTAACAGAGCGACATAGGTCAGTTGTGTTTCATATTTAACTGCGGAAATACGAAAACAAGCTGAAAGGCAACAGACGGAATAAAGGCTAGCGAGACCTTGACGTCATTAACGAGTATGACAATTTCAGTTCTTCAGTCATAAGATAATGGTATGTACGAAGAGGTCGACACAAAATGCTGTATGCTTTCGACATAAAGAGTTTCATTTGGATAATTCTTCTGCGAGAGTTTAAATGAAAGAAAAAAGAAGCGAGATATTAGAGGGGAGGAGAGGAATCCCACTTGGCTCCCTCTCGTCCGCGAGATATGGTCGTCCTCGAGGTATGGTCGTAAGCGCATTGCATTTCTATTAAAAAAAAAAGCGAATTCCAAACCTTTTATACTGTTGTAAATTTTAAATTTGTTTTCCTCCCTGATCATTATTGAAAAACTGGAATCTTTCTAATCAATACTTTGTCGATTGGCTTCGCTGCCACTCTTTGGTTGCGGGGTATCACTCACACTGAGAGCCGCGGCGTGCTGGTTAATGGCTTTGGGTTATTTTGGAACCTTCTTCTTGTAAAATCCTCAAAAGCAAACAGCACTCCTCCGATGTGGTTGCATTTTCCTTTTACTTGGAGACCGAGAACAGCAGAGTACGTACACGCTGCGCGTAACACATCACACATAGGTGAGAACTCCAGAACAGCTCTGTAAGGTGTTTTCTTCGTCGAGTGAAAACATTTTCCCTTACATAAGTTTTGTTTTCAAAAATTTTGCCCTCCAGTTTTTTCACGTTTTCTTCGAAGAAGAACTGATAGGATTTCAGCTTATCGTAATGCGTTCCTCTCAACATGTTGTGGCGGTATTTTCGTGTGGAAACAACGGGGTAATCGTAAAGCTGAATGAAATTTATCGCAGGTAAATTACGGAGATCGCCCGACCATTCAAGAGCTGAATCTTTACCATAGTTGCGTCGTATTTGAAGTCGTTCTGGTTTTGTTATAGGTCCTGGATACCTGTAAGAAGTTCTCGGTTTTCTCCACTGCTCAATGGGAGGACGTGTCACATCAGCAAAGTATAAACTTTCAACACACTTTCGTCGGCTCTAATTCCGCCCACCGATTCTGAATTAGACTTTAAAGTCTCCCTGAGATCTAATGCTTTGAGTTTCTGGATGTCATCTAGTGACGGAAGTTTCATATCGTTGTATTAAAACCATTTTGAAGGGAGAAATCGCATTGAAAAGTGCATTAGAACGTGAAATGTCAGTAGATCAGCTGTTTGAAAGAACCGCCGGGTCAACCGCAGTCTCGTTATCGTGTGTGTGCGGTTACTAATCCAATATGGCGCCGGGAACTGTAAAAAGGGCTATTCAAATGCTGCGAAGCAGTTTCTTTGTAGATCGATTATGATCGAGTAATAGTAAAAGAAATTTGGAGAAATTAATTTTGAAGGATGTTGTTTCTTGAATTAACTGACACATTTCAAAAACAGCTTAAAACGTCAAAAGAACGTCAGAAAAAAAAGGTAAAAGCCGAAAAAAAAAAGACACAGGTGTTAAAAATAGGAGGAGATCAAAGCTGACTGTTATCGAAGATAAACTTAACAAACACTAAATTAATTAAATTAAAATTGATATCAATTAGTACGAACGTGAAAATTACAAAGCTGTAAATCTCCTCCTTTATTGAGTTCCCGTGACTTCGGCGATGTGATTGTTATATTTCCATTTTCATTTTAAGAGTTCATAACTCGGCTGATAAGAAACACGTGACCCTGCCCGTTTATCCGGTTTACCCATTTTGAACTAGCAAAGAGTATCCTCAACACGTCTGGTTATAAATCAAAACAGCTGTAAGCGAGTTGCTGAATTCCCCAACCTGGTGCTTACAAACGCACGTTTAGGAGGTTCATCAGTAGAATCCTCATCGGATACCTCTTCATTTTCGACGAGTTCGTCGTCAGAGGCAATGTCACCTTTCAACAGTCGTTCAATTCTATCCGCTTCCTCTTGAGGGAACTTGTGAGATCTCAAACCGGAAGCATCAGTAATGATCTCGTCAATATGCACGCGGTCTATAATGGTGTACAGTGAGTTCCTATCTGCTCGTGATTGTTACATTACTTCGAATTGCGTGACTTAGCCCATTAAACCTGACAAGATGGGCATCATATTTTTTGGTCGTCTTTTGACAGATTTTGCAATCTACGTGCTCACAGGTTTGAGTTCGACCTCAAGTTTGCAAAAGCAGCCACTGACATTGCATTTGGAGCTACATAGTTCCATCAAGAATATCAGAGAGAGAAAATTTATTTGATATCTTGTAATGAACAGTTTTCCTTTAAGTTTAGCATCATTTTGAGGCAGTCGGAAAAGCTATAAACGAGTGAACACAAACACAAGCATTAGGCTTTCTAATAGAGACAAGTGTTTTATTTTTTACCTCAGAGAAAACGAACTTGTCGCCAGTGTCGTTGTTGTCGAGCCATAAGATGTGCTCTGACGTTACTGACGTTGTCAGTAAAAACTAGTTCATTTCTCCTTCTCTCCTTGACGAGGGGACCCTTCAAAAGTAGGGCAAGGAAAAACCCCCACTGTCCTCTTTTACGCTTCCACTCCCGATTCTTTCATAGCACTTTCAGTCTCGGGGTTGATCTACTCTGAAGGTAGCGGTTGCATATATAAAGTTGACACTTGCGAGCTCTGTGGTGCTGTGGGGAACACGATAGTAGGATTTTTCATGAGTAAAATAGTTGGTTGGTAATTATTCCAAAGTCTTGGGAATACGGCAATGCGGTGAAGGTTTCATCCTTAAAATGGGAGACTACGTGTAGATTCTCCACAACAATTGTGAGTAACGTGCACAATTCAATGTCTTCAAGATAATCGTTGTTAATTGAAGCTATGCTGTTGTGCAGGCAGCGCATTCCTTCTTCGAGAAGTTTAAGTGAGACTTGAATTTTATGAGACACAGTTCCTTCAGGGCCGTTTGTTGCTGTGGTTTCCTTTATACTGTGCCGTTGTTTCACCTCAGAAACGGTGTTTGTGATGTTGTCATGTACATACGATTCTTTGTTTACGGCATATGCTTTAATGCTTATAAATCGGTATCTATAGGTGTTCTACACTACAGAGCAGGCTTTTAACTGATACATTTATATCAATACCAAATACCCAACCATTCCAATACATACTGTTTAATTCGCTTCCTGTTCCAGCCAGTATGGTAGGAAGCTCCAGATCCCATTGCTCGTTCGTAGTTAAGGCAAAATTGTTGCTCGTCCCCCCTGATTTCGGAGCCATGGGATAAAGTTTCACATCAAAATCTCCGAGGCCATATTAACTGAACAACTCCATAAGCCAAGGAATGAAATAAGGTGCTTTTTCAGCGTCCATACGGTGTGTACATTTAGTAGGAATACGGCTTACGTGACGCTCAAATGCTGTTTCCGAATCAATTCTATAAAAGCTTACAACAGCTTTTAAAATACCAGCATTGACGGCCATGGCGTAATCTGACGATCGAGTTGGGTATCAAAGACAATACTACCGATATGTGACATATGACCTTGATGTGGATGGTCCATACGGTAATTATTAACAAAATATGACACTCTCGCGTACTCTTACTGATGCGTATTAAAAAGCGTACTTTTATTGAACAAAATACTTTCCTGATTTTACGTCCAGTTTTTAGGATATTTCGGGCGATCCGGTCTTTTGCCAACTGTCAGTAAAAGCCCACCACAAATGTAAGTTGTCAGTTAGATTTCCAGCGATTTGCCAGTTGCCAGTTAAAATTTTTGCCATTTGTCACTTATCAGTTAACCCCATACAGGCCTTCAAATTAGCTTGTATGGGTGAATTTATGGCAGTCAAGTCAAAACGTGCAGAAATATACAAATTTAATCCTTGAAAGGTCTACAGAATGCTCAGTAATAGATATGCTTTGACAAGTTTAGGAAAGACTGCTCTGCTTGTTGAAAACATCCTCACGAATATCATATGCATCCCTTACGAATATCGACACGTTATAGCACAAACAAGGACATCAGCGCACGATGCTCGAGCAATTGTTAACCAATTCATGGCGCCATTTTTCATGGTTTCATGGTTTCAGCTATATCTATCCATTCCCATGTCATATCTGATGATCATAAAGCATCCTTGGGAAACAAAAATTGCCTAAATAATAGTAAATGCCGCCGACTAACAGTACTTACCATCAGATGAGTTCACCAGTCGGAGAAGTGAGATAACTGTACGTAGGAATTGGAAAACATGTTAATTTTTACATGTTAATTTTTACATGTTAATTTTGGAGTTAGCCCTGAACCCGGTCCTGATTTCAACACAAGGAGGTGGTTAGGTTAAAACAGTACTGGAAATACAAAGATTGAAAGAAAAAAATTTGTTAAAAATTCCGCGAATCAGTATCGCCGGACGGCATGCATGTCAAACTTTATTTTTGAAATGGACATCATTTTGATAAGAAGAACAGCTGAAACAACTTTGAAGTCTTTCGTGTTCAGAGGGGAAGACTGTTAATCAAGTAGCCCTTTGCCAAAAGTATTGAACGATAACAGAACAATATTGAACGATAACAGAACAATATTGAACGATAACAGAACAATATTGAACGATAACAGAACAATATTGAACGATATCACAACAATATGCGGTAACCATATTTCTCCTCTGTTATTGTCCATCGGAATATCACACATTTGAAATCAGAGCCATTGATGTTCACATCTTCGGTCACGTTTCTCAAAGACTATTGTATCTTTTGGTCACTAAAATTCACTTACATATTCTCACAAAAAAATTGCAATGCCCATATAGAATTCATATTGCTTTGCTGCGTGCTTTAAAACCCCGAGAATCTTGGAATTGTCAACCACTGAGATGCCAGCGTATTCCACTCGACGAAACTCCACACCTCGAAAAAAACAAACGCGTTCCTGTCGACGAAAATAGAAATGATGTAACCTTTCGACCTCAGTCTACTTCACATGTACATAGCACACGGTTTCTTCATAAACTTGAATTCTATTACCCCTTTCTTGTGCCACCTGCGGTCTAAAACTTTTTTCTTTGTCAACCGACAGTACTCATGACCCAACAAACCTTGTTCTTGAACTGATCTAATTGCGAATCCTGTAATAATTTTTTCGATTACGTTCAAATTTGCCGCCATTTTCACACTAACTATGCCTCTGCTGGACTTTGCTGGTGCAAGTTCTCGTATGGATGCAATCGTGCATAGCAGTCATGAGAGTAATATACAGCAAGCAAGGGAAATATATTGAACGTCCGATTTATTTGATTTTACATATTTAGAATACTTACTCAAAATATGGAGTCCTGAAACTCTTAAAAATATTGTGTATCGCAAACCATATTTACAATAAATTCGTCAGACGGAAGTTTTTCCGGATCACAGGTTTCAATCCATTCAGGAGAAGGCTTGTAACCAAAACATGTGCTGAAAACAATAGCCCTTCCTATGTACTGTTGGTTGCCGGGTAACATAAATTACAGAAAGAGAGAGAAATGCTCAGACAATCATGTCATAGAAGCATGATCTATTTATTAAAACAAACCGGTTCCAGTGGGTATGTTTACGTCAATCGATACTAAATAATTAAAGATACGATCAAATTCCTTTGAAAAAAATAACAAAAAATAGTAAATCTCATGACTTGTTACACTGGGTACAGGTTATATCTATTTAACAAATAGATTCCATGTTACGTTAGCCTGGAGAGCAGGCGTAATTCTGGCGGGCGATTGCTCAGTATTTTTATGGCCGCCATCTTTGTTTTTAACGGCAGCGGAACGCTGGGGAGAAAAAGAAATTTGTACCAAGGAGGCGGTCGACGGTCAACGATCAAAAATAAGGAAGGGGGTATGGGAGGTGGGGGAGTGAAAATCACCTTTCTCACCCTTCCCCTTCCCCTTACCCCCACTGGCACTCTAACTCCAAATCAAACATGGCCGGTCGGATAAACCATTCAAAACGATCGCGAGCTTGAAACGTTCAAACGCTCGCACCACCGAAATATTTGGAAGAACTGATTGTCAGCCTGCCGGATGAACTTATCGACATGGAGTTCGTTTAATGGGTTAAGGCACGTTTGGCGAAATATCAGCTATTCCATTCAAATAATTTATATTTGCTTTTTAAACTTAAAAAAGCTAACTACTTTTTATCCTCTTATCAATTGTTTTTTAAGTTCAGTAGTATTAATACCACACAAGTGAAAAGTGTTTTTCGCGCCCTAATTGGTTGGTTCGGTTTTGAATAGCAAGTAACATTCACCTCCGAACCGGTTACCTAAATCGCGCGCCAAATAATTAATTTCCGACCATTTTTCGGTATATTGTAAGGAGTAAACGTATTTTTTGCTATCTGTGTGGTTTATAGTAAAAAAATGAATAATAACTAGTTACCTGTCTTTGTGGGTAAAAGTGCTGGATATTCACTTCGCCACTTTTCGGCTCGGTAAATATCCACCACTATTCACCTCCACTTCGGTGAATAATTATTAACTAATGTTAAAAGTATTTTCAGTCAGTTAAATAGTTGTCGGGAAAATTGGGGCTGGAAATGTGACCGCTAGTAGCATTAATGGATTCTCCAGTAGGGTTGCAGGCTGAAAAAGAGAGGAGTTTTTAGTCACTCTATCGATTTATTACTGTAGACGAAAGAACTGGATAAAGAAGAATTTGAAATTGTTTTTTATACTTGTTGTTACCATGTCTTTAAAAATGATAAAAGTTTTAGCAATGTCGAATTGAAAATGTGCTACGCACCAACTCAATCATTATCGTTAGTTATAAGTAAGAAATCCTGTCGACATAAATACGAAACAAAACTATTCATTAAAATATAGAAATATAAAAATATTATCAGTACTTACGATCACTTGTCACTAGATTCAAGGAGGCAACTGCAACAAATACAAGTAAGGATTAGAAACAGTTCATCCCAAATGCAAGGAAGTTCGAGGTCATCTGAGCCAAAGGGGAAAGTGGACAAAGTTCCTGTCGACTTCTCTTAGAAGTTGTGAATTGTAATGGTTTCTATGCGAGACCACAGAGAATTCTCAGCTGAATTTTGGACTAGCTTCCATTAAAACTGACTCCTCCGTGTATTTTCTGAGCACCTGATCTCTTAAACTGGTTTAAAGCTAGCAATTAAAGATTTTTTGTGAGACGCAAGTTTATTGCAAGATTTTTAGCTCAGTTGTGTTCCCATATGGATGCTGTAGGTAAGAAACTTTTTTGAAGGCCATTTAAGATTGTAATCCTAACTCACATTAGACGCCTCTCAAGTGGGTGAGAGAGCTGGAGTTTACTGTGAAGTGAAGGTAGATCCTTTCGACTTTTGAGAAATTGTCGATCCTAACCTGTAAAATTGACCTTTCTCGCAGATTTTAACCGACTGAGCTGCCTGTATGGTATGGCATCTTGTAAGACAGAAGCAACACCAAAATTTCACAGGCTTTCACTAGTTAGACCGCTGGGACTTTTTAACTAAAAATTCCTAAGAGATTATAGAAATGCCCTGAACATCCTCTTGTTCACTTCTCGTTCTAGTAAGTCCTCCACGTGAGAAAAGTTTCTAACAAGCCTCTCTTCCTGGAAACCCCTCCTCCTGCTCTTTCTATAAACCGCTGAAACGGTTCAAGTTATTAGTGTACTTTATAAGAAAACAAAAGTAAAATAAAAACTGATTTCCAACCAAACAAATCAGCATACACAGTATTCATTAAAGCTGGGAAACATTGAGAGGTAAAGTGCGAACTCACTTCGTTGCGATAGTAATTCAGAGTTATCGTTGTAAGCGTCGAGAGTCTGTGTAGAATCGTTTGAAAATACTTCTATAGAAAGACTGATAACGCAGAAAAACATATCGCAAAACGAATAATCCAAGCTCCAACCTTAGATTTCCTCGTCATCAACATTACACTGCAATAATTTAAGAATAGCAACTGAAATCAAATGGCGAGCGAAACGTAAGTTCACTTGTTTAGTCACCCTGTCGAACTCAACAAAATCAGTATTGAAGAGAGCCATTAACCCTAATCGCACCCGGTATCAAAAAAGAAAATAAGGATACCTTAAAATTCACGTGTAACTGAAAATGATATGTAAATCGAGATCAGAACATTGACTTGTAATGAGTTGCAATGTCTTCTGATTTTATCATCGGCTGTTAATTTCATACGCCAGGATTAACTTACTCATTGAGTTGATGCTTTCTGTTCTAACGTATCCTCATATTTAAGCATGAGAATCAATTCTACATTCGCATTTGACCGCAAAATACGCTTTGTATCCTTGGAATTGAAGCTCATGAAGCTAGGAAATGCAAAGTACTTTGCGTGTGTCGAAGCATATTAGGAAAAATTGAAATTCAGTCGACAGGTATCAATGCGTTTCATTCTTGTTGTGCAATTCAATTAGAAGAGACACCTGTACATGGAAAAAATATAAGTCGTTGAACTAAGTAAACATCATTTAAATGTTTCAGACTAGCATTATTTGTATCGATGAACAAAATCATGGTGGGACCTATCACCCTAAGCTGGCCTTGAGGGAGAAGAAAGCAATGGATGCCAGGGTAACATGACGCGGAAAATGTTCAAAACAAATCTCTTCAGTGAAGTAATGATGTTTGAAATGTCCTCTTGAAATCATAACACTTGATGAAGTCAAGGAAAGAACGTGATACAAAAGTATTGGTCATAAAATTACCGTACAGAGACATATCCTTCAAATGTCTTTGAGGCAAATACGATGAGTTGACTGACCGGAGACCGTATCAATTATACCTTAAACGAACTCTTACTCACCAGAAAAACGAATCACGATCCAGGCTGTGATCATGTTCGTATTCAAACTGCTTACTTTCTTCTTAAGGCGTTCGCTTTCTTTACACTGATGAATCAAGGAGGTTGGAATCAACTGAGCGAGACAGGCTTGTCTTTTTTATATTTAACTTCAGAAATATGTAACCTTGCTGAGCCAACAACGGAATAAGTGAGGCGTATCAAGAATCATCACGTCATTGTAACGTATTTGACAGTTTCCGTAAGATGTGAGAAATTATACACTTGGGTAGCAGAGTCCAACCAGCATTACCCCCCTCACTTCCCCCCCCCCTCCCCCCCCGGCTCATTGAGCAAATCACTGTTTGGTAAAAGGTAAAAGGGAACCTAAGTAAGGAAACTGGTGATTCAAGTCGAACAACAATGGATGAACCCCTGGCCGTACCTTTCTAACAGTAAGTTCAAACGGAAACAAACCTCACAATGGCTGCCATAGTAATATCCAAAATTAATGCGGTTTTCTAGTTAACATATACCCCAACTTAGACATACCCAAAAATCGCTACTTTCTCGACAGTTAAAACAATGTGATCAGATTATTATAAGAGGACTCAATTAGACTAAACCAACAATCAGAGATGAAAACCGAATTTAATGAAGTTTCATCAGGTCAGTATGAAATAATAAAGTTTGTCTTGTCATACCTGAGGAACGCTTTAGTTTAGAGAGTTCCACACAGAATTTGGGATGTCAGCTCCATCGATGTGGTGCAAGAAGTGCCACGCTACCATTAAGCCACAGCATACAAATAAAATTGTAAACTAGTCAAACATGGATGTTTTACAGAATCCTGGGCTCAGACTTTCACACCTTTTTTACATTATACTGAAGAATATTCAACAATTGTTATCCAACGTACATCGCCGAAAGGATGCGGTAAGGGTAGTGGTGCAAGGTATTATGGCCAATTTCAGTAAGAAATAAAGCGAAACAATTCAATTGAAAACTACTTTATTGTACTTTAAACATCGAATTACGCAAACATGTACTGTGAGTCCAGGCGAACCAGGTTAAATGACAACTACGAGCTATTGTCGTACTTTCTCACAATCTGTTAGTTTCACCCAATTAAACCTCACTGGATAAATCACTCATCAAATCGTTTTATAACATAGCTAGTAAATTTGTCTAATCAAATTCAATTGCGCGAGCGTGCTTCATATTCCTATTGTGCACGCTCATGACGTCAGCAAGCATATCCCTCGAGATCCCTCGGCTACGCCTCGAGCAACTCTTACGCATCTTTCGTGCTCTCCAAACTTCCCGCGTGCTTCATATCTCGATGAACGCACGCTGACGTATAAACCAATTGTTAATTGTTGTCATTACATAGGGTAGAAGAATTACTGTGTCCGTTGTGGAAATGACTCAAAAGGGCCGCTCATTATTCATCCCCTGAGGGACAAGGAAGGTGGGATGATTTAGGTTGTGATCCCCTTTTGTTATCCCTGAAAACTCCTCCCTGAAAATGGAAAAGATTGTGAGCCCACAATCCCGTAAAGCGGCTGGTAGGTGAGCTCGTTTGAGTTTTTTCGGCGGTCATCGAGGAAAAGAAATCAATTGACTGCTACCCAATGAAGCTTTTTAAGGCCCAAATATACATGAAATGAAACAAGTGATCCAAATAGCTTAGGGTTGCCGTAACTCATGTTCAGGTGTCGGGTGCACATCCGCTTTTATTTCTTTGCTGGTTTTCTTCCATTTCAGTGCCTTCGTTACTCGGAGAAATGATTCTCTTGTTCTTTTTACCTGTTGAATAAGCAATGTTTCAAATTACGGGATGTTGCACTCTTCAATTTATTCTAACGTCGAGAGCAGGTTTGAGGGCAGAACCCCAAGAGAGGAATACGGTTCGAATTTTGGTACCGCTAGGAATGGTTTACTTCCCATGCCAATTGCCTTCATTAAAACTCTCCCGAGGACGAAAGACATAGAGAGTTTCTTCCCAAATAATAGCGGGTTCCACGTTTGGCCCTAGAAAATATTTCTTAAAATCCGCTCAGATAAAGACCTCTAACACTCCCAGAAGTGTCTACGATCCCCTGAGGAGAGGCAAATGCGAGACTTCGTAGAGCTCTCTAATGCAGCCCACTAGTTCTCTCCACTAAAACTTTTAGCAACCCTCAAAGAAATTTCAAGGAGTAGACTGGCCTAATCATCTATCCTCGTCATAAGAAATCTCAAAAGTAAGGTACCCTACCCAGCACAGGACGAACTAGGAGGTGATTGTTGCATCAGACCCTTCTCCCATAAGAAAGGAAGCGAACGGACTCACCGTGACGATGGCAAGAGTAAACCATTATAAAGACGAGTAGAACAAAAGCCACACTACCCAATGCTATTCCTACGGAGGCACCTGCCGATAAGGATTTCTTTGGCACTACAAATAATTGAAAATGTTTAGAAAGTCTTTAAGAACTGCTTACTTTAGTAATAGCATATGATGATCATTGATTGTCAAAGATATGTAGGTTAAAGATCTCTAATAATTTCAGTCACTTATGTAATCTGTCAACCCAATAGAAGGTCGTCAACAAACCTCACCCCACCCCTTGGATTTATCGCACTTATGAATCATTTCAAAGAACTGATTGTCAGCCTGTAATGGACTCACAAAGAACAGGGTCGTTTTAAGGGTTAAGGTACTTTTGGCGAGAACCGAGATTTGTTACTTCGAAATAAGATAGTTAAAATAAAAACGTCTTTGTATATTAAATATTTTCTTTGAAAGCTAAGTACCCCCAGCCACCAACATTATTTTGTTCATTGAACGTAACACACTATTGCAATTGTAAAAAAGTAATCAAGGATGTTTGGCAGAGCTTACATGTTGTCTCTTATTTGGAACCAGTCACTGAAAGAGCAAAGCATTTCAAGATAATTTCAGGGTTAAGACGATGAAAGAGGTTGGTGACTGCGGTTTAATTGTTCTAATTAAAACAAACGTCCGATTAATCTGGAATATTCAGTGCAAAGAAAGTTTACAGAGTACTTACAACTCGTCGTAGTTGCCATTTTTGAATCAGTTCTTATTTTTGATTCAGTACTTGTTGTTGTTTCGTTCGTCGCTTTTGTCTCTGTTGAAAATTCTGCTTCAAATCCACGAGCAACTGTTTGTCCAGGATGAAACATCACAGACAATTGGTTTCCAGTCGAGAACTGAAGCTCATTCCGTGGCGACCCCTGACAAAATCGCCCCAGTAAGGGCGAACCTGTTGACCCACCATCATAAAGCTCCACATAAGAACAAGAGTCCGAACAAGGACTGGCTGAACACTCACTTAAGGCAAAGTCAGTAAACTCAAACTGTATCTTTTTGTCAACTGGTGCGGTAATTTTCCAGGTACAGTTTCTGGAAGCAGTGTAATTACTCTTTGGGTAGTTGGTGCTGCTTATTTTGCCGCTGCCTGAGAGAGGAATTGCTTCCCTTGGACAAACTGTAAAAAAGACAATGCCTATGTGAATGTGGGAGACTAATCATGGATTGATGTGGAAGAGAAGCTACGCATATGGCACTCAAAAAGGAGATTGACTTTGGGCAGTGCACAATTGCAAAAAAAAAATATATTGAAGATGGTGATCTCAGACCAATGTAGTAAGGAACCTGCTATCTGATAGCCCGGGGAAGGGATGAAGGGAGTTTTGTGGGGAAACTATCATGGTTTTGAGGTGGAGTAGATGGGTTAGTCGTCGCCAACAGAGTTTAAATGGGAAACATTACAAAGTTGACTGCCAATTAGCTGCCACTAAGGGCAGAATATAAGAATATTACAGAATATCAGAGATCGGGTAAATTTTGTTGGTAAACAACCAAAATGCTCCATCCCCCCTCCCCTTCGTGGTGATGATTAATTACTGTTCCTTAATAAGTAGAAGAGAAGAGTATATGTCTTTTATTAATTTTTGTGGCAGTTAAGCAGCAAACAAGCGGTGTCACTTGATACGATCTCTTAGATGTACCAAAGTTGTTTTCTCTACTTACTTGGAGGACTGTAGTTCAACAGCTTGTAAGTTGCCCCAAATCCGTCATAATCCATGTTTGCATCATCGGACACAAAAACCACCCTCAAGCTTTCGTGCAGTGAATAAAACTTTACAGGAGTAAACCTAGGTGTACCACATAGTTTTCCAGGCTGCGCTTCATCACTGAAGCTATTCTGAACTTCCATATAATCACACGAGCAAGCAGCGCCACCACAACGTTCAAGATTATAGTCTGGTATTGTGAGCTCAACACGGTATCCTTGTTTCCCTGTAATATTCCAGCTACATGTCTGGTTGGATGGATAGTTTCTTGGATTAAATGGAGAGGAGAAAGAACCTGATGTTTCATCGAGGATCATATCTGCTGGGCACACTAAAAAGAGTAACAAAGACTGTGTCAGGCATCCAAAACTGTTTTAGTATTGATTTTTACACTCCACTGTGGTTAACTGGTTGATTTCCAATACAGTCTACAGCTCCTTTTCCGTATGTTGACGGGTTTAAACATATACCAGTGTAACTGACATGAAATATAAAAAGCTTGCGTCCGAGTGAAATACATTCAATTTTCTTTCTACAGACTATAGCTGTTCATAGATTGTCTACCTCATTATTTTCAGGTTATGCTCAACAAAATTCTCGCTTAGTTCAATAGAGTACATGCTCAGTACACTTCTATACATGTTTCATAAACTACACCTGAAGAAAAAGCTCTTACGTGAACCTCCATCTATCGCCTGAAAGGTTGCATTGAACCCTTTGTTTACAAGGCCGGTGCGCGATTCAAATCTCATTTGAATGAAGTTTCCCTCGGAGTACAGAGGAGGGGGAAGCTTTTGACCACAGATCTTAAGGTCATTAGGATTTCCTCCATAAGAGGCAAGGTTTGTGAGGAAGACTCGGGCACTATCTGCTGCAGCTCCACTACAATCATCGTTTTCACCTACTACCAGGGTAAAGTAGAAGAAGGTCAGTTTGATGATTTTCCCAGCGGGTACTGTGATATTCCAGGTACAAATCCTGTTTGCGTCATAGTTGTTGGGAAAATTGGGGCTGGAAATGTGACCACTAGTAGCAGTAATGGATTCTCCAGGAGGGATGCAGGCTGAAAAGGAGAGCATCTTTAAGTCACTGTTTTGATTTCTTACTACAGCAGAAAGAGAATTGAAAATGTGTTTTATACTATTGTCACCAAATTATTAGTAGTAAAAAGAAATGCTGTGGACTGAAATACAATACTGCAAAACCGCCGTTTAAAATGCAGAAATATATATATGTTATTTGCCGGCTGGGAGGTCCGTATGGTGAAAAACTGTGACCGAGGTCTTGAAAATACTGCCCGAGGCCGTAGGCCGAGGGCAGCATTTTCAAGACCGAGGTCACAGTTTTTCACCATATGGACCGACACTTAGCCGGTAAATAACATATTTATTGTTTTTAAACTTGACGAAATTCTTTCCGAAAGAACCCGAATGATTTAGGGCTGTAAATACGGCAAGATCTTCCATAAACTGAACAATTTTTGAGTGAGTAAATGGTAGTTAAAATAGAGGTGATGCAAATTAAAGAGAGATGCCTCAGCGAAACATTTTCATTTCCGTAACGATAAAGGTGATTTAAAAGGCTTCGAAACAAACTTTGAAACATTTTTTTACAAGTATCTGTCACAATCTGACACCTGTCAATTAGAGAGCGCGCAAGAAAAAAAAAGCGTAGGAACATTTGAAAAACATCAGAACTAGTATGGCAAGGACTGTCACGACAATGTTTTCTTCAATGATGTCAATGATCTAACGGAAAGTATTATTCACTCTCATCGACCATTCATTCATGTACGAAGATTTACCTCTATTCATTAAGTAAACGGCGAGGAAAGTAATTGTGAGTAAATTCAATTTTTTTACTTTGAAGTTGTGAGAGTTTGCTCGTTTGTTTGCTGCAATGGCGTGTGTGACTCTGGTCTTTCCTTCACAAAAACTAAATTCGAACGGCACACTCCAACGAGACACAAGGGAATTTAATGCGGCCTTTTCTCAAAAAATTCCTTCAATTTCTGTTGTGCAATTTACGGTACAAATGTCTAACTTGAAGGGAATTGGAAAGACTTACTGGGAGCGTATATTTGTAGTAGAACTTAAATTAAAACTTCGCTCGCTCTTTCACTACGAACAAATTGCTCGAGAAAATTCAGATATTAAATGAATGAAAGTTCCATCGTTCAGTTTAACTGTAATCAAATACTTCGCGTGTCAACTTTCTGGGTACTTTTTGTGAACGATTAAAATTAATTGCAGACGGTTTTTAGGCCGCTTATCAACTTCGTAATGACACTATTGTTTATTCAAATTCATTCTGAAACCAATATTTTTTCTGTCAACCAAATTGATTTGATAGAGAGAAAAGAGAGGATTCATAAGTTATTTATCGGCTTGAGGTAGTGACCGACGTGTTTGCTTAAAAATACTGCCCAGCCGGAAAACGAGGTATATTTATGAAAAAATGACAACGAAAGTTGGGATGTACTCGGCGACTCACGAAAGCGTTACCGTGGCCCGTGGGCAGAGATAGGAAAATACTGACCGGGTAAAGAACCAATCAGATCGCAGGATTCGTTACCGTGCCCTCTAAAAAAACAATAAAGAAAGGTTATCAATACTTACGACCACTTGTCACAGGAGTCAGGGAGGCAGCTGCAACAGATACAAAGAATGAACATGTGATAACGTTTCTCAACTCAAGGATTAGAAACAGTCCATCCCAAATGCAAACGAGGAAAGGGAAAAGGAGAGAAAGCTCCCTGGGCTACGATATCTTTATTTAAAGCCACAAGAAGTTCTCAGCTCATTTTTAACTTTGAGCATTCAACAAAAAACTTAGTATT